TTCTTGTGTACCAAAACAAGAATAGCCCCACTCAAGAAAATTTCAATTCCTCGTTTAGAGCTATGCTCGGCTGTACTCTTAGCAGATTTGATCGAAATTGTGATGCAGTCGTATCGAAATATGTTACCCATCAGCTCAGTCTTCGCATGGTCTGATTCAACTGTTACGCTTTCGTGGATTCAATCTTCACCCCATAAGTGGGCAACATTTGTTAGCAACAGGGTTACCCATATTCAGGAAAAGGTATCTCCTAGTCAATGGTCTCATGTGTCTACACAAGAAAATCCTGCTGACTGTGCTACCCGCGGCATTGTACCCTGCGAATTACTCCACTTAGAAAAATAGTGGGCGGGGCCATCATTCCTAACTTCCCATTGTGACCCTTGGTCAAACGAGTCTCTAAAGATCAACGAAGTGACATTAGAAAGACGAAAGACGACTCTTACTATTTCGACTACAGAGAGATGTTGCTGGGATAACCTAATAGACCGGTTCTCATCTTTATCAAAATTGAATCGCATTTTCGCTTACATAATGCGCTTCATCTCAAAGACTAAAAATCCAACGCTGTTGCTAAATGAATGTTTTTCTCTATCTGAACTCGACCAAGCCCTCTTAATTTTAATCAAGCAAATTCAAAGATTTTATTATAACAAGGAAATAACTGCACTCTGTAAAAAAGACTCGTATAATTTGAAGTCCTTCCCGAAATATTTTCGCAAGCTCACTCCCTTTCTTGACCAAGATGGTATTCTCAGGGTGGGCGGACGTTTACATCACTCTTCTATTCCATATAGTAATAAACACCAGTGTTTACTTCCAAGTGATCATAGGCTGACTCGTCTGATTGTGGAGCATACACATGTTAAGTACTTACAAGTTGGGCTACAAACTACGCAATATTTACTTAGCCAAAGATATTGGATCCCATCCTCTAAAAGAGTGATACGAAAGGTCATCTCTTCTTGCGGTGTCTATTATTATTAGTTTAATAATTTTAAAGAAAAAATCTATAATAAAAGAAGCATGCACCTAAGGCAAGTCATATGTAGCGATACAGTTCAACTGTTAATGTTAAGTTAAATGTGTTTGTTGCTATTTAATTTTAATTATCATTCATTTTAAATTATAATGTTTTTGCAGAAAAATTGAATAAATATTCTTTAAAAAATCATAAATACATACTATCGGGAGGACCACACTTTTGGAGATTGTGGTGAAGTGTATTTTGTGGGAAAATGCTGAATATCGCTAATTTGGAAATTATTAGAGAGAACTGTTTTTTTAATTCTGGGATCAGTGAGATAGTTGTACGATTCCGCAAACAAAAGAGTGGACAACCGATGAGTTTTGGACCATTAACCTAGAAAGTCTACCCTTTATGGAAACTGAATAACCCAATGTTAAGTCCAAAAATGGGTGATTATTATCAATTTCCAATTCAGTAGTAAAAATTAAATCAGTATGATGTCAAAAAGCAACAGTATCGTCAACATAGAGGTTCAATAATTTTAGTTTCAGATGGAAGGTGTATGGGGCTGGATCCAATGTAACAATTTCCCCTTGAGCACCAGTTTATGAATCGTAGGGAATTCACAGAAACTAGGAATTTTAGAGTATGAGGGTTAAATGATTTTTTTCACTAGAAGAAAATCTAGTAGCAGATTTCAGGTTGTATTCTATAGATGACGCACCATTTCCTTTATCTACTTCAAAATTACTACTAAAATTATGTATACCGTTTTCTAAAATGCAACAAAAACATTTAGTGTACAGTTTCACACCAGTTTAAGTCGGTGATCTAACTTTCTGTTGTCGCCTTTGAAGTCCTCTCCATGAAGGTTTGATAATTTTTCAAAAAAAATTCCACAAGGCCACTGTAATACTATTTGCAAATCTTATGGATTCCTCCTTCGTTGGTTGTTTTTGAACTGACTCTGACATTTCGACATTAATTCTGACGCAGGAAGAATTCAGAAGATTTTTAAATAGTATGTATTACAGTAGCCTGAGGAAGTTTCTAGGAAAAATTAAGCTGGGTTTTTTAATAAAAACGATCAAAACTATTTTTTCCAAATGATAATGTGGAAATAATATTACAGTAGCTCATTGAAGTTTTTTTGAAGAAAAAAAGTATTTTTTTAAATTAAATATTACTTATAAGGTTATTTTTGTTTAGAATTATTTTTTAAAAAATCGCAGAGTTCCTAGCCAATAGGATAAATGGATTGATCGACTGTATCAAATACCCTGCAGGGAGACGGGAAATTCGTCAAATATTTTGCCAGTATCTCCGCATCTCTCGAAACTGTTATATTGATATTAGCATTCCGATGGAACTTATATTCCAAATGATAATGTGGAAATAATATTACAGTAGCTCATTGAAGTTTTTTTGAAGAAAAAAAAGAATTTTTTTTTTAAATTAAATATTACTTATAAGGTGATTTTTTGTTTAGAATTATTTTTTAAAAAATCGCAGAGTTCCTAGCCAATAGGATAAATGGATTGATCGACTGTATCAAATACCCTGCAGGGAGACGGGAAATTCGTCAAATATTTTGCCAGTATCTCCGCATCTCTCGAAACTGTTAAATTGATATTAGCATTCTGATGGAACTTATATTTTCTCAATTCAGTTGGTGTACCTATCGCGCAGATATAAGCGTATATTCCAGCATATAAAAGCACTTATTATTTGCAGTTCCGTCTCAAATGGAAAACGAAATAATCTCGCTACGTCGAAACATTACTTCTTATGCAAATTTTATATATTCTTAAGACACTCGTAGACAAAATCGTCGAATATTTTTAATTTAATTTTTATGATTTCCTTTTGTGACATTAAATTCCCATTATTCAATTTGTTGAACACCATGTACAACCAAGAAGAGTTTATTGTACAAAATTTAAGTGAATAACACTAAGTTCTTTATGACAAGAAAAACTTGAAAAAAAAGCAAGATATTGTGACAAATATTTAAAAAATAATGAATAAGAAAGGATAATGGGTCCTTGCGCAGCTTCCTTCCAAGAGAAGGTGCTCTTGAAGTCAACTAAGCCTAAAAAATTTACTTGCATTTCTCACCACAAGAGACACAAGAACTAGAAATAGGGAGAAAACAAAGGAACGAAAAATGCTAAGAAAGGAAGAGATGAGTAAGATATTTTGTTACGAACTTGAATGAACGAATATCCAAAAAAATCATCCGGTTGATTTGATTCAATGCTAATTGAAACTGGTATACATTCTACTTTATACCTGTTAATATACTATTTGATGGGGCGGAGTTAAAGGAAGGGCGTGAACATTGTCTCGAATGACTGATTTCCATATTGGTAAAAACCTGAGTCGCCGTTAAGATTGTTTGGTTCGTTAAAGATTTCTATATTACATTCATATTACTATCCAGTCCAAAAATTATGGGCTATCAAGGCTCGTGTTCACAGTGCCTCGAAACTATCTTTTTTAACATTGCCAATATTGGAATCAATCATCATGTTCATGACCCCCTTTAACTCCGCCCTTCCAAACCATATGCAGAGTAAAATGCAAACTAGTTTCAGTTAAGCTGTGATGACGCCAACCGGATGATTGGAGAAACATCAGCAAGGATAACTAATGAATATAGTAAATCATTTATTTTATATTTATTTGTTGTAATAGATGGTAGGAAAAACACTTTTTAAAAATTTCATTTTGTGTTTAACATATATCGATGTATATGTATTATGGTATGAACATCCACAATCCCATATATTAACGGTAGACAATTCTTGTTTGTAAGTAGCACGTTGTAATTTTCCCTTCGAATTTCTAATTGCGACCAAACTTTCCGTACATTTGGCAGGCGTTCATTGCCATGGCATCAAAACAACAAACGCATCTTCTAATCAAAATGGACGAAGTACCATAGTAATTTTATTTGGACAGAACTAGCCCTTTTGCCTGAAATAACGGTGAAATACCATAACAGGTTGGAACAATAATACCTGTTGTGTCTCTTTCAATGGTTCCTTTGTATGTCCTCTCTCTTTGCTTGTGATGTTTTTTGTGTCAGACATACTGGAAGTGGGCTGTTATAACCCTGAAGCTGCTTGCTGGAAAATATTTGCTCGCAATTGGCGACCCGAAAGACCCCCATTATCTTCATGTGCGGCGTCTTCCTTCTTCAGGTGATTCAATGTAAATAGCATGACTGTTCTCTGAATATGCCATACCTAACTCTTCTTTAATCGAGAAACCTCGGCTAACAAAAATAAAATGAGAACGCATTTGACTAGGGTTACCAACCTACTACATGTTTTTCAAAGGGCACTAATTAGTTATTCAAAATTGATGTCTTTCATTTTTCAAAGCATTGCGGTATTGTCAAAATCAATTTTCAGGATACACATACGTTTTCAAAAGTAAGTTCTAAATGGAAGTAAAACATTCGCTCACGTTGATTTGTAAAACAGATATTTAATGCCATTCAGCGAAAATTTCCAGTGTGCCGTTTACCGTTGCTACATGATACCGCCAGTTTTTGATGGGTACTTTCTACTGCTACTGGGATTTCAAATACGCACGTTTTGATTAAAATAGATGCATAGTTAGTGCTTATTGCCAAGCTACTAATTTGAGCTTAGATATAGTTGAGGCTGCTCTATTGACTTGGAAAGGGTTTTCTTCGCCATATGAGCGTTGAAGCTAATTGCTCATGGGTTCGATCGTATTTAAGTCTGGCCTATATGAATTTGGAATGCATAGCGGTAATTAGTTACTATGGCATTCTTATCCCACATGGCCGATATATGGCAAACTTTACTTCTAAGAGTTTATTGGAGTGCAGCTGATAAAACGTGCCCGACTCTTACGTCAACTTTGCCTGCCTTGTATAATTGTTAAATAAACATCAAAATATTTTAAAACAAATGAATAATCAACCTGCTAGATATTATAAGTTTTTTATTATTTCATACTAGTGATTACAAATGTAAGTGTATATTTTTTGCAGGACCGTTCGAAGTACCGAAGAAATGTCAGTGGGTTATCGACGCTAGCAACGCTTCTACTCAGAACGCGTCCATCGTCGTATATTTCACGCAACTTTTTTTATTCGAAGGTAAATTTGACGACAATTGGAAAACCACTTTTCCAGAATCAAAATCAGGGGTGGCTAGATAAGAATACAGAGTAATTTAGCTCTATTCGTCGTAAAGGCTTGCGGTAACAAATTGTATTACTCTGAAATTCACTTAGTGAATTTAGGGTATGATAATGCGAAAAAATGCTAACACTGATTCTAATTGAGAAATTAATATTAAATGTCGTATAGCATTTTTTAGACAACTCAAAAATACTTTTTACAAAAATTCTGGATTCCTCCTCCGTCGGTTTTTGCTTAGTCGAAATTGCTGACGTTTCGCCAATCATCCTTGACTTTACTAAAACAGTTTCAGTCAAGCTCTGAAGAAGGCAACAGGATGATTGGCGAAACGTCAGCAATTTCGACTAAGCAAAAACCGACGCAGGAGGAATCCAGAAGTTTTGTAAAAAGCATTACAGTAGCCTGTAGAAGTTTCTTTGGAAAATTAATTAAAAAATAATGGAACTACAGAACATCGGAAAAACTTTGTTCATTCATATTAAATTTCTTATATTTATATATTTTATTTTTTCGCAGAGAATTATTATAATGTAGAATATTTCGTCAAAATATTTTAGGTCAAGTTTTCACAGCAATACTTTACGAAATATGTAGGCACAATATTACCCGCTGTCTATTATTCTTAAAATTACTACGATGCGACAAGGGTCAAAGGGACAATAATATCTAAATGTTTGTTTGTAGTAAGACTGCCCAGGAAAAAACATGAAATAATAAAACCATATGACCATATTAGAAAATATAACGGAATTTTCAAAATTATTTTTAGAATTTACTTACTCCACATACTTACCCTTTATAACTCCATCTATTCGATGCTGTTGCGCCGCCAGGATGTCAGTTTTGAAGGAGATGAAATTTATATTGTATTGTCCAAAAATGACCGATATACAAAATATAAATTTAGTTTATTTCTTAAAAATAATTCGAATTTTGTCAATTTTTCGTCAAGTAAATTCCTTTATCGAAATTTTAACAATAATATTTTTTAAGATATAATAATAATAATATAATAATATAATTAAACAAGCAGCATGACGTTGGCGCAACGCTGCATAGCCAACTAAGTGACAATTTTATTTTTATATAACAAGTTATGTAGTTTTTTAAGGATCTTTCTTTTTATGTAATGATATACAGGGTTCCCAGTTTTAAAGAATATAACTTTGATACACTATGCTTTTTTTCATATCCTGTATGTAAATGGGTATGTAATATTAAATCCTACAACGTTTGCATTCAACTTTTTTTTTCCAAAATGTAAAAAAAAGTTAGAGGGGGTTCATATTTATCACCCCTGTATATCGAAAAATCTCCGCTTTTCAGGTTTAAGCTTTACGGAGTACCAGATTTACGGAAACGACTACAAAATTAATCCGAAATTAATCCACAAAGTCAACGAAACGAACATCACCCGAGTGCGATGGATTCAAACTCACCAGGCGTTTCTGGTCATCGAATTGGATGTTCTTTCCTTAGATTCGGCACACCTAAGGGTGTTGGAAAACTTTTTAGATATCTACGGGTTCAACATCACGTACGAGATCACAAGCGCAGAATTAAGAAGTCCTTCCTGTACGATGATGGACTGCGGATTTACCGGCGTCTGTTATGATTATTACACGTAAGTTTTCTACTGTTATGGATGTAAGTTTCAGTAGTGAATTTCTGATCTTCATTCGGCATTTCGAATCAACCATGAAGACTTAAGTACTTGTGCATTTAAACAGGAACGCTTTTACATGGTTGCCAATTTTTCAATGGAAATGTATGAGTAAATTTGAAACGAAAACGCAAAGGCTAAAGAACAAAAACGAACAGGAGTACCGAAGGATAAATTTTGTAATCCAAGAAGAAAGAAATAATACAAGAAAAAATTCCGAGAAAACAGGGCCCTGGCAGAAGAAGAATTTCTTGATTAAAGAACCTCTGTACTTAGAGTACTCTTCAACGTTAACAGGGATTTTTTCACCTGCGGCGAACAAAATTGTTATAGCCTGAAAGATTGCCAACGTCGGGACCGGCTAGGCACTGCATGAAGAAGAATCCAAGAAGCAATTAAGACTATGAAGAAACGGACTACACAATGCAGCGAAGTCGAAGACTTACAGAAAACCACAAAGCAATCAAAAGTTATCTCTAGCCTTATGGAGACAGTGTTCTTCAGGAGCGTAAATTCGTAGGGAAGATTTGCTCTAACTGCTTCGAGTGCGTATTGCATGCGATCTTGTCAAAAAAGAAAAGAAAATCATATTATGGGATCAGCGGAAATAGAAAAATTTCTTACCAAATAGAACAACGAACTTTGTTTATAGGAGTAAACCCGGACGGTCCCGCATGAGACTCAGTGATTTGCTCTTAATATATATCAATGATATTGGCAAGGTAAATAAAACTAAGAAATATCTATTTGCCGATAATACAACAGGAGTGGATTGAAATTAAGATATTGAAGCTGTGGATACAGCTTATCAGACTTTGTGAATGGTTTATTTCAATTGGGTTCCATCTTAATACTTCAAACACAGCAAAAATGGTTATTATTATTAATTAACATTGTGAATAGATTCTTTCCATTCACACTGCCGTAACAGCAGAACAATTATAGACAATATTTTTTATTAACAATCTAAAAGACACTAGTATAATAGCCGTCTAAATCAAGATATAAACGACAATATTTTGCCCCAAAATTCATCAATCACCGTCGAAAATAATATTAAACAAATACTTTCAAATTAAAAAAAAATCTTCATTAAAAAATCTTTCCATACTGTTTAAACACTTATTGATTGTTAAACCATCGCACATTGACCTACTCAGTATTTGGTGCATTGTATTGCATATTTTGTGTATTGTAACCAATTTAAATGTGATTAATGGACAATAGGAGAGCTTTATTTTAATTGAAAATTATGAACTGTTATAAAATATTTTTTATTTGAAAACTTAAATTTATTTTACTTTAGTGGTCCCTTGCCTAAATGTGCTTATTGTCATAACAACAAGAGCATAAATGAGTTTTAGTTTGAAATCTGTGACAGTGTCAATATTGACGACAATAAAAGAAACATACTGAAGTATTATATTAATATAATAACCCCTAAGAGTGGATTATTATGTTAAATATGCAATTACAAGGTGTGACTTTTAGTTTTGGAATAATGTAACTAGACAAGTTATGTATTTACACGATAACATAAAATGGCTACATCTTACAAACAGCCGACTTCCCCCTGCATCTCGTGGTCGTTGATCGCGAGAGTCGATTCGTTAATTTGATTAATAAACTTTACTAAGTAAAGTTTTATTTTAGGGTAAATTTAAATAGGCTTAGAAATAGTTTCACAGAAACTAACGTAAGATACGTTTAAAAAATATGTTTGGTATGAATTCTGTAAATAGTCACTTAACTTGTATATTGGATTTTTTTATTCTGTTCTATTAAGCTGTGAGTAAAAAAATAATCTAAAATTGCCTTTATTTTTATTAGTGCACGCATGAATAAATTCAACAGCAATAATGATACAGCACAGATTTCGCTAGTCGAATAGGTTTTAATATATTCCAGAAAGTTTGCCTGCGAATGTTTTTCGGGCTATGCGGGTCCCAGTTGTTCCGAAGGACCAAAGTCGCTTTGCGACGCCGGGGGATCATCCGCTTGCAAAAATGGAGCAACCTGTTTGTAAGTTTTTAATTAAATCATTACGGCGAGGATATTTTGTTTACTAACAAAGTCAAAAAAGGCACAAGCTATAAAAGTTTTTTTGTCAAAAGAGGGCAAACCTTTTTTATTTTATTTTTTTTAATTCAACGCATTATACTTGCGGCTCTACACTGCAAATTATTTCTAGAATTGACAGATCCTATGGTATTGCAGAAATGAGTGTCCTACTAAAAGTAAAAATGGTGATGATGCAGAAATAAAATAAAAAAAAATTGACGTTATGATTTACAGTTTGATGATTTTACGGAGTATCTCGGGTATTAGAGGGAAGCCGTTTGTTCGACACTGTGCTAATTTTTCGAGAAACAATTTTCATAGCCCTTTACATTTTTGAGATACGGGATGTGTTTGGAAGCTATGAATTTTGGGATACCCCTCGTATCTCGGTTATTCTAAATCTTATTGGAAAAGCAAAAAGCGAATTTGTTGCCGTTTGCACATAGAATTCAGAGCATATTTTTTGATAATATTATTGACTTTTTAAGGAGCATCTCAAAAATGTACGAAACTTTTTATGGTTGTCTTGAATATGAAGCCTAATATTTAAGTTTGGAAAAAAAATCGTTTTTGTTAGTTGGTCATGGCTATTTTAAAAAGAAAATAACTCAGTCCTGTCATATTTGTTTTCCAGTTTTTGTCAGAATACTGGGATTTGTGGTTTTTGTTATTTGTGTCACAAATTTGAATGAATGAATGAATTTGAAAATTGTAAAAAATACAACATGTTAGTTTGGTATATTCAGTATAACAAAAATATGAATCAACCTTTAGAAGTATATTTTCACAGATTTGCATTATTATGTTTTCTTATAGTCAAAACTAATCATCTCTGATATAGATATGCCGAAAGAAGATCCAATAAATCCAAGTAGTTCTTGTAGTAGAAAATCCTGGCCACTGGATTAAAACAAATAGACCTATCAGATGGCCACCCTATTTATTGATTTTGGATTCCTTTCTATACGGCCCAATACCAAACAATGGCAGATTTTAGAAAATAAAACAAACGTAGCGGAGAACAATGGAAGCAACAGTTCCACAAGTCATTAATTTAAGATTTTTCTTTGGCATAATTAAAACGAAGTTTATTGTTTTTTTTTTTTTCATTTTTTTATTCAACAATGACTAGTTTTATTTTTATTTATTTAATTTAGGTTTAATAAAAAATATAGAAATCGTTCTATTAAATTAAATACAGTTTTTTTATAACCTGCCATGCCCAACTATCAAAAACGAATTTTTATGATTTGTAAAGTAAAATACAGGTTTTAGTTATGTAAATTTTTGAGAAATAAAGCAGTATTTCTGAAAAATAAATCGAAATATCTAAAAAAATAACTCGGACTTAAGTGTCCCGTAAGGGAGAGTGCCAATCGAAATAAGATACACAGGGTGATTTATAAACTAAACTGAACGTCCTCATACAAATGTTGTTAATGTCGGGGATCCAAAACGTTCAAAGTTTAAATGTTATTCTGAATTTGCTCATTAATTGGAAAAGTTTTTATATTAATTGTTCGATTTTTCGTAAAAAAGTTATTCTTGTTTATACCTAAGTTTTTGAACTTCAAACAGTTCAAGAAATTTTTTCTGTTTTTTTTTTATTTACTTACAAGATATGGAGGGCACTAAAACAACAAAATAAAAAATAAACAATTTTGTTAATATTAAAAAAAACAAATCAAATGTTGTTTTTGTGTCAACATTTGTCAAATTTACGTCAATAAATTGTATTTACGATTACTGCTTGAAACTGAAAACTACTGCTAGAATTCTTAATCCGGTCAAACTAGATATAAACATAGTAATCACAACAATTTTGAGCGGACTAGAAGATTAGAAAGATTATTGTATTACCAAAAGTAAAATTTTCAGGCACGTTGGAGTATCCGCTATCAAGTGCCATTGCCCGGATGAATTTACCGGAAAACTCTGCGAAGTTCCAAAAGAAAGCGCCAATTTTAAAGGTTATTATTTTGAATTTTGCACTATTGTATCTGTCTGCATTCATTTTTAATCTTAGGTTGCTCTAATTGCTCAAACGTATGCGACTTCACTGACGAGTCGGAAGGTAGATGCAAATGTACAAAGTCAGATACAAAAATAAGTAAGTCTGCTTTAAGAACTATTTACGAATATAGATCTCATTTTTCTTCGTGAAGCATAAGAGACAAAATTAAAGAAATTGACGGCTGAATTAGAATTAGTTAGATAGGATGATTCTGCTCGAGAAAGTTTAACCATTTCTTACTAATCAAGTGGGACATATTATTCCGCTATTTAAGATTACGTATTGTATCTATCGAATTAATGAAATTTTAATGTCGGCTGCAAATGAAATTAGTATCCAAGCAATAACTAGATAAATAAATCAACGGCTTAGTTCAATTTCTTAAATTAATATTATACATATATGATATCTGATTTTAGATCGCCACGGATTCCCAATTACTCTTCATATGGGCAATTTGCCATTACTTGTTGCTGATGACCTGAAAAACTTTATTAGATTGCAGGTATGTTCTGGCTAATTTTAATATCACCTGATACTTGTTTAATGTAGGTAATTGTAACTATACGTAGACATTTTGGCAACTGTAGGACGTAGTGAGTGCAAACCTTCGACTGAATTTTTTGGGATAGGAAAACATATATATACCAGGCTAATCTAAAATTTCAGATTTTTGTTAAATTACAAGTCTCGACAATAAAGATCTCTTCCATTGTTCAATTTGCTAAAAAGTTTGGAAATTACAATGATTGTTGCAAGTGATTTTCTTAGTAGTGTGCAATCAACTGAGATGTTGCGGTGTTCATATAGAAGCAGAGAATATTTTGTTTATACAGGCTGTCTCAGTAAGGGCAACGAGATACGATATTACGGAAATGAAAGAAATTTGAAAAAAAATTAAGTAAATCGGAATACTGGAACTTATTTTTAAGTTTCTAAAATTACCTCCACAATTGATATCTTGATATTTAAACAAAAATTTCTACCTTATCCTCAGATTACCAAATAAAAACCTAATTTATTATTTAGCATAACAAATGATATTTAAAATCAAAAATAATATGATCTAATTTATCTTTATTCCTTTTCTTTTCTTTCCTTTCTTTTCTTTCTTTCTTTTGGCGGATTCACTTAATAATTTTTCATTTTCAAATTTACAGAACCGTTCTTTTCCCTAATACATCGCCTTTACTGGCACACCCGCTATAATTTGAAATAAATCTAGTAGTATAATGCTAAAAATATATAAACAACCAAATGTTTTTCAAGCATAATTATATTTCAGTTGTTAAACCATTTGGAAGGCAATATCGCCAAACCTGAAGATTTAGAAATTACTAACCTGATGTAAGTATTTTCTATGAAATCAATTAAGTTGATTTATTTATCATTGAATTCGTATACAGATATTTTAAATCCGGCGCCGACGTCACATTCAACATTTATGGCTCTAAGAAGGACGAAAAAAAAATTAAAGGCATTATAACCAAATGGTTAGACAAAAGGTTCGTCGGTAACATCACAGTATCAGAAAAAGACGACTCCATTAGCACGCTTTTGTCCCTTCAGGTAAAGTAGTATGACTTCGAAAACTATAGGCAAAATGTTGATGAAACGAGATATTTCGAACAAAATGACAGAAAGAAAATGATTTTATTAGTTTTTCCGTTACCTTAAAAGAATAGAACAAAATATATTACGGAAGTATTGGTGGACATATTTTTTTTAAGAGTCTAGGGGATCGAATTAGACTACCCCTGTCATTCTTAACTAATATTAAGAAAAAAACTATTCAATGACATAAAAAATATATATTTTATTTTACATATTATTTAGGAACTTTTTCGTCTTAAATTTTTTTCATAATACTTAAATATGTCTTAGGTTTAAAATATAAATTAAGGCCTGAACAATATCCGAGTCACATAGAATATATAAAGAAATATAGAAATGACCTTCCAATTATCGTGTGCGTCTTCAACAAATTTATCTAGAAAATCAATTTTCTACCATTCGCAGCATGTATAAGATCAGATAATTTATTAAAATAAGTTACCTCTTTGTTTTCAAGAATCAGACTTAATAAAGGTATTTTTAAGTTTCTAATTAAAATTTCTCAACAAGATGTTAAATTTAAATTTTTTCCTTTTTAGAGTTTGGATATAAATCAATTCGGCGAAATAAATGAAAACGATGAGTTTATACTGAGCTGTGTCGCGAGAGGTTCGCCCACCATGAACTTTCGTTGGTTCAAAGATGGCGCAGCAGTGAACTTGACTATGACAGGGTATGCCCACTAATTTGTAAAAAATAACTATTTTTTATAGTCATTGTTACTGACGTATTGTCACATTCATTCAAGCATACGGAAGCGTAAAATTTAAGTTTAACCAAAACTCATCTCTAACTAACCGTATGCGTTATTTAAAGGTACAAATGGACCAAATTAATCAAGGACCCCCACGTTACTGATCAGTATATGGCAATTCTCGCGGTCGAAAGGGCACAACGCAGCGATGAGGGTACGTTCACTTGCCAAGTGGAAGTTTTTAATTTCCATCAGTGCCTCTCTAAATTCGTGAAAGTGAAAAAAAAGACATCGGTCAAGATCGAGCCGATGAGCTTGACAGTTCGAAAGGTTCGTATCGATTTTTTTTGTTAGTAATGATCGGAGGAAATCCCGAAAAACTTTCAAAAATTTATAGCAAAGTAACACAAAGATTAAACTGATTAAAAATGGTAGCAACTTTAAAAGTGGAACATAAAAAAATCAACTAGACAGCATTTAAAGTAATAATAATAATTAACTTCTTAATTTTAAATGTTCAAATAACTCAAAAATTAAAATTAAAAACTTGGCTAGCACGCTGATGGTCCTTATCATTTACCGATCATAAATATTAAAGTTCCCATAGCATTTTTTTTTTAACTCGGGAATGACGAAATTAGATAATTTTCTTTTTGATTTGGCGATTAATGTTAAATTTGCCAATTGCTAATGTTCTTTAATTATCTTTCGACCAAATTGACGCAAAATAACAAATTCCAAATGGCCTTAGCTTAAAGCTTTTTTATTTTAAAAGCTCATAATTTAGGACCAATAAAAAAGCTTGTTTTACGAACCATTTCCAAGAAAATTCCCCTATTACATTTTCACATCTATGTAAAGGATTTACCTACCAAACTGGTAATAATAGGGTAACCTCCAAATTATGCTGATGATTCAAATATAATTTTTTAAAAAAGTCTAAATCAGAAGTAACACAAGCCGCAAACCAGTGCGTTTCAATAATTTCACCAAGGCACAAATTTTATACTTTTGTGCAAGAGCAAGAGCATCCAAAAAAGTATTCTAGTTCAAGTGGAGGAAAAGTCTATTTCAAAGGTGCTTTCTTAGGAATAAAGCTGGATCAAAAAATAATTCAAATTGATCTCTAATAAGAAATTTGAGGGAATTGGTCGAACTTCTAACTCATTCAGTGTATTTTAATATATGGAATAGCTGACTGGGGCTTGTCTAGTGAAATAAACACTTTGTCAAAAACACAGAAAAAATCTATGTTAGATTCCCATTTGGCTATCTTTTGTTACCGTCACACAAGCAATCGACATTAATTATTTCCAACAAGTCCAAGTTTAACAAAATTCCTTCAGAATTTCTGATGTTATTGACATGTTTTTATTTCCGAAAATGTTCGAACACCTCCATCACTTTTCCTTAATATAAAATTAGTTGAAAATAATTTCTATCATTTTGTTTTGGACATTTTAATTATAAGTTGTTTCACCTCAAAACTATAACATTTACTTTTGATATAGGACGGAGTGTACTTAATTGACCACCCGGTGAGATATATCTCAATATATTTGTAATATTTGAACTAGCGAAATAATTTTTATTCTATTCTATGCCATTCATGCATATAGATCATACAGTCATTTTCTTTCTAAACAGCGATTTCTACACACTTAACTCATTTTCCCAGCATATTTAACGAAATCTAGGCATATTTTGAGGAAATGCTGCCTTATAAATGCCATAGGCTGGACCTCTATTTATTTGATAGCTATATATTCAATGAATTAATGCCCATTAATTTCTGTTTACAAATTATCAAAGCATCGTCAGGAACAAATGAGTATTCCTTAACAAAATTAAGAGTAGAAAGTAGAATTATTAACTAGTAGCCATCTATTAATTTTTAAGATTTATATATTCATAATATTTTAAGAATCACTTAGATTAGAATAAATAATAATTTTTATTTTTTAGGGCCAAAAATTTATAGTCAAATGTGTGACAGATGATGACAGCACCATTCTCGGAAAATATACATACAGTTGGACTAAAAACAAGGAATTGCTCGCTACCCGGACCGAGTTTGAAAAATACGAAATTCTTTATCCTGCGGGGACTATTTTGCAAGTTTTCAATGCAGAGGTATTTTGGATTTTCTTTGCGCTGTTTGAAACAAGTTGTTCCAATAAATGCGCATTTTTTCCGAAACGAATACCGATATCCCTTGTTTAATTTTTTTTATTTTTTTAAATAACAAAAAGGGAAGGAAAAATATTGTTGAGATAGAATTAATTGGACTTCAGTTGCACTTAAAACTTGTTTAACCTTTTTCTGATTTCCCTATCCCTTAAGATTTTTTTTTTTTTTGGATTTTGACTAACCAGTATTTTCATTTCTTTCCATAAATATATTTGTGATATCTGGTGATAATTTCTCATTAATTTAACCGATACAAAAGAAATGTTTCAACAGAACGTAAAATAATGGACCTATCGACTTTTCTATGTGCTAGTTTTACTTTTGTGTTAAGATTGCGGACGTAGCAACTCAATTTATTGTAAAACACTAGTCAGCTACTAACATTTTTTTCCTTTTACAACATTTTGAATGGTCGTGTGGAGTCCTCTGAGATATTAACTAAAATACAATTCAATAATTTTCAACTATTTATTATTCTCTTCAGAAATATTAATAACACCTAAAGATAAGATTTTTTTGAAATCTGGTCAAAAAATTTAATTTGTCCGATTTTTTTTTGTCAAAAATGTTAATTTTGATAGGTAGTTAAAAGCTTTATTTTTGAGGCACAAACTATACCCAGGAATAAAATTTTCTAAAACTCATTAATAAAAAAATCTTCCCCCGGGAAGCGGAATTCAGTGGTGACTCCCAAGAAGCAGAGGGCCATCGAAAAGACATCATTAAGTGTCGAGGAATGACGTGATATATTACGTTGGTTTGACTTGAATTTCTAACTACTTTTCTACTAATGTCACGACGACACGAATGATGTCATTTAAGTAATGTTTTTACATACGGCAACTAAAGTCATCAATTTAAAGTCAGATTTTAGTCATTTATTGCCAAAAAAAATGGTTTTCTCGGTTAAATATTGCCAGAAATTACATCCCAGAAAAACCTGGCTAATAAGCAAATATGAATCTGCAAAAGTTAATTTTTGATGTTTTATTTTTCATAAAATTTGCCATCATTTATCGACGAAATAAGTACTACACTGGCTTTTGTTTTAGCAACTTCGCTTTGATTGACTGATTAAGGTTTTTTATAAGAAAAGAATCAATAAAAACAAAATTTTCCCTTTTGTTTTGGAGTGACGAAAATCAAAAGTAAATCACAGAAAATATTTAAATTAAATATAACGCCTTTTACTGCTGGAGACAAAGCATTAGGTAAAGAATAAATGAACTAAGTCCTAAGAGAACTCTGTTCTGTACACCGTAAATCTTGCTTGTAGTTTCAAATTGGTCTTCTGTAACAGGAAGTGCAGTTGTTTTATATTAAGGCCAAAATACTTTTTTTTTCAGAAGTGCTAATTACCTGGTACGCAATACCACTATCGTTCCGTTTTCTGTAAATTCCACCACTAGATAAACCAGCTTCCTATACCTTCTTGAGCAGCCATTTTATTCCAAGTAGAACAACAACAAACCTTATACTTACAATCCACTTAATTTACATTTTTTTATCGTAATATGGAAGCACCGGTAATACAATATTCTCAACCAATACTCTAATTGCTTTTCTCAGACAAAATACACAAAACTACGGTCCACTGTCGGAAAAAATTTTCCAAGTTCAGCTTTGAATTGACAATAACAGTTCAATTGTTTTCGATAAATGCTTTATTTTTAGGTTCACATATTTCGGCATTCTTCTTCTTCACGTGCCATCTCCGCTGCGAAGGTTGGCAATCATCAATGCAATTCGTATCCTTGAGACTGCAGCACGAAACAATTGGTTGGAGTTACATCCAAACCATTCTCTCAGATTACGCAACCATGACATCCTTCTCCTTCCGATACTCCGTTTACCTTGGATTTTACCTTGCATAATCAGTTGTAGCAATTTATATTTTTCTCCGCGTGTAATATGCCCCAGATACTGCAATTTTCTTATTTTGACCGTATCCATTATTTCACGTTGCTTGTCCATCCTCACAAGTACTTGTTCGTTTGTCATTCTGTCCGTCCAGGATATCCTTAAAATTCTTCGGTACGTCCACATCTCAAAAGCTTCTAGTTTATTCAGGCATTGTTTATTCAAAGTCCAGGCCTCCACGCCATACAAGAGGACCGAGAAAACATAGCATTTAAGCATCCTCACTCTCAAACTTAAGCTCAAATCCCTGCTGCACAACAATTTCCTCATATTATTAAAAGCACTTCTGGACTTTTCTATTCTTATTCTGATTTCTTTGGAATAGTCATTTGTCTCGTTAATGTTCGACCCTAGATAATTATAATTCCTTACTTGTTCTATCTGTTCATTCTTTATATAAAGGTTTGTATTGATAATAGATTTTTTTGTAATTATCATAAATTTAGTTTTCTTTGTATTGAGTGATAGCCCAAACTCTTCGCTTACTTCTACAATTTTGTTCGTAATTCTCTGTAGATCATCCATATTTTCTGCTATTAGCGCGGTGTCATCGGCATATCTAATATTACAAACGGGTAAGCCATTAATCTTTACTCCAGCTGTTTCATCTTGGAGTGCTCTCTTAAATATTTCTTCGGAGTATAGGTTGAACAGAGATGGTGATAAGACACATCCCTGTCTAACACCTCTTTTTATTTTTATTCTGTCTGTCACCTCATTGTGTACCCTTATCACGGCCTCTTGTTGGTAATACAAATTATTTATTATTCTTATGTCTCTAGAGTCAATGTTTTTACTTTTAAGCAGTCTTATGAGTGTTTTATGTTGGACGGTGTCAAATGCCTTATTGTAGTCCAGAAAACAAACGTACACATCCTGATTTACATCTAAGCACCGCTGCGTTAATACGTTGAAGGCAAACAGTGCTTCTCTAGTCCCTAGTCCATTCCTAAAACCGAACTGCGTATCCTCAATATCTATTTCTAACTTTTTATATATTCTGCGATGGATGATTTTCAGAAGTACCTTAAGTATGTGACACATTAAGCTGATGGTACGATGGTCCGAGCACTGTCTTGCGTTGGTCTTTTTGGGGATAGTTATAAATGTTGATTGTAGCCACTCTTTCGGTAAAATTCCAGTTTTGTATACACTGTTGAAGAGATGTGTTAGAAGATGTATGTTATGATTGTCAATGAGTTTAAGAACTTCTGCTGGTATTTCATCCAGTCCCGTAGCTTTCCCGGTTTTCATTTCCTTGATGATGTGTTCTACTTCGTCCTTCGTTATTTCTGGTCCAATATCATCACATACATACTCACTACTTTCTTCATCTCGCTGATCTTCGTACAGTTGTTCTACATAGTTTTTCCATACTTTCAATTTTTCTTTTGTGTCCATAATAATATCTCCATTTTCATCCACCAGCAAGTTGTTATTGTAATTGCGTTTGTTGGTTAACTCTTTAATTCTCTTGTGCGCATTGAAACCATCATGTTTACTTTGTAATTTCTCGATTTCCTCACACTTTTCCCTGTGCCAGTTTTCTTTGGCTTCCCTAATTTTACTTCTGATCTTGCTTTGTAGATATAGGTATTTTTGTTGATCTTTGTTTCTGTATGTTCTTCTCTCGTCCATGAGACCTAATATTTCAGTTGTCATCCATTCCTTTCTTACCTCTGTTTTCTTACTAAGTTGTTCCTTGCATGTTTTTAGTATTTCTGTTTTAAACTGGAGCCAGTTGTTGTTTATATGTTCTTCATTGTTATTTTCTATGCATTGCAAGGTTTGCAATGCCCCATTTATCTTATTTTTCACTCTTTCCCTTGTTTCTGGATTACGCAATTGTCAATTGTATCTTTCTTTGTTCTATGGTGAATTCTTTTTAATTTTATCCTTACTTTTGCAATTAGTGGGTTATGGTTAGAGGGTATATCTGCACCCGGATATGTTTTAACTGACATTATACCATTCCTGTATCTTTCATTGATCATTAAATAATCTATCTGGTTTCTAACTATTTTCTCTTTGCTATCTTGTGGTGATATCCATGTATATAAACGTCTATTAGGTAATTGAAAGCATGTGTTTGTGATAACCATATTTTTCTCTTGGCAGAATTGTACTAACCTTTCACCTCTGTCGTTCCTTTCCCCCAGACCGAAGTTTCCCATTAGATTATTTGTCTTTCCTTTACCAACTTTAGCATTTAGGTCACCCATTATTATTGTTACATCTTTTGCTTTGACTTGTTTCAGTATTTCGTTTATTTGTTCATAAAACATTTCTACTTCCTGATCATCTTTGTCTGCTGTTGGCGCATATACTTGGATTACGTTCATCCTTCCTATGTTCATCCTAAATTGTAGTAACATTACACGTTCTGACAGTGGTACGAAGTTCAGAACATATCGGAAAACATTTTTGTTGATTATTATGCCTACTCCATGTCGGTGCTGAGGGTCGGAGCTACCTGAGTAATATATTAGATGTTGATCTTTCAACTGACATTCTCCACTTCCCGGCCAACGCGTTTCGCTTACACCTAGGATATTGATGTTCATTCTTTGCATTTCCTGGACAATATTATGTGCTTTTCCGGGTTCATACATGCTAGTGACATTCCATGTTCCAATCTTATATGTTTGTTTACTAGTCATTTGACAGGGTTTTCGCATGTTGACGACCTGAGAGGCCCTGTTTCCCCTCCTGCCGGATCTTGACTTCCGAATATCATGATCAGTAAGGTCTTTGGTCTGGTTTATTGCCATGATGATTTTACTAGAGATATCCTATAGGATCTTTACTGTAGTGGCTTCTCCTTTCCTTCTACACCCCAACGCCGTTGACCATCTTAGTGGTTCTTCCGCCTTCGGGGCCAATTTCTCAACCCCAGGACAATGAGTTGCCCTTCCAGTTGCTGGTTCCTCCACCCGAAACTGTTCACCAGCAACTGGGGGACTACTTATACCGGTAGTCACTCGGTCGCCATATCCTCGTCAGTTGAAACAGGGTGCGCCGTACAACTTATGTTGTAACTCGTGAAGGTGAGGTTGGCATTTGTATGCGGGAGGCTATATATTCGCACCACATACCTTACACCCCGGCATTCGGCATTCAGAATATGCTAAATGGGAAATTTCTCTCGTCAAGGTGGCAACATTTTTATTGGCAAGATGAATTGTTTAGCGTGCGGGTCTTCTAGAATATTCCGTGTAATATAATGAATATGTAATTGACTGGGATATTTATATATATAATCATAAAAAGAAAATTCCCAAAATCCACTATTATCCGCTAAGGATATATTATCCTCCATCAAGATTTTAAATAAAAAAATTTGATAATTGCTTATTTATTAAATTTCAAGTACACATCTGCAATTAACCAAGTCAATTTGACATGTTTCGTGGATCGCTGATGAGTAGCGACCACCTATGACTTTAAAATGACTTTCATCACGTCACTTTGCCACCTGAGTGTATAACTTTTAATTTTTTCGCCTCTACTCAATTGATGATAAATTCTATAAGCGCCCTTATCATTTTTTTTTGTTTTAGTGATAACTAAATTTCGTATCATATAATACTTATGTGGTAATTAGTTAGCTCATTCTTAAGAAACTGTAGTATCCAATAAATAAATGTGAGCAAACAAATAAATAAATAAATCAAACAATAATTAAAAATTTTGCAGAAAGACGTTCGATATTCTTGTTTGGTGCAAGATGGCGCCACTTCGATAGAGAGGAACATATACGTCTATGTTATTGATGACAAAAAAGTTCACACCTGTCAACCAGAAGGCAGTTACAATTTGCTGTGGCCTGAAACGGCTCCTAACGCTGATAGCATTCTGGAATGCCCGGAAAATTTTGTCGGCATTACGACCAGGAAATGTATACTGCAGGACGGCACAATACCAGTTTGGGGCCACCCGGATTTTTCCCAGTGCACGCATACATCGATAAGACAATATTATAGAAAGGTAACCATTCACACAATTTAGTTACAGAAATATACATTGTGATTCCGGTTTTAACGCACGAACAAAGATATCAATCAATTGCAAATTTTAGTAAGATTAATATTTTCTGAAGGATCATCATTTTGGTTTCAAAAATCTTTTAAATGCCTAAAATGATGATCTTCGAGGAAATATTAACTACACTAAATTTCAAATCGAGTTCCTTAAAAGTGATCTACAAAGAGTGTCCAAAAAGGCAAATATTCCATAATCATCGTGTATAAATCTAAAATAGTTTTGACATTTTTGTTTGCACCACTTCATATGTCATATAATATGATATAAAAATAATCCTGGGTCGCGAAAGTCGCAACACTCTAGCTTTATCAATATGGGTGATATGCAATAAAACAAAATGATCCACACTGTACAGTAGGTAATTAATATTAATTCTTGCTTTAGTTTGAAGAGTTTACAGCGGGATATTCAGTAACTACGCCAGGCCAAGTGTTAAGTGATTTCCTACACTATATTAAAAACGTACGAAAAAAACGTCTGCTACCAGGGGAGGGATCCGGAATCTTACAACTAACCAAAAATATTGTTAATCTTTTGCCGGTAGTGGGACATCTAAATGGAGATAGCCCGGCTGAGGTCACCTGTACAATATTCGAAATTGTCGATGAAATTTCTTCCATCCCGCAGGCCCTCATCAATCCGGCGGTAAGTACAAAGAACTTCCTACGGAATTATTTGAAGATTGCGGGTCCTTTTAGGATATAAGACTGCTACAAGAGGTGATCGTAAATCACCTGTCTCTAAATTTAAATCTAGTGCGTCGCAGTAACTTGACGGCAGTCAATTCTGTTCTAAACTCGGTCGATGTAAGCGTCATAAACCGAACAAGCCATACCATTTCGATACTAGGCACACCGAAAAGCGTCAAGTAAGATTCTATCGATACATCGATTTTCGTTCTGTATACAGTAGGTTTCACGAAATATTTTCACAAATAAATCGTTTTGGCTTATGGAATGCAATAAAGCTAGCTGTGCCGCACAGTAGCGCGAAATGTGAAAATAACGAAAAGAAAACCGTTATCTTACCAAATGATCAACGTATCAAGCTCGAATTGGTCTTATTTTTGCTAAAGCTTTCACACCCACATTTAAACACGCCCTACGGCGGTATACGGAATTTTAATAGACTGATGCGTTTTTTCAATATGCGAAAATATGACTAATCGTGCATAAAATCCTAGTAGAACTGAAGAATAAATAAATATCCAATTTAAATAAATAATGAAAATAGTCAAGATCAAGTAAGTAGCTATTGTAATGACATTTTCAGAAAGCGGGATCGAATTTTGCCTACTTTGATGCTGCCCCGTAACGAGTCGGATGCTGCCAGCGTATTGGCGAGAATCGTTTATGGAAATTTCTCAACATTTTTTCCTCTGAAATCATTTTTAAGGATAGTGTAAGTTAAAAATGGTCTAAGTCTAATATGATATCTAATAACTCGATAATAGGGTAATCTAGTTGGTTTTTGAAAAAGTAGAATAGGATAGAACTTGGCGTTCTATTCGTGTTGTTTCGCAAAAATGTATCCAAAAACTAACGGTCGTAGAAAAAGTATAGTATGCAACATGTTCGGTAAACTTTTTAAGTCACTCGTTTATTAAAAACTCGTGAGTCAAATGCCGTTTACCGCACTTGTTGCAATATACTACTAACAAACTAAGAGGGTAATTTAGAAAAATTCTTGAAAAAAAACGGGTTGTTTTATAATAGTTAAATTGTCGAGATAAAATTGCAATACTTTATACATGAGCAGAGAGTGTTGAGTCAAACTTACTTAACATTTCTATTTGTTAATCCTTTCTCGTTCTCATTTATCGATTGAATTTTTTATTTTATTTTAAAAAATATCTATTTGCATTTATGTTCAGAATCGATAAGTAATTTTTAGTTTTAGGTATAGGCACTCTTGTTGTCTATTGTTAACCGGAATATGGTAATGTATTATACACGGCAACTGTTATGTGAAAACTATAACAATGAAAAAGTTGAAATTTTGCATTTATACCAATGTGGACATGTGGCTAAAATATTTCATTATTTTGTTACGAAAATAAGTTGCATTTCATTCCCAAAATGGTGTCCGTTTGGAAAAAGATAGTTTAATTTAACTTTGTATGTGCTTGCCAAAATCGTTAAAGAAGGCTTTTCCGCATAGATATTTGTCAGAAAATATAGTCTTGCGTATTCCCGGAAAAATTTACAGATGGGTCTGCAAACGATATTTTTGACAGAAAACATTAAATATCCAAATACTTGTAGAACATTGAAAATATATCTACTCGTAAAATGCAGCGTACCGAAAGCACCATATATACTCATATAGACTCAATTTCTCAACGTTTGCTAGTTACAGTTTTTCCATATTTTTCCACAGATGCCATACTTTATAGAGGAGTTCATCAAGATAAACTGACCCTTAAATGAAGTGTTGGCCAATTTTGACTTGCTATAACTCGGAAACTTCTTTGCCATTAATCGATTTTCAGCCGGTGTTGCAAAGAGTTGTTGCAAGTGTTGTTGGTCTACGTGTTAGTAATATCGGATTTGTTGGTCAGTTTTGGTTAGTAGTCACTACGTTAATACGTCAGGACGTACCTTTGCTAAGAAACCTTGTGGAATTTCCATCCAGTAATAACTTGTAAATAAAATAATCAAAACCAAAGACGTGCAAACGGAGCTTATATAATAAAACAGTTATTCAAGCTAGAGTAGAGTCAAAGCTTTACTTATTAGATGTTGATGTTTGAATGTTCGCCATTTATTTTAGAACATTAACTAAAATTTTAAAAAATGAGAAAAGCTGTGTTCTTTTTGACTGATTGCTTCTGAATGACAAAATCAAACTTAAGCTTTATAAAGAATATAATCATTAGTGTTATAACACCTTAGAATCTGTAACTCTCGATTTAACTGTCATAATGTTACAAGGTTCAAATAAAATATTTTTTCTTCCCTTTTTAATGCCTCTGTTTTCGATTATTTTTTTTACAAGTTATTACTCGATGAAGTTTAAGCACTATCTGTTATTGCTAATTTAAAATGAAAACATAATTTAATCAAAACTTTGTTTTTTATAACATGGCCAGAAAAATATGGTGTTGGTGTAAGGTGAATATGAAGTTGAACTAGTGATTCACCCAACACCATGAAGACATTTTCCAAGACTTTAATAAATGTTCAAATTATAGTCTTATACTAGTCAAAATTAGACAACTTCTTAGGAATTCTGAGGAACCCGCAGATGCGTAACAACCGCGAAACGTTTTAGGGACGGGACAGAAGTCGGCTACGAAATATTTTCTCAAGTAGTAACCGTAGTATCCTTAACGAAATCAGAGCAAAAAGGAGAGTTTGTCGTCGTTTTTACACACAGCGTTACTGCGCAGCTCGCAAAAAATGGAAAACGGGCCATAAAATGCGGCTACGCAGACGAAAGGATGTTCGCTTACACATGGGACATTTTTCCTTGCTTCGCACAAAGTGTCGACCATGTGACCACTAAATGTCGCTGTTCGAAGTACGGTTCGGTGGTGCTGCTACTTATTGCTCAATCGGAGGTGAGAATAAAAATATACTGTGTCACATAGAGATTGCATGATTGCAGCTGATTGATGCTTGTATTTTTGTGGACAAGTAACAACTTTGTTATTTTAAATAGAACAGCCTATACACATTTCATATATAAAATCCTATCTTACGGTTTTGGTGTGTGAATTACATGTCAAATATGATGTTTGCAGATCTAAACACATCTATCGATTTCTCAAGCTGAAAACCTTTGTTTGTTTCTTATGCAAGAAAATCACTTCCGTAATCTGTTTTAATATTTTAGAAATGAATAAATATAGGGTAATCAAAAAGTTGCCTTGTCTAACAAAATTATTTTTATTGTTAATCCAATGCCAACAACTAGCTGTCATGTTGGATCACTTATGAACTTACTTAATATATTGCCCCTCATTATTCTTTTACGATGTTCGAATAATTCTGTACATTCAGTGATTGAGAAAGTTATTATTTTAAATGTACACTATAAGATTTAAGATAAAATAGGAAGTGAATGTTTTTTTTAATTAAATTAAGTAAGATAAGCGGTAGTGGTAATTTTGTTTTATATTTTTGAGTTTAGCTACTTAACTATATATTTTACGTGTTAAGTACCTCAACATTATATTATCTGCTCTAATATACATTGTAACATTTAAAGGCTTGCAGGGACAGATGTGACTAGATACAAATTCATAAGTTTTTCGTATAATCATCGGTTCCGTACAAATATTTTAAAGCTAAATTTAATTGCCGATAAGAAGGGAAAGATTTTTTTTTAGTATAGATGTCTATGCCAGGAACAGAGATTTTTGAAGTGTGATGCAAAACGGATCCTTTGGTTAAGAAAAATTGCGCTATTTTGTTTTACGTTTTGGAAAAATTACAACCGAACGGTTGTTGCGATGACTGAAACAGTTTTGATGATGTCAAATTTTGGTATAGAGGGTACACAAAAACTATGAAGACTTTTAAAATCAAAATAATAAAAAAAAAACTTTAGTTAAAAATTGTAACTGCTCAATTTTTATTGGAATCTTCCGAAGGTTCTTCACAAGTTTTGTTTATAGTGATGCGATTTTTTTTGAGTTATTGAAAAATGATATTTTTTGTATATTTTGAACACTTTCAATAAAAACGACCAAACCAAGTTTCTGAGAAACTATCCTGCGTTGTAATATAAAATATAATATAAAAAAATAAAAATTCAAATGGAAATGTAGTAAACCTAAAATAAAAATGTAGCCACCAAAATTAAACTTTTCCTAATACTTAAGGATATAAGGAACAAAATTGTTTGGAACTACTTTTTTGAGACACCCTGGTGATATCAATTTTGACATAACATTAATATAAAATTTTACTTTACTTAAAGTCAAGAAGAAATGATAGTTCCTCGGATGACCAAGAATGTTATGATTTTTTTTTACTCTGGTAAAATTAAATTTTTTCCTTTTTATCAGTACCCTACCAGGACGCCTTTGCACACCATTAAATGCATAATACATAAATTGATCCAAACCCGAGTGGTACTATCTGCACTCGATAACAAAAAGAAATTTGTAATTAAACCAATAACAATGAAAGTTGCTTAAGTATTCATTGACCATTTCGCAGTCCTTTTATATAACCAATAAGGCGTTATTAATCTGCACGGTCTAAAATAGACTATAGCCCCTAAAAACGGCTGTTTTCTAAATCTTTGCGTTTTCTAACAAATGTTATTCAATTGATAAAATTATGAACTATTGGTGAAATTACTCAAAGAATCACATTCTGACGTCTGTGCTGAAGACACACATTGTAAAAATTGGAAAATAAAACATTTCCCACTTATAATTTTATTTTTGCCCATAAAGTCATAAACTAGCAAAAAAAAAGTCATTTTAGTCACTAAGACAATAATAATTATTATAAAATTTATCATTGCAGATATTGGAAAGATCCGACACCCCGCAGAACTACATTTTACTTCTAGGAAGTTTGATCGGGATAATGTTTACGCTAATAGCTACGTCGTGTGTTGGAATATCTTGCTTTCTAGTTAGAGGAGGCTCTTACGGTTTAGCTCTGGAACTTCAATGTTCATTCGCCACGTTTGTTTTTCAAGTTCTCTTCACGATGGCCGTCATTTTGGAACCTCCTCAGGTATTGCAGCACACAGTCATGAAGTTATACAGACGGGAATAACGATTGATTATTTACCAGAGTTCTTCGTTAAAATGTTTTAGCAATATCTAATGGTGTTTATTACTTTTCTCGAAATGTTCTCGTTAGTGGCGATATCGAGCAATCTCAGTAAAGTGCTCGTAGTGTTTACTGAACTAATTGAAATTCCTAAAGCTCAAACATCAAAATTTACGGTGACGGGAATTATATCAGGTATGTTAGATTTATATGGTGGAAAGTAGTCTATTATCGTATACATTTTAGTTTTTCTTAGCAAAAAAATCTTAATTTTGACGTAGAGCTTCTACATGTTGGCAAACCTTAATGTTTTCTTATATGATATGATAATATAGAAAAATTGTAATTTTAAAAATGGGTTCGAAAAGCTATTTATTATTCTAAAGAACAAAATGACAATATTCTCAAATGACGCATTGACTCCCCCGCCACTTAACTCAGAAACTGCGAACGCTAGAAAAATAGTGAAACAGAAAAGTTGCATAGATTCAACTAGATTTTTTATTTTAATACTTTCAATCTGAAGAAACCAACTGGATGATTGGCGAAACGTTAGCTAGTTCAACTCAACAAAAACCGACGCAAGAGGAATCCAGAAGTTTTATAAAAAGTAAATCAAAAAGACGTTTGCTTGTCCTAAAATAATAAACAATTCTTGCTATTCGGAAACCGTATTTATTAATAATTATAATTTTCAATTTATTTTATTTATTGATAATAAAAATTATTTAATTTGTACATACTGGGCGACAATAAAATACAAAAATTAAGCTATATATTACGGTAAAAGTCAATTTTTTCAAATGGACACTCCCTATTTTTACAATTTTCTGCGATTTATCATAAAAAATAAGGTGACTTTGTATAGTTGTCTGTTCCAGAAATTTATAGTTTCCGAAATAATTGGCAATTCAACATTTTCCTATTGTAATAATGCTATAATACGGCTGTTAAGTTTTTGATTATACCATAATAACTGAAGCTCTAAACCACCGAACATCTACGTAAAATAGTGTTATATTTAGAATTTTTACCTATTTTTTTCTTATATTGTTTATAAGTTAACTAATAATATTCTATTTAATGGATTTTCTCTAAGCAAATAAAGCTTATTTAATATTATTGTTATTAATATAATAAAATAATTAGTCTTACCTCATGGAAATTACACTGAAGTAGGAATGTAAAAATTTTGACAGCACACAATTTCATTCACAGCACACTAGCGAGAAAGTGTTTGTAAGGATCTGTAATTTTATCAGAAATTGTCGGCTTAGGTGAGCTTTTCATCGCCATAGAAATACAAAGAAATACAATGATAACCGGTATTAGGTACCTATGCGATATTAGGCTACTTTCCTCCACTTATTTGAATTGATTAAAAATGACTTTAAAAGCCTTTCGGCAAATTTGTTGAAAAGTGTGTATTTTTATTCTTTAAGTTCAGTGGCGTGCATATTTCGTTCGTTTGTCAATTCGCTGGTAGGTTCGTGTTCAAATGTTTCATGTTTTAAAAGTGATATGGCAAAATAATACGATTTTTAAAAGAAATTGCTTTTATTTCGAAAATCTTACCAGTTCATAGATAGATAAATAGAATACAGGGTGACCAGATGAAAATATAAAGTGGAGGCTCTTCCTCATCGAGATGGTAAAAAGAGCTAAAGTGGTCAAAAGGAGTACGTTGGAAAATATTTCCAGATTGCCAAAATGGCCGCCTGTGGCGTAAAAGTGATAAAAATATAAATAACATAAAAAAAAACAAATAAAATTAAAAAAAATTATCCGTTTATACAAAAGTGTTGAATGGTCGCCAAAAATAAAATATAGGTTTTTGTTTATTTAAACAAATTTTTAATGAAACAGTCAGAATCTCGGAAAAAACAAGTCAGAATTTCTGACAACTAGCACTGAACTGGAAGTACTAGACAACAAATTTTCATGATTAAGCTGAACATGTCTCATACAAATGTCGCTGGTTCTTATTCTAAATTTTTTCATTAATTGACAAAATATGTAGTATAATAATAAAAATTGTCAGCTTTAGATTTGTTGACTATTATGTCCTTGAACGCGCTAGTGTCACCTATCTGTCGAGTTCAAGTTGGAACATAACGGAAAGGTAGTCTAACTATGTCGGTTTTTGATTTAAAAACTTAAAGGTGTTTTTTCTGATGTTTTAATAGATACTTAAAAGATTAAAAAGTAGGCAAAGCAATAAAAAAAACAATATTTAGCAATAACGTAATAGTAATAAAAATAATTCAAATTTAGTGTTGCAATTTCATAATATTTGGTTCTCTAGTTTAGAGACTTCCCATTCTTTATGAAATCCCTTACGAGAGACATATCAGAAATTCTGACTTATTTTTGCCTAATTAAACTAAAACCTATATTTAATTTTTGGTGCCTTTTCAGCGCTTTCGTATTCTTGTACAGCCGACCAAAAATACTGTTAAACCAATTATCAAAGTTATTAAATATTGATTATCACATAAAAAAGTGGCGCCACATTAAGTGAATATTAAATATGGAAGACAGCCGGCTTATTAAGTTAAAATAAAAATGACGAGCGATTTATAAGCAGAGTTGCCCCAAATAGCGAGCTTGGTTAACCGTAGCCGAATCTATGACCTGGTCGGGTAAGTTTAAGTGTTTTATATGTTTATATTTCTGTGCAAGAGTGTGAAAACCGCTAGAAAACACTTTAAGGAAAATACGACCAATTATAAAAAAAAAACTGGAGCGACTCCTTTTTAAATCATTCATCAATCAATCAATCATTATGAGCTTTTTCTTAAGTTAAAATGAACCTTAGATGAAAACAAACATGGTTTCTTTAAAGAAAGATGCTTCCTGATACGGCCTCTTATTTACAAAAAATAGTTGGCAATTTTGAAAGGGGGCGGGGGGGAAGGACGGACTCTGTGTACAGCATACGGACTCTTCCAAGGCGGTTGATAAAGTTGTTCGTCTTACCTTGTCGGTGAAGCTTAGAACTTAATATGCGACAATTAATAATGAACAGTCGAACGTGGGCAGTGGTAGATCGGGTGTTCCCCAGAGATCACATTCGGGACGATTGCTCTTTAGTATTTTTCCATTCGATATTGGCGAGTGCTTTTTACATGCAGATTATGGGGTTCTACGCAGACGATCTAAAGTTTTATCGTACTGTCAACAAACTGTTCAAAGTTTCCAAGCTAATTTGAATAGATTAAATCTAAGAAATAATTAATTCTTAGAGTAATGGTTAAACATTTTTTTTAGTGTTTAATATACTTTCACACCTATTCTGCAAAGAATTAGCATTTGTTTTTGTTAACTGGTGCTATACTTTAAAGTTCACAATACGTCTATTGGGGTAGCTTTTTGGAAATAAATAAAATAAATACAGGATGTTTCAAAAATATACGCCCATTCTCTGCTGAACATATGTCATCTAAAAGAAAGACAGAGAGTTGCTATAAACCTAGGTCCAAAAATGTCTAGTTTGCAAGGTGCGGGGTGTTCTGTATTTAAAAAAAAACTGCGTGTGCTAAAATCCTTACGTCATACATGATTTTCAACATTTTCTTTAGTATTAAGGAATTGCATCTTGGGCTGGGTTTATTAAAAATCAATGTCTTATTTTCTTTATGATTCAGAAATTTACAGCCATCCAGTTTGCAATCTGGCCACCCTGTGTATCATTCCACCCGAAAAAATGACTTTTCACCAATTTTGTATCAGGCAATTAAATTATTATTTTTGAAACCCCCTGTACTTATAATTCATATATCGAATATCAGAACAAGATATCTCATTTAAAAAATCAAAATTGTGCGTAGTTTTTGGTTCAACCGGCCACACTGCGATTCCAGAACGTCTAATCAATTTTTCGATTCGAATTTTACATCAAAATTATTTCTTATTGCTAATATTTCCCTTAGTGAAGCGTGCTCTATGTTCCACTACACCCACTGTACCCACTACACTATCTGGAAATCTAAGCGAGATGGAGCAAAAAGTTGATTTCACAGATTTTATAGTCATAGTTGCACAGGACGTCTCGAATTCGCGGTACCTTTAGATTTTTAAATAAGACATCACATATTTTTGTTTATTCTTCAATTCTTTGGCAAAAATTAACCTCTATCTATTTGAATTTATTATTTATATATCTTCTGGATTTCTCCTGCTTCGGTTGTTGATGAATGAAACTGTTAGTTTCCTCAGAACTGTTTGCATTCTACTCTGTACCTGCTTATATACTGTATACTTATATATAGTTTGAATAGCTAAGCTTATTTTTGACAAAATATTAAAAAATGACCTGGTATAGCGTATATATGAAATTATAAAACTTTTTTATTTAACTTAATCCTTCCCCCCCGCCCTCCCGGCCGCGATAGATTTGCAGATGGTATAGTTGGAAATTTTATGTGAACAAGGCAAGGCGAACTCTGTATCAAATCAATTTATGGTTTTTCAGGAGTTCCTCTTATAACAGTTTTCGCAAACCACTTAACTTACAGAACGATGAACAAGAAATTCGAATCTTGGTGGATGGTAGCGAACTCGCTCTCTTTTAACATTTACATCATCGTTCTGTCAATTGTAACCTTGATGTTCGCTTTTATTTATCTGGTGGTGATTAAAAAACTCCAGCAGTTGTTCGCTCTCCACGAAACTCATCGGCAAGCTATTCAGAAGAGGTAAATCTGGTCCATATTAAACAATCAAGGCAAATTTGTCAACGAGTGTTACTTTCAGGATGACTTTGGTGAATCAAACCGGATGTGTATTCATCTCTATAATGGGGTTCACGATTAGCAGTGTTATTTACGTTAACTACAACCACTCCATTTGGAATACGTACCAGTTTACCATCGCCAGTCTCAGCATGGTACGTACCAACTCCAGAAGCTTGTAGTTGTATACTCTGTTTCTTAATGCGAAAGAGTTATATCATTGTTAATTGGAAAACATAGTGGCCGCATTTTATAGACGTAGTATTGTATTGTCAAGGATCAAGAGTGGCAAATAAGCGGACAATTAGATAAACTACCTCAGGGTTTAGAATTAGAATTATCGTTATTTTCAGGCAAAATTAATTTTTGAAAAGGACTAGTGTTTCCGAATTTATTTCTGAGAAACTGATTAATAAAGTTGTTCGCCACATATAACTCAACATTCGGAGTTACAAAAATAGTTTAAATGAATGGAACCCTAATAAGTGCGTCGAACATGTGATTAAAATAGAAGAAAGGAAGTGAAAAGCTGGAAAACAAAACCCTTTTATTATTTCTCTGGACTCTAAGGACTATAGTTCACCCGACTACTTTAAACTTGACGGCATGATAAAATTTACAAATAAAGTTGTATTGGAAATAGTCAATTTTCTTAAATAATAATATTTATTAGAATTTACCTATTTTCGTATTATTTTTACTTCTAATATAAGTTTTTATCTACTAGATCTTAGAATAATCAATATCTCAATTATCTGCCTATCTGTGTAATTATAATCTAATATAATTATCATTATATTAATTGTTTCAATAAACTAACTGTAGTAAAGCCGCTGTCAAATTACTTTCATTGACTAAACTCGGCTTCTATTGTATATAATTTACATGAACTTTACGATATAACATTTAAGTTGTTCACCCTGATTAATGATCCCTGTCAATGTAAATTTACATGTTATTACTCTCTGGCATTACGAAACTAGGTATAGTAGTAGACAACGATTATTAAGATACTTTTTAAAATCGTCTCGCGTTGTGCGTTTTAGGGATCGAGCTTGCTAATATTTCACGTGATTACTTCGGAAAATAAACTGAGTCATATAATAAAATGGAGAAATGAGAAAGACAACAGTTTACTGTTAACAGAGCTCACCGGTAAACCTCTGAACTGTAAGTATTTCTCTCTAACACTATCAGTAAAGGCGTTAAATAGGACTAACGGGGAATTGAAAAATGAAATAACATACAGGGTGTTTTACTTAAAATAGGAAATCCGCTATTTACCCCAAATGAATGAAACACCCTGTTTATATATATATATATATATATATATATATATATATATATATATATATATATATATATATATATATATATATATATATATATATATATATATATATATATATATATATATATATATATATATATATATATATATATATATATATATATATATATATATATATATATATATATATATAAATAAATATAGATGAAACTATGAAACATTTCTATTCAACTTTTTTTTTATCGTTTATAGTCTCTGAGTTAAGGGGGTAGGGATGTCATGTACTATGTCTGCTTTTGCTTATTTCATGTGTTACGTACACGGTGTGCCAAATAAAACAATCCACTATATGATCTGAAAACCCATAGGAGATACAAAAAAAAGTTTCGTACAAGTTTCCTGGATTCTCTTGAAGATTTAAAATATTATAATTTTGTTGATACAGGGTGTCCCAAAAGTGTCCCTTCCGACATCAACTTTGTTATTTTAAATGGAACACCCTGTATATATCAACATTTTTTAAATCCTTGGTCACTTTATTAAGGAATTCCTATTTAAATTCTGCATAATTTAGGCAGAAATTGAGGTTATGTGTTTTTTTTTTCATATTTTGATTGCCCCGTTTAAAATTGTGTTGTTAGGCTACGCAGGTAATGCAAGTAAAATTTGACAACAAACTAAGGAGATGATGCACTACTCAATCAGTTTAACAGATGCGCCTCAGCTTATACAGGGTGCCCCAAACAGCTGGTGCCGTTATGGCGAATTCAATAAACAAAATCTCAAGATTTTTCTTATATTTAATTTTTACTTACTTTTTGAGTTATTCGAGGTTTCAGATAACACCCGTATAAATTCTTGTTAAATTTAAAGCTGCCCATTAGGTCACTTGTTGCCAATATTAGGTATTTTTTTCATAGCAAAGACATGATACTACTTCTTTTAAAGATATAATACTCCATACTTTTTAAGTAGAAATATGAAAAACAACAGAAACAAACAGAAATGTCAAAGTTTGTTTAGATCTTAATGCGTCAAAAAAAATGATTGTGATGTCATAGCCAAGTTCATTTTTAAATATTTTGATATTTCTTTGTTGTTTTGATGCCAGATGGAACGAGCATTTTAAGAGGAACTAAACTTTATGGATCAAATTAAGGAACTCTTTTTAGTTCACTTTTTGTTTTATACATTTATTATTCAAATTTCTTACGTTGCTTAGTTAGCCTCTAAACTTTAATTATTTCCTTTTGTTATTAAGTATTTTCAATCAAGGTAGATAATTCACTATTAAATGTTTCTTTAAACATGAATCCTGATTTATTAAATCTGTTAAAGTGTGTGGTAGAAAGTCGATTTTTTTCAAAATTCCCAAGTATTAATGGGCACCTTGTATTGTGACCTAATGTGGGCAGCTTTAAATTCAACAAGAATTTATACGGGTGTTATCTTAAACCTCAGATATCTTAAAAAGTAAGTAAAATTTAAATGTAGGTTAAAATATAAACTTACCTTATTTTTCATCTATTATCATCTCCTTGGTCTGTGGTTAAATTTTCGTTGCAATACCTCAGTATCAGTAGCATCACAACATAATTTTATATGGGGCAATCAAAATATAATAAAAACACATAACCTTAATTTCTGCCTAAACTATGCAAAATTCGAATAAGAATTTCTTAAGAAAATGAAATTTATTTATTATACAGAGTGTTCCATTTAATATAACAAAGTTCTTGTGGGGGACACTTTTGGGACACCCTGTATCAACAAAGTTGTAATATTTTAAATCTTCTGGAGAGTCCAAGAAACTTTTTTTCGTATCTCCTATGGGTTTCCAGATCGTATAGTTATCGTTTTATTTGGCACACGGTGTACAAATCGAATACATGTTTCATAGGCGGTACAGTTATTTTCTTGCTTCTTGTTTTCTTGTTTTGAGTACTTCTGCTGTAGATTAAAAACGGTAGATTAAAAAAAAACACTCAAGAGACATCGGAATATGGTTTTCATTACTCTAAATGTGTGTCATATCTCTTTGATTTAATTATTTAAAATGCAATTACCAAAAAAATTAATATTGTTACATTGTAATCTTACTCGTCCCTCTCAGGAATTATTTTCCATTCATTTGGACGAAAACTAAGGAAGAATAAACATGCAAAGCAACGGGTTTAATAAAGGAAATAAGTTTTAAGGCCATAGGCGTATATCTAGAAAATGATTTAAAACCTTAATCCAACAGAACAATTACCAACACCAAGTTTTACCAAATATCCAACAAACAAGGGAATTTGCACTCAAAAATGTTATTTTTTAAAAGCAGTTGAACGTCTAATATTTTCTCACAAAAAATCTGTCATTCGACCCGTTTTTTTACACTCGCCCCGCATATTTGATTTCAGTTCTCGTACGCCAACAAGCTGCCAAGTCGGAGAACGAAAACGCGCCTGGTGCCAAACTCGAGAACCGGCAGTTCTGCCTGAACTCGATAGAGGGCGCTAAGGCGGTCGACAATTTCCAAAACGGCACCAAGTCCTTCGAATATTTTCAAATGAGCGCTATTTTCCGCGGCGAAACCCGCAAAGAGACGGTCGTCACGAGAGACGCTCAGCCTGCTACGGACTCGCGCAGCTTAGACGCGCAGAGGCAGAGCAATCCGGAAAACGACGGGAAATTGCACTCGCCCGACATATTGACGACGAAAATGTGCGTGGAATTAGATCTGGTAGCTTCCAGCATACACGTGACGGAAACTAACGCTGTCGAGGGGAACGATAGCGAAAGGTGCGGACATTTTTTTCCTCAGCTGACGACATTTAAGGAGGCGTCAGTAGAAAGTGAAGTTAGAAACGACAGCAAAGAAAATACGTTTCTTAAAGCGGCAGTCGAAAATGAGGTGAGAAACGACGGCAAGGAAGACGCATTACACAACCAAGCGTCTTATCCAAAGATCGTGATTACAGACATCGATAGAAAATTCGAAGATGCAGAAGAAGAGATTTTGAAACTTAATCCTCCATTCGAGGACGACAGTCTGAGCGGCGTTTTAGATAGCATTTCGCAAGATTTGGATTACTTGCTGAACCGGAATGATTCTGCCTCGGAATCGGTGTCGAGTTTGTGCCAAAAGAGGATTTGCGCGAACAAAATGGCGATCAGTTAATGTTCCGTTAATGGTTGACGCGCTGTTGTTGTAGACGTTGTTTTGTTTCGTTAAAACATGTCCAAATTGCTCAGAAAGTCTTTTTTTACGACGTAGACCAGCGACAGATAGACCTCTTGGGTGAATTTTAAATTGGAGACAAAACATCATATGTCCTTTTCTAATAATAATAATAATAGTTTTTATTGAGATATTTAAAATTCTTGCACAAAATATTTGACAACTGTTCATATAAAGGTTAATACGTAAAAACTGCAACAGTTAATTGTAACACTGATTTGTGAAAACCTTTTCTTTTTGAGAAGAAATCTAAGATTTAGAATGGACATCAACCCTACACAGATATCCACTCCGACTCTAGGTGTAAGATTATGTTCCACACAAAACTCTACATCTTTAAATAGTTTAAAACTGGCCTTGTTATTTGTTATAAAATTTTCATTTTCTTGGAGATTGCATACAGTGACAAACCTTTGTACATAAATTTGATGTCGATAGGCTTCGTGATCGAAATACTATTTTAGGAGCCTGTCGATACTCATTCTAAATAGCTTTATCAGAATATTTAGACACATTTGAAGTATAGTGGCTTTTAACTTTTAACTCAAATCGCAAGACAGCAAAAGGAGATTTCGGCAACAGGAAACGTTTGCAGAAGTTAGGTTGCTTTTTTCCAATAATATCAAAATAGTGTAAACCCCAAAGAGCAATGCCACTAAAAAACAACTGAGGATGGTACTATTAAAAACCTCTAGGAGATAAGTTTAGATTTGTAAAACAAGGTTCTGTATGTTGTTGGGTCTGTGTTACAAAAGATTTTGTCATTTCCCTAACAAAAGAAAAAGAGGATACAGTAACTCCACCTATTTTTTTTTAATTATAGCTAAAGCAACGTTCACATTTGTAAGAATTATAAGATATATCCAGAATGTTTTTCGTCCCTAGAAGAGCTTTGTGAAGTTCATACTGAAGCACTGAACGATTCTTCAATTATGTTAGTAAAGAATATTTCGTAACCTTGAATACAAAAGTTCCTAGTAAAAATTGGTATTTAGTTTTGAGCTTGAGCCATTTCAATTCAAATATTTTTTCTGATATACGACCGAACTTTCTCTAACCATTAACGAATCGGGCAGAGCTGTTGTAATTTTTTTTAACTGGTGTTATCAGCAACGGATAGTACAATGGAATACAGAATTTAAGTTTAGAATTCAATATTATATATAAGTTATATAAATGTAGCCACTATAGCTCAATTGACCATCCAACTTTTTTTTGTTTTTTTGCTTAGTCGTTTCCAGGAGCAAATAGCATAAATTGTTTATTTTTAGATTTCAGCTAACAATTGTTTTTTACTATGACCTGCTGAAGTCAATCTTAGTTTTATTTCGGAAGAAAATTATTTCTATTAAAATTAAATCTTGCCCAGAGCCCTTGTGCGAGCCGGCGTTATTAACCTAACTTAAACTATTTTTTTGCGTGTTTGGAGCAGTTTGGTGTTTTTTAATACTGTAAACCAGACATCGGATTTAAGATTAACTCTTCCGATTTAAATAAACAAATTTAAACTAATTACAACGGTAGGCATTCACGAGACTTTGGCAATCGTCAAATTATAAAAGATGAGTTGTGTTAAATACTTCAATAGTTAGCGAAATTAGTCTCCAACAATTGATTAGCTACTGAGCTAGTGATTAAACCTGATTTTTAATATTAAATATTTTCGCTGCGGTGTAATTTGGTGCCCTTCGACCGTATTGTAAAGGTATATAATAACATATTACTTTAATTTAAAAAATAGATCGCTTCAAAAGTGGAGTTAGATAGAAAACTACTTTTATTTTGAAGATTTTAAAATTAACATGATATATAAATTCAAAAATCCTTTGATAATTATGAGAATATTTGGATAATTAACAGCACTTTTTTATACGACGAAAGAATTATATATTTTTTTTTATCATTTGCTGAACCGAAATGATGCGGCCCGAGTCGATGTCGAGTTGGTGCCACAAGAGGATTTGTGCAAACAAATGGCGATCAGTTAATATACGTTTCATAGTGGATGCGCAGTTAAAACACGCCTGAATTGCTCAGAAAGTCTTTTTTTAGCGACTGATGGACCTCTCACTTGAATTTAAAAGTTGAGGTTAAACAAAAAATTATGTCTATTAAAATTAGGGAATTCTAACCAAATTAACCAAAACTTAAAACTATTTCACATGACAGGTTGTTCCCAGTCTGCTCCTACAGATCCCACCGTAATGTAAAAGTTGTAATAGTTAGCAGTCGGTCTTGTTTGTGTCCATGTGTGTCGCACGGTTTCTCCGAGGGGTATCGGTTTCTTTTGGAATCGGTCAAAGTTCAAGTCGTTATATCAAATCATAACAAAAATAACAAGGAAAAATAATGTCAGTAATAATAATGTCGAACGGGATAATTTAGTGCCCTTAAATAATAAAGTTTCATTGATTGAAACTACTTTTATTTTAAAACAATTAATATTAACATGATATATGAATTGAAGACATTTTTAATTAACTATGAAAATATTAGATAATAAAGGGGGTATTGATCGGCACGTACAAGCAGAGGGAGAAATGGTTCGATATGCAGGTTGTCCCGTTTAAAAAATTAAAATTTACGCTATTTTTCGATACAAGCGGCAACACCGCGAAATTGACAACAGTCAAAAACCTACGTAACCTCATGTACTGTGACATCTTACGTACCATCAAAATGTCCAGTGCTTCATCCGACACGCTGTATGTTACTTTGACAGGGCAAAAAAATAAATACACCTACCAATTCCTATAATAAATATATTTAAAAAAAGAACGTATCGATTATTTCATATTTTCGGATCGGTCGCTTTCAAGTTGGCGAATTTCTCCGAGAGCTCCCACAGCTTCTTCGCTTTCGACATGTCCGAAACACCGGCGTTCAACTGCCTTTCCTTACAGTCCATAAAATACCTGCCAGTCACATTCGCCACCTCTTCGGAACAGGCCAGAAAAACGCTCGTCTGACACCCTGAAATCGACGAAACGACAAATTGTAATTTAGAATTTTTAATTAAATAATAATTGATGCTAATCGTATTTCTAACCGAAAACGGAATTCGATTAGTTTTGTTTCCTATTTCTAATTAATCTTCGATGCGCCCCACCGAATAATGCATCCAAAGTAAAAACCAAAATTGTTGTTAACAAATAAGCCTACATGTTTATTTGAAACTAATTTAACATTTTTAACATTCCCTTTTGAATAACAGGCTGTGAAAACATACCTAAATGAAAATCGTAATTTAGACGGGAACCATAACCTATTAGATAATACAGTGGCCCTAGGACGCTAAAAATTATTGAGTGCCAGGGCTGATATTTATCTAGAGTATCTCACCTTTTCAAATCACGAGAACGCAATATTTTTTGTCTCCATTATCCCATATATACTGTGTGCATCCCTCTCGTTGCAAGCCATGGCTCAGAGTTCAGACATTACAAAAGTCTTATAAAATGTGTCCCAAAGTATGTCGTCTGGACTTTTGACGAACCCTCTCCCAAAAGTAGTCACGACTTTCATACCTATTCTTATTGGGGAGTCCCAACTATCGAAAAATTGATTCATAGGTGAGGGGTTGAGGTAGGTAGACCACATGTCGGCTGATATCAGTGGCACTCCGAAGAAGCTTCTTACGAGTATATCCCTCATTTTTAAATATATAAAGAGCTTTAAAAGAAAACTGCCTAATCACAAAAGTACTAATATCTTCGATAAATTAGATTGTTAACAGTGAATTATTGAAAACAGAAGAAAACGTAGATCTTCTGGATAATGGTGGGCGAAATGTGATAAAAAGGAAAATTTATTAAAACCAGAGTGGTAATACTTTCGATAAACTGAAAAATGAAGCTAGAAAAAGATAAACTAATAAAATGACTAGCGTTCCACCCTCCACAGATTTGCTTGTAAAATGAGATTTAAATGCAGAAAAATAGATAAATTGCACACTTGGAAATAAAGAATATTAAGGACTCTGGACTATCATGAAGTTACAAGTACAAAACTTTTTGAAAACTGATTTCAAAATCATCTTTTAAAACATATTCCGTATAACAATATGTATGTGATAACATTCCTGAGAAATAGTTGAAAATAGGTAGGAATTGTAATAAAACTCAACATAACTCACAATAAACCTTCCTCAATAATCCAACAATAAAGCAATATAAAGGGTGTGTCATCTAAATTAAAAATGTTGATGGCGACTTCCGGTGTAACCGGAAGTACTATGATCTTGAAAATATTTTTAAATGCGAGAAAATCTTGAATAATCCTACTGAGAATTTCATAGCTCTAAATTTTTCCTGAACCCAAAAGTACTAACAAACTGCTAAGGTGAAAAACCCGATAATGACTAACACCAACTTGTAAATGAGCTACTAATCTTTGCAGTTTTTGTGTTATATGAGAATTCATGTTTTTATTCAGTGCTTTCACGTATTCAGGTTATTGAAGTTGATAGCAAATACTAGGTATTTTCAAACTCTCCGTTAATTAACCAAAAAAAAGTATATAGTTTTAATCTATCCTATCTACCCTTAAGCTTAAAACTATACTTTTTTTTTGGTCAGTTGAAAATAAAAATTACTCACGTTTTTTTGAGGAAAAATTTAGCAACATAGAATTGTTTGTCCCTGATTTATTTCTGTTAACCCATTTCCAGAACACGGGTTTTTCGTATCAAGAGAAAGTTTCAGGGAATAGAGATAAACTTTTTCCTTTTTTCAACAGTAACATTACAGCTTGGAGATTAATGTACATAGTCACCCCAGTTTTTGTTAGTTAAGAAAAGTTTTTCTTATTCATAAAAATATCTAACGAACGACATACTATACTATATTTTTCACTTCCACAAACGGACTTGCGTCTGGAAAATCGCAGAAATAAAAAACATACCTTGCTTGGGAGTTTTAAAAAACAGTTTGATGATCAGCTTTAAGGGCCAGTTGAAGGGCACCGGAACGTTCCTCCAAATGCCCGAGTCGATCATTCCGGGATGCAAACAGTTCGCCGTAACTCCGCTACCCTCCAGACGCCTGGCCAGTTCCAGTGTGAAAGAAATATTAGCTGTTTTCGATGGGTAATATATGTACGGCGGGAACCACGACCTTTCCGGATTGATTTTGTTCAGATTCAACGAAGCCAACCTATAAAGCTCGGATGCGACTATCACCACGCGAGATGGCGACGATCTTTTCAACAAATCTGGAACGAACGCGGCAATAATATTTATTTTTTAATTATAGGCTATTTAACGAAAGTGTAGAGTAAAAAAATGGAAAAGCCCGTCAGATACTCGTTGTAGCTCGGTTATGCATAAACTTATCTAAAATTTTTGATATATATTTGATACTTTACAACCAAGTCATTCTTTATAAAAACTTTTGCTTGTTTAAAAAAAATCACGATAAAGAATATGATAGATTAGAGGTACAGGATGTTAAGCGATTAGAAAAATATGAAAATGCTTCAAGAGAGAAACACCATTCCTCTCCAAATGTGTGTCCAATCCCGGGTGGTACTACTTAGACTGGGTAAAAATTATTATAGTATTAATTGGGGTACTTCCTCAGCAGACCTATTCAGGTTTATTACTTTTACTGCTTTATTACCTTTTTGGAGTACTATGAACCCTGAGAAACTTATTGTTTAAAAAACGTAAACGCAGAACTAACCGATTAACAAATGCGTTAATAAGAAGGGACCGAAATGATTTGTGGCCATCGTGAGCTCCAGTCCGTCTTCAGTTTTGATCAATTTTTTTTCGGCCGTGCCGGCATTGTGAATGAGAACGTCCAATCTCGACTCTGTCCGTAAAATATCTTCGGCGAATTTCCGGATCGACGCTTGAGAGGACAGGTCTAGCTCTTTAACGATGACGTTCTCGTTCTTCGTAGATTCGACAATCTCATCTGAAGAGAACGAACGTAATTAAACAAATTTACGTTTGTATCTGCATTTACATAAGTAACCTACCAAAACGACATTCACTTTAGAACTACCGCTAATGTTTTAGAAAAATCCGCAAATTACATTTTTAGGTCCTCTTAAAAATGTCTATAAAAAAAGGTCACACACGCTCGAAACCTCATACCTAACGCTTACTTAATTATGAATACATATGACTAAATTAACATGGAATTAAAATAAAAAGTATTTAAAACTAAATAAATATGTATCTTACCCCGAGCGGCCTTGGCGGTCACAATGTTTCGACATGCCATAATGACCCTCGCCCCCCTTTGGGCGATTTCTCTACAAGTTTCCTTACCGATACCTCCATTGGCGCCTGTTATAATTACCGTTTTGCCGTTCATTTTCACTTTGTCCCTGAAACATGTCATAATAGCGAACCACTATAAATGGAATATTTCATTTCAAAGGTGTAAAAAGAGTTTGCATATCATCATAATACTGATAATACAGGAACTAATGAAGCAACTATGATTTTTTTTTTAGTAAGTCTATCCATTAGGCATATAGGCACCTGAAGCCTGTATTAGTAAAATCTCGTGCTAATATCAGATATTTGTGTTGATTTATTTTTACTAAATGATGCATATAAAATTATACGAGACTAAATATCTAGAAATTATCGAACAAAATTTAAAACTTAACTTCCATTTCTTAATTATTGTCAATTGATTGTGCTTAAATCTATATTAAAACCCGACATTGTAGCAAGTTCTAGTTCACTCAAAAAATGAATATGACATACGCTACCTCCGGAAAATAAAGAAGATTTTTTACATGTTACATTGCATTCATGATATAAACAGAAAGAAACCATCGCTTGAAAGGAGTTTGCCAAACAATTAATTTAGCAGTCATGTAATGCTTTTTCCATATAGTATACATATTTATTGGACTGAATATTAATATCATATGTCAGTTATTTGGTTGTTAATTTACTTACTATAAGAATAAATAGTTATTATTTAAAACTAAATTAAGCAACATATACAAACTATGCCTAGCACAGAAAAATAACGAGAAGAAACAGGAATAGAAAAGAAAAGATCTCCTCTAAGCGGAAAAATATATTTTTGACAAAGTCACACATTATCTTTAATACCATTTGTTCTAGATAACCCCGATGAAACTGCGGAAGAAATTATGCTCTTAACAAATTTACAACAGCGCTGTTTTTGATTGCCCCAAAGAGACGTAAAAGTAGGCAAATTAGTTTACGTGTCGATTGTAGGAAAAGAAAATAAATAAACTATGTACAATAACCAAGGCCAATTTAGCTTCTAGAAAGTAGAAGCTTTATAACTTTAAAAAATATTATATAATTATTATTTAATATTTGAAATTGTTTTAAATAATAATTGTATTCTAATATGAAGTATGTTCTAGCACTTTCAACACTTGTTTTGTTCAAATACCGTCATAGCCATCTTATACTAACTTATACGGCCACAGCATATTATTTGTGATAAATAGATGTTTAAATGGAAATATTTCAAAAAGTAAAAATATAAGACATATACAACCCGATATAAAATATGACAAAATTATAAAAATTTCTTATGAAATCCGTTATTCGAGCGAGTGCTTTGGCTACAACGAAACTTACTCAAGTGAAACAATAAATGCTTCCGAATGAAGAAATTTTCAGATATTTTACGTCTCGCAAACATCAACGGTTAGACTTAGATACAGGACATTATACGCAAAATATGTCTAGAATTTTATACAGAATTGAACGATGAAGTAATATGCCAGGTGTTCCATTAAAATATTATTAAAAATTAAAATAAATTAAAGGCTTGTAATAACCTCAATTAACTTTTGTATTTAACTTTTGACTCCATCCCCTATAATTTCTTTAATAAGGCCCACCCTTTACATCTTACATCTTACGTCTACGGTATAGATTCATTTTATTTTCGGGAGAAAGATAAACTTTATTTAGGGCAAAAAGTCGTTGTTTACTCACCTAAAATATCCGCACGTAATAAATGCATAAAACTTCAATAGCGACACCGCAGTCAGCAGACCAATCAAAAGGACGGAACTTACGATAAGCAATAATTCGCAAACTTCGCAGCCAAGGATGTTCATTCTGAAAGAGAGGATGTGTACATTACGAAAACATACATTTTACGAACTTGCAAACAAAGCACGAACTCAACGCAAAGTGAATAGACATTTTTTCAGTGATGTGGATGTCTTTGGAGTAAAACAACATAATACAAAAGAATAAATACATCATATCAAACGAACTAAATTTTTAAGACCCGCTTGTAGCAATATATAACTTTTAACTAAAATAAATCTATCCACCAGTGACGTAACGCAGAACTCCTCATTTATACAGATATTACAATAATAACTGAATAGGTGAAACGTTTACCTTGCGGCCAGACCTAGTACCAGTCAGAGCAACGAGGTCCGGTACTTAATCCGTCAAGAGAAAATACTGGAAATTATTGTCGAGCCTCTGTGATCTCCAGGGGCGAAATTGATATCTTTAATTTTAAAGCTCTGTCAAATATTAACGAAGCTGAGGATAAGTGGTGAGGGGTGTTCGAATTTTTTCTAAAATAAATGTCCATATCTCCAAAAGGGTTTAACGCATTTTAATAAACTTGCTATAAAAAAGATAAATGCAACGAAATGATTTTTTAGATAGTCGATAGTCGAATAAGGGCCCAATAACTTACAATACTATTAAACGGACTTGAGGATCAAACAAAAAATGGATTTTTTGGATTTACCAAATAAATTGCTAATATATTATTTCATATGCCAAATGATATTTAAAATCAAAATAAAATTTTGTTTTTCTGTTATTCTTTTTACACTACCTTTGCTTCAGTTACGCAATAGCTCACATTACTACGTTTTGGTATCGTTGCCCGTTTTCAGTTGATTTATTATTATAAGTTGTTTAAGATCAACCAATTTTATTAACTATTGAATTATTCATTTAGTAAAATGTGTATTGTGTATTATTATTCGTTTCTAACTCGTCGATTTCTTCTAGGCATTGGATTACGATCTGTTTAAATAAAGACATTTTTAATGCAATAAACATTTAGCGAACTTAAAATAATCAATAGACTTTGATAAGCATCAAATAACGGCATATGGAGTGTTGCGTTAAATAAAGCCATGGCAATCTTAATAATTAGAAATGAATTATTTCTGTCCAAAAATACGTCAATAGTATATAAAATTAGTTAGTCGCCAACAATTGATTAGAGATTAGTTTTTTTTAAATCACTGATAAAACTGAATGTTGAAAATGAGTAAGTATATAAAAATGCAATAATGTTAGCTAAGCTGAAATTCGAAGGTATTTTAGTTTGATTTTAAATGTAATTTAACATCCTAAATAATAAATTAGCAGTTTATTTAGTAAATACGTATTAATTAGACATTTTTTAAGCCTTAAAATCATTTATTCCTATTTCCCTGGGTTGTTGGACCTTGTTTGATTATCCAATGACATAAAAAAGTCACATCGTTGAACTTATTTTTTTCTGCATTTTTTTTGGCAATTTTCAGAAAGCACCGCACGTCCGTTTCGCTTATACCGTACCTCGTTGCCTTTACTGAGATTTCCGGTATGTTCCGATAATTTTAATACGTAACATTTCCACACAATTTTGCTTACCTCCGTTCAAACGCACTCTCCAAGAACGGTGTTTGTGCGACAATTTTACAAACTCAACAGTACGAGACGTGACGTGTGAATAACCTGTTTCAAGCACGCTACCTTGACTGCTTCGTAAGATTCTTCCTCGGGTTAAGAAACTTTCACCTTCGAGTATTATTTCTACGACTTGGTGGATCTGCAACGGGTCTGCACTGCGCTTTACTCCCCGTTGACTATGACATAAATATTGACGTCGATTTAATCGTTCTTTTCCTAATGGGCAATTGATGTGCGAATATTGAGTTTCTAATGCAAAAAAAATAATTATAAGTGGTCACCATGAACTGTGAGAAAAAAACTTGTTCCTGATCAGGCAAAGGCCACGCCATTTATTAATACGAGCGATAAACAATTTATGGCGTACGTCGTTTTATGCAAGGCGAAAATAGTTGTTTTTGTTGACGATTTGTGACGATAAAGTTCTATCACAATCTTCCCACTCTAGAGGTTGTGCGGAGGCGGTTGAAGATTTTTTCTACAAATTGCCCACGTCAATAAATCAAGATGATCATGTTGTTTATTCAAATAAACATAAAATCATCTACAAAAATGATCCTTATATTTTTTCTATGAATCACCATTCCTGAGATATCGGGTTCCTAAAAGTAGTTAAAAGTTAAGTAGTTATCATACCAACTTTCATTCACATATACTGCGTATCTCAGGCAAATGTTTAAAAATGCCTGTTGATATTATATGTTTAAATAAATAAAAAGTTCGGCGAATTTTTATTTATACAAATGCCAATTTTACATGCAAAGATATAAATCAAGCAATAAATCAAAGAAGGAAAACGGTAAAAAAAAAATATTAAATAAAGAGAACTGATTAACAATTTAGGTAGTTCCTCCCAAGAAATAATTTTTTAAATGAAATTTAACCGATGTATACGAGAAGCAGCTTTTTGTCATGGACTTCTTAATTTTAGGTATGTCATATGTCAAGAAAACAAGCAAAATGCAATTCTTCTCGGCTCGACATATTTAACCACTTTAAATCTAGAAGATTATGACTTACATGATCTCTTCGTTTAAGGTTATAAATAAATCGAATCCATGAATTCTGTACTTTTTGTAATTTATATTTTGTCAAAACATCCAAGCAGGGTCCAAAGACAAAATTACAGTATTTTTTTTTAATTTAAAGTTTAGAATATCTTTACTTTTATAGATGTTGTGGAGATTAATATAAGTGTTTTGGAGAATTTTGCAAACTTGTGTACGAAATCTAAGTTCATTATCAAAGGTGATGCCCAAGTTTTTACATTCGCCAACAGCTGGAATTTTAACCTTATTTATAAAGATAACCAAGTTTTGGGCGGCCCAGTACTTAGCGGGGACAAAATATATTAATGCGGACTTTGCGGAATTTCAAGCCAGGATCATTTGAGTATTTAAAAACCGGTTCCAAGCATGTATTTCGTCTCTTTGCCGCTTCCACTGCATCAGACCGAGAAAAGAAATATGTATTTGCGTCTCATGAGCATACCTGTGACCAGTGAACTCACCAAAGCAACCCCACATATCTTGTATGTAAATAATGAAAAAAAAGATGTCTTAATAATGAGCTTTGAGGGACCCCCCTGTCAACATCAAAGGCTTTCGATCTAATATTGTCAATCTAAACTGTGCCGTATGCATTGGATTTCAATCCTACCATGGCCCAGACAACTCATGCCGATGTACATTTTGTACTAACATCTTTGACAATAGTATCAAAGTCAACAGTATAAAGAATCTGATGCACCTAATCATCAAAATATGGATTAATGAGCTCAGGATTCCTCAGATGTTCAGGACTATCGACGTGCTTCTTTGATCTGCTGTAGATGTTCAGATGGTCAATAGTCAATCCAAATCTCTTTTGACTTTTTTGTACGACTAACATACTCAATATAAGATTTATTTCAGCCGTACAGCCGAGGTGAAAAGATTTCTAATTTCCTTATAGGCCTCCCAGTTTTGTACATTTTTATTACGCTTATATTTCGAGAGATGATTGCGATATTCTTTCATTATACACAAAGCGTCGGTAAACCAAGGAGCAGGCGGTCTCGTTACCCGTTTTTCAGTTATTGGTACGTGATAGTTAAAAAGAGTTATGATCATGTCAAAAAGCATAGCAGTCTTCTGGCTTATATTAACACAATCAAAGACTTGCCACCAAGGTAGATTTACTAGATCTCTTTGAAAAATATCCATATTAAATTGTTTAAAATTTCGTTATCTAATAATTTTTTATTCGAACGCAGAAATTTCTACATTCAGAGAGCAGTAAATTAATTGGTGATCCGACTGATCGTGCATATCATGTCATGAATATGGCCACTTAACAAACGGTCATCGGACAGAATAATAACGTCAATCAAGCGCACCTTATCTCTGATATATAGTGGGATTGAGAACCATCTGCTTGCAGTTAAATGCGTCAAGAAGGTTATCAAACTGATGAGTTAAGAGAGCTATGTAATTCTGACAATCTTGTTTCACGAGAGACGAAGGAGTCTCTGAGTTAAGTGAATATAGTTCTAGTTTAACTAACCCTTCTTTGATAGCTTTCTTCAAGTTTATGATTGAAATGCTATGCCATCTTGTACAATAACTTAAGACTTCTGTTCTCATGTTTCTCATGATTGCACAACTTACCCTGTTTAATTTTGTTCATACAGTTTGTACATGTGGATCAAATCACTATGAAAAATTATACAATTGAACAGCAGGTCTAAATGATTGAAATTTATTATCAAAATGAATGTTCTTTAGTAAAAACTTTGCGCGGGTTGCGCCTATTTTACGGCTTTCGCGGAGGGCGTTCAAAATTGACTCTGCAACGCTTGGTAACTAAATTTATTCGGTTACTAATCAGCCAACGCCGCTACGTCAAAAAAAAAACGCCTGGTAAGCTGAACACATCGCGGCTGTTCATGCAACTGTGCAGGAGAACCTGAGGTAATCAATTCCTCGCCGCGCACAAGAACCTGGTCTGTCCCAGACTTCAACATCGCAAATTTCGCGCCGTTGGCTATGTTAACAACCATAATTTAGGTAGCAATGCATCCACAAAAAGTAACTCTTTGGTGTGGATTTTGGAGTGGCGGTGTTACTGGTCCCTATTTTTTTTTTAAAACGATGTTGACGAGGACATTACCGTCAACGGCGATCGTTACAGAACAATGATAACCAATTACTTTTGGTCCAAATTGAACGATGTGAACACCAACAACATGTGGTTCCAGCAGGATGGGACCACCTGCCATACAGAACATTTTGATGGTATGATTATCTCTCACAGAGATGACGTAATTTGACCAAGATCGTGCGATTTGACTCCGCTAGACTTTTTCTTGTCGGGTTTTGTAAAGTCGCAATCTACGATCAACTTAACCCAAGCAATCGCCCAAACTCAGCCGGAACTATCTGCAAGAGTCATTGAAAATTGACCACTCAGCTCCGTGTCTCCGTAAGAAGCCGCGGCGCAGATTTAAAGCTTATTATTATTTTTATTTTATTATTTCGACATTGACCAGTCCTTATTCAAAAACCCTCTATTTTGTCAATGCTTTCTCCTTATACTAAAATGTCCGTGCAGCTTGAAAAATGTGTCAATATAGTATTTCCACTCGTTGGGTAGGTCGTTCGAATAAAAAATGAATAAAATTTTGAGAATTAGCAGATATTCCTTTTATTTACCAGCTGCACGGGAGTACTAAAAACGGTTTCCACAATGACGACAACCACATCAGAGAATATTTTCTAACTTCAATAGAAATCTAACAGAACGTGGACCGCTCTCGGGGGCAATGAAGGACTATGGGAAATTATTATTATGATTCTCTTCACATTATTATATAAATTACTTTGGAAAGAAAAAGTTTTGCTGTTAAGCAGTGTATTTTTGAAACCTATTTTTCATGGTCAATTCTAGTGATATCAATCACATTCCAATTTTATAAGAAAAAATTTGTTGGAGCTTTTGTTACCTGTTACGCTCTGACCCAAATTTGACCTCTATACTACGTTAAAATTTCAAAACTTTCTCTCAACCTGTTTCGCAAATATTAATACAAAACCATTTTCATGTAAATTCTTGTGGCTCCGTTAGGTGGCGTTTTTCGACAACAAGTGTGATAAGCGGTATTTGACTCACGAGTTTATTTCGCAACGAGCGGAGCGCATCGGAGCGGGTGCTTAATAAACGAGTAAGATAAAGACTTTACCAAACTTGCTGTCTTTTTGTTGTACTTTTTTATACTTTTTCTACCATCGTCACGAAAAAAATCACAATTTAACAAATTCAAAATAATAACAGATTATCGCATTACTAAATGTAGTCAAGGAAATGTCCAAAGTGGCTCGGATTCGAGCGAAACGAAACTGGTAAAGTGACACTTCCCGCACTCTAGATCGGTGTGTAATTAGGCATTTTACAGACGGGAGTAGAAAAATGCTGTTACAGACGGAAGTAAAGTACTTCGGACTTTTCCGGGATTATACCTCACGGATTTGGGAGCAATAGGATGTTTTCGGAAATATTTCCCACCCTTTGAATTTTGACGTCTGTCAATTCTGACGGTCATGTCAGTCGATGTATTCGCGTTGTTTTGCGAAAATGTAGGTGCCCTAAAATTAACGGTCGTAGAAAAAGTATAGTATGCAACAAGTTCGGTAATAGTACATTATGCAACAAGTGCGGTAAACGGCATTTGACTCACGAGTTTATTTGACACGAGCGGAGCGAGTTTTTAATAAACAAGTGAGTTAAATAGTTTACCGACCGTTAGTTTTTGGGTACATTTTCGCAAAACACGAATACATTCACTGACATGACCGTTAGAATTGACAAGCGTCAAAATTCAATGCGTGGGAAATATCTCCGAAAACATCCGATTGCTCCCAAATCCGTGCGGTAAAATCCCGGAAATGTCCGAAGTGGCTCGAATTCATGGGAAACGAAACTGACGTGGTAAAGTGACGCTTGCCGCACGCTAGATCGGTGGGTAATTAGGTATTTTACAGACGGGAGTAGAAAAACTTTTTAACTCACTCGTTTATTAAAAACTCGCTCCGCTGCACTCCGCTCGCGTCAAATAAACTCGTGAATCAAATGCCGTTTACCGCACTTGTTGCATAATACACTATAACAGCGGTGGGCGGGTAAATATAGTATAGAAAGATTAGTTAATTTGGTTAATTAAAATCTAATTTCAAGTAGGAAAGTTCTAGTTTGAATATTAATTCAGAACTAATATCAATTAACATGGACCTGAAAAACCAGAGCTAATAGATAAAATCTGATGCAATTTTTGGAATCAGTGCATTAAAAACCTCTAAAATCACATATCCGACAACACCTTTTTTTTAATTTTAATACCCTACGATTTTTTCGCAGGTTAATTTGGCAATCGTTTCAAGAGCAATTGAGAACAGAAAAGTGAAAACTTTGGCGCGAAAAATGTCGCATAGCAAGCAACTTATGGACAAAACAAATCAAATTGTTGGCCTTTGCAAAAGCCGATGTTCATGCGGATAGTAAATAAAGGTAAGAAAACAATAGAGACTGGATAACAATTTATTTTTTAATACTTATTAGAACACATAACCAAACTTTTGTTAGTACCTCCGCTCCTAAGTTTAAGATTTCATGAAAAGTTCAGTCGAAATAAAAATGGAATGTACCTAACATCGTTTCAAATCGCGATTTACATTTGATTCAATATTCAATTTTGCATTAGAAAAATCAAACAACTCGTTTTGAATTATTCTTAGAGTCGAAAATAACTTTGCCCGCTCCTCATGGAAAATAGATGTTTTTAATTTAAAAAAAAATTATATACAAAAATTATTAAAAATAAATTTTAAAGAACTATTGTTGAATAAATTAAAAAAATTAAGCAGTTTTTACATATTAATAATGTATCATGCATAATGAATAACAATAAAATAACAATGTTGAAAATGTACAATAAAATTTGGTAAAAGTTATGTGGGTTTTTCTGCTTTATTTGATTTAAAAGCTGGATGAACCAACAAAAACTAGACCATAGAAAACAAAGTACAAAAATAATATTCCGAGTTACTGAAATTTAAAAAAAAATGAGAGTACCATAAATGAAGTCTCTTCTCAACCAAACAGGTCGGCGAATTCTTCTAAAATTTTCTAAACCAAATTTTATTATTCAAAACAGGGTATACAAAATATCTATCGCTATAAACTCAACAATAAAGTCAACACAATTAAGACATCTAAATATTGTATTATTATACATATAATCTAAATAAATTATATTACAATTATCGTTTAAGAGAAAATGGTACATATATTTTATTCAGTTTATTTTAAAAAGTCATCTCCATATCTCATTTTCCGGAAAAAGTTTTGGTTCTACTAGAGAAATGAAAACACATATTTAAGTTTATACTTATTAGGGAGTAAAAGTAGTCTACAGGCTATTTCAGAAAATTGTAGAATCATAAAATGATAACTTCCATCATATTCCGCCCAATTTGCATGCCGGTCATAGGCGTAGATAAACTTTGTAAATAAAAGTAGGGTCTTTAAAACAAATAATAACATACCTTGCCAAGATTGCAATTTTTATATTTAAATTAATTTTAAATTTAAGATTTAAGACTTACAAGGTACTCTTAAATTATTTTTTTATTATTCAAAAGAGAAACCCTTACTGATAAAGATTAAAAAGAAAAAAAAGAGTAGAGTGGAGCAAAAACATAAATTATGGTCTCCGAACTAATGGATCTTCATCATTTGGAAGAATGGTTGGTGATATTAGGAGTCGTGTCACAAGGGCTAAAAAAGTGTTTCAGAAGTTAAGTTTCAGACTTCTGTTATGATTTGGGGATTCATGTTCATATCTTCCAAAAAGATGGTGCCCGTTGCCATACGGCTAAAAAAGTAAAAGATTGGATGTTAGAAAAAATGTTAGAGTAATGCAGAAATCTATCGCCGATTGAAACCGTATCACGGAAAAAAAGCTCCAACCGAATCTCGCAAGAACCATTCTAGAGTTGAGAACCAGTATCCAAAAAACTTCGAACAGATGAGTTGAGCCAAATATTTCATGGAGACAAAGCTCGTATTAGAGGCGACAGTGAAAGATTGATCCTGCCTAAGTATTTTAAAGTTAAATCTTAGTACATAACTTGGCAACGGTAGGTTTTATAAGTTTTAATTATGTATAGATCGGTTTGTAAACATTTGTTTGTGTTTGGAAATTTTGACGCTACAAGGTGTGAAAAAAAGTAACAGGATAGCATAACCTCAAAATTTGCCCCTGTAAATTTCCTGGTTTAAAATGCCACAGTTACGTATAGGGAATTTGTTTATATCTTTGTTTGTATCTTTGATATTTGCATATTTTATCGTTCTAACTCATCAACAAGTCTTCCTTCATAACAAAGAAAACATCTAATCATATTTGAAAACAACTCTCATAACGAGTGAGACACTTAAAATGATGTACATAATGCCTAATTGTTATTGCGTTAAAATAAAATTCTTTCTTTTGCAAGAATATGATACTGGAAAGACTTTAGCACGGTATTTTCAGATAACAACAGGAAAAACCCACAAGTTAACCCAAACCGGATGGTACTACCTGCACTAGATAACAAGTATTTTGCAATAAAATCAATTCCAAAGAATGATACAGCTTAAGTATTCATTAGGTCACTCTGTAGTCCCTCTGCGCAGTTACACGCCAAACTTTCTGAAATAGACTATAGTAGACAAATATTTTATACTATCAACTTAACTGGGACAAAACCCAACCCTTAAACCAAAACGATTCCAAACACATTAATTAATAAGGAAATAAGGATTAAATACCTATAGAGAGATTGGTTCATATAGAGCTTGATATTGGAATATGATGAGCACTATGCACCATCCCTTACTAATTTCGTTTAACACTAATAATAAAAAAAGTACATAAACCCTCTGTCAGCCATGTAAGACTAAAATTGAACCCAATTTGTATTTGTCGAGGAAGCCTGTGATGTTTCACTGCAAAAGTGAAAAAAAAAACACTTACACAACAGTATTTTTAAAACAACTCGACTATTGTTAAAAATAAGGGTGTACAGTAACAACATGAAATTGAAGTATTCATCCATTCTTTCAGATACTGGATTAAATATATTAAATTTATATTTTGACAAATGATACTGTAGATTTCGTGTAGAATTTAATTTCAAAATTTAACTAATTATGTAATTAATGAAAAGAATTAACCAACTTCCGAAATTAAATATATATTTTTTCAAATTTTTAAGTAATTCAAATATTTATAATTAACATAATTAGTAATTAATAATTCTACAATTTGATTAAATTAATTATTATAATAAATTAATAATTTAATATAATTATTAATTAATTAACATTCATTTATTTATTTATTTATAAGTTGATCAATTCACTAAATTATTTAATTATAAATTGAAAATTTTTACAAGCACGATAACTCACCCCAGCTGAGCTGATTTGAAATCTCCCCAGGAATCGTTACTCGTTTGAGGTTCCTGTCTAATATGCGCGGGTGAGTTCCCTGGAGAAACCCCAGGTTGAGCCGGGGCTTTTCCACTGGGTGGTGGAGGCAGCAGCCCCAGCCCCACATTTGGAGTTGTTTTCAATTTTGCCTTTGAATTTTCCGCACCGTCCTTCTTCTAAATAATAGGAGAGTGACACACAAATCGTGTATATCAAGGACATATATATTATATAAAAATTAATAATTATTAAAATAACATGGGATACCAAGTCCTATTTTTTAGGAAAAATACTGCAATGACTAGAAGCTAGTTCTGTGTGGTCAACTAAGAAGGAAGCTCGGGCTTATCTAGAGAAATAATTGTCATAAGATGAAAAGTCTGATTTCTAGAATGACCGCATTTTTGTATTCTAAATCCCCTTTTTTGTGAAATAATCTAATATTGCAGATAGCTAAAGTAAAGCTGGGATAAATTCGATTCTTTTTGGTTGAATGATAGTTGCTCTACCTCTTAAGAGAACATGTTGAGGAATGTCCAAACATTTTCGGAAATAAATGTGAATAACCTTAAAATGGCAAAAACGCATTACGTCAAACTTAGAACCATTGAAAACGGCTCTTCTTAATGCAGCGATATCACTTTCATTACAACAAACGATGGCCAAATAAGAGCCTACCAGGCTAGTGAAAACTGAAAGTCGATATATTTTTCCTAACCTAGAATATTAGTAAACGAAATAAAAATTAAAAATACTGCCCATCGGTCCACATGAAATTCAAAATTTGATTTGTAAATTTTGTAATTTGTAATTCTGAAATGCCTTTTCTACTGATATGTTTGATATGTTTCATGTTTAGTTTCCAAACAATGAAAACACAACTGCTTTTGTTAAAATCTATGGGATAAAGTACACTGCATTAAAACGCAAAGATTTGTGTTTTATCCATGTTATGGTTTTTCATTATTGTAATATATTGATTGCATTTTAAATATAATGTTGGCGTTTTAACAAGAAATTTATATATATTTTGCTAAAAGATCGAATCTTAATACTTAATAATGGTCTTCCTGTTTCTATTTTTTTTACTGATATTATGGGTCCGGATTTTATTTATAGTAATGTCCAAAACTAAGAAAAACGCCATCTAGCGGCGATACACGCAAATTAGTGCACTGAGGGCAGCGTTGATGGCCTAAGAGCTGTTGTCAACGTCTCTAAGTGTGACCAAGTTGCGTTCAGCCATTCTGAAGTTAGTGCCATATCACTGTCTCTTAATAGGTACAGCAAAAACTCTTCTATGAACAAAATTGAATTTATCTCAATTTTAAAAGGGTGTTCATTTTAGTTATGTGTAGTATAAGATTATTTCTCAAAAAAGGGATTTAAAAATAATTAATGCAATTACGTCCCCTGGTAACCATTTTAGAAAATTGAAAATCATTTCCAGTATCTTCTCTTGTCTGCTGTAGTGGATACCTCTCAATTCGCTACCTAGTACAATGGGCGAGTTTATTTTTGAATTTAATTTCCATTACATTTGCCTCACAACATTTATTGATTACTTAAACAAACATCTGATAATAGATGCAATTTAACTATCAGTCATTAAGTAATTGAATTGTTACAAGAGCAAGATTGTTTGATAATCATAAAATATTTACTACTTGTTATATGAATAAAAACTTACACTTATATTCATTTTAATTTTAATAGTTTCGCCTTCCTTAAAGCCCAAGTCAAGTGTTGGACCTTTGGGCTCTTCACTAATTTGTTTTTCCTTTTTAACCCATTTAAAATGGTCTTGCAGTGCCACATTTAAATCAAATGAATCGGACCGATCTCCAAATCCAACACCAATAAATGCGGATCTCCCTAAAAAATATTAATTTGAAACTGAACTCAGAAGCATAATGTTGTTAGTCTTTATTTCCAGCATAATTCTTAAAAAGATTTAAGTTCCTCGAAATTGCATTGAGAAATTTAAAATCAAAGGAATTAAAATTTTATGAATAGTGATCAAAATACACACAAAGCTTGCTTTATAGTTGAACCTAAACACCTGCATCTATAATTTTTCTATATGTGCAAAAACCCATATTAAAACTAACCATTATCGTCCTGTATCCGTAACACAAAATATCTGGATGAATCACTGACGGCTTCAATAGCAAGCCCAGGATATGCATCAATAGGGCATTTGGCGAAAAGTTCGCCAGAATTTTTATCTTCTAATTTGATAGCTAACTCGCTCCCTTTGGAAATCAGTCGCATCCGTCCTGTCCACGACGGCTCGGATAAATTCCAATCCGCAGCTCTAAAAAGGGATATCTGAAGTGATGTATAAGGTATCTCATCAAAGTTGGTAATTGTAATAATACCTATAACCACGGTTTGACGATCTCGGAGGAATATTATATACAAAAACTTCCGGTTTAACTAATAGAACACTTTCGTACAGATCCATAATATTGTTATATTCTAATATGAACAAAACATCCAAATTTTCATGAATTAACTGCTGACAGCTAAAACGTTAACCAATATTTATCATTTAACTTTGCTCAAAGAATAACACATCAAAGAAGCACGTTTTCCCTCTTCATCTTTTTGGTAAAGAGTTGCCAGATATACTAAAATTATTCGGCCGTAACAAACACTGTTAACAAAATGGACAGCAATGTTTTTCCTTCTTCTTGTGCAAAGCTGCTAAATTATAAAAGCTATTATTAAGGAGTGTAAATACAAGATAACTGCATATTCAAACTTATGCACGCGCTTCCGAAATAATATAAAGTGATAAAATAAAACTAACCACTGGCAGTGGTTCTAGCAGTCTGGCAGCTCAGATAGTCTGTCGCAGATTTAAACTACAAGGGCCTCGTTCGGGCAGACGCTAGAGCGTCATGAACCTTTCTGTAATATTTTGAAGCCCGGAGAACGTGTGTTTAATATGGTAAATTTTGTGATGTCACATTATTCGGAAATCCCTCTCCTCGCTATTCCAATCGTATCCCGAGGATCATATACTCACCAATTTTACTTTGACGTTGAGCAGAGAAAAACTGATCGGATTTTCATTGCAAATGATATAACCACAAATTTATCAATTTCACCATAGATTAGGGAATTAATTTATGAAATATATTCTTACGTGTACATTTATTTTCGACGGATATTTGTAAAATATGAATATTTGAAAGTACATTTATAGTAATTTATTATTAATTTAACTTATACGTAATAATATCAAGTAAGTCTATATATGAATAACAAAAAAACGTTCTTTTCTTGTAGAAATGAGCAGAATCTGAGGTACATATAATTTGGAACTCCTGAAATAGATAATTTGTGAGATTTTTTTGGTATACTGATTGCCGCAAGCATTAACGATGAACCAGGCAAGACCCCCTTGCTAAATATTTTGTATCCAGTATTGAGTACTGGGACTTGGTGCTCAAAATCAGTAATTAGATTTATCGCAGTTCCAGCTCATTTCTGCTAAACCAGTATAACCAAGTGACCATTTAACATTATTCTAGGGAACTAAACATGGACGATGAATTATTAGGAGAATCGAGCAATACTAAAAGTAAAATTTCTCAAACTTTCATTAGAGCATCTCAGGTAAGTCAGCTGAAAAATACTCATTAGTCGATTAATACAAATAATAATATTACTTTTGTTTTTAATGTTCAAGGACAATTTTTAGTTTTGACCACAATTTCAGGCAAATGTGCAAATTTGCTTACCAAAAAAAAAACTCATCTTACTTTAACAATTTATATCTGATCAGTGTATGAAAAATCCACTACCCTAAAATAACTAAGCAGTAAACTTTTCTGTTTTAGTGGTACCAGGGTGTGGTGGACAAAACAGTTCCATGGAAGAAAGCTCGCTGGCTATTTTCTTTATTACTAATTCTCGGATTCATGGCACGCATTATAATCGCCCAGGTATGTACATGTCTGACAAAATTGTGTTTACAAATATTCGATTGTTAATGTTTGATAAGAAAATAAATTATCCCCATATTCCAAAAGGGCAGTAAAACTGACTTAAAGAACTATAAACCCATAATAACTCAATTGTATTCAAAACGTTTGAATTATCATTTAAGAATCAGGTGTACGATCATTTCTAAAGTAATATAATAAAAATATCTCTTTGCCCCTGATATCATAGAAGTGGATATGAATAAAGATATTGACGCTTTGGATACAGCAATAGGTAGGGTCTTATCAGCCTTGGGTGTATAGTTTGTTGCAAGTGGACTCCAACTTAATATATCAAAAAAAGAGAAAATGGTTATTAGTCTTAAAAAACACAATCACCTTGTACTTTAAATTTGGTGTACCATCAGGTCCACACAGGAGGTATCTGCTTTTACTACTCCAAAGAATCATATTTCATTTTTCTAAACTCTATTTGGGCCTTTCTATTGTTTTTTAAGAGAAGTTGTTTCTTAATAGCAACTCTTCTATGAAGACTGTTGCTTAAACGGTTTCGTACCTTTCTATTGGATTATTTCAATGCCAAACTATCCGAGATTTAAAATGGTTTTTTCTACCCCAAAGTAGTTTTACCCAGTCATTTCTCTCATCACGATGACTTTCATATTTTTATAATATTTTTGTTAAAACACTTGTAGAAATGTTTAAAGACTGCAGTTGCGGACTTTTTGAAATAAACCCACAATTTTGATCTGACAGCAGAAGAAAAGTAACGACGACAGGGCATGATCAATAATTATTTCTACTCGATATTTACACTGAAATCAAGACAAAAATAATTTAGAACACAAATAAAGTTTTCATACTTATTTCTAATCACAAATCCGTTATTTAAAAAAAAAAGCATAACAAACATTCTTTTACATCTTTAATTAATAATATAAATATTTTTCCATACTTTTACCACTATTGTTGGTTTGACATAAAAAACCACCAAACCAAGGAGTTTTAACACTACCTTGCAGATATATATTGCATTGCTATGCAACACATAATGACTTTCACTCTTATAATACTAGTGTTAATGAAGATATAAACCCTCAATTTCTCATATTTTGCTCTTAAATTATTTATATTGATTTGTGTATTTTGGACAATTTGAATGTGATCAAATATCAATAAAGCTTTACCTTACTATTTACAGGGATGGTACATAGTTACATATGCCTTGGGTATATATCATTTGAACCTGTTTATAGCATTCCTAACTCCAAAAATAGACCCAGCGATGGACTTTGATGGTAAACGCTAAGTATATACTGTTTCCGAACATGCTTAAACTTGCATTACTTTTAGCAGATGATAATGGGCCAGAACTGCCCACAAAAGCTAATGAAGAGTTTCGGCCGTTTATAAGACGGTTACCAGAATTTAAGTTCTGGTATTCAGTGACCAAAAGTACAGTTATAGGTTTAATATGTACTTTCTTTGAGTGCTTTAATATACCAGTATTTTGGCCAATCTTAGTTATGTATTTCATTACACTTTTCTGTATAACCATGAAAAGACAAATTAAGGTAAGATTCCTCATAATTGATCCATTAAATTATGATGATTTTAGTAGTTGTAATACTAGTAACGAAATGGGATTTTCTTTTAGCATATGATAAAATACAGATATTTGCCTTTTACACACGGCAAACCGAAATACCAAGGACACGAGGAAGCCAGTAAACTTATTTCTGGGAAATAGAGTTGAGATGAAATTAATTTCCAACAAAACATAGACCCAAATTTGTGGGTGGAATTTCTTTTTGTAAAAACGTGTTATTTATAAGTAAAGGAGTATATAAAGTTGTAAAATTTGTTTGTTTCACTTGAACATAGTTTCAGTTATATATTTTTGGTTACATGTTTTATATTTATTTAAACAGCTTAAATAAACCCATAAGTGATCGAACTGAGGTGGCTTTTACTTGATGAAAATCCATTTATCAAAATAATTAAGAACTAAAAGTTCAGATTTTCACGAAATTATATATTATGACATGATAATTGTTTCGACAACACCGTGTCTTTATCAAATGTCATATTTGATAAAGACACGGTGTTGTCGAAACAATTGTCATGTCATAATATATAATTTCGTGAAAATCTGAACTTTTAGTTCTTTTTTATTTCCATAAGTGATCATTTCCTTTTATTTACATTTTACCATAAGAAATAGTGCTACTGTTATTTACTTTTAAATTAAAAAAATAATTGGAAGTGTTCAGTGCCAAGGATTAAAATATTTATATTTGCGTTATCCATTTTGTGATGTAAAATATTTTCAGTCTATAAAAATCCTTAATTTTTAATTGAGACAAAATTAAAACCTGTGGAAGTTTATTTCATAAACGCCTTTATGAAGAGAACATCCAGAGCAAAAGCATAAAGTTAAATCACAGAATGAAACTGGTAAGATTACCCTGTACACTGACAGTTTTTATTACGTGGTACAGGCTATAAAGTTATTCTTAAAATGTCCAAACCGATCTATCCAAATCTATTTTTCCAAAGCCTGGAACCATAACTATAGTCTCTAAAATCTAATCCCTACATAGTGATTCTAAGAGCAGACAAAGGAAAAAACGTAGCAGTAGTCATGAGCACAACTATCAGCAAAACATTCTAGATTATCTTTGGAACGCAACCTTAAATCGGCTATTAAAGTTTCTTCTCTATTAGAACCCGTGAAAAAATCTTGTTAACCCTCACGAAATTTCGCGTTTATACGGAGATCCAAACGATATTGCGGTTAGTTTCTTTGAAACCTTGAGAAGAAAGCCCTAGACGCCTTCCTTCTAAAACCAAAACTATGGAAACATTATTTTTCTTATTTGACCTCATGGTCAACAATCCTTCCGAGATTTTCTTAACCATTTCAACTATACACTCTAACATACGTTTTATCGATGAATTAGAAACTAATAATACTCTTCCATTAGATATTCTTATTAATAGAAAATCAGACATTCATTCAAACACAAATGATCCTTCCTTGCATTACCTACAGATTTAGAGATTTACCATTTGTCCAGAAATCTCTCAACATTCGTCAAACACAAGATTTCCGTACAGTTTACAGCATTCCATGCATATGCGGCGCAAAATACATTGGAGAAACAGGATGAAAAACATCAAATAGGCTAACAGAACATGAGGGAGGCCACGACAAATAAAATCATCAGCAGTTGTCGAAACCAATCATTAAACTAGACATTAAATCTTATTTGACCAAACTCCAATTCTTGCATGTAATCAATTCTTTTGCCAAAGAAAAATGAGAGAATCCATAGAAATCTCTGAACAACCAAATCTTAATCTAAACAACTCATCACATCACTTTGTAACTGATAATGAAGACCTATATAACATATTTTAGATTGGCGTCAATTTGGTGCATATCTGATATACTGAGTCTCTTAGTGCATAAAATGAAATAAAATCCCTATGAAGTTTACTAAAATATCTTTAATTTTTCTTTACATCGTGATATATATATCTCTCTCGCTGTCAAAATAGGTCATGCCACTCTGTTTGCGGTGGAATAATAATTCTTTAAGCAACATATGATTTGGGCCCAGTTTTTAAAAAATCCCTTATGGTAAGACCTTTTAGCGTTTAACCCTAAGCACAATTTAGACGCACAGGGCAATTTTCTCCATTCCGTAGTAGAAATACCAATCGACACGAGGATGACCTGTTGGAGCAGAATGATTACCATGAAATTTGCGAGAAAAATACTGTACAAAGCGGAAACAAAAGATAAGCCCAACCTAAAAAAATAAACATGTCAGTAAATAAATAATATGCAGTGTGTCCAATATAAAGATGGGTTGTCGAAAAATAAAGGAGATTAGGAGAGAAATTAAGTTCCTTTTAAAGTTGCAAAGTGCTGCAGCGTGAATTGGGCCTAAGAATTTCGAGAAAATATAAAAAGTTGAATTTTCTATTTTTGTCTGCAAAGTCGAAATAATAAAATAATAATTATGCAATTTGTTTTTTTTTGTACTAAGCCCTGGTCGCTCTTAACAGAACAGCACAAATACATGTTTTGAGAGACCAATTAAATTACGTTTTGACAGTCCATTTATTGTTGTAAACATATATATATATATATATATATATATATATATATATATATATATATATATATATATATATATATATATATATATATATATATATATATATATATATATATATATATATATATATATATATATATATATATATATATATATATATATATATATATATATATATATATATATATATATATATATATATATATATATATATATATATATATATATATATATATATATATATATATATATATATATATATATATATATATATGATGACACTATATTCCGGGATATCATCCGTTCGCTCACTGGCAGTGTTCGAAGTGTTTTCGGAGCGCGAGCATTGAAGATGCCAAGTGAGATTTTGGCGAAACGTCTGCAGGATTCCAGTCGGAGTTCAACGAGCGAACGGATGATATCCCGGAATATAGTGTCACATTTTTCCATCCGTGAATCAATACGTGAGAATATATATATATATATATATATATATATATATATATATATATATATATATATATATATATATATATATATATATATATATATATATATATATATATATATATATATATATATATAATAATAAAAATAAATGTCCTTATTGACCTTATTGCTTTCATTGTCAGTTGAAGCGAAGTGCTTACAATACGAAAATTAATTACCCGGTGGCCTTTTAATTTATTTAAAAATGGAATGATTTTTTTCTTTTGATAATAAGTTCGACATGTTAAAATATAGTGAAGCTGAACGGATGTCTTTATAGACCTACCCTGAAAGATTATAGCCAAAAAAGACCAGAAAACTGGTTGCCTATTTATTCAAGTATGGTCATTTTTGCCGAAAACTGTAGTACAGAAACATTATACATCCGCAAAAATTAAAAAATCTGTATGAAACTATGCAACTTTTCTATTTAACTTTTTCATCGTTCGTAGTTTCTGAGTTACGGGGATAGGAAACCTTATTTCTTACACCTTGTACTTAACAATGTATCTTTTGTAACTGAGACTGTTAAATATTACTACCAATAATATAAACTAATCAGCAATATGTATTAATTATTCAATTACATTTTATAAAATTGGATTGGATTATTTGTTGAGAGCGATCGTGGCCTACTACAAAAAAATCGAGTTTTGCTTGCAACCCTAAGATTGATGATAAACGCATCATTTAAAGCATTTTCATGCTGTATTTAATAACGAAAATATTTAATACGCGATCATAAGAAATTTCAAAAATCTCAAAAGCAAATGGAAAATTTCTGTTTCCATTTATGACATCATATTCTACATAAAAAAAATGTTCAAGGTCATGTTTGCCGTATGTTGACTTTGCGGACAAAAACAGACAATTCAACTTTTTATATTTCTCAGAAACGATTTACTCTGGAATCATTATACGGGTAGATTTAACCTTTAATAAAATTCTTTCCTAACTTAACTTTACTAATTCTTCCTGATTTAACCGATCCTGTATGTCCTATAGATTCCGATATCACTATACTATCCCATTCTTATATTGGACACACTTAAACAATAATTCATATCTATTGAAGGAGCGTTTAGCGAATTTGAAGTACATTTCTTTCCGTTTTTTTCTTCTTTATTTGTTTTATTATTCGGAAACAAACTCGATACTTACTCGAATTGAAAATAGACATCAGAGCAATCGTCCGGCAGCAATATAGTTTTATAAAATTCAAAGGGATGACACACCGAAGTAAGAGTCAAATTGGAACTATAAAGCAACGCGGCAATCCCAAAAACTAGAGTTAGGATGAATAAGCATTGGTTATGCCTACTGATACAGCAATCAAACCTAAAACGTTATTTTTGTCACACAAACCACGCGTTCAAATAGAGAGATTTTAGGCCACTTGTTTGAAATTATACTTATATATATGTACTTATATATATATATATATATATATATATATATATATATATATATATATATATATATATATATATATATATATATAAGTACATATATATAAGTACAATGTATGTGTGTTGTTAAGTATTTAAATACATGTATTGTAAGATGTATTTCAAATACATGGATCGCTTTTTTTTATTTAAGTATCAATATAAATACATTTATTTGTATTTTTAATGTAATTTAAGAAAATAATGTAGTAGACCATACATTTTTCGACTTGTTCATCGACACCACTCTCATTAAATCGGATTAAGAATGATAAAGAAAATTAAATGTTTTTTTTTTAAATCTGTATTTCAATATTTACGACCTACACATCTCCAATCGTTCTTTCGTTCTTAAATTAGGATCACACTAACTTGCTTACAATAGAAAGGCCAATTTGTTGAATGAAAGTAATATGACAGCCGCGTTACTACAAGTCGTTTATTAGAATAATAAAAATGATAATAATTATACTTTATTACAATTATAGAGATGGGCAGATAATTGAAATATTAATGATTCTAAGGTAAATAAAAAATTATGTAAAAGTAAGATAATATGAATTGCAATAAATATTATTTTTTAAGATGTACTATTTACAATACAAATTCATTTGTAAATTTAGACAGGTTTCGAGTAGTAAGATGAACTATGGTCGTTGGAGTGCAGAGAAATAATAAAGCTGCTCTACAGTATTTTTTACCATATGTTCAACATACTATATTTTTCATAATTCACTGTCTTTATTCCCTCTTCCAACATAATTTAAAAGTCGTATTACGCCTTGCTACAAACCCTTTTACGTACGCCCATACCAATTCCATCGGGCAACGACTCAAGAAGGCATGAGGATTTTTTTTTGATTTTCTTGGGTGATAGCTGGCATTATCCATGACTATACCAGACCCAGGACGAATAAGATCAAACATTTTCTGGAAGACTTCAAAAACTTCAGAATTCATGTCTTCTTGACAATCTCGAGTAGTCCGTTTGATTGGAATTCAGTAAACCACCACCGAAAAATCAATTTTTGCTAACAATATGAGTAATTATTTTAATTTTTTCCTTTTTCCCGAAGATACTTTTATTCCATTCCGCAAATCTAGTCGTTGCCAACAGATAATTTCGTCTTTATTAAAACTGATTTTCCGTTTTGGTGGTTTTTGTTACAAAACTTGATTTAGCATCAATCTTTTCCACAATTTTTTTTTCGTCCTTTTTCATTTTAGACATTATTTTGTCCAAGATAGGTATTTCTTTTTTTAAAGTAAAAGTTTTTCCATCTTTCTGTACTTAAAACTTGGTGACTTTTTTAGAAAGTGCGGTTTTACTAATTCGTTTTTCAGGAACAAATTCAGAAACATTTTCAAGAACAAACTTTGCCAACGACTGCTTGAAAGTAACTGTAATTCTAATTTTAAACACTAAGGCAAAGGTGACAATCATCGTGCGTACAATACTATGCCAATGGAATACAGCTGAGACCATTATGTTTTTCAGTGCAATAGTGATTTATAATTTTCTTGCGTTAAGAACTAGAGCATAAGTAGAATATTATTAATTAGGGGCGACATCCAACTTATGCAAGCCTCTAAAACAAATAACCAGTCCCAGGCATATAATCCTGGTCAAATATACATTTATTGAAATGAATTGATATCGAACACACAACAAACAAAAAAAAAACGAACAAAAAAGAGAAGAGCAAAATAATAACTCGCCAAAGACTGGTTAATAGGATAAAAAAACTTACAAACAATATAAAAAATATATAAAAAGAAATATAACTCAACTATATAACAAATTAATAAAGAAAAGTTCTAGAAAGATAGAATGATAAAACTGTTTTTTGTTCAGCCACTGTTATCAAAAATGTGTTTAAAGTAGTTAATTGAACTCAGGTGGCTTTTACTTGATGAAAATCCATTTATCAAAATAAATAAGAAGTAAAAGTTCAGATTTTCACGAAATTCTAATTAAACAATTGTCATGTCATAATATCCCAATAATTTCGTGAAAATCTGAACTTTTAGTTCTTATTTATTTTGTTAAGGTAGTTAATGAGATAACTGATGCCAAGCCAATTGTTGAACCTGTTTATAACTCTTTACTTAACAGAGGACTTAACATCAGTGCTGCTGCAAAGGAATCACGTGGTTTGACTTCCTTCATATAAACATAATAATTTTCTTGCGTTAAGAACTAGAGCATAAGTAGAATATTATTAATTAGGGGCGACATCCAACTTATGCAAGCCTCTAAAACAAATAACCAGTCCCAGGCATATAATCCTGGTCAAATATACATTTATTGAAATGAATTGATATCGAACACACAACAAACAAAAAAAAAACGAAAAAAAAAGAGAAGAGCAAAATAATAACTCGCGAAAGACTGGTTAATAGGATAAAAAAACTTACAAACAATATAAAAAATATATAAAAAGAAATATAACTCAACTATATAACAAATTAATAAAGAAAAGTTCTAGAAAGATAGAATGATAAAACTGTTTTTTGTTCAGCCACTGTTATCAAAAATGTGTTTAAAGTAGTTAATTGAACTCAGGTGGCTTTTACTTGATGAAAATCCATTTATCAAAATAAATAAGAAGTAAAAGTTCAGATTTTCACGAAATTCTAATTAAACAATTGTCATGTCATAATATCCCAATAATTTCGTGAAAATCTGAACTTTTAGTTCTTATTTATTTTGTTAAGGTAGTTAATGAGATAACTGATGCCAAGCCAATTGTTGAACCTGTTTATAACTCTTTACTTAACAGAGGACTTAACATCAGTGCTGCTGCAAAGGAATCACGTGGTTTGACTTCCTTCATATAAACATAAAAATAATACAACTAATTGTCAATTGATGGTTTAAGATAATATAAAAATATATCAAGGAATAGTAACACAATTCGTGTTATCCAGATTATTTCGTCTTTTTTCGATTTTTAATTAACGGCCATATATTTAGATTCTTCCTGCGTCGGTTATTGATGAAACGAACTTGCTGATGTTTCCCAATGATCCTGCTGGCTTCTTCAGAGGTTAACAGAATGTGGTTTGCATCTTATTTTGCACTTGCTTCTTTACTGTTTGAAGGGCCAAGGACATTGTCTCATAATGTCCCATATTCGACAGAGGTAAAGACCTGAGTGGCGGTTAAAATTGTTTGATTGTTTAGAGAGTTCTATGGACTCTCAGATCTTTTTTTAGAACATCTCCTATTCTCTCGAATAATTTCCACATTGAAGATTACAAAATACATTTTAGCACAAGCTCCCAAAGGAAATGTTCTTAAGACATATAAAACTTGAAGTTCGATTCACCAACAACAGACGCAGAACGGTTCCAGAAGATTTGTAAATAGAACTGCCATAAAGCTAGTTTTTATACAGATTACAATGATATGAAGTGATTTAGAGTGTGCAAGTGGCTTAAAATCCCTCCAAAATAACTTTCAACAAACCATATGCAGTGATGATCTTTGTCTGGTATTTTTGAATCGCATATTCGGCAAGTGTAAAACCTGCTAATGTCCTTTCCAAAAATATTGGTCTCGGGGTCGCCTTCGCCATAAGATATTAGCTCGTTCGCCCTCGATTTTACGAGATACAGGCAAATCACAAAGCCGAATATCAGGACGCTTAAAAAGAGATTTTCTTCTAATAAGATCTCGAGAAACGGTATGACAACGAACTCGAAAATGAAATACAACAGAGTTAGAGAAGTTAAAGTCCACGTGAGGAAAAATTTCGTTTTTGGGATTAATTTTATGAAAACCGCGAAAATGAGTACGAAGAAAATCGTAAGGGTGGTAAAGGAAAAGATCGTCCACCAGAAACTCAACGAGGCGACCAGCAAAAAGGATGGCAGAATAATTACCGGCAGAAAACCGTCGAAGGTAAGGTATCTGGGACGCAGACGGTCTTGAAACGTAGCAACCATGCCAAAAATCCGGTTTTCACCTAAAAAAAATTAAAAATTTGATTTCACGGATCAAGGAAACTGACAGCTTTCAAAAAGACACCTACGATCGTCACTTTAAAGCTGTTTCTATATTCACGAATTTATCGAATATCAATGAAGTTACTTTTTTGAACGCTATTATCTCCAAAACTATTAGAGCAATCGAAAAAGATAAAGAACATTTCTTACTTGGATTTACTCATAGGATACAAAAATGGAAAAATATATAGTGTTTTATTTAAAATAAGAGAGTTGATCTCACTTCCGATAAAAACGCTATTAAATTCTTATTAATATAAACAGGATCTACGTTACTCAACAAAATTAAAGGACACACAATGGACATCTGGATAAGTTGCCACATATAATTTAAATTAAGAAATCTATGGTGTACCTCAAAAACAAATGAAAAGAAATCTGTTTCCCTTTACATCAGCACATTCTCTTTAAGAAAAGAGCTCTGAAAGTGCACTAATTCCAAGATCATGTTTGGCATATTTTTAAAGACAAAAATATAAATCCAACTTCTTATATTTTCTCCAATTTCATAAAAACGATTAATGCTGGAATCATTTTGAGGCCAGATTTAAGTTTCTCATAAAATTCGTTTAAACTTTCCTACTTAAACCTACCCAGTAAGTCTTAAAAAACTAGAAAAGCTACTCATAATGTTTGTGAATCTTATGTTGAGTCTTTGCAGTTGTGAACGAAAGGAAGGAAAGGATTTCGGTATTCCTATGATCTGGACAGAGCCTAAAATCATTTCAATGGTCGCTAGATTTGCATAGTAGATTTTAAAAATTTTAATCAGATTGAAATACGTGTAGATATAAAGAATATTTGAAATGAAAATGTTATCAAAGTAATAACTAGTGAAGCTTGGAAGGCTTTTGTATTGATAGTAGAAAATTTCCTAGGCAATCGTAAAACACCAAACTATAAGGAAATGGTACGAAATATGTCAGAACAGTGCAAGATTTTAAGAGTATCAAGTTACACTTTATTTGCAATCAGTACATGGATTTCAGAATAATTTAGAAAATTATCGTGAGGTAAGGAAAATCGCTTTCACCAAGATCTAAAAGTAATGTAGGAAAGTCAACATTTTCTATTTACTGAGACGTACACTAATTTTAAATCAAAAAACTCAGACTATAATTATAATTGCAATTTTTTTCATAGTTGTGGATTTTTGTACATATTGGAAAATGAAAATAAAGATTAAAAAAAAAACAAGGGTGGTTTCATGAACTGTGGGTAAAAATATATAGGAAATCAAGGGCAACAAAACCATGTTGACCAGTGTAATGTTTAAGATACCAACCAAGAAACAATATAAAAAGTTTGTTGTCACAAATAGTTAAACCATAGCTTGCTGATAAAAAAAATTATTCTATACTTACACTTGATGTTCTTAAATTTCAACATTTAATCACGCATGGGGCTGCGGCATAGAAAAGAATTTGAGTGAATAAAACCGCTGCTATCATTGAAATATATCGAAGAAATATTCAAATACCAAAACTGCTTCAAACTTAAAATCGGTTACGTACGCACCCACTTGATGTTGATGCTGTTACGTGTAGATCTAAATAAAATGCATTAAAACAAAACAATTTAAACAACAATAGAACATTAAGGTTGACTTGTTCCGCTTCTTCATTTTTGGTTTTTAAGCCCGGCGTAATCACCGGGCTTATTCGTCCAATGCCGGCACAGAAGATAAAATTGTTACGATACAAAATTTGCGCAAAATGAGACGGATACAGCAAAATTGGCACTGACAAAAAAGTTTCTATCACAAAGCATACTATCAATTCCTTAATTATAAACAATTTGTGGCATTATTAAAAAAAAAAAGTTATTTTCTATTTCAAAGATTTTATTTTATTTTGATCTTCCGCTGGACATCGAATCTTTCCCGCAAATAGAAGACTATATTCAATTGGTCAGTGATAAACGGTACTCATCCGTACCAGACCATTTACCGCATACTACAAAAAACGATAAAAACCAATAATAATGCTTTATTGTCGCTTATACACGCTGGTCAAAGTTTCATGTCAATCATGTAAAACGAGAATGTTTGTTTATATTAAGCAGTGTAACCATTGGGAAATAAATTCGCAAACATTGATGTTATGGGACCAAGATTTAGAAATCTAGAAAAATATATTAGCTGAAGGACTGTTGGATTAAACCAAAAAAAAAATTAGTGCCATTGCAAAATAAAATCGATAGTCGTATCTACTAAAAAAATTAAAGGTCGGCGAATAAAAAAAAAACTTGTCTAGACTACTCACCAAAAAATCTGCATATAATTTTATAGAAAATTAAAGACGGAATACATATATCTACATAAAATCTAAGAAAAATTTATGAATCAATCGGATCGTAGTTATGTAAGCGTATCCGCCACTGCCTTATTAAACCATCCCAACCTTTTCTTGAGTAACGTTTAAATTTGTTGGGGGTTCGTGGATCATCTAATTTCCGTTCGCTTCTAAAAACACAATTGTTAAATGTGTACAAGTTTAATGCAAAAGTTGTAGGATTTCTGGGTAGATTTAATATTACATACTTATTTATATGCAGGGTGTGCCAAAAAACATACTATATCAAAGTTACATTTTTTCAAATTGGAAGTATTATTTTATTAAAAGAAAGACTTCTTACATTTACAGTTAAAGAACAATATTTAGGAGGGAAATAAATAATATTAATCATTTTCATCCTGACTGATTGAAAACATTGCTTTATTCATTTTTAAACCATAATAATATTAGAGATGCTACCACTAGCATAATTAAACAACAGACGTGGAGTTGTATTTTTTAGTTTAAGGCCAATCTGGCCTTAAACTAAAAAAATAACTATAATAATGGAAACCTACGCACCTCGGTACTGTCTTAATGTAGTTGTCATAGCCTACAGTATTTTTTCCGTAGTCGATTTGCTTTTGCCTGCGGGCCAAAACTGCAGGATCGGCCTCTATGTAGTCGTCATCTTTTCGCCTCCTTTTGGAAAAGCAGTCTTCTCGAGATTGCCTTAGACAGAAACAAAGATTTGGATATCTGTATAATCTGTACTTAAAATTTGATATTTTCAATCATTTGCGGCATTTTTTAAATTACTAGGCTATGGCTGACCTTTTAAAAACGGAAAAGCGAATACCAAAACTTGGTTAGACTTGATAACTTTTCATTGGTTTGTTATCAAGTTTTACGCAAAATAATACATAAAATACACGATAAGTTTAAAAAATTTTCAGAAACATTGATCAATATTGCATTGATGAAAATGAATATGATTCTGAAAAAATCTTCAAAATTTCTTGTTTTTTTTTATCAGTAATATACCGGGTGTCCGAAATTAATGACCCAAACTATAACAGTATATTCTTCGACCAAAATAAGCTTTAATTTTGAAACAAATGTCGAGCAACGCTCCCTAATGGAGCCACAGGCAGTAAATGAAATGGTCCTGAAAATGTCTTTCTTTTATTATTGATATAATATTAATAATAACTAAAAACCACACTATTTATTCATCAAATATGAAACTGAATTGATAAGTTGATTATATTGTACTCAGTTTGACATTTATGATGTTCTTTTGCATCTGATTTTTTTGAATTTGTTTTATTTATAATAAAACCTCTATCCTTTAGTCTTCAGGTCATAAATTCTGCACGTAAGCTAAAAATTCCTACGTCACAAAATTAGAAAATAACGTACAAACTTTTTCTTTCATAGCAAAACTTAAATTGCTTTAGGAATATGGGTGATATCTGCCACGGGTTTTAATGCTATTTGAAGATTTTCCTTAATTCTGTTTAGCACGCTCTCATAATAATCCCATATCCCCATAGCCCTCCTTTCTGCTAAGATCAACTAAACAATCCACGTTATGTTAAAATACTCTCAGATGTCTAAAACCCAGAAAAAAATTATTGCAGATTGTGTTACCGCTCAAAAGGTAATCTTAGAATCAGATTCAGCACGCCAAAATGACTAAAACGGTAATATTTCAGCATCTTTTGTAGATGTGTTTTGGAAATATTAATAGAAAAACCATGGGTATGTGGCTCTGTTAGAGGGCGCTTCTCGACATATATTTATGTAGAAAACTACATCTTGTTTTAGACGTAGAACATGCTATACTTTTTACAAAACTTCTGGATTCCTCCAACCAACAGGATGATTGGCGAAACGTCAACAAGTTCAACTAAGCAAAAACCGACGCAGAAGGAATCCAGAAGTTTTGCAAAAAGTATTACAGTAGCCTGTGGAAGTTTCTTTCAGGACACCCTGTATATAAGTAAAAAAATCTGAAGCTAAGGCTGTAATAAATAAAGTTTGAGTTATTGTGTAAGTTCCTGCCAAACTCTTGTAATAAAGGTTTTCCCAAAGGTTGGGTTATTGGAATCCAATTCTATAAATAGAAATAATCTATATTCCTAAAGTATTTCTTACAATTTCTAGTTACAGCGTGATTAATAAAAATATTATGGTCCTGTAACTGATAGTTTATTTACCAGCAATATATTTCTTTATGCCTATGCCAAATATACAGATTTAGCATAGATTTATAAGTGTTGGGGCACTTAATTGACCAGTCAAATTCGATCAAAATGTTCTAAATAACATCTTGCAATTGTAGAGTATTATCTAGCATTACTTAATAATATGTATTTTATAATAAATTATTATGCATTTGTGATGTCCCAATAAAAATATCCAATTCATTTAGTTCTCAGAACTACGGCACATACAAATTTCATGGTATTTTTATAAAATTAAAAAAATATCAAAATTAAAAAATAAGTGCCCTTCCATAGAATCTACTGATTCTGAGAGCGCTACCGGATATTACAAAAATAACATAAAATAAATCTTAAAAAGGAACAGAGTTAGGCAGATTTTGATAAGATACCATCTCTCTTTTCACAAAAAAGTGGTTCATTCTTGCAATATACCTTTTTGATTTTTTTTTTTTTTTTTTGGAGTAAGAGAAAGTTTTCAGGAAATGCTTCATCTTTTAATGCCTAATGTTTTGTTCGACTAATTTCAATGCAAATTTTACAATTAATGTAAACCAACATCCAACAAACTAAGAGAGTAGACTAATAATACTTACCCCATCGAACCTAATTGGTTAGAAACTTTTGGACCTAAACGATCCATTACTGAAGCTCTCTGGGCAAAATGAGAGTCATGGTCTCTTTTGTAGGGAGAGGATCTGGCAAAAATTTCTCTTTTGGCACTTTTTAAAGTCAATCTACCCTCTGCGGGTCTATTGTCCTTAACTTCGGCCCCTGATTGAATTGTAGATTCCTTCAATTTCAGACATTCAAACACATGTTTGTTAAAAGGAGACTCATCGAACAAATGTTTTGTTTCTGCCTTCACTTTGCTTGGTGATATTGTTTCTTGTTTAAGAGTGGTTCTGCCGTCTAACATAAATGATTCACTTTTATCTTTCTCATCTGAAGAACCTGGTTCTTGCTTGATTGTCCTATCGCAAACCCCATTTTGATGAGCTGTATTGTATTCAAACTCATCATCAATTTTTTCTTGTTTAACTTCTTTCTTCACTTGAACACCATTTACTTCATGCCAAGCATCCTAAAAATTATACTTTATCTAGAAATATGGTAAAGTAAATAAGAAAAAAACTAAATGAAAATTTTCTGAATAGATAAAAGATCATACATCATCAAAAATATTTGCATTTTTCAGTGAAGTATTTATTGAAAATCTCTTCTGCATTTTGTTTTCATCGATTATAAAGTGCTATAATTTTATAAAGGTTTAATATAAATTCACGCAGTAGGAGAAACCTAACATCCTAAAAAAGGCGCCTTTTTCTTCTTCTTCTTGCAATGAACCATTTTTATCGTGAGGTTATCTCCTTAATTTCCTTTATCTGTGCCAAGTAAGTGAAAAGAACACAATATTAACGATATGGTAGAGATACATTTGTTTTGTTCAAAAAACATATTTGTCATGCATGGTTTTATTACCAAAGGAATTTGAATAAATATTTTGACACCCAACGTTGACAGGAATATTACAGCCAATGTGTGGATTATGGCTGTTATCGAATTTAATGCACGCGGATCAGTAGACATAGAGAGAGCGAGACGCCGATGACCGAGTACCCAGCAATGTGGTAATCTGTGACTTCGTTAATATTCTTCTTTCCGTATATAGAAGTCACAGTTAGTTGCGCACGACAGAGTTTGGTAAGTCTACCATTAGGCCTCCGGCTTCGGCTCGTCGTCTATAGATAACAAAAAAAGCGCCATCTAAGTAAAATTGTCACCCGCGGCACACACTGCTGTAGTTGTATGCTGTGTCCCCGAAGTTTAAGTAGTGCGGTTGGCTAGCTTCAGGTATGTTTGAACAGTACTATATTCAAATATTTTGAATTAATCGTCAAGAACTGCGGCAGTAAATGTTATTGCGAATGAGCCAAATATATTTTTTAACTTAGAATATCGTTTGCCAGATAAGCTTGTTGAGGTAAATTGAATATTTGTTATAAGATTTTAAAATTTGTTATTAGGTATAATGTCACTTACAAATCTTCTGGATTCCTCCTGTAGTGGTTGTTACTTACTGCGTTTCGCCATGAAACAGTTTCATTTAAAGTCTGAAGAAGTCCATAGGATGATTGGCGAAATGTCAGCAAGTTTGATTTATCAACAACCGACGCAGAAAGAACACAGAATATTTGTAAATAGTATTAAAATGCGGTTATGCGGCAAAGCATGTTATTATTATTATTGTTAATAGATGATGTGCTTTCTGATATGTTCGTGTTAATAAAATTGATCTTTTGTTTAATAGATTGTAACAAAACCGTTCGATTGGAAACTGCAATTTGTTTTTAAATATTGAACGCGCCTATTCATTTGAAGAAATTTCAATAAACTGCAGACCTATGACGCATAAACTCCAGCATAATTAATAAATACTAACAACCATCACGAAACAATTATTTTATCTGTACATATACATATGAAGTGTTGGAGAATGAAAAAATAGTATTAAAATAGCAATTCCGTGTGCCCTGTGTTAGTATAACAGTAAGGGTCAACAGTAATGCGCAGGAATAATTTTTACATTTTTTAAATGAAGCACCTCGTAAATCACTATAAGGACTCACATTTTATCTAAACGAATCTTAATGTTTTAACACTCGGGATTATGCAGTTTATATATTTGTAATTACCCTGCTATACTTTCTTTATAAGCATTTAAAATCTGTTGACGCTTGTGACTATGAGTCATTTTACCATGAATACAAGGATTATGCATTCCATTGTTAATTCCAACAACACATAATTCAAAAATTAATTAAATCACTAGAACAAAAATGCATTTTACCTGTTACGCCCGTTGCAACTTTTTCTACGCTAACTAGGCCACGTGACGCAACGCAACCAATCAAAGTTACAGTATCAACATTTTCGCTTTTGGTTTGAAATATGTTGCCACTTTTATCAAATTGCATTTCCAGCCTATTCACATTGCATAAACACAATCAATAGATTTGCAATAATATGTTAAAGTCAATAAAATCGTAGCTTCTAAAACGTTACATATTTCTGAAGAATAAATATTTGAGTTATTTTAGCATAACGGAATACTGAAATGTACCATGAGGGCGACAACATCGTAAAACTTTGCCCGCCAACTTGATCGCACGCATATGTGTACCCCCCCCCCCCTCATTTGTTTCAGCGACAGTTGAGTGTGTTGAACAATTTATTTTGTTAATTCTAGAAAAATAATCAAGAGTATTTAAAACATTCTCGTTTTAGATAGAAAGTATGGAGACGTTCAACATATGCAGCAGTGCCTCCTGCGAGGCTTACAATACATACGGGTATCAAGAACAAGAAATATGTAACATGCTATGTCTCTTAAACCGAAACGGAAAACTGGGCGCAGCGAGTTATGATTTTCGAGAGAAATCGGTAAGTAATTATTTGCGCGTCGCGACGTTTCTTTTATGTTATTTTCGACCAGGTTTGTCTGTACGAGGAAATGCCGGACGTGGCTCCTCAGCATTTGGTAACTGCCACTCTCTACCGAGAAGTATCGCCGAAGTATATTTTAACTTTCGGAAACAGAACACAAAGTTATGTTAAAACTCTCATAGAGATCAGAAATTCCGCGACAGAAACATTCACGACCTCCAGCAATGGACAACAACCGGAAAATTTGTTTCTTGTGTCATTGAACGATTACCGTAAGTTTCATATTTGATTTTTTTTACCCGATCTTTTGGTTAGTTCAACTCTATAGGCACGCGATAGAAAGGTGAGGTATATTTTACATTAGAAAAAGAAGGCTGGTAAAGGAGGAGAATAGAGTTTTCTCCTTGGTCAGTCATTTTATTCGGAGATTTTTGTTGAATTTGTTTTGTAAATATTTGTATAAAATGAAATGTATAGTATTCTAACTTAATAACTTACAAATTGTAGTAAAAAGAACGGTATGCATTTTTCAGCTGTATTATTTCAAACTAGGGTTGTGATATTTAGCTAGATATGTATATTTCACCGTTTTGAAAAAGGCAAATTTTATTTTTATGTTTTTGATCCAAATAAAACCATGCTTTTATCTGGGTTATAAGGACAACAAAACCAATATGTGAAGAATACAATAATATTTCCCCGTTTGCGCTCAATAGGCGTAAGAGCAATAAAACTACTTAAAATCCTTAATGTAAATCAGATACTAATAAAAGTCTATTTTGTGATTTTTGACCACTTACCATCTTTCCAGAAGTGTTATTATTCCTTTATGACCGAGTAAAGGGAAATGAATGACACTTAATGAAAGAGCAATTATAAGATACTTACATAGCGCCCTATAATAATATTGGTTTAGTTGATCGCATCAGTATTTGTTGTTAAGCTGTTGATAGTGGTGGGCCAAATTGCATGGAGGTGTGACAGAACGTGACTTCTCCAGTCTTTGTCAGAGTGACAAATAGCAGTAATTCTTTGGAGCAGTTTAACTTTGATCAGGAGTTGCAGAACCAGCAGAAGGAAACTTGCCTGCATGTTACTTCTATTTTAAACCAACTGAAGCAGACTACTTTCCACCATAAGCGTTGGTGTTCGCAGGCTTATACTATTAGTAATAAATGGCGTATAATCCACAGCAACGAAAAGATTCTAATTATTCCCCACCATCGGTGAATGAAAAAATTATTATTTTGAATGTATGTACATAATGAGTTCATAAAATAGTACTACCTGAATTGTACTATACAGAAACTATCGATCGAGTTGGAAAGTCCAGCGTTTTTAATTTATTGTGAAGGTAAGAAAAGTCCAGGCATACCAATAAAAGTCCTCGACAAAGATACGGATAGTGTAATTCAAAGAAATAAGAAATACCCACCTTAGTGAAAATTTAAATTTTAACTAAAAAACTCTTATGAACGACTTAAAAAATACGCATTTTGCATGGGAAAATTGTTTGTTGACTACTAAAATACTAGAGAAGTATAAAGCAGTAAAGCAAAGAGATGTTTAGTGAAGATTAGTACCGCAACGAACCGAAAATTAGTTTTGTATAGGAATAAAAAAGGATGTATTTTCTCTTGTTTTTTGTAGTCGTAGACAATGCATTTGCATTGTCTACATAATTTTACCGTTTATGATGCACTTATTCTATTAGAGAAGTCGTAAAGTCTAAGGAATTCTATTTTTATTTTTGTACTACGAATCTAAAAGGAAGGAAATAGTTGAGCTACCACCATTCAGTTTGCTGCACCACATTAAATAATTGAAAATATTTTTCTATCATAGTGTATATGTACCGAATTACATGTTTATTATAGGAATATCTCAGAATCTGTCAAACGAACGCATTAACGGATTTGCTTTAAATTTTACAGGGTGATGCCAAAGGAGGTGCTCTAACGATCTAAAATATTTTCAAGTATGCAGTGTTGCTGCTGTATAAACGCGGCAACATTTTCCTTAACTTAAATGGTTCCTGAAACTCCTTAAGGAACCAAATATTGTCTTAGATTTTTACGCAATGTAGATCCTAAAAGAAATCTCAATAGGTCCGTGCTTTAATTAAACAGAAAGCCGAACTTTTCTAGATAGTTCGTGAAAGGGCTCAGACATTCTTTCCTGGTGTATTATTTTCGAATTCTACGAAAGCAGCTAACCATAATAGAGGATCTGCTTTCGTGGTGTGTGTTCGATATTTTAGAAATAAATGCGTTAATTTATTTTGCGACTGTTTTTTTTTTGGAAATCTTTAGTTTGTAAAACGTTTTTCCATTCTACATGGCACAATCTAGCACTATTCAAACGTTACTATTTTGGTCATTGGTCATTTGTAATTGTTATTATTATTTTAATAAAGAGAAAAAGGTATGGTGTGTATACAAATGTTTTTTTAAATTAAATACTGCAGAAAATGCTAATAGTAAAAAAATAAAAGCATAGTTTATTATTTGCAACATTCAGAAAAATATATCAAAAAGAGATTTTTTATAAAACGGTTCTATTAAAATGAAACAACAAATTATTCGTCTAATGTAGTTTCTTGTAGGTTTTTGTCCATTTGGATGTTTTTCAGCAAATTTCACGATGTTGTTAATAAAATTTGTTCCATTACTAGAAATTAAATAGATTTAAATAACTATTGAATACCTTATAAAATGACGACGACGAAGTATTGCTAATATTACGAAATCTACACTTTTTTAAATAGGTAGCTTTTTACCAAGCCACCATTTTTTTATTGCTAAATACCATAAAATTACGTGGTATTTCCATTTGAAGAAACTGACTTTTAAAGATTAAAATAGATATAAAGATTGAAATAGAGATAGATAAAGACTGCGAACCTCACTTTTGATATAAAATTAACAAACGTGTTAAACGGTAAGACTTAGATAAATGATATATATATATAAAAGATATCTTGAATTATCCGAGGAGTTGAAAGAGGCCTTAATCCTTAATACACAGGGTTTTCGATTTAAATAAGAAAGTTGTTACTTGCCCATCAAAATACAAACAACCTGTGTTACAACAATATAATATTTGAAAACTATAACTGAATTCGAACAATTTTTGCATTTAGCCTTTTAAAAAAATATTTTTACTAGTGCTGAGATAAAGGGTTATCCCATAATAAACTCGTACACTTTCCGAGATGAGTTATTATGTCCAAACAAAGACGAACAAATGAATAATGTTTTTTAGCATATGACATGTGCAGAAAGTTGGTTTCGAAGTTGATTTTGAAGACATTCCGACCAGATAAATTGGAAGAGGGAGACCCGAAACAGGAACTCTTAATGCATTCTATCGTAAATCCCAATCACAAATTGTCGGTACAAGCTTTCGGAGCCTTGTATAAGTATTTGGAAAAAAACTGGCGCTCTTTGGAGCCGCGCTACACTGAGTTTGTCTGCTTAAATGTCAGTCAGGTGTCCATGTAAGTATGTAAAAACGCAACACGCACTCTTCTTCTGTCAAAGAATCCCTCACTTTTCTTATACAAAATGGAATTCATTTCTTATAAAGAATGAAGCAAAATATTTATATAGGTTTTTACTTTATTACACCGTGTAGACAAAAAAGTGAATACCGAAGAACCTAAGAACGAGACTAAAATCAATGAATTTGGTTCCTCTAAAATATTTGTAATTCAGCTCTGATAATTTAATTTTCTATAGTTTAGGTCACAGACAATTTATTTGCAGTTGCTTTTATTATTGGTGTTCGTTACTGATAATGGTTTAAGCTAAACGTTTTTCTTTAAGGAAAAATCACGTATTTTTGGATAGTGCTTCATTCAGGGCACTTCAGATATTCTCATCTCGCTCTCACGAAGCAGGTTTCAAAAGAGGCGACCCGTCGAGTAACAGGGAAGGACTAAGTCTCTATAAATTATTTTCGACGCACTGCAAATCAAAGATTGGACTGGTACAGTTAAGGTATATTATAAATGAAAATATAGACTTTAGATTCATGTAGGTACGTACGGGGTTTCTTATATGTTTTGAAAAGGTTTGTAAATAAGAAATTTAAAAATCTTTGGTTAAAAGTATCTGTGGAGAAACTTTAACAGCGTAATCAGCAGTTAAAAATAAGGAAAAAGTTCATATCAATTTATGGAACATGGCAAAAGGTCCTATTTCTGATTTAGATAAAACAAAACTGACATACTCGCCTCCTGTGTGATTTTGAGAAATATTTATTTTAATTAAAAAAATTAATTAATAATTGAATCAATCATCATCAAATCATCAATAATTTAATTTTCAACAATATTCTTTTTAGGCATAATCTTTTAATGCCGATTAACGATACGGAAGAATTAACAAAGCGTTTAAATTTTATCAAATTCTTGATCCAACCGGCTAATGTCGATTTCGTCAAAAGTCTCCAGGACAGTATAAAACATCTGAGTGACGTCGGCAACGTTCTTATAAAAATTCAAAATTCGCGGGCGAAAAACCGCGATTGGAACGTTCTTTATATGGTAAGAAAGCAAAGATTAATAACGGTAATGTGCCCTACACATTTTAATATTTTTTAATACAACTTCCCGTTTTGAGGTTTATCAACATAAAAAAGTAAAAAATTAAAGCACAATTTTCGATATCATACAGGGCGTTTCAAATATGGCGCCCACGTCTCCAATTGACTTAAAACCAATTTTAATCGCTTCAGGATCCAGGAATAACCAAATTTCTGCCGTTTTGCAAAAATCGTTCATTGAATCAACCTACCGCTAGTTTTAGAAACCACTAACATACTGTGCTCGTTTCTATCATAATATGCCATGTTTCTTGGTAGTCTGAATTTTAAATGAGTGTTGATGATAGTGGATGCTTGTGTGAATCCACCATTACTTAGGGTTCTGGTATCACAATATATCAGTAAAAATTTACCGAAACTGAGACTACAAATCCTATCACGTTTATTGTTGTATTTAATTTTGTGTGGATATATGTTTTCATAAATTTATTTGTTTTTTTTTTTTTAGAAGAATTTACCGATTCTGCTATATACTAATTGTTATTAAACTAAGGTATATTTTTTCAAAAATCTCAGGTTCTTTGATTTTATTCTTCCGAAAGAATTTCCATTTTCGATATTATTGGAAACTGTGCTTTAATTTCTTATTTTTGTAAAGAATATACTTATTCCTCATAACGTAATGAAGTTGTATTAAAGGTATGGACCGACAATTTACTGGAGGAACTGCCCCGATAGTCTCCAAACTGTTAGGAAATGCTACACATACTAGTGGTTTGAATGCACGTTCAAACTCATGTAAAAACCAATTTCACACACTCCACACATTCCAAACAAGTCACAAACCCAAAACAAACCTCATATGTTTTTTTACACATAATTTCTGGTCATCAAAAAGTGCCCCGTAAACAGTTACGTATTTTAGACTATTCATCATACAATCTGCATCAATGAAATAAGTAGTCCCTACAGAGGAAGGAGTCCGTTGTTGGCGGAACTGAACGATGCAGTTACCGAAAATTTAATGGGCTTGCGGGATTCGATATACAACGCCCTAGATTTTAGGGCCGGCTCGAAAAGGGACAGGCCCGTACTGAAATTTGGTCTCGACGAAAACTTGGATGCGAGTGAGTAATGACGTCAAGGACGGAAAATAATTTTGGAGAAACTGATATGATGTAAAAGAAACCACTATTCAAGTCGCTGCCATTCTAGGCATTTTTATTCTTAACATCAGATATCAGTTTTTAGAGAAACATTACAAACACGTTTGTCAATATTTTATTGGTTAGAAATGAATCAAATATGGAAACGTCAATTGAAAGTAATTTGAATAAATTGAGAACCCCGCGCGAATTAGTAATAACTAGTATGGTATGTCTCAAAGTATATCTATCGTCTTTACTTGAAGGAATTTTGGAAATGTAAAGATTAAATGTTATTTTATATTTGTTTATAATAAAATATCTCTGTTATTTTGTATGGAACATTATACTCGGACAATAAAGCAGGAGTATATTTAAGGAATTCATCTCCATCTCCTTGCTCACTATTGTGCAGAAGTTCAGATTGAAAATCGCAACGTTTTATTTTGTTTGGTTCAAGAATTCCCTGCGGTATCGAGGATGTTAACGTTTTTGTAAGAAGGCAGGTTTCTTTTAAAACTTATTGTTTATTGAATCTTCTACTTATAAACAGTCATACATACTTTTTACAAATTGTTTTGCAAGTGACTTCGACTTGAAATAACGGAAAATTTAGTGACATACTCGTAAGAACCTTTTTCGAAACTTACGGTAAAACGGGTTATTTGACTCTGCCACTGATATGAACCGATACGTGGACGACACCCGGTTTGCTCCTGAATACTTTTTGAGGGAGAATCCGTCAGAGGCTAAGAGGATCTATATTGAGACACCCTAGTTATTTTTTTTAACTGTCCAATTTACATTAAGTTTCTGAGATATTGGCAAACAAATTTTGGGAAAGTAGGGTTTTTGGGTACCTCCTGTAGAGAAAAAAACTACTCAGTAAGCCAAGCGGCACGAAGTACGCGCTAAAAAAGTAGCAAACATTCAAGTCTGTAGAGTTGTGGAATCGACCGTTCAATTTTTTGTGTCAATTAACAAGTCATTTGACCGAAATAATTGTAAAATGCAATTAAATTTGTATTTATTTATTTATTTAAAACATTTTGATAGAGTTTGACTAATCAATTAAGAAGTGGTCAATTGACCACGATCAATTGGTCCAACACTAGCCATAGGTAATGACGTCATCTTTGTTTAATATATTCCAAACAGCGGTGACAACAAAATTTTGAAAAAAAAAATTTAAGGTTATTTGAAATGTCCATCACTGTCACTCAAAAACATTGGTTTGTCAACTTGTCAAAAGTTATTTTGTAAGTTTTTAAATAATACCCAGTTAGTGAAAGAGAAAGATAGAAAAAAGTATAATTTTTGAAATTTTCGTTGAGTACTAATACCATGTTTAAGAAAAACATATTCGAAAATATTAGTTTTCAACCATCTTATTATGTAAATAGAATGTGTTTTTCATTTATGCTTTTTAAGGTAGAAGATATATTTAAATGTTCAAAAACATTTATTACACAAAAAACGAAATAAAGTTTTATTCGAACTGGCCGATACAAAGGCTGGAATAATTAAGAGCAATTTTACAATATGACAATCGAATAAATAGGGCTTTCGATGCGGTGTCAGCGAGGCGTTATCTTGGGGCATATAACTATATCAACACGTTTATCTGCCTCAAAAGTGTTTTACTGCTTCTTTTTGTTTGCGTTAAAAATTTTACTGTTACTCTTTAACATCAAAAGCTATATATATATATATATATATATATATATATATATATATATATATATATATATATATATATATATGTTATATATATATATATATATATATATATATATATATATATATATATATATATATATATATATATATATATATATATATTATATGTATATGTATATATATATATATATATATATATATATATATATATATATATATATATATATATATATATATATATATATATATATATATATATATATATATATATATATATATATATATTTCATTAGGAAATGCTTAAAACATTTTTACAAAAAAATATTATATTATATAAATTATTATTGTCGTTGCTTTATGTAGAGGTAGAAAATTATTTAAAATTATGTGACATTTAGAAAAAAAAATCTTGATTTTTTTCTAATGCACTTCGTAATAAAAACAAAATTATCTGATCATAGCTTTTAATAGTAGCATTAATACTAACAGTAAGATTTTTTAGCTCAATCAAGTAGTAGATTTTGTCCATATTATATAAATTATTATTGTCGTTGCTTTATGTAGAGGTAGAAAATTATTTAAAATTATGTGACATTATTTAGAAAAAAAAATCTTGATTTTTTTCTAATGCACTTCGTAATAAAAACAAAATTATCTGGTCATAGCTTTTAATAGTAGCATTAATACTAACAGTAAGATTTTTTAGCTCAATCAAGTAGTAGATTTTGTCCATTAAAAAAAGACAATAAAAAATGTTGAAAGACTTAAAAAGTTGAAATGAAAAACGAACACATACATATTGCACATACTTTTTTGACAGCACCTGGTATACAAAAGTCCTCAATAGCAACAGCAGGGTCTTTAATATTTACTATACTTTTTAACACAAAATCGTCTGTATTTTGTTATTTTGCTTAATAAGTTATTTTTTTGCTTTATAAAAAAAATGTCTTCCATTTAAGAATTCCTACGGCGGCAGGATATTGCGAAACACGTAACAGCCGCTGCTGGTTTGGCAGTGCAGGACTTGCCGGATTATATAAACGAGTGTAAGATCGTGTATTTGCCCGAGATGGGTCACCTGATGGCGCTGAAGGAATGGGAATTGGGGTGTGACCCGGAGCAGCTGCAACACCTCGGGTTTCAGTTTATGGTACTGCTATCTGTATTATATATATATATATATATATATATATATATATATATATATATATATATATATATATATATATATATATATATATATATATATATATATATATATATATATATATATATATATATATATACCTTTGAAACCTTTTTGGCCTTTTTATAGCGGGTAATTCACGTAGATGACTTATTAGACGTATATTAAGACTTATCAAATTTAGAAAATTAGGCGTAATAGACCATCTACGTAAATTACCTGTATATACAAGATGTTGATCAACAAAAATTTAGTTTCGTACATTTTTTACAAAATGATCATCATTGGGAAAAGCAATATGCTAATTTCTATTCAATGTTTTAGTTTTCACTCGGAGGTATGATACACTACAAGAATCCGTTATGTGTTGGTAAGTTTATTAAATATATTTACTAATCTTGATTGCTTTCCGAACTGTTTTTTTTATACTACATTCTAATAAACAATCATAGAATTTTCACGTTTTGAAATCGACAATTACGGTTAGGGTTCTTCAGACACGACGGTGAAATTAAACTGAAAACTTAAAATTTGTTCAATTAAAGTCACTAACTATAACGTCTCTATATACCGGGTGTCCCAGTAAGGACAACGAGGTACAGTATTATGGAAATGGACGGTCCTAGAAATTTAAAAAAAATGTAGAGAGTAAAACGTTCAAGAAGGGGAAATTGTTTTCGAGTTTCTGGACTGGCCACAAGGGGCTGTTATTTTGCATTTTAAAACTCTGTTTCTACAAAAAATGTTACCCACGGTTAAAGTGAGTACAATTATAAATACAAGACAAATTCAATTTTTTTTTGTTTAACGATGTTTGCTCTCTCTGCAAGGAAAGTGGTGGGTGGTTTTCTTAAAAAGAGTCCATATCTTCAAAAAGACTTGACGCATTTTAATAAGGTTGAAGTTGTTAAATAGGGATTCTCCTAGGCTATGTGTGACGCGATTGCGATTGCTTACCTTGCCTTCACGTGGAGTTTTCCGACAAAAAAAAGAGTAGTTGCAACAATATGAGTATTTTTATGTTATTTGATAGTCAAATAAGGCCTCATCAGCCCAGTGAAAACCACATCTCGCTATTTTCATCCTAACCTAAAATATGAATAAAATTAAGGGTCAAAAAAAGTTGGATTTTTTGGAAAATGTCCACTTTGCGGGTTGTTAAGTATCCCGAATTTTCCAAAAAAATAGTATTTTTCTTTTCTTTTTTGTGCAACAAATATTTAGCAATTTAAACTAATTAAAGACAGGATTAAACAAAAAAAGATTTTAATCTGTCGCGGAATTTAGCTACGGTTATACTTGTAGAAACCGAGTTTTAAAAATTAAGATAACAGTTGTGCACTCTGGCAGCTATTTTAGAAACTCGGAAAAGAATTTCCAACATTTTGTCTCTGTCGATTTACTTAATAATTTTTTAAATACTTTACTTAATAAATTTCTAGGGCCCGTCGTTCCCCTAAAACCACATCCCGTTGCCCTTATCTAAGAACCGTGCTTAGATTACTAATATTTACGCATTACGGTTCTCTTTACAACTTTTACAACGCAGCGCCTGCTGCTGCGGTCGTCACAGAATAACGTAATATCCCATAATTTGTTAATTTTTTAAGTTTGTTAGTTGCCAATGCCATATCACATTGAATGCTAAGTGAAGACTTAATTAAACTATTTTATATATGTTATTAGAATTGGACAAATGTCTTGGAGATATTAATGCTGAAATTATCGACCACGAAAACCGAATAATACGGAGACTTTCTTCGTTCGCGATTAAGTACGAAAGAGACATCCGAAACCCGTTAAAAATTATAGGTTTAATGGATTGGTAAGATTTTAGATTTATCGCAAAAATAATTTCTACGTAAAAAAACAGGCGTGTATATTATTTTATATTTTGGTTGAAATTAATCTGTCCTTTTAAAAATAAATTTTATTATACTCTATTATTCTTATACTGATTATACTTATACAGATTTTAAGTATTAATTACTTCCTATGAAAAATTGAGTTTTGCAATTTCAATTTTTCTTTTCTGTAGAAAAAGGTCTGTTTAATAAAGGTAGTATGTTGATGTAAAAAATAATTATTAAAGCCAAATTGAAAAACATCTTTCTTAAGTGGAGGGAAGTAGTAGGAGTCTTTCTTATCCCATTTAGAATTAAAAAAATTACTTTATTTTAGAAAGGTGCACAGTAATTAAATCTCATTAAGTGAGCAAAGGTACTACAGAGTGGCCCAACGTATTTTTGGCACTGATTTCATTGCAAAATTGTTTAGCTCAATTTGTGAGTTTTTCCCATAGTTATTCATTCACCAACACTGAAAATGGTGGGTCAAAGGCGTTTCACACCCTTTGCAGTTCGGCTGTGCGTTAACTTATCTAAAAACTAATCTCGATCAAGTTTTTTTTATTTAGAACCCAGTGGCATAGTCAGTTTTCATATGAATCTCACAAAGTTCGATATAAAAACAAAACTTGTTATATTTCCTTGATAATTTTATTAGGCTTCTTATGAGCTCTTCAAAAATATGTAACACATAAGAGGTATTTCAAATATAAAACATGGCCATATCTTTTTTTTGTACGAGTAGGCAAAAAGGTTTCCGTGTTCCTAATATACTTTAGTCATCAAACAGTCGTGACATTTTATAATTATTATTTATCTTAAAAGCAGTAACCAAAAGGAGATTCATATATTTATTGTTACAATTATAATTTTTATTATGCCTTATTTTTTAAAAATATTTTTATCTTACCTTAGTTTAAAAATTAATTTGCTTCAGTTTTAAAAAACAAATAGATAAGTCAGATGAGCACAAAAAGTACATTATGGTTATTTTTGAAAGTCTCAAAATAAGCCTAATAAAATTATTAAGACAGGCATGGTATTCCATTTAATCAAACAAAACAAAATATTAGTTTATATATCAAAATTTCTGAGTTTAAAAAGAAAACTAAGCCAATTGATTCTATGTAAAAAACTATCTAGACTAATTGTTACTTTTGGAACTGCAGAGTGTGGACTGTTTCTTGCCCTTCTATGGTGTCACGTTGTTAAGTTATCAACGAATACCGTCATTCTGGTCAAGCTCTATTAAAACCTTATTGAAGGTGGTGAAGATTTCTCTTATCTTTGGTTTCTTCATCATGACCATTTACTGAACTGTTTGTACTTTTCTGGGAGCTTTCAATTCCTCTCGTTAAGTAACTTAACAAAGGTGGGGTTTCTAAATCCAGTCATTCGGGAACATTGGTGAATGGTTTCTTGTACAGGAAAATTCGGTTAATCATATTTTATGAGATCGTCATATACATTTCGTTGGTGTGAGTGTCGGAATTTTATTACTAATTTTATATATTTATAAAGGCGCTACCATAAGTATGTGTCAACTATCCTGACATTAAAGTGATATTAATTTTACTTGACTCCGCTATAAGCGAATAATAATAATAGCACTTTGTTTCCAACAGGTAACATGACCCAATTACAGGAAATATTAAATATAAATCATCCAATATAATATGTAAAATAAGTAATCAAAAATGATAAAAAACCTCTCCATTAGTATAAGTCTTATAACAGGGTTCAGAACCAATTTTATTGCACGAAATTTATCTACGCCTACGATATTGAGAGGAACTGGATTTAATTTCCTATTTTATTACTCCACCTTTCTGAAATAGCCTGTAAAAATACGAAAATATTGAATCTTTACCAAATAATTATAAAATATTAACTTTTGCAGCACCGTTATTTTTATCTCGACACAATATTCGCCTACTTAAATGTCGTATACGCACTTAAAAACCGTTCCATATAATATTTATTAATCCGTTTCCTGAAATTTAGCCTAATCGCCATGGCAAAAGTGTCCCTCGACAACAACTTCGTTCCACCGGAGTTTAACAGAGACGGCGTACACGATATTGAGAAATGCAAACACCCCTTGTTGGCCCAGGTTTTTACCAATTTCGAGGAAAACAATTTCGTCTCGAAACGGTCGGCGAATTTAGTCAAAATCATAACTGGTCCGAACGGGAGCGGCAAAAGCATTTACTTGAAACAGGTTGCGTTAGTCATTTATTTGGCGCACGTGGGATGTTTCGTACCAGCGCAGAAGGCGAACGTAGGGCTCACGCGCAGCATCCATTGCAGGATACAGACGGTCGAGTCGGCGGCTGTTCGGCTGTCCTCTTTTATGATGGAGGTCTCCCAGGTAACGTACTCGATCCCAACTGCTATGGTCGTAAAACCTGAAACACCTTAGATGTATCAAGAGTTCCATTACACAAACCTCCAAAAGAAAATGAGGTCGCCGAAAGCAACCCCACATTTGCCACTGCGATCCTTCCTTAGTTCCTGACATGTCTATAGTGTGTTACATATATCAAAATAAATTTGAAAATAGGACACATGAACTTACCTGCCTCTCGCCACCTGAATCGAACTTCTGAACATTTTCAATTTCACATTAGCACAACCCGTTCGGTTAAGAATATCACCAAAGTTTCAGCCAACCACTTAGCATTTCGAACTATAATGTTTATTTTAGAAATTAAGTTTAACCGACAAAGAAATCTTGCAGCCCAACCTAGATGAAACTTCTGTTGGATCCTGGCAGAATTTTTTAGCAGCATTCTTTTTCATATTTCAAATTTTACAGAAAATTTTCTAGCATTGAATGCCTGGTACCTATTAACAATTTTATTAACTTGATATGATTTCAGACTTAACGGACTGCTTCATGACAGATTTTTTAAAAGTTTTGTGTTTACCTTCGAACCAGTGGATATCGTTTGCAAAAATTGTAGGGAATCTAATCAATTTGGCTAAAATTCTCAGGCATTTCTCCGGAATTCGCTTCTATGCGGCACTATAGAAAAGTGCGGCGATTGTTTTAACAGGAAAAGCCCGGTAGTGATGAGAATTGTTGTTTTTCCCTTGCACTTGGGGCTTGAATACATTATTTGCATGAAATAAATAAATCTAAATTCTTCAAAATTTTCAAAAGGCGCATAATCAAAATATTTAAATCTTTCTAGCATTTTAAAAAGAATCCGTTTCTTAGGAAAGAGCAGTGCTTATTTTTTCAAAAAACTCAATACACACATACTTACGTAACTATGTACAGGGCGAGCCAAATTCAAAGGGATACTGAAGGAAGCTTCAACTTTAAAATCTATTTTTTATATAGGACTGTATATTTTTGGATCATTGGAAAAACTTAAAATTACTTGAACTGAGGTGGCTTTTACTTGATGAAAATCCATTTATCAAAATAAATAAGAACTAAAAATTAAGATTTTCACGAAATTATATATTTGTACATAACAATTGTTTCGACAACACCTTGTCTTTAACAAATGTGATAAAGACACGGTGTTGTCGAAACAATTGTCATGTAAAAATATATAATTTGGTGAAAATCTGAACTTTTACTTCTTATTTATTTATTTTTTTTTTAAATTAGTTTCCTAAAAATATATAATACTATATATTTTGCTCGATTTTTCCTGGAAAAAATAGAAGTTTTCAACAAGTAGGTTTTGGACAACCTAAGATAACGCATTGATGTTGGTTATAAAGATTTAAGTTTTAGTTTAACTTTTTAAATAAATTCTAAAGAATGAAACAGATTACTTTTTTCTAGCAATCACTGGTACTGTGCGCATGTGTTTTTAGTCTATACCGACATTAGTTTCCGTGTTTCTCCTATATAATGATTGATCTCCCTGTAGGATACTTTTAGAATACTTTAATATACTTTTTTTGAAATGTCCCGTATGGTAGTAGTAGTAGATTCCTTCTCTGTGCCAGTAGAGGGCATTGTAACGTTAAATATCCACCTTACTATCCTACTTCTTGTCATCTCAAACTGGTAGCGACACCGGTCTGTTATTACAGCATCAGGGAGTAGTCTTTTTAAAATAAATGCTTTTTGTTGCCCGCTTTCTAGATAGGACAGGCGCTTCAGTACGCGTCGTCGGATTCCCTGGTACTCGTCGATGAATTTGGTAAAGGGACTTATGACCAGGACGGTTTGATTTTGTTGGCCGGTATTCTCAAAACTTTTGTAAGTTCGGAATCTTGTCCGCACATTTTGGTCGCTACGCACGAAACGGACATAGTGAAATACCTACCGAAGACTCCGTTGATCGAATACTTTTACATGGACTACATCAAAAACAAGGGTGAACCAATTTGTTTTTTGTATAAGTTGGTTAAAGGTAAGCCACAAAACGAAATTTGCAGCTCAATTTTTGACGTACCCAAATAGAAAAAATATTAAAAATTCTTTGAGTTTATGAGATATCCACCAGCAGCACATAATTTCCACCTTGATTTTTAAACCCAGTTTTCGGCAAAGTTTTCTTTTATTGACGATGATTAGACGGAATGCCGTAATAAATTGAAATGTTTTTTGTTCAATACTTTTTGCCCGATCTCTACTTGGAAAGTTACGATGGTTACGGATGTTAGAAACGACTTTTTAGTGACGCGAATTATGTTCAAGCGAAGACGAGATGACTTTTTAAAAACTTTATTTTCAAAATACAATCGAAAATTAAGAGTTTTCTGCAGCAGCAGTTACAACAAGAACAATCATATTACTTAAAACTAAGACTTTATAGGTTCGTATCCGAAAACCTGACGATGTGAATCTCACGGTCTCTTCGTAGTACCATCGTGGCCAAATGACATCGTAGATCTCACGGTGTCCTATCCTTATTACGTAGAAATCATTGTACATAACTCGCGATTGCCAAGCTTACCATTAGATGGCGTTTTCTGATATAATCGCAAAATGCTCGTAATTGGATAATCAAATAAGGGCTTTAATAATCCTCCCTAATTGTCTATTTATGTTTAATTATGATCAATTTATTAAAATTTCATTGTTTGTATTACTATTTATCCAATAAATATTTAGTATTTTCACTTTTTTTTTCAGAAATGTTGTTAATTTTGACGTATTTAAGTAGTAAAATATAAAAAAAACAGTGGAAGAGAAAAAAACTTTCAATTGACAGAAATAATTCATTTCTAGATTACTTAAATTGTTTAATAATTAATTATGTTAGTATTCAACACTTGATTGGTTTTCGTTAGTTTTCATGTCTAATTTGGTAAATTAGGCATGAACTTTACAGTTTTTAGTTTTAAGTCCCTATTGACTATGTAATGACGTATAAAAAGTCATATTCTTACATTTATTGTGAAATATATAAGAAAAGTTTCGAACACCCCCCATCAAAAACAGCATTAAACAAAAAAGATTTCAATTTTACTCAGCTTTAAAACCGCATTCACTCCACGGCCTCTATTCTTGAAAAGTGGACGGTGTTTGATGGAGTTTACCTGAACAGAAAACCTCAAATATTTTCATCAAAAAGAAGTGTGTCTAACCTTTTTTTTTAATCACTCCAAATAAATTGTTGCAAAATGAGAAGATTGTTAAGAATTAGAATTTATATAAATAATAATAATAAGCCTAGAAAACAGAATGCAATTGCAAGAGTAGTAAACTATTCTAATAATTAATAACCGCAAACAGTGTTTTCACTTTTAATGGCTATACTAAGTCGTCGATAAAAGAAAATAAGCCCTTTATGATTTTTTTTCACTCTATACAGTTAGAAATACAAACATTTAAAAATTGTTTTGAAACATACTTTGTACCCATAGTTCAGGTACACCTTGTATAGGTTACTATTAATATTAGCCACGTGTAGAGGGTAGAGTGCTAATAAGCGTTCTGGAAGCGGAAAACTGGGGGCTGGAGAGTGTATTTTACGTAACATTCTTAATACGCTAAGATTTTCGGGAATGCGTTAAACCCTTAATGCTTTCTAAATTCGTATTTTCAGGGGTCGCCAGGAGTTTCGCTTTTGAGGTAATTGAAAGCATCCTGAACAAGGAAATCGTGGAAAGGTGCAAATTTTTCTATAACCTTTTAAACGTAGAATTACCAGAGTAGTAAGGAGTTAATTTTTCATTTTTTCTTCTGTTGCACTAAACTCAGTTAAAGATAAAACGTTCGTAACATGTTTAGGGTGTGTTTTATTTAAACGGTAAAAACAATGTACGCCGACAACATTGAATTATGTGAAAAATATAACGGCTTTAGTAATCATCTCCTCGCGACACCACCTCTTTACACGTAGGCCTCAGCATGATTGTGTGCTCAAATTGGGCCGTGTAGCACCCCTTTATGTCGCACAACGGTGGGTAGTCGTCCACGACGCCCTTATCACAGAGGTCTTTTAGAGCCATCTGATATTTGGTCGCCCCCGCGCGATCCAACCATCTCTTGCAAAAAGCCAATGTGCCGAAATTTTTGTTGATGACGTTGAGCAGAGCCTTGGAAGATTGCAAACTGTGGTGGAAAAAAGACTTTCCTTAAAGGTTGTTACTTTTAACTAGTGAACTGGTCTTAAGAGCTTTCTACGGAGAATGGTTCACTGGGTAAAGTGTAAATTATATCAGTTACCACATATCAAGTGATAGGCCGTAGGAAGAAATAAGTAATGGTAATAAGTAGTGTTGATGAATCATCCAACAAGTTTGATTCATCAACAACCAACGCAAGAGAAGTCAAGAAGTTTTGTAAATAGTATTTCATGTATGTAAATTATACATGCTTTTGCTTTATGTCTATTCTGCAGTATTCAATAACCAAATAACCCTATGCCTATACCCTTTAAAGCTTCTTGTTTAATGAATCCCTCCACTTATTAAACATTCATTATCAATAGTAAGCGTGTAGGGCGGGCCTCCATTTGACATTGGTCATTATATCTCCTAGTTTTTTCATCAAGTTCACTTCCGACGATTTGTCTACATAGTTTTATTTTTCCTATATCCCTTATATATTTCCTACACTATCGCTCAAATGTCAAAAGTAAGTTCGGAAGACATTGATAGTTTTTATACAATAACATAAAAGTTATTTTTTGTAAATTCTTTAAAAATCAGGCAAATTTTTGCATTGAAACGCAAATGATGACGAATTTACTAACAATCTGTGAGCTTCTAAATTTCATTCTAAACTGCCTCTCAGGCCTTAACATTCCCTTGCAACAAAAATTGTGCCTTATGAGACTATATAAGAAAGCGAGAAATAAAGAAAAATAGGAAACAATATAGCAGGTGTTCAGAACATGTGTAGCAGCTACGCACAGACGGCGACAACACTTTAGTGCTAATGCAAAATTTCAAATAGTAAATAGAAAATTTTGACGGTATATTCAAATATGATAAATAGTATAAATATTCGATAAATATTTAAAACGCGCTCGTGAACTAACAGTCATATTTTTTTCATTTGTAATTTTAGCAAATTATTAATTTACTGATCTCTTCTGAATTTACTTCTGGCAGTTCAGCAATAGCGTATTGGAATATTGTAGAGTGAAGCTCTGACACCAATAATATCGATATCCCCGATATTCTTCCTAGTTTTCTGACATTTTGCAAGTAAAAAGAGCGTAAAATTTCAGCACAAAAAATGTCATTAAAAAAATGCAAGCTCAATTCCCTAATATTAGTTATTACTTCTGATTGTCTTACGGATGCAAATTTCGGGGAAATCCCGGCCAAAAATCAAATATTGCAACTTAGTTATTGTTGCGTGTTTTTCAATAATTCTTATTAGTTAGTCTAGAAAGTAAATTGTAAAAATCTATATAGAATAACCTTCATTTAATCATACAGTATTGTAGAAACAGGAAATTTTATATTAATGTAGTATAAATTTTTCAGTTACCAGTTGGTTTTCACCTTTTCTTTAGAGAAAAAGTTAGTACTTCCGCGCATGTCGGCTTTTAAACATTAATACATTTATTTTATATTTATTTTTTTCTTTTACAACAATAATAAATATTTAAAAAAATTAAAAAAGATTAATTATTTATTGCAAAAAGATTTGAGTTAACTAATTGATTGATCAAAGCCTGGATCGGGTAGTACAAATGATGGCAATACGGCTAGGTGTTTTTTTGAAAATTCTTTATTCTTAATTTCTTCATACAGATATGGAACACTCAGATCCCGAACAATGTGAAAAATTTTTGAAAAAAGTCCTTTGAAAATATATAGTTATTCACCTTTTTCCACATTTAATCTTTTTTTTTTTTAATTAGAGGTATTAGCGCTAGATTTTTGACCGAGATTTCGTCAACATTCGTTTATGTGAGCCTTTGCTATTATATCGATAACAACCGAACCTCTAACTGACAAAATTTACTTTACTTACTTTACCCAGTGACTCGCTCCCCTCTGTGGCCAGCTATCTGTTTAAACGTTTCTTACCGCAATGGTACGTAAGCCGCGTCAAAGTTTTTCATGTAGTGCGAGCACTCCATGTCGTCGTGCACGACTCCTTTTCCTGTGGACCCGAATGTCTCAATGGCGTAAAATTCGTTCTCTTCCATGACCGTCGCCTCGCCCCCTTTAACGATCGGGACGGTTTTGCCCGCGTGAATTCCTTAAACGACATATCGAATATTACCTCTGCTTGTTGGGACAAAAAGTTGGCAAAAAGAAGTTGAAAACTTAAACCCAAAATCGTTTCGTAGTTTATTAATATTGCAAAAAAATGCAGCGAAAATCACATGGTCCAACTGGACTAAGGAGATTAGTCCATGTCGATTAAGAGAATAGCGAAACATTTTTATAGAGAAACCTTAGGGGATTTTTTATATATATTTTTTAATTCAACATTAAATTGTTGTAAAAAGGAGTAAAGAAAAGAAGTAAAAAAAAATCAAAAATCTTCACTGAAAGTGAAACTATGAAACTAATGAAATTGGAAATCCTTGAAAATATTTATAAATATTAGAAAAGCAAAATGTAAAAAACCCGGGTATTTACTACGCACACAGACAGGTTTATTTGAAATATATCGGAAGTAAACCTTTTTATATGTCCACATATATAAAATTTGAATACAATTTAGAGTTTTTCAGAAAAAAATGCTTATTGGGAATGTCGACAATTATGTGAGCACTTATGAATTTGAACTTGTTTCATTGATAGTTTACAACATACGAGCAGAGAGACAAACAGTAAAGTTTTCCAATAGCAATTACAGTCATTCCGCTCAATATTCGACTTCGACAATCAATTTTTGGATCACCAGCGCACTATTGGTATTGGATACGGAAAATAATTACTTCAATTTAGGAATAATCGCTGTTGCTCTACTTGTTTATCCCACTACAGTCTTAAAGAAACGCAACACTGAACGGAAAACGCCCTTGTTGATGGAAGTAAAAGTCTGTCTTCAGTAATAAAAAAAAAAAGGTTTGCTTGGGTCAGGTTTCTTGAAAAAAAGTAATGCTGGGTATATATACTTGAAATGTTATGGGGAGGGCTGAAAGGTAAACACTCAGTACATGTATATACATCCATAAAGATTCTTCCACGCAGGCATGAAACTAGGGCATATACACAGAAATGTTAGCTTCCAGCAGGCAATAATTTATTTAGGGCCAAAATTTTATAATCTGCTTCCTATATGAGAGGCCAAAATCTATATTCGTGAAAACTTTGGCTGGTAAACATATTCTTTATTGTTCAGTTAATTTAACTTTTCCGATTTCAATTAGGATTTAATCATTGTAGGTTTGTAATTTGATGAATTAGTTGGGCTTTAACACATACAGGTTTTTTAAACCTAGGTGTATAGGTCAACAGTCATTCCAATTGCAATACTGAAATAGTGTAATAATAATAATAATAACAATAGCTCTTGTGAAAGAACTATTTTATGAAAATTGTAACACAAAAAGCGCTATGAAAATTTCTGTCAACATTTGTCATTGCTTAACATAAACTCTTCATTGTATTTTTAGTACTTACGATAAGGTGAGATCGAATGTCCGTTAAGGTTTCGAATTGGTTTAACTTGATAAGTTTTCCCATCCAATTCCACTTCATATGACTCCATCACCTCTTGAATTTGAGCACCAATTTCACACAATTGAACGTCAATGCCTTAAAGTGCACATTTATTACTAATACAATATAGTAGACATCCACTTGTAAATAAAAAGCAATTAAGTAATAAATAAAAATAAATAAAACTTTAAAGTGAACAAATTTAATTATACCAGAGTGTTTCTAATTTGCAATTTGTTAATGGCGGTGTACAATATCCTGAAAGGGAAAAAATTTACAAATCTTCTGGATTCCTCCTGCACAGATTTGTAAATAGTATTATAGTAGGCTGTGGAAGTTTATTTAAAAAATTAACGAGAAATAAAAATTTACAAAAACAATAAACAAACCAAAAGTGATTATTGGTGAATTTTAGAAGTTTTGATCTAAGACGCTTTGTTAAAAAAATATTTTAAAAACTCAAAAATTATTTTTACATTTTTGCAAATTTTAAAAAAGAATGAGAGCAGGAAATTGAATTGAAAATTATTTGTGTGTTTTTATTTAAATTTTACTAAAAAATTGGGATTTTTCATATACAAAAGCAGTAATATATAGAAAATTTATTGAAAAATGTCATGTTACAATAAACTATAAAAATATTTCATTTAGAAAATACAAAGTTTCTACTATAATTGAATCCATATAAAAATTGCAAAAAAAACTAAAGGAGAACGGTATATAAGTTTTTAATTGTATTGGGTTAATATTACTTGGAAACTTTTTGAATAATTTTATATTAAACTTTTTAATTATATTTCTTCAATGCAAGAAATTTTGGGTCCATTTCATCATTAATACATTATACATTATTAGAGTAACAACATTATGTCTTGCATAATTACCTAAATGTTCTCTTATATAAATTAAGTAATCCAATATTTCTGTTTTACATCAGCTCTATATGTTCATTTGCATGAGGAGACTGGCTCCATATTATTGCTATTGACTCAAACAAGAAGAAATAGATCAAGCGTTTTTAGTTTTAGTTTTTTGACAGATATTGATATGAGGTTCAAATGAACTTTTGGGATTAAAGTGAACTCCCAAGAACTTTATGTACTGATAACAATTTGTTCTGTCTTTAGTGTATCGAGTTTTTGCTTCGGCCCATTGCCATATTTAAAGCTTCAATATCTTTATCCTCATCCACTTCCTGTGGTATTATTGGCACTTCCACTTTGGGAAACCCTGGTTTAGATAGTGTCCAATTTGAGAGATATTTACTGTATAATAACTAAAACTTACCCGCAGCTTTAATGCCCGTATTAGTAGCATCTCTAACAGCTTCAATGAGCCTATCGTATTTTGGATTGAATGTGTGCGTAAATGCACAATCAATTATCCTTCCATTGATATGCGTTCCAAAATCAATTTTAACAACATCGTCATATTCAAAGACTGTTTTGTCGCCTGCATTTGGGGTATAGTGGGCGGCACAGTGATTCCTTGAACAACCCGTTGGAAATGCTAACCCTGATTTTAGCCCGTTTTCATCAATCAGTTTTCTAGCAACGCTTTCCAAAGTTTCGCATATTTCTATCATTGTCATGCCCGGTTTTATCCAGTTTTGTATATACTTTCGAGTCTAAAAAATTGAACAATTTTTATTTCATGGACATTTAGGTAATTGCTATGTATCAGTAGGGAAGTAATTAAGAAGGACACTGGGGCCTATCTCGAAAAGGAATTGTGGTAAAAATTTGGAGAAGAAATTTATGACTAAAGCGGCCAAAAGAAAATGCCCCACCAGGGGGAATGATCTCATGCTTGAATTTTAAATTATTGCTCTTAGGGACAAGTGGTGGTGTTGGAATATTTTCAGAAAAAAATGTCAATAACTTCAGAATAGTTGAAGATATTTTGTTAAAACTTGGAGTCATTGAAAAGGGTTTTCACCCCAAGTCTTTGACAATTACTTTTCAAAATAGGGTCGAGTGTCCTTTTTAATTGGCGACCCCATATATTCCAATTTTCCATTGTCTGCTTTGGCTTTGATAATAAAAAGAAATTCGATGTTCGCAAAACTATCATATCCTGGAATTAAATCAAACATGAACATGAAAAAAAAAACTTATACTATTTTTTAAACTTAAACATGAGATGTAACTGAGTAATCCATACTTGTCTGTGGGCCTCGGCAGCCAATCTAACTTCATTGTAAATATCATTATGCATTCTGTCCAAAGCACGTTTCTCTTCAGATGTAAATCGATCTCTAGCAGTTCTATCATCATTCACGACAGGGTAATCTTGAATTTCGCCCACGGGATACACTCCATCAGAGTACAAGTTAGCAATCGGGATAGATGGGGGATCCGTTTGTGTAAGTTTCCCACCCTTTTTGCGGTTACGTTTCTTTTTTTTCTTTTCGCCCTCCTCCGATACCTTCATTTCAGTTTCTTCGTGTTCATCTTCCTGATTTGCCGGAGGATCGGTATCGGCTGCATCTTTTTCACCTATTAAAATTTAGTTAGATTTTATAAATAAGAGTAAGCGCACAATTTACCCTTTTTCTTTTTCTTCTTTTTCTTTTTCTTTCCAATTTCTACGGTTTCTTCAACAATCTCAATTTTGTTTTCATCTTGGTAATCATTTTCTTCGATTTCTTCGGATTTTACTGCAGCCATGCTTTAAAAAAATGCACCCACTATAGATAAAAGAGATTGGTTGGTTTTAAACCATCATAGAAACGATTTTCTTCCTTTTGAGTGTGCTTTATCTGAGAAACATAACTGGGAATATCCGCCCATTGCCGGTGTGGGGAGAGAATTTAATTGTTAAATAAAACTTGAGTTATTTAACACAAATAATAGGAATGTGATGAAATATTAAAAAACCGAAGAGTGAATTTCGAAAATAATCAATACATAATTTTGACTATTGATACGTGATTTCATTATCGGGTGATCTAGTTTCATCTTCATAAACTTTAAAAAGAATGCAAAATGCTGAAATTGTAAAAAAAACAAGTAACTTTAAAAAATCTATATTATCGATAACCATGAAATATACAAATTTTTGTTAAATGAACATTTTTTTTAGCTAGAACGAACTGTTATAAATTTTCCGGGTTAGTTAAAAAATATTTATCGTAGACATTCTTCAAAATATCCCAGAATACGAGGCACAGTACCGTATGGGGACCTAATCTCAAGTACATTGGTCCAATCCCTTTGTAGAACGCCAAAATACCTTCGGTTTTATAAATTCTAACTATGCAGTCGCCGTAGTTTCTATACAATAAGCCTTTTCCCTTTTCATCCGTTGCTGAAAAATAGCAGATCACGTGATTAGGGCAAACTCGACTATTCTTATCGCTTAACAATAACAATAATAATGTTTACTTATATAAATAATTCGATAAAATAAATCAACATTTGTAAAATAACGAAAAATCCACATCGGTCTTATGTTTCTGTGAAATGAGAGCTAAAGCGAGCTTCTTCTTTCGATTAATTATTTTCTTAATTTTCATATTCACTTAAGAAGTGAGAACTGTACTTCAGTCTGTTTTTGATATTAGTTTTGAACTGACAATTTCTTCATTTCTTTTTAAATAATCAATATAAAAAATTAGTTGAATGTTATGGACAAGAATGCTTTATATGTGTATAATGTGGTCGACCCCAGCTATACTATAGAAAAACTATTTTATGATATCGATAATAGGCTAGTGTACTCTGCCTCAGTGAATCCACTGCTCTTTTCCACACACTCTTTGTGTAAATTGAATAGTAGAATGTTTTAAATTAAATCATGCTCAAACGATCCTTTTTATTTTACAAAAGTCAAGTAAACTTTAAATAAAATAATCTTATTGTTTGTTTTTTATTCTATACCAGAAATAATATGTATAATTGTGCTCATAAACAGGACCCAAATGAAAGTCCTTAATATTTCGGACATTTAGAATTTAAACGCCGAATTTGGTTGTTTGCTGTTATTGATATTTCCATTTGAGACGTGTTTTGTTCCTGAATATTAATGGAAAGGAAAGCAGTTTTGTGGTGTTGAGTCTGGAATAACCAGTTGCGATCGTCCTAACCTGTTTTCGAAGGTAAGTTACAGCTATAGCTACGGACTGCGAAAACCCGGTCTATCGATCCTTAGGACTTGAAGACTTTTCAGCAAGAGGTGTGTCAGAAAAGACCTCTAAAGAAAAAAAAAGACCTCGCTCCAAAATTTGTGTGTGTAGTTGGCAGTGATTTTTCTCAAAAATTTTAAGTTTTAATTATTTAAACTACCTACGTTGCTTCGGGAATATTGTAATTTGAATTAGAGATGGCGGTCAATGAGATCTATCGGATATTAAAAGCCCCCCCCTCCACCTCCAATCCGCGCACCCAACCATTTAATTGTAATTTTTTTTTGAAATTTTTGAGCCTCTCACATAAACCGTTCGAGATGGCGAATAGTGTAACTTCTATTAGACTTTTTATGATCATCCGATAAAGGATAAAGCTATATAACATATAAATTTCAATTTATCATGATTATTAATAAGAGATATAGACCGTCGAGTTTTGGGCCGAATAACCCGGCCCAAAAGTGGATTTCGACGTAATTTCCCAAAAGCATGTAGAATTTTCCTATAGGTTTTTTTGAGATGAAAAATCTGAATCCAAAACTATTTTTTAACAATTTTGATAAATTATTGACATTTTATCCAGAAACACAGCATACAGGGAAAGATCCAACACTTCCAAATGTAAACGTGATTGGCTGAGCCAAACCATAAAAAACCCGTTCTATTGGCTGGATTATAGCAACCAAACCATTCATAAATATTTGACTTATTTTGTGAATAAATTGTCCTCTCCACTTTATCAATTTTTATTTCTGAAAGGGCTTGATGAAATATTTAAGTATTCAGTCAAATATTCAAAGTTTCAATATTTAGTTTTACATGTAGTTTTATTGGTACTTACGTTGATTGTACAGCCTGGTCAAAATTAAGTCAAACGGGGTCATCGCTATTGTAAGAGATACTCCACCGACCATGCTTCCCAAAAAGGATTTTAAAAGGAAATGTTCCGTGATGCCGTAAGATTGTATCAGTTGTTTGGCATACTCAAACGATATCAGTTGCGCGGAACCCCCGACGAACGCTCTGGGAACACTAGCTGCGCCTCCGCGAAATAATCCCCTAACCTTAAAAAATTAATTAAAGTTAATGAAAGCGGGAACAACCAAGTCGTTGAAAGTGTTGTATTGGTTTTCCTTATACAGCGTACAGATATAGAGGTCCTGGCTATGCTGATAATACAGAAACTTATAAAGCAACTATGAACAAAAAAATTGAGAAGGTCCTTTTAATCTGCGCATGCGCGAGATTTAAAATATAGTTTTTTTTCCACTGATCTTGAGGCATTCAACATCGCCGTTGACATACATACATCGCGGCTATGATATTTTCCGTAGTGTGGCCACTATATGATCTAATATGTACATACAGCTACTAGAGATATATAGGCCCTGCCTATGACGATAATATAGGAACTTATGAGCAACCATGAAAAAAAAATTGATAGAGAAGATTTAAAATCTCGTTTTTATCTAACGACCTAGAGACATTCAACAACCAACACGGAGGCTGACAGATCGTCAATAAGTTTGGATGCGGTATTTTTACAAGCCTATTGTCTCAAAACACATCTAGATCTCGTTAAATGTTCTGGGAGAACGAGTGTGTGGAAATTGTATATGTATATGTATATAGTTTCCAATATATAAAGTGAAAAATCGTAGAACTCCACCAACAATATAGTATATTTATTAAATTATACAGGGTGTCCGCAAATGATATGCAAAAAAAATCTAAGGCCTGAGTTTACTCAAGAAATTAAGTGGTGGTCACAGTTTATGTTTTGTGACGGTCTGGCAGACGGTCGTTGTGTGCTTTTATCTGGATTTAAGACATGCGCAACAAACATTACCGCGTTTGAACAGAAAGGCACAATATGAAAAATTAGTTAAATGTATTAAGGAGATTTGCCAGATTGCCTCAACACTTTTCTAGAGTATGGTTTTATCTTTTGCATTCAAAGAACTATTGTTTATAGGCCTTTTAGCTTATCTACCTTTTAAGGTTGCCATAAGATTAGGTTAGTTTCATACCGCTAAGATGCACAGAGTGCCCTCGAGTGCCAAATATAACTTAAAATTTAGAATAATTCCCGAATTCTGGAGGCGTAACATTTTTTTCAAGATCAAATAAGTTATGGGAATAGGCAGCCCGTTTGGAAATGAATATAAATGTAAAACGTAGAAATCAAAAATGATACAATATATTCTCAAATTAGAGATGGGTGTTTTAAAATTTGCGAAAAACTTTTAACAAAGAGTTCGAGGTTATTTTCTTAAAGTCATGGACATTTGGCTTTGGTATTAAGGGTTTTATGCCAAATCTGGTTGAAAGGACATTAGTAATAAGTGTGCTAAATTTAAATTAGATTCGCAAACTGGAAGAAAAATTATTAAAATCAATTATAATGTGGGGGCCTTACATAAGTAGCGATAGCAGTTTCAAATATCGACTTACACCATTACCTTCCGACTTCCTCAATTGATGAGCTTACCCCGTAACCTTCGTAAATAATTTTTAGTGCTTTCCAAGAACCTTCGTGGTTATGTTGAAATCCCACAGCAATTTGCGACGCAGCTTGAGCCTGCATGTGAGTTTTCACTAAGAAAAACGGGTTGCACAAGTACTGTCCTATAGTCGCGCCAACGCCAGTCACTAGAACACTTTGAAAAAACACTATCCTTCCATTTTTGTCCTTTAATAGGCCGCGGGAATTCGCCCAGTCGAATACACCTGAAAAATAAATATTTGCTTATGTAATATTTAATATGCTGAGATATTAATAATAATAAATTATTAAATACTGATAATTTTTTTTGAACATCATTATGTTGGTTCACGAATATGTTTGACAAATTTTGACAAGTTACTTGTAGAAATTTGGTAGGAATAAAGTAATAGTGGACTCTGATATTCGAATCCTTTCATTAGGTTCCGAAAATTTTCAGCTGTTAACTAGAAATCTTAGTTGCTATAAATTTATTATATCGATTTATTACATCCAGAACATTTGTGACGAGTGACTTAAAAAGTTTACCGAACGTGTTGCATACTATACTTTTTCTACGACCGTTAGTTTTTGGGTACATTTTCGCAAAACACGAATACATTCACTGACATGACCGTCAGAATTGACCAACGTCAAAATTCAAAGCGTGGGAAATATCTCCGAAAACATCCGATTGTTCCCAAATCGGTGCGGTAAAATCCCGGAAATGTCCGAAGTGGCTCGGATTCATGGGAAACGAAACTGACGTGGTAACGTGACGCTTCCCGCACGCTAGATCGGTGGGTAATTAGGTATTTTACGATCTCTTATTCAATTTCTAATTTATTTTCGCGGAAGATCTATACAGAAAAATAAAAAATTTCCGTCATTTATAACTCCAAATTATTCCAAACTAGAAAAAAGAGGAAAAATATATCACCGACTCTTCACTCTAATGACGATAAATTCGTAGAACACAAATTGGCAATCCATTTTCAACTAAACACAAACTGTTTTTAATGTGGGAGAAGTTGCCAATCAATTTTTGATAAAGACAAATGTATTGCACAACTTTTCGAACAAACTTAATTCAATTTAGCTCTATTGACTTGAGTATTAAATAGTTACGTTTTAAGGTTTTTTATAATTTCCTGGTTAAATCGAAGTCTGGCAACACTGTGCGGATATATGTGATGTGATATGTGAAAAACGTATAGAAAGTTCCAATAAATTAAAAACTGTCTTAATATAGAGGGTGTTCAATTAAGAATAAAGGTGTTACTTGACTAAGGAAATACCACCATCCTGTAGATATAATAATATAGTTTTTAAAAAGTATAAGTGAATCGAAATGACTTTTGTCTCCAAGTTTTTTTGATGTTTTTCACAGGCTTTGAAATATAAGGTATCATCCCATATTAAAAAAGGCCAGCCACTATACTTTCGATCTGTGCTTAATCCCCACTGTCATTGACTTACCTAACCTAGTTCCATTCATGATCAGTTGAACCCAAAGTGCGGGCACTAAACCTTTCTGAAGTCCCAGCATGCCGTCGTTTCTCAAAACCACATAACCAGCGTGAAACACGTTCTTATAGTGGATGGCGTGTTGACCTTTGGCTTTCAGTTCACCCTGTAGTTGCAGACGCGTTTTCAATACTTCCAGAGGATTCGTAAACAAACAGGCACCCATCGCTGCGGTGCCGCCGATAACAAATTCCATATTTCTTATTTTCACAACCGACGAAAGGACACTCGCATTTAATTTGCGCGTAAAAATAAGACAAATTTATTATCAACATGTATATCTTTCTTAATACTTGTAGTATACACAACGCGAAGGTTAAGTTTTGACAAATAAGTGATAAAATCCGTTTCGTACACTCCGCGCAGTGCGGTATTATTGAATTCTGGCTCTGTATGTTTTACATCATTCGAACGACGAACTCTTGTTATAGAGAACGTCAAGTTTGTTTTCGTCTTGTCCATTTGCTTCGATTATGGTTTGCGACACTTTAAGTGCGTCATTTGAGTGTACGGCGACAATCCTCGTAGTATATTAATAGAGCGCAGGTCCGTATTGCTATTTTTTTACCTTCGGAAGCAATTTTGTTGAAAGTGTGAGTGAGCAGTCTATACATTAATATTATACGATCTCTTGTTCTTTGCATCAATATAAAGTTATGTATGAAGCAGAGTGTGATTTAAGAACGTAAATAAGAGAAATTGGACAATTCACAGCTTGTCTTAAAGTAGTTTATCGACAGACGATAAAAAATGTGAACACAATACAGTGCACAGTGTTTCACTACTTGCGTTAGTTGAGTGAAGAAAAGTAGGGTGTAGAAATGACCTTGGGTGCGGTGATATTATGGTGACGTTGCATACTTTTAGGGAACTCGATCTATCGAACCACTATCGTTGCTGTAATGCGTAAGGGTAGTATAATGGGGATTATTTTCTTTATCATACACTTTAAAACATAATACCAAATAATTTTAACAACACATCGTTTTATATTAAATCGTTTGTTAACTGGTACTTTTTTTGGAAATTGTCATTAGCCAGCTGACCAGTTAAGATATACTAAGTAATAGTTGAATAACGGACTAAGGAAGGGGAGCATTCGTTTTTGTAATTAATTTCCTTTATTTATCTATCTATCTATATCTATTTTAATTTATATTTAATAATTTTTTTTTATTTTGACCTAAATGTTTATGATATATTTTCACTAATTTCGAGGGTTACAGTTTTGTGTTGTATATAGAATTGGCAGAAGAAAAAATGTTTTTCTGGGTAAGTATGGCATTTAGATCTTTTGCATATCTCATTTTGTTTTATAAACAACTCATCTAATTATACAGATAAAATATATAAATTGTTAAAATATTGTTAATTTGATTTTATTATTCCTATGACATGATCATGTAGATTTTTCTGTTTTATTTAGAAATAAATTAAAATAAATCAGTTTTTTGGTATTATTTATGTCAAAATAAAAAGTATTGGCTAAATGTATATATTTAGGTAAATATAACATGTGGTTGTTTTTCTTGAAATAATACTACAGAAAAAATACATACTTACCCCTTTTTCCTGATCATTAAAAGAGATCAAAAGAGTCCCGAAGAAAACGATCAAGTAAAAGTATAAAATTGGCTTTGTAACATACGTACAATCCTCAAGTTAAGCATTAAACAATAAAGTTATAATATTTTTCTGTGTTAACGTTGACTGAAAATGGTTGTATCCGATTTTTTCAGGCAGACAAAAAAATTGGTGTTTCACCTAGATCTCGAAAATAACTACTTAAAAACAGCCATCGCAGTTATTAAATCGTTGTAAAAAAGATAAATTTTTAGGATAAAGTTTGTTGAAAGTGATGGTGTTACATAGAAATAAGCCGAAAATGTATTGAGCATAATAAAATACGAATTAATGTATGTTTATATTTTAATTAAAATAAATATTTGATACAAATGAGAGAGCCACACACTTAAACAGTAAAACTGTTTAAAAAATAGAATAGAATAGAATAGTTTTTTATTTATCACGTTTATAAAATCTAGTGTTAATTATCAAGGGCATAATTTTTTTTTGTTTAAAAATGAACTTAAATGCCCTGAAAATTATAGCTACGATTAAAACCAAATAGGAGACTGATTTTCGTATATTGGCGTATATTGGACGCGTTAGACTAGCACCAAATCGTTTCGAGCGTATTGAGCGTGTAACGACTTCAGCTGGTCCCAAAAAATCAAGCATAGCACGGTATGGGGTCCTAATCTGAGGTACATGGGCCCTATTCCTTTGTAGAAACCCATCACTCCTTCGGAATTGTAAACTTTCCTGATGCAGTCCGCGTAGTTTTTGTACAGGATTCCTTTTCCGTGGCTATCGATCGCTGAGACAGTAAATAAAACTATTAAACATTCAACCTTGATGTGATAACATAGTAAAAGTTCCAACCTTGAATCACAAACAGGTTTAAAACATTTTACCGACGATTTTTGGAAATTTAGTCGGTTATCAAATGACTAAGGTGTTTATAAGAACTTTCTGCTAGCCTCACTCGTGTTCGGTTTGTTTCAGTGTGCACCACTCTTTTAAGTTAATTTGAATTTTTAATTTTTCAAAGATACTGAAACTGTTTCAGTCAAGCTCTGAAGAAGCCAACAGGATGATTGGCGAAACGTTAGTAAGTTGGACTCAAGAACAGCCGAAGCAGAAGGAATCCAGAAGTTTTGTAAATTGATTTGACTTATTTTTTGAGTTTAAAATACATTGACAACCAAGTGATAAATCGATAACTTTGCTTTTAACGTTGCAAACAAGTGTTTTATTCTTTGTGCATCTAATAATCATTGTAAGACATTGCTGAAACTTTGTTATACTCCTGGACTCTCATACACTTATGCATATATTGATCATATAGTTACTGTACAAATATAATATGTTCGTGTTATAGCGACATCAGTGAATTAATGGAAGATAAGAAAAATAAACAAATTCAGTTTAGGAAGTTTCGTCTGGCAACATTCACACCAACGAAAAGATGTTGCGATAATTCTCTACCATCAGCTATTATTTTAAAAGTACTCTTTTTCTCTAATATTATTATCTCTAATACTATTATCCGAATTTTACTGCGCAAGAAACTGTCGACCGATGTTACTGAATGACTGGAGTAAAAAGGTCTACCGTTTTTAAATTAATGAGGTAGAGAACGAGAACCTCCCAAGAAAAGTCTAGGCAGTAATAATCTTTGACAAAGACACCAAAAGTGTAATTCGAAGTTCCCTATTTTTATTTTAAAAAAGAAATACCCACCCTGGATAACATTTTAACGGAGCTTGGTCAGAATGATAATTGTTCCTAGGATTATTAGAAAAAATGTATGAACTGCTTTAAAAAAATGTGGATTGTACCTGGCAAAAGTCTAGCAATACTTGAGAAATACAAAGCAGTACCGAAATAGCAGACAAAAATCTTTTGATGGAACGTCTGTAAAAGAAGTAATATTCGTCCTAATTGAAAGTGAAGGGAGATTTTTAGAAGAAGGTTTGCTAATCTTTTACTCATGCCATACGAAATTACCTTGAGAACATGCATTCGAATGTTTTTGAAGACTATTTAGCCACCATGAAATGATAAAATATATTCTGGCTCATTCAGTGCTAGTTATGGATAACGTTAGCCATCACGCATCATGACTGGAGAAGAAGAGATTATCTACTGTTGAAGTGCCAACGTTATATCTAAAATGTCATTTCCATTTGATTGGAAAACAATATATGTTGCATCAACAACACCTATAAAATACTAAGATCTTTGCAGCTTTTAATGCAGGATGCTCCATCGTATAGATTCTAACAAAAACAGATGCGTTTTCAAGATTTTTAAAATACGCACCAACTTCTAGAGGTGGAAAAGGCATTTTTTTAGAAATAAAGTCTTAATGTGATTGACGGACAATATTCATTCATTCATATTGAATTAGCAATTATTATTGACATTTTAAAAATAATTTATCTTATTTTAACAGTAAAATTAAATTTCATTAATATTTTATTATTTTCAAAACAATTGCGTATAGTAAACTTACGTTGATTGTATATCCTTGTCAATATAAGATCAAAGGGTGTCCCCACCGCGGTCAGGGCGATCCCGCCGACCATGCTTGCCAAAAACGATTTTAATAGCGGTCGATCGGCAATGTAGTCGTATCGTTCGAATCCCAATTTCGCATATTCAAACGAAATTAGTTGAACAGGTCCCCCGACGAGAATTCTGGGAACCGACGCCGCTGCGCCCCTGAACAATCCGGCAATCTAAAACGTTTTTACTATTTACAAAACTTCTGGATTCCGCCAATCATCCTGTTGGCTTCTTCAGAGCTTAACTGAACTTAACAGTTTCAGAGCTTAACTGTGTAGTAGTCTGTGGAAGTTTCTTTGAAAAAAAAAGAAGACGTTTTATGTTAAATGTAAATATACCTATATCGATATCCCATTTAGGAGGCGTAAAGTCCCATTTTAAAACTAAAATGTCTATACTCTACACATCTTGCGTTTTAAAAAGAATAATATTTGCTACTCAACATATAAGAGTTTGAATTCCGAATACTGAATGCTAAAAACTAAAATCCGTAAATAGCTGGCGAAAAAAAGACTTCCTTAATCGGCCGTGGTTACTACGTAGAGCAAATCATAACTTTGCAACTGAACTGTTGTAAATCATTATTGAACTATCAAATTTAGTAGCCTTAGCCGTATTCCATAGGAGTAGTATAGTGCCTATTAATTAATACAAAACATTCCAAAGTGGGGTCAACATATGAAACCACAGAGTGATTGATAACAACTATGTGTTCATACATATATTGAGTAAACAGTTCAAAATTTTCCACTTTTTTATTTGCTGTATCAGTAGACAATGAAAAATTGAACTAATTCGACCGTTTATTCGATGTAAACGTTATTAAGCGCAGAAAAAATGTATAAATCATTGTTTTTCTACTCCCGTCCTTAAAATGCCTAATTACACACCGATCTAGCGTGCGGGAAGCGCCACTTTACCACGTCGGTTCGTTTCTCACAGATGCGAGCCACTTCGGACATTTCCGGGATTTTACCGTACGGGTTTGGAAGTAGTCGAAAGTTTTCGGAAAAATTTCCCACGCCTTGAATTTCAACGTTTGTCAATTCTGACGGTCATGTCAGTGAATGTATTCGTGTTGTTTTGCGAAAATGTACCCAAAAACTAACGGTCGTAGAAAAAGTATAGCATGCAAGACGTATGGTAAACTCTTTATCTCACTCGTTTATTAAGCACTCGCTTCTCTCGTTTGAAATAAACTAGTGAGTCAAATGCCGTTTATCGCACTTGTTGCATAATATACTATTTTCTACTCTCTTCTGTAACATACCTAATTACACACCCATCAAGTGCCACTTTACGACGGATCCGTCCCACTTCGGACATTTCCGGGATTTTACCGCAGAGGTTTGGGAGCAATCGGATGTTTTCGGAGATTTTACCGCACGGTTTGAATTTTGACATTTGTCAATTCTGACGGTCGTGTCAGTGAATGTATTCGTGTTCTACAAAAATGTACCCCATTTGTTGCATAATATACTATATTCTTTAAAATAAATTGGATATCCAAAATTGTGTTTTCATTAATGGTAATGAATGTTATCGCTGAAAAAGACTATGTATTTTTCAAATTAACTTACGTACAGCTACGCATATCTGTCCAGAGTTAAACACATTGTATATTGTTTATTGATATCTGTAAAATCATTTTTTAAATATACTATTTTAAGTATTGTAAATTAAAATTTTTGTGCCCAAAAAATCTGCTTCTGTGCAACTGTATGTGTAGAGAATGAGTAATGTGTTTATATGTACGCATCTCCGATATATTCATATTACTGCATATATGAATGGTAATATATTACTATATGTTATGATAAAAGACTGAATGTATTGTATGGTCTGTTGATAGATATAAGAAAGTGACCAATTGCTTTTAAATGGGATTATCCAAGGCTGGTCATTAACATACAATGCAACAAGATTATTACCTAAAGTTTCGGAATTTAAATTCAGGTAAAATTGTGCTCCGTAAAAGAAAACCTACCTGTGTTTAATATTTTCTGGTCTGGTATACTACTTAGCTTAAGTTTATTAGTAATCATTCTTATTTCGTGTATAATACAGCGTGTGTTAAATCGTGTGAGGATTATGCAAAATATGTGTGAGTCTAGTGTATCTCCCGCTCCCACCCAAATGTAGAAAACACAAGTTATAAACAATGTTTATTTGACTCTCATTGAACGTGGTGCCAGCAAGCAAGCATTCTTAGAATAAACGGCCACATTGACGAAAATTCCAACATCAACTGTATGGAAAATTGTGAATAATCCCATTTCGACGAAAAACAAAAGAAGCGATGCTGACATTTTCTCGAGTGTAGATGAAAGTGATCAAGATATAATACGGCGTAAAATTTAGCAGTTATACTATTATAATATAGAATGTAGTTATAATATAGAACAAATAATAATTAGAACAGGCGATGATAGCGATATCGATACTAATAATATTTTGTGAATAATTTTAAGTAATTTAAGTAAGTAATAAAAATAATTTGTAATTTTATTTTAGATTTAAACATAAATACATACATATATAAATAAATATTGTTTAATATCTTTCCTAACAAAACACCAAATAATTAAATTCTAAGCAAAGTACTTGACGTACCTTGGCTTTAGTGTTTAAAATTAATATTATAACTACTTTCCGCTGGTTGTTGGCAAAGGGCGTTATTGAAAGTGGCTGGTGTTTTCGAATTTATTGCTGAGAAACTGATTAGTAAAACTGCGTTTTCCAAAAATGAGAACATTCTGATTATCAATGTGTTCAAAGCTCTTCGCAACCAATACTCAACATACGGAGTTACAGTACAGTAGTTGAGGAGTACAGGAAAAAGAATATTTGGACAAATGGAGGAGATGCCGTTAGTAAAACATGGCAATGTAAAAACTTAAAAGCGAAAGGCAAACTTTCATGTAATACAAGCGCCGTCGGGAAAAGGTAAATGATCTGGTAGCAAAAATGGATTTGTCGGTTGCGGCCTACTGACATTTGGATCGGAATGTACTGGAGACCATCATAAAAACATAGATGTTCATGTTTTTGTTGGTGTTTCTATTATAGGCCTGGATAACGCCACCTACCAATTAAGAACGTGCGAAAAAATACATACAAATCATTTATTCGCTTACTTTAAAAAAGAAGCGATTTCAGAATGATGCCGTAAAAAACGAGCTACTGGAGAATGTAAATTTGAATAAACTTCGGAATAAACGTACGAAATTTGTTGTTGACGGAATTCCACTGCAAATTAAACCCCATGGAATTGGTAACGGCGCAAGTAAAAGAGTTTGTGGCAAGCCATACCACAACTTTTAAAATGGGGGACGTAGAAACCCTTTTGCAAGAGGGAATAAATATGTCGAACATATGATTGAAATAGAATAGAAAATGTAGGAAGCTGAGGACCGCTTATTATTTCTCTGGATTCCAACGATTATGGTTCACTAAAATTTGCAAATAAAGTTGTAAATGGCAGATTTTTTTAAATAATATTTATTACAATTTATTTATTTTCATTTTATTATAACATTTTTACTTCTTATATACGTTTTTATTTACTTGATCTTACAAAAACTAATATTTCAATTTTTTCGCCATATCTATAATTATAATGATGTATACTTATTATTATATTTATTTTTTTTAATAGAGTATCTGTAAGTAACGTCGTTGTCACATTAGTGTCATTCGCCAAACTCGTTTTTCTGGTATGCAAATTAGTGTGACGCTAATGTAGGAACCATTCGAGGTGTGTAGGTCTAAACAATTGAGATACACAATTTATCAAAAACTATTATTGCAATTGATCTCAACTTTAACGATATAACCGTTAAGTTAAGTTTTATCATGCCATTGCAAATTTACATTTTATTACTTTCTCGCATTAAGAAACAAGTTGTACACAATTAATTTGTTGTTCTTTTGTTAATTCCTGGTGCTATGAACAGAGTTTCATTAAAGGAAAAGAATCGTTTATTTTTCGTAATTCTTTACTTCATGGAAGACAAAGCTATAGTGCTGCAACAAAAGAATTATGCGATTTGGCTATGGTACTCTTCACTTCTGTAAAAAAAAGTGTAAAAAAAAGAAGGAAGCGTAAAGATTTGGGTGCCAGCAATATTTTAACGAAACAGAGGGGAAATTCAAAATTACATACAAAATTTTTTCGTGAAGTAAATTATAAACAAAAAACCAGGAAGTTTTAAAAGCATTCAACAGTGCTACTCCCCAATATTATTGTGCCGACAATTCTCTATAATGCATGTCACCAAAATTAAATATTAGATCACAAAATGCTTCACTCACTTTAAGTACTAATTTTATAGATTAAGAAAAATGTGTTAATGAGACACCCCCTGTATATTTAGAAATATTTGCTTAATATCTTGTTATTGCAGAGCATCCATGGCATTATATAAAGCTGTATATTATAATATATAAGTGTAAATATATATACCAAGTAGAGGATAAGTAATATTTGAAAACTTATTTTGTTTAACTTTTAAATTCGTTAAATTAATTATAAAACTTTTATGCCAATATTATTCTTTTTGAGAATCCGACCTTGCACTACATCTTTTACGTTGCTCTTTTAGACGATGGTGCAGGTAGTTTTATTGCATTTAATAAGCACTGTGAAAGCGCTATACACCACCATGGATTTCTTTTTTTAACAAAGAATAACAGTAACTGTGTTAAATAAGTTATTTATCACCACAAGCGCAATTACAACACAAAAAAAACAAACAGTATTTAGGAAATAGAAAACAGTATTAAATTCTATATGTGAGGAATATAAAAATACACTCTAAAACATATTTATATAAAGAAACTACAATTTACTACCCATCTGGAATTATTTAGCTGAAAATTTAGATTTGAGTTGTATAGAAAAGATACAAATACGCGGAACTGTGTACCAAGTAGAACGTGTTTCTTCCTTCTCCTCAATAATTCATACTATAAATTCACGGGCCAGCATTTGTTTATATGAGGGGTTACTTTTTAATACCATTAATTTTCCACACGTACTTTTTCCACAATACTTTCACACACTTCCACATACTTTCAAACCAAAAATCTTGTTATTTTCAAATAAATTAAAACCACACTTGCTTGTCACACTGATCGAAAAATGTGATAAAAAAATAGTTTTCAGCACTTCAAAGAATAAAAACAAGGTCTCCTCAAACCTAAGATCGACTGCGATGGCTTAAAGTTTTTAGTGCTTGTTGAGATATTTCCTACATGTATGGAGTGAAGCCAAACGTAAAATATGTGATTGTCTTCAATTGGCTTACCAAAAATGTAATAGTATTTAGTAAAAGATTAATTTTTAAATATTAATGCAGTTTAAGAATCGGATATACTTATTTCCCACCGTATCTATAATGCTGAATTTTGATAAGGGTGGATGTGGTAAATATTAAAAATTGTTAAATTATTATAAAAATATTAAAAATGTTGGAAAATAATCCAATCTGATCATCAAATGGCGGGGCTTAGTACAGAAAATATTCTAATATTGTCGGGCCTGTTATTATATATTATTAATTGATTTATTATTTATATCAGTTCTCGAAAAATTATCATATTGCTAAATATTAAAATATTTTTTTCCGTCCTGTTAAATTAGTTGACTGGTTTCAAATTAAGTATTGAAGGTTATTTTTAAATCGAACGTAGTTATTCTATTTTAACAATCGTTGTTATTTTCTCAGTGGTTTAGACATATTGAATATAATTAATTATCTATAAACAATCGAACACGTTCGAAAATGAATGTCAATGCATTTTGTCAAACTTGGAGTCGTTGAAAAGGGCTCTTCTTAAACAATCAACGCTGCCCTGAACGCTAGACGGCGTTTTGCGACATCAGTACAAATAAAATTTATTTTCTCAAAAATATTAAATGGAGCGATGTCATTTTTACTGGGACAAAACATAGCTGACTAGTGAAAACCGCATATTAATGTCTCTTTACTAACTAGCTGGAGAATCAGATGCTGAACTTTCAATCATTGTTTAGTGTAAACTAACAAAAAATATTTTTTCCTCGATTACAGCAAAACAATCGGAAAACTTATAATTTGCGCTTACTATTCTCTGATATATTCTTTACTCACATTTAAAATGTAATACCTAAGTACACCAATCTGGTGGCATTGGACTAGCGTCCATTTCACCGAATCCAGCGTCCTATGTTTAGCCTCGCATACCAACCAATAACAGTGACAAGTACACATATACACATGTACTTATATATTTAATGAACCTAATATACACGCAAAAACACTTTGGGACATTTAAACCACATTTAAGGAACGTTAAATTTAAATTATATACCTTACCACTTGACTGTTGAAATATGGAGTTTACAAGTTGTCAGTTTAATCAACAACCCAATCGTCCATCAATATCGACTTCTTTGAAAAGTTTTTAACGACTAAATTCTCGGGTATGCATTATTGACGGACATTATTTTCCCGTGTTATTTTTAAGCCCTAGTTACTGGATTACTCATAGGCGATACAGATAATAGTCCAAATTATTCTTAAGAATGCCAAATTTCGGCAAGTTGCCATTTTTTTTTCCAATAGAACGCCCTGTATTATTTCATATTATCTTTTCCTTTGGAATAATTCCTAGATATTTTGTATGAATGAATTTGTAGATGTAGTAAGATACATTTCTATTTAAATCAAGGATTACTTGTCTTATTATTTCCTCTAAAATTTCATAAAAAGAAGGCAAGCGGACTATTGGGTGGCCATCTCAATGATCCATGCCTTAGTAACCAAATTGTTGACTAGCAGGCCATTGTCCTGTTGCCATGTTAAATTTTCATATGAATTAACACATAGTTGTTCTAAAAGTTTTTAATTTAATTTTGCAACAAATCGTGATAGTTCTGTCCTGTTAGTACACTTTTTTTTTTCTCCTGTTGAACATTCCTGCCGCGTTAAATGCTGAATTATATTTGATAGATTTAACTGGTTTGGTGGGTGGTCGATAAATTTTATTTTATCACTAAATTTTTGAACAGGTAAAAATTGTATAATTCTTAAGTTTATAATATTTCAAAACTGAATACATTGTATGCCGCAACTTTTTGAAAATAATTGTAATAATAAAGCAATAAAAATATAAAAAGGTTAATATTAATAAAATAACTTCAAAGTATAATAAAATATTTACATGCTAGCAATTATTAAGTGTCAAATTTAATATCGTTCAATAAACAAGACTGGGATTTGGTTGTTAAAACCGTGTTTTACACATAGCAATCCAAAACATAAACGTCAATTCTGACAAACATTCAATAGATTAATAGAAAACTTAAGTTTCTATTGGATTAAAGTTTTTCAACTAGTTTGTTTAATTTTTTTCATTCAGTGAGCTGGGTAATTCTGTTTCATATTTTTGATTTTAGCTGCTTGATGATATATTTTAGATGTAAGCACATATTTCTTTTCAAATGTTGACATATTTTTCCTTTGCTAAGCTATATCAAAATGAACTGTGGTAATCTGTTTCATATACTTTTATTATATTGATAAGTTGATAATTTTTTCATATAATCCTCGGGTCCCTATCAATATTTTAAAGCTAACTTTAATTGCCGAAATTTTCCGACAAGTGGTATAACTTTTTTAGTAAAGATCTTTGATATATGATGCGAAACAGAGTTTTTGATTAAGAAAATGTGCGGTTTTAAAAAAATTACAGCGTGTTCCAAAATAATTTTTCAGTATAATTCTTTGTATTTTTTTCAGATGCACATTATTTGACTCATCATGTGTTGTAAACCGTAAGTTTAATGGAATATAAAAAAGTAAAAATCCAAGTGAAAATATAGAAATATAAAGGTTATTTTGCTTTCCGTTCAATGGTTTAGCTTTTATCTATTTTTACAATAGACAAAATGTAAAAACCAAAACTTTTTAAGTTTCATTAACTCAAAAACTATTGGGAATAGAGCCAATATGACCGGTGAACAAAACTTGTCGAACATCTTCAAGAATGTAATAAGATTGAGAAAAGAAACATTGTTGGAATACCTCTTTTTGAAACGCCCTGTATAATAAGTGATATCAGTTTTAAGGTGGTGGACGAAAACCTCTACAATTTTTGTATTCAACGTTTTATCTAAAACCTGTAATTACAACTGTAGATGGGTAGCGAAATACATTTAAATGATAACCCTATGTATTATATATTACAAATTTTGTACTCCCTGTAGATAGAATTCCAATAAAAATGTGATGCCTTAAAATATTTTTAAAAGTTAAATTACTTTTTATGTGCTAGAATTGACGTTTAGCCCATTGTACGTTGTTCTGATTCTTCGCTTAAAAGTATCTTTCTTTAATTCAATGGATGTACTATTAGATTTTAAGACTAAAGCAATTTTAAACCCTTATATTTCCAAAACTAATGGATAAAACGTCACACTTGCATATTTAAAATCAGCAAAAAGGACTTATTACAATATAAAATAATATGCGTTCGAAAATAAAAAATTGCTAAAATTTGATGTTTTCCAAATTTTTTGACAAAAATGCTTATAGTTCAATAAAAATTGTGAAACTTTTGTCACGTCATTCGCCACATATTAAGGACAAACTTAAAACATTTACGGGTTGGTATACTAGAACCCCTGTATATATTTATCTCCCTAGACAGATCTTTAAATTCCGAATTAAAATAGAGAATTTCGTTACTATGGATTATGACTATGAACGAACCGTTCTGGTTTAGCCCGTCAAATATCAAAGACATATTGGTGTTTAGGGAGCTGCGTATTTTAGAGTAGGGGTACCAAAATCTTACTAATAATCAGAATCTTACCCCATTTGCTTTGTAAATGGTGATTAATGCCGAAACAAAACCGTCGTGGTGATGTTGGTGTCCGACAGCTATAGTTTTTACAGCTTGAGACTGAAGATGCGTCTTAATGAGGAACAGAGGGCTGGATAAAAACTGACCTATAACCCCGCCAACGGCGGTGACCAAGACACTCTTGGAAAATACCAATTTTCCTCGGTCGTCTCGAATATATCCCCTGGAGTCTGCGAACTGAAATGTTCCTAAAACAAAAAAAAACCCTGCGGCGATCAAGACTATTCCAGCGATTCATCGACTCTTCAGGAAAATGAAAAACGCTGTATATTCAATTTTTGACGCTTAATTTCGGTATCTGATGAGATATACCAATAAGAAGACCTCCTAGATCGCCGGGCCCCTCACTATTAGATTTTTTCGTTTGATTTTACTTAAAAAACAAAATTTAAATAAAAAATAAATATGATAATGCTCTAAGATAAATTATCTCTGTGTGTCAATTGTATGTTGGGAGGTTTCTCATTAAGTTTATCAATATTACATTTTCACTAGTTATTTAGCTATCTTTTGTTCGGAGCAGCGTTGATAGCCCAAAAAAAGTCCTTTTCAACTACTCCAACAACAACAACAACTCCCCCCCCCCAACAAACTAATAACAACTTCCCATTCTTAGATATTTTTATCAATGGCAAATCTCCGCACACTGACCGATACCATAATGCATTATCACACCACCATCCGGTCCAAAAATCAAGGGTTATCAAGTTTCTTGTTCACAGAGCCGTAAAACTATCTCAGCCCGAGTCATTGAACCCAGAATTAAAACACCTGTAGTTGTCGAACACAATCACGCAACCGGTCATAAAATTTTATTCAATAAAACTAAAATTCTTGCATGTAATCCTTCTACCAAGGAAAAATCCGAGGGTCTATATAACAATCTTAACCGCGAATCAGGTGTTTACCTGTCACCAATATGGGAATCAGTCATCCGAGACCGTGTTTATGCCCCTCATTTAGCTCCGCCCACCCCAAACAATATAAAAGCAGGTACAGACTAAAATGCGAGCCAGTTTCAGTCAAGCTCTGAAGAAGTCCACTGGATAATTGGCGAAACGTTAGCTAGTTCGATTCAACAAAAACCGACACAGGAGGAATCCAGAAGTTTTATAAAAATATTACAGTAGTCTGTGGACGTTTCTTTGAAAAATTAACAATGAAAGTATTTGTAGTCCTTTTGCAGGCGTGACGAGGTTTTATTACTCTACACCTTTCTGAAACTAAGGAAATAAGGAAAGCGACAAATTGCTGAAAATTTGGCCAAATAGGTTTTTGACTCTCCTCTATCGGTCTAAAATATTTTCGGTATCGCAGTTTTGCTCGCACCGAAAAGTAATGACAACTTCGATTTTTTTTATGAGATAACCTGTATATCGTGCGTTTTTTATCTTCGGTGCTAATTGAATATTTAGAAGGATGAAATTTTTAATACAATTTACTGGCGCTCTGCACAACTGCTTTTATTTCGAAAACTCTACCATTTATGTATAGGAATGTATTAATTGAAAGCGGTTTATTATCCATCAGAATACTTGGTAATAAGTAATAATATTTTCATAATACCATTGCAAAAAAATGGTTTTTCTCCAATTTTGTGTAGTGTTCATGTATTTTGATTTGATTTTGGTAACATATCAGAAGAGTAATTACGTTATTGCGCTCAAAGTTTTAACTTTTTAACAATTGGAAACATGGAAAAAATTTGGAAAATAATTAACCGCTAGAGAAGGTAAGAGGAAAGGAAATATTTTACGAAAATGATCAGAGTGTAACAGTTGCGACATTGAAAATCGTATAATGTTTCATTAATCGCGGGACGCCCTGTAGATCAATTTACAGTTAAAAAATAACAAAATCACACTGGTAGGTTAGCGGGAAAAGCAATTTTTAAATTTTAGTGCACAATAAAACTGTGGTTCAGTGACAAATTTATTGCGCATTTGCAGTAACCCAGCTGTCAAGCGAAATGGATTGAATCTAACGGACTCAACCAGCGACCTTTCGAATTCCCAGACCTCGCCCATACGGATTTATCTATACATCACGCTAATGAGTTGAAAAAATTGCGTCGGAGCGTTCGTTTTTGTACTAATGGTGGCCGATGGAAATCATTATTCCCGGGCAGCAGGCACTTCCCTATTCCTTTCACTTATTAACTACTATTTAATATTATTTTTTATTCCGTATGATGAAATCTCTTAAAATGTTTAGTTTGCTTTGGTTCGCGAAGCAACTAAATTTCACGCGAAATGAAAATTCAAATTTTTGCACAAGATAAATTACCGGGTTTCTGAATTAGTTTCAAATTCCTAACCAGTCCATCTTACAATTTTTAACTCAAATAGTCCGCTGAAAATTAGTGTTAGTAACTAGCTTAAAAAGTGTGGCACTCACAATTATTTCCATTTCCAAATTAATCATTTCAGTAACCTCCGAGAGGGTGATCTGTCACTATCATTACTGACGTTTTGAAGGTGTAATAAAAATTCACCCGAATTTAATTAAAAGTAAGTTATAGTAATAGTAATGTTTTTAAAATATATATTAAGTTTCTAGTTTCTGGGATATTGGCTGTTAAGTTTTATGGCTAAAACTGCGCGAGAGAAAAAAGTACTTATTAAAATTATATAAAGTACAGATAATTTTGAGTGAAAAAAGTACAGCAAAATATTGAATAACCTACTTTTGTTACGAGGTGACTATTAAAACTTGGAATAAAAACACACCAAAGAATATTAGTTTTTTGGTATATCCTGACTGTGACAACTATTTTTGAACATAATATTTTAACAAATATCTAACAAAACTGAATGCTCTCAACATTATTTGTTATGATGGTGTGTTTTTAATGTTTTTGATAGTACAAACGAAAAATAGGTCTTTTTCCAAACTTTGAGAACCACTCATTAAGTATATATAAAAACTTTTACTTAAAAAAAAACTGGTATTATATGATGCTAAAATTTCATTAAATTATTTTCAGTCCAAACTCCTGGTTTGAATATGCGAAAATCTACGCATTATTTGCTGTAAAGTGGACGGTATAGTTTGAACCTAACGTGCAAATACAGCGTGACAGAGCCTTCCGAGGGCTTTACCTAATCGTAGCCCGTTCATCACCAGTTGCACTAGCAATGCGGGACAGAGGCCCTTCTGAAGGGCCAACAATCCGTCGTTCTTCGCTATGACGTAGCCCGAATGGAAGACGTTCTTGTAGTGCACAGCGTGTCGACCTTTAGCTTGCAGCTCGCCTTGCAGCTGCATCCTAGTTTTTACCACTTCCAGGGGATTCGTAAACAAACACGCTCCCATGCCAGCGAAGCCACCGATCAGAAATTCCATCTTCAGAATTATCGTGGTCCGTGATTTTAACGCACCATTTGCTACGTTTTTTTTTGTTTTCGCACTTGAGACAGAGCGGCGCACTATATTCACTTTTAACTGAACGATCGTTTGTCGTTAAAAATAACTGAAACCTTTTGTTAAAGTGTAACGTGAGCTGGCAGGTAATTGTCGTATTTAGAAGCAGAGAATTAAAAATTGTAGAAAAAAATATAATTGTTATAGTCCCGGAGACAATAGCGCGGCCACGAGATAATTAAGTAATGTGCATAAAATATTTAACACGTATCGAGCATTCGCTATAAGACTTTTTAACGTTAACCTTGAATCCTTCTGTGGCAAAATGTGTAATACGCCAAAATGCGTATGTCTACGCTCCAATTTAGTCTCGGGTGCATTTTTATGTCTATTATAATAGGTGTAGTAAAGTCTACTTCGGAAAGGTGTAGAGTAATAAAACCTATTACACAGTCGCCCAACGAATACTGAAGCAATTTTTGTAGTTTGGCATTGGCTCAAATATTTTGGGGTTAATGAGAACAGCCATTTTAAATCTTACCTTCAGTCGAGAATATATATATATATATATATATATATATATATATATATATATATATATATATATATATATATATATATATATATATATATATATATATATATATATATATATATATATATATATGATGACACTATATTCCGGGATATCATTCGTTCGCTCGTTGAACTCCGACTGGAATCCTGCAGACGTTTCGCCAAAATCTCACTTGGCATCTTCAATGCTCGCGCTCCGAAAACACTTCGAACACCAAAATATTTCTTTATTTCTGCTCGCTATTATGATTCACCAACTGTCCGTTAAACTTCTACAGAATTAGGCATTGCACACACACATTGTGGAACACAAACACCCGATAAATTAGACCTAGGCTTTTCGCAAATTTTCAAATTTTTCTTTTTATACAGCGCATGAAGCTTTTGGGTTTTTGCTGATATATGCTGATATTACAGTTATAAAGCAACTTTATTTTTTTTTAGAAGGTGCACGTATGCACGAGATTTAATATCTCGTTTTTTACTAATGACCTTGCGGCATTCGATAACCAACATAACCGCTGACAGATCGTCAATAAGTCCGAATCCCGTTAAATCTTCAGGCAAAAAGGAAATTGAAGTGTACATATCGCTATTTAAAAAGAAGAAAAGTGCAGTAATAGTTGCAATATAGAGGCATGTTGTGAAGACCATAGCCACCTGAGACGGATCAATTTTTACCGTTAGAAAATGTAAAAACTAATTATTTGTATCAAAAATTAAACTAAGTACCAGATGAAATTCGTATTCTTCGATATATATTTTTCCCAGAGTTTGTTTATGTCTATTCCGATATTTTCTATACGCGGGAGGGTTATAAAATGTGAATTTGTAAATGACAAGGATCATTAAACAGGGCGGACAACTTACAGGTTATATCCTAAATTTCAGATAACATTCAATGATAGTTTTGAAAAATTCCGTCTGATCCGATTTCAAATCCCAGAACTTATCAATAAAGAGAGCATGAGGTACTACTTTAAAAGCCTTTTGGGAATCTAACAGTACTGCATCCACTTGTAGTGACTTATGACTATTTATAGACATAATGAACAAAACAATAATGAAGAAGCATACTGGGAATGTACTCTGAGGATCCACGATATCTGCTGTCTTTCTCTCCCGCAATAATTAAAAAATAGTCGACCTTCCAACTCCAGTCATTAGAGAACATCCGTCGCTAGATGTTCCTTAAATATAATAACTTCTTCACTAACTGATAGTGGAAAATTATCGGAACCTCTTTTTTGAACACGAATGTCCTTAATTATTCAATAAAATTCTTCTTCCAGTGCCATCCCCTAACGGAGGTTGGCGACCCCTTTTCTAAATACGTCTTTATCTCTTGCAACTTGAAACAGCTCTCCTACACTTATCTGGTGTTCCTTAGCCAGGATTTCTTGTTTCTTCCTATGCCTTTTCTTCCATCCACTCTTCGCTGAATGATAGTCTGTAGTAGTTTGTACTTATTATTTCTAAGAATATGGCCATATGGTTTTTCTTCGTTTGATCGAAATCATTAATTGCCTTTCTTGTCCTTCTTAACACTTCCTCGTTAGTAATTCTTGCAGTTTCTTGATGGTCTGAGCCTTGAGATTCCAAGTTTCTACTTTATATAGTAGTTGTGACCACATGTAGCACACAATAAACTTTAATCTTTGTTTAAGGCATATATTTTTCCGGGCACTGTACGGGTTTTCCTTATATCATCAACTGACCTTGATTGACTGGGTTTTTCGAAATAATCATGAATTTAGTTTTCACAGTATTTATTATAAGTTCCATTTTAAAGCTTTCGTTATTGACCCTGTTCACCAGTAATTCCAGGGATTCAGCCATGATTGCTGTATCGTCTGCGTCTCACCTCCTATCTTAACAACTTCTCATTCCCAAAGGGCCCGATAAAATATTATTTGTGAATATAAATTCAAGAGTGCAGGTGAAAGTGCACACCTCTGCCTAACACCTCGCTAGATAGGCACTTCTTTTATTTCCATTTTGTTTATATTCACGGTGGCTATTTGGTATGTTCTTCAGTTCATATATGGGTTTCGTGCGCTGCACTCTATCAAATGCTTTTTGATAATCTATAAAGCATATGTAAACAGTTTTATTGTAGTCGCGACTTTTATGGAGGAGAACTTTCATTACGAATAATGCTTCTCTGGTTCTCTGAAGCCAAACTATGAATTACCTAATTGTTCTTCACATTTTCTGGATATTCTGTTTTGGATTATTTTCAGTAGGACTTTTACGAGGTGGCACATGAGACTTATGAGTATGTATTCGTTTCCTGATTTCAGAATGTTCGTTTTAGGTAGAGATATGAATGTTGATGTTAACCATTTTGGTGAGGTATTTGTTGATGTATATATATGATTTAGAGTGTTGGTGAGTGTGATTATATTTTCATAGTTCAGTGATTTTAGAAGTTCAATTTGTTTCTCATTTCGACCTTTAGCTTTTTTGTTTTTGCAATTTTTTAGGGCGTGTTTGACTTCAGAGGTTAGTATCTTCGCGTGTTCGACTTCGTTTGTTCTGTCTGTACTATTGATTCTATTATCCTGAAATAACTCTGCGACGTACTCTTCCCAATAATTTTTTATATCGTTCTCTTCCAAAAGTAGATTGTTTTGATTGTCTCTCGTTCCACAGGGCATTTTTTTCTTGTTGTTATCAGTTATTTCTGTTCTTTTCCTGTGCAAATCGAATACATCATGATTCTTCTGTAATTCTTCAATTTTTTTGCATTGTTTCTTCATCCAGTCCTCTTTACCCTTTTTTCTTTCACGTTTAATTCTTCTATTAATGGCGTTATATTGTTGTTTATCTCTGTTTTTATATTTTCTTCTTTCTTCAATGAGCACAAGGATTTCATCAGTCATAAATTTTTCTTTTGTTCAAAGTTCCCCGAGCACTTCTCTCTTTTCATATCTTCTCAATTGTTCGTTTCTGTGTTTAGTTTGGTCTTCTTACAGCTTTCCAACCGGCGTTTTACGTTTAAAGTTTATGATCTGTGTTTAATTTATTACTGCCACAAAAAATCCACGATACCAATAATAGCATTGCATTGTGCATATATATTGTGCAACAGAGAGTTTCAATTTAATAAATATCTATAATAATCAACAGTCAAGATGATATATAACATTTGCGAGTTTTGGTGAATCGAAAGAAGGCTACTTCGACGATATGGGAAAATAAAACATAAAGTGCACTTAAATATATTAGTAATTATCAATCATGTAGGCGGACCCTAATTAAAACTAAACGTAACAACCCTCCCAAGTTATTACAACATTTTTAATTTTTTATGCAAATTTCGGAGCTAAGATCTGCACTTTTGCGATATATTTTTCTTTGGCTGCGTTGCTGTCCAGGCCTTTCTTGCTGCTCCAGGCGTCCCATTTGGCTTTGCCGGTTGCATCTCCAGGTTTCGCTTGAAAAAAATGCAAACTTACTATTTGTGAATTTCGAATATAAGAAATGGACAAGCACTTCAAAATGGCAGGCATTAGAATGTGTCAAACATATAATTATTGGTTGCCTTTTGGAAACATTTAGATTCGGTGTAAAATTGTATTTCAAAATTACGTCAAATAGAGCTTCCATAAAAAAAAAGCATAATGAAAAAGTTATTGCCCAGTAAAGTGGTGAAAAAAGAAAGAAGAAAAAATAAGAAACAACCTACTACAAGAAAAGGGTAGCAACAAGAGAAAAAGAAAATGTAGTAAACAAAGAGCGAGACAGAAAAAATCTGCTATTTATATAAGCCAACTTCATTTTCATAGCAGTTCTACTTCATCCGTAGGATTTTAAAACTTGAAACTCCTTGTCTATTTGTAGTGACCTTATCAATAGTAAATGCTTAGTTTTTATATAAAAGAGTTTTAGAGACTCAATATATATATCTTCAAAGGTTTCATAGGACAAGGAAAAAAGAAAAATTAGATGCAAAGGTCCGAGTTCCAAGGCATTTACATACACGACATGCGAAAAGTATGAAAGAGTATGTGTCTTAAAAAAACATGCTACTAAAAGGAAAATATTTTATTCTTTATTTTTAAACCATTAAAATTAATTATTCAATTAAAATAATTTAATAAATATGTACTGAAACGAAAATAAAATGGATGGCAACAAGAAATTTCTAACTAATTATCTACTAAAAATTCTAACCAACTAATTATCTACTAAAAATTCTAACTAACTAATTATCTACTAAAAATTTACTTATAGGACGCTTACGTGTATTGACATCTCCCGATGTCGCTTGCTTATACAGGGCGTATATCTCCAACATATCTGAATCGGATGGTTTTTTTGAAAATTTCCTAACCTGATCTGCAGCTGACTGAAATTGCTAAACGAACCATTAATCAATTGGTGATTAGCTCAATGTTATTAAATCTGATATTTACCGTTTCTAAGGACATGGTTTTCTTCACTCTTCCAATACAATTTCTGAAATTCGTATGATATAGAATGGCGGTGTTCGCTTTTATATAAACTTGGAAGTTCTTAACTTATAATTTATTAATGTTACAATGCACCTGGCAGGAAAAGTTGACCTACAATTTTATGCAACTGACTGCTTGACAAAGTTACGAACAATTTTATAACTGCTAGATTAGATTGCTCATTGACGGATGGGCGGGTGACTTTTTTATTGCAATACTTTTGAGACCCATCAGTCATAAAATAATACAAATAATATAATCGCGGATTTTGTGCATCAAATTGTTTATCTATCTGGTGGCAAGTATTTAATATATTAATACGGATCTTGAGTGACAACGGTCCATTGTGAAATTGTCGTCGATTAATCATCCAAAAATATACAGCAAACAAAACAAACATGAAGTTTACTTAAGATATAACTCCATTCCAAAAAATTTTTTTATGATGCATTTTTGTATTATAAAATTATTTTCAATTTAAGTTTTTAAAACCAAACTAAACAAATATATATATACTACCATACATATATTTTTCCAATTTTTGTGCCATTTTTCAGTATGTTAAATCCCCTAAAAAACAAATTGGACTGTTCCAAATTTACATATTTATTGGTAACATTTTTTCCATCAAAATGTGTACAGTGTGTCTCATTTATGATGGTTTTATGGTGTAACTCGCTTATTAAAGCCAGAATGTTCCGGCTTTAGGTGGCTATATTTTCATGAAGTGAAAGGCGGGACATAGAGAAATTTACTGATTTTTTAAATACCGGGTGATCTTTTGAAAATTTGAATTTTTTGATGCCCCGTTCGGTTATGCGTAAAGGAAAAAAATGAAAATTGGTCTGCTTTTTACAAAACTTCTGGATTCTTTCTGCTTCGGTTTTTGCTGAGTTGAACTTGCCGATGTTTCCCCAATCATCCAGTGGCTTCTTCAGAGCTTGATTGAAACAGTTCCAGTCAAACTCTGAAGAAGCCAACAGGATGATGACTCAGCAAAAACCGACGCAGGATTAATCCAGAAGTTTTGTAAAAAGTATTACAGTAGCCTGTGGAAGTTTCTTTGAAAAATGAAAACTGTTTTTTTACACAGGATCCAGTGGCGTCATTTTCGTCTGAAACGCACAAATTTCAATGATAAAACTAATCTTGCGTTCCAAAAACAAAAAAAGCATCTCTTTTTGTTACTAAATAAAGAATTTTTTACATAGATTACATACATTTTTACAAAAAATATGCATTGATAATTGTCATATTTTGGGGCAATAACAATTACGAAACAAATCATGCACCACCCATTAAAAAAATAATACTTTGCATTTGAAATACCTCTCATGAGTTACATAGTTTTGACACGCCTAATTAAATTATTAAAATACATACCGGATATTCCATTGAAAAAACATAGGTTTAGCTTGTGTATCAAAATGTTCAAGTTTTAGAAGAAAACTGACTACGCCATTGAATTTTGTCATAGTTTGGAAAGTTTTTATGATTGTTTATCATTTATAAATAATCGATTTCTTGGATGTTTGCTCGATTGATGACCATTGAGGATAAAATGCAAAAATCTCATATCGCACATTGCTGTGAAAAATTCTTTTGATAAAAATTTGCAAAATTTGACTGTTCCAAAATTTGTATACACCTATAGATGTTTTTTTAAAGCCATTACTAGTTAAAGAAGCAAATTAGTGATTATGGTTATCCAGTTATGTAAAAAATTCAATTTGTGGGACACCCGGTAGAAGACAAAATTGAATATTTGTCTAAAGCTATGGAATTTTTACCGTCAAGCTGACTGTGTTCCTGCCACTGTACCAGTACTAATAGCAAAATTTGTCAAAATGATTAGTAACTAGGAAGAATTTTGTTGTTTGATTTACTTTTGATAGAACATATGAAATAACAAAATGCTTGTTCAAAATAACTATATATAGAGAAAGGAATAGACCATATATGTAGAATAAAATTATCAGTTCGTTTTACCGTGTCGTAATTGAAAAAAAACGAAGTTTTGTTGCAATAAACCAGTTTCAAATATTAATTTGGAGAACATTATTCCCTTTTACCCATTTACCCATTTACCCTGCAAACGTTTATCAGAAGTCAAAAATAAAAAAAAATCAAAATAAACTTTTATATTCAAATTAAGTTCTCAATAAATGTAATTACTGTAATTAACGTAAGTACAGTAAATAATAAACTAGGTGTCTTAACTTTGAATATATTTTTAAACAATAAATTCTGTAGGAGGCATATTTATTGTAGCTGCAAGTATCGGTTGTGATTGACCAATCCTAGCGACGAACACTTTTAACATTTTCTTATTGAGCAGTCCCGTATTATCCTGAATTTGGTCTTGAAGTTGAGCGTCGACAATTTCTATAACTCTGGTCTCGATTTTGTATGACAGCCCAGGTGGTATTAGTGGTATCTACAATTTTTGTGACGAATATAAAAAATAAAAATGCCAAATCTCGTCGTTGTCATCAGCTTAATTCTAGGCTCATCCAATTAGGGGAAAGATTTCAACAACGTCAAGTAAGTGTGTATACAACAAATATCATATGATATTTAAACACTCACAAAAATTGAAAGTTTTTACTCATTGAAAATTGAAATATTTAGTGTATGGAGATTTGTTACTAAAAATATTGTTCCTGTTATTTGTTAATGTTTATTTAAGTTTTCGTGTTTTTCTTTCAATTAATTACTCTTTTTCGTTTTATAAAATCTTGGAATTTAGATTTAATTTTTTCTTACCCTGTATTTCAGTTTTCAAAATTTTGGTTATTGCTAAACACAAACAGAAAACACACTGAATGCTCTTATTATACGTTCATACAGAGTGTTTCTTATCTTCGATCTTGGAGGGAAATATACCGTCATTTTCTTAAATGTTTTTCATCCAACTGTTATGAAAATCGGCAGATTTATTGCAAATGTTTTATGAAATCTAACAAAAATGTAATCGACCAACTTTTATATAGACGCCTTGCGACAGAAATAACAATTTCGGTAGAAAATGTAATAATAAACTCAAACAATAATGGTGGTCATTTAAGTATTTACCTCAACAAAATGGCGGCTAAGTTTGTATAATGACGGATTGACGTGAAAGGTAACGAAAACACCCTTGACGTGATTTTCCGGGTTGATATTCTCCAGGCTAAGCACGACCGTGAACTTTGGACCCAAACCCAAAACCTAAAACATTGCTGAATTAATTTATGTTGCTGATATTACATACTTTAAGAAAAACTGTATTCTGGCTTCCCGAAGAGATGTAATACCATACAAGAAGTTTTGGTTTGTTGTAATGATGATATGAAGAGTATAGATTTTCCATTGACAATTTGTTCATAACATAATTCACGACGTTAGTTCGCGAACAATTTGACGAATAGTATGCACCATTTTGATAGCAAATACTCGTCAAACAAATTCTCGAAGTTCTTATCAAATTTATTCACGAAATTAAACTTCTAATTTTCGGCAAATTTTTGCGTCAATTCAGTAACGCCAACTGGTGTAATCATATAGCTATTAGAAATATAAAGGCCCTGCCGATGTTGATAATACAGGAACTTTAATCAATATACGTGTTAGCGAGATTTAAAATCTCGTTTTTCACCAAGAATCTTGAGGCATTCAACAAGCAACATGGCCGCAGACAGGATTTTTACGTCAGTATGTTCTCAAAATCTGCCCAGATCCCATTAAATCTTCAGGTAAAAAGGATGTATATATCGCTGTTTAGAAAGAAAATAATACAGTAGTGAGATAATAGTAGAGTAGTTTCAGTCAAGCTCTGAAGAAGTCAACAGGATGATTGGCGAAACGTCAGCAATTTCGACTAAGCAAAAACCGACGCAGGAGGAATCCAGAAGTTTTGTAAAAAGCAAAAGCCTGTGGAAGTTTCTTTGAAAAAAAAAATAGATTAGTATGTGGTTTAATTCACATTGATGTGGCAAAAGGACTACCCTACACATTTTATTGAATCAATATTATTGATTATTATTATTATTATTATTATTATTATTATTATTATATGATAAGAAAAAAACTGTACTCCTTACACGTTCAATGATCAATATTGAAATTGGTTCAATACTATTGAAACCTAAGGTAGGCTTAATATTCGTTTTGAAGCAATTTCTTCAACAACAAATTTCGTATAAAGAGGTTTATTCCAAAGTAAGCCAATGAATTATGTAATTGTTTTCGAAGAAAACGTTGGTATTTTTTCGGATTTTCCTAAGTGAAGGAATAAGATCTAGCATTTGCTGGAAATTGTCTACATGACAGTCCCCAGACCATTTTCATTGAAATGCTAATAAACCGCCACGAACAATCCATCTTTGCTAATCTTTTACTTTTCCCGATGGTGATTTTATTCCAGTGGACCGTCCTATAAACGCTTGCCTCGCTCTTTTTAAATTTTTAACCTGTCATGAAATCATCCCTTTCCATTTCCGATGTTATTTTGTCCCAGGCAAGCATTTCTTTTTTCAAATAAAACGAATGTATTATTCTTCTGTTGTCAGTCTTTTCAGATATATTTATTACAGTTTTTTTTCTTGTACTTTTCTGGTGACCTGATGAGGTCGCATTTACTGTCGTACACAAGTCGGTATATTATTGACTGCCCAACTGCAGTCATATTTAAACACATTTTAACTATTTTTCCAACTCCGAATGTTTTGGTGGCGAATTTTTGGAAAGCGTAATTTTATTAATCCGTTTTTTCTGAGCAACAAATTCAGAATAGAAATTTGTCAACTACTGCGTCTGGGCTTTCACAAGACTTAGCATTATATCAAAACTTTCTTTCGACACACACACACACACACACACACACACACACACACACACACACACACACACACACACACACACACACACATATATATATATATATATATATATATATATATATATATATATATATATATATATATATATATATATATATATATATATAATCAAGAACATCAATTAATTACCAAGACAGTAGAAAGACTGTAACTTAAACATTTCAACTAAGTAAGAACTGTAACGAATACAACACTTTCCAAATAACGAAAAATAATGTAGAATTGTTTATCGTTAGTCTAAGGTTCTGAGGAAATAAACACAGTCCGACGTTCTGGTAAATTAAATAAGACTATAATATTTTCACTTATTTACACAGCGCACAACAACTTCTTTTACATTTGTCATGGACAACAACAGTTAGTCTACCAGTCTTTCGTCTAACAATTCGTTTACTCGTCTTTCGTCTAACAATTCGTCTACTCGTTTTTCGTCTGATTAAAGAAAAAGAGTAAGCGGCACGGCATTCCGCGTTACCCACGTCTTTTGCGTCTTTTTAGTTTAATCGTCTAATACATAATGCCCCCGGTCAAGTGTCGTGACCCGCTTTTAAACCCTTCGTCGGTACGCATCAAAAGTAGACCCGAACTTTCAGGAAACACCGCAAAACGGCTTGCTTTTGTGTTCGGGTCACGTCCGCAAAAAGAAATAATGTAAACATAACCCTTTGTAATTGCATGCAGAAATAATAAATAAATAAATATCGCGCTGGCGAAAACTAAACTAAAGGATATATTTCATCTACAATAATATGAGGATTATTCTGGAAATTATTGTCGAGTATCTGAAACGGCGACTAGGGTGCGTGGTTACCTTCTTAATTTGTTTATTTCTATCATTTGAAGTAGTATAAGTATAACATCGATAAAAATACAATTCAAAGTTTACAGAAAAAATTTTTGAAATTCCTTTCTTACAAAGAAAATGTTAATCATCCAGGACTTAAATGACGCGAGAACGCATTTTAAGCCCTTAACATTCGAAGATAGAAGGGGGCCGATATTCTTAACTTGCATAAAATTTGGAATGTTCGTGTTGGCTCCTTTTTGATATTAAGTAGAATATTATGTAATATGTATGAGTAAGTTGGAACCATATGGGAGACTTTTTTTATTATTAATGTTAATGAAATGTTCTTAAAACAAGTTGACCAGGACTAACGCGATTACACCAATTCACATAAAAAAAAATATTCATTTTTGAAATGTATTTAAAAAAAAGCGTATTATATCAAATTTATATTTTTCAAAATTAATTTAATGTTTAATCTGCAGAAGAGTTTTGGAAAAATTTGGAAAACTTTAAAAAATTATTTCAACCCTTTTAAATTTGCCAAATATATAGATATAGATATATGATGCAATGATAGAATGACTGGCGAATTAGCTTTTGCTACAGCAGGGGTGCCTAATAGGTAAACCTTTGGCGGGGTTTAAAAAATAACTAACATCACATTTTTTACTCCTCGACGATGATTGGAGAAATCTATTTAGGAATTATGAAGAAATGATTTACAAAATCTTTTAAAAAACATCGGAATGAATAAATTAACTGAAATTATATGGCAATACGATGACGCTTCTTCTTATAATGTTGCTGCAATTAATATTCAGAGATTACTCTTCCAGATATTTTTTGTGGGGTTGTTTACAAAACATGACATTGCAATATAGATGACATTGTTAAAGAATTAATTTGTTGTGAAATATATAATATTAATAATTTGCAATGAAGGACATTTTCAACATTTAGCTCAATAGATATTTCGAATTTATTTTATTTTTTCGCCACTTTCGAACAATTGGATAATTGAATTGAACAATTCAAGATATACCAGAACTGTCATAATTAAACAAAAGGCGTTGGCATGGCGCCCTTTTGGATAATTCTGACCTTAATGTAGAAAATTATTATAACATGTTAAATATTTCTGAAATCAGCGTAAAAGGCTTTTCTTTTCCATATAATATACAGGATTTCCAATGTAAAATGTAAAAAATACAATTTGATATAATATAATTTTTTGCCACACTGCAACTTTTGTATTAAACTTTGTTATCTAAAATATATAAACCAAATTAGATCTTATAATGGATCACCCGCACCAATAACAATGCAAATTTTGCTGTAGTTCCGTGTAATCTAACATTGGTTGACAAACTGATGGATGTTGAATTTTTTTTTCAAGCCCATATTTTGCTGTAGCGTTTAGTAATCAATTTTTGTAGAAAACATTTTTGGATATTGGAAAATTAAAAGGTTCTTTACTCTTGAGCAAAAAACTAGTACTCTACTGGAAAAAATGGATGCCTGATTTTAAGAATAATAAGTTTTTGTTCTTAAAATTATTAATAAAATTTTTTTTCATATGACGTACCTACGTCGCCAACTTTATACATGCTTTTTTTGAACCTGAAATTCATGCAAACTTTACTACAAGCTTTTCGGATGGATGATTTCAACGGTAAAGATTTAGCTGACTACTTTGTGGACCGATGCGGAGACTATTAGGAACAAACCTAATAATAAGCCAATTCACCTAAACTTCGACATTTATTTCCTGTTGAAATACCTACTTGCGCTGACAATTTTATTTGTTCTTTTTGATTGCCGGTGGAGGATTGATCGGTAAACGCTTGGCAAATTGCTTTGGCGACGGTCAGTCGGAATGTTAACAGATCTTGCTGAAACATCTGGTGGATTTCTGAAAAAGCTAAAATATTAAAAACAAAAGAAGACGCAAATTGGAAATACAGACCGACAGCGTGTTGTCGTTCCCTCGCGGTTTGTTCCAAAAAGAGTTTGCTGCGTTTGGGTAAAGACAACGTACCCTGAGTAGTTTGATTGGACTCCTGGTTTCTGACTTTAAATTCGGCAGTCCTTTTTAATATCTTGAATATTATAGAGCCGTCTGAAACATTTTACAATATGTTAATGGTCACTTGTCACACTTTTGCCATATGTTTTTTCAATATCATGTACCGTTCAATAGGAATAAACTTCTAAAATTAGAATTTATTTGTGCCTTTACAGCAGTTCAGGGATTTCGGACGTATGACCACTATAAACGATTAATAAACTGCAGCAGTTTGTGGATTTAGGATATACAGGGCGTTTCTGATTTCACTAAAGTGGGTCTCAAAGTTGGCTTTTGACGGTTTCTCCTCCAAAAAGTAATTATGACCACGCAACCGATAATTTATACGTAGGTATAATGTTTTAGTCACGTCATCGATGACGCGATTGCTAAAAACCACCATCGCCAACTATAGGGCTGAATTAATTGGAATTTAAATTTCCCGCTCATGATTCAGTTGGTAGCACTTATATAAAAAATGTGAATTTGCCAAATCTATATGCTCATATCCTTGATTGAGGGAGGTTATATTCGGATTATGAATTTTGCAAGATTCCGAAACAGTCCTTGCAGGGAACTCGTCTCATTTTTGTTACAAATGTCCTTTGTTCCGTGTGACCAAATAGGAAATTTTAATGTTTGGACTTTGCATTTTCAACGAGTAGCAAAACTTAGGTCTGTCCACTGTTTGTGCTATTTTATAGGCAGTCAAAAATTACGAAGTTTCTTCACTTCAAGCAGAATCTCTAACATATCAAACTAAGCAATGTATACAAAAGTAAGCCTTTTTACATGCCATTCTCATAGAATCTTAATAGTAATAGAATAGCAGTTGGAGATTTAATTACCTCCAATAAATTAAAAGGTGTAGATCCGAAAATAGATCCATAATTTATGTAGATGAAACTTGGACCGATACATAATCCAAAGGGCGAGTTGATTCTAATAAAAAGTATCAAACAAAGGCACCTTCACATAAAAAAAACATATCACTGGATCGGAAGAGGGATTTATTACAAACAGATTGCTATTTTCTGCGACTTTAGCTTGGACTATCATGAAGATACAAATTTAGAAGTTTAAAACTATTTTAAAAATGATGTTTTAAAAAATATTCTGGATAATAGCGTGTCACTATAATGGATAATGCAAGCTGTCGCAACTGCTTCCTATAAGATGCAACAAATTCATGAAGTATTTATCCTTAAATCGAAATAGTTGAGGTGTGCGCTTCAATAAATTTAAACATTCATTATAAAATTTGAAGGTGTCCATTCTAAACAATTTAAAATTCTTCAAATTTAAAAAAAAACATTTGTTAACTATATAACATACACTGATCTACAATCGTTTCTTAATAAAATTATTTTATGGTACCTGGATAACAAATTAATTTTTAACAGACAAAGCAAATGCCGTATTCTTCAGAACCAAAACCCAAACAGTCTAATATAAAAACAATAGGCAATCCCAGCGTAGACAATAAAAACCTACGCATGTCTGAAAATACAAAATTTTTGGGCATATTACTGAATGAACATCTGAACATAAACAATTAATAATTAAAAATTAATTCTGCTATCGTATTAGGGCGGTTGGTAGGTATATGAACTAATAAACACTAACAGTTTTATATTTTGCTAAGTACGAATCAGGAATGAAATACGGAATAATCTTTTGGGGAAAAATATTACTATTCATGTTTTATAAGTTTTATAATGGAATATAATCAAATGTGCCGAAATGGGTTGACAGTATACGCTCTATGCAAATTTAAATGCCATATGTTCCTTCACAGAAATAAACATTTATTTCAACAACTAAATACAGAAAATTATAATACGAGATCGGAATATAACACCTATCGCTTACAAATCACTCAAAAGCGTCCTAAGTATATATGTGTAAAACTCTTTAATAAACTACCTCTGAATGTTAGACGTATTAATAATAGGAAAGCGTTTAAAATAGAAATTAAAAAACTCTTAATTGAACTTAAGCCTTATAGCAACTATCTAAACATGTAAATAATCCTTATGTAACATATAATGTAGTATTACGATTGTTCTAGCAATAAGTGCCTCTAGTCGTAGAAGACCTTTGGTCTTTAACATCATTTCATTTATTGTTAACCTGAAATAAAGAACTATCTATCTATCTATCTATAGATATATAAAACAATAATAAAATGGAAAGATTCATAAATTCAAAAGAACGGCAATTACCAGAAATATTCGCATCTTGTACCACAACATATTTTCTAGTTGCGTTAAGAGAGAACTTTTTGAAAATTTCTGTGGTTTGGTCTTTACCTCGAAATCACTCGATATGGTTAGCAATTTAATAATAATAATAATCCTAATAATAATAATAATAATAATAATAACAGTGTTACAGATATTTAATTATCATCTAGAAGCTTTTTATAAGAAGAAATATTGAAGAACAGATTTATTAACGTAACACACAATACTTACAGGAAATGTCAACTAACAAAAACTAACTGACATATTTGAAAATAATCACAATAAACCACTAGGGTAGGATAACTAGGGTACTATACCTGAAGTGATTATGGTCATAACGTTTTCCTCTTGACCGAGGTGACCAAAAGCTAGAACAGACGGGGTGTCGGGTACAGACACGTAGTCGACCACATGTCTACTGCTATACACGTGAATGGGTCCGCTTTTAACACCAACAGCGAGCAACTGCGTATTCAAATGGAGGATATCGACTACGCACAAACAAGTAATGGAATTCGTCATGACGATAGACCACAACCGATGACCCTAAAGGTAGATACTAGGAATTTCGAAAATACAATTTGAAAAACTGTTACTCGTTTTGTAAAACAATTTAGGGTCTTGTCGTTGCAAGCTATCACGATCAGATTGTCGCCCGGTATCAATTCCATATCTACGATATCGTTTTTCCAGTTTATAATCGATTTTCCTTCAAGCCATTCTCTTTTTAGAATGCAGACGTGCCCTTCCCTGGTCGCGATTACAATTTTATACTCTATTTCGTACGCTCCCGCGGATTTCATGATGAACGGGGTGGTTTCAATGCTGCAAACGTTCGCCTGAAATAAAATGCAATCGCAGAACATTTTAAATAATCTGCGGGGTCATTCATAAAGAATATACTGGAGATACTAGGCACGAAAATATTATTATTGAGGTCAACATGCTTCAATCGAAATCGAAAATTGGCAGTTTTAGGTTTTTTGACTTGATAAATACGAATTGGAAACTCTTATGGAGAGAAACTGAGAAATGGAGGATGGCGCAAACAACAGTGACCCGTCACAGTTTTGTTGTAAAGTTCTTTTCAAATGTATTTTCTTGCTCTCCAAATATCACGGCTTCTGGTTATATTTCAATCATGTCTTAAGGAGTAAAGTTTATCCATATATATGGAAAAAATCTAAATTTTGTCCAATTCTGAAGGCATGACAATGTCTGTATTTTTTGTAATTTCCAGCACCAGCACCGTCTCATGCACTACTAACCTTGTCTATATTACTCATAATATCTCAGAAGTTTTGAACAAAAGCCAACAGGTCGTAATTTGCGTAATTTTCAGAGTATTGAACTTTAGAATTTTAATAGAATCGTATCTCGACAACATGTTTAATATAGAAACTTGAGTTTTTGTTGCTGCGGCATAGATGCCTCATGGGTCGAATTTCCGTCCCCTACTTTTTTTGATTTTCATCAACGATTTGTCCATGAAGTTAAACTTGCTTCATTTGTCGTATTCGGATGACCTAAAGACTTTTTCTGGACATCACCAAACAGATTGATTGCAAGGAATTACAAATAATAGTCGTATGTTCAAACTTAACGGATCTGGGTGTTGTGTTTGACACTAACTTTAGTTTTATTGAACACGTATCAAGAATACCGGCAAGCGCATCTAAATTAGTGGACTACTGTGTTAGAAAATGGCGAGGTCTGTCCAACATCTCTTCCCTCTTAAAATTGTTGACACAACGTTTATAAGGAATAAACTTTCATAATTTTTCAGTCATCTATAATATGTTGCTCCCCTATTTACGAAAATCGTACTCCTAGTTTGGAGAGTATCCAGCGTAAATACCGAAAATATGTTCACTTATGTTATATGAATATTATCCTCCAAGGTGATTTGATCAATTTTTGTTACTCAAACTATTTAACTATTTAAGTTCAGGTTGTCCAACTTGTCAACAATTTTTCAAACTGTCCCATTTTTAATTCTACGCTAGAATCAGCGTAGTGCTAACGTGTTTTATAATTTTAGGAGTAGGACCAATGTGATAGTCACATCACAAATTTATCAAATGCGTCTAAACTTTATTTGCGTAATATTAATCTTGACTCACGGTTCGAGATGTCTAGGTTTTAAAAACTAAAATACCGAAAACTTTAGAACCTTAAGATATAACCTTTAAGTTGTTGACCCTGATTAATGATCTATGTCTCTCGCATTAAAAAACCAAATATAGAACCGACCAAGACCGAACAAGACTTGCTAAGTTATACAACGTGGAGATTCTAGCCCTTACCTGCTGAAGAATAGAAAAATTTTGCGGATCCAAAACATAAACGTTCCCAAATTCCGTGGCGACAACGGGACAAGACAAGTCGTGTTTATTATGCGAAGTTTTTCTCAGCGTGGTGGTGCACGTTATAGTGTTATCCTTCGTCGGTAAACTGTTCATATATTTGTTGACAAATTCCTCGGTTTTGAGGTCGGATGGCAAATTGAGGAGATACTGAGATCTAACGAAACGTTATTGGTTAATCGATACGCATATTCACTTACCAATTTTAATTGTTCACCTCGAGCTCAACGAATGGTACGGCACGCTTTTCAACGTTTCCAAAAACGTGCCGACTTGAACCTGCTTTTCATCTAGCACCTTCTTCCACGCCTCCGATTCTACCGACGTCAGAGGACAGCTAGGCACGCGGAATTTGTAGAATGGCTTTAAGTTCTTGTACATGAACAAGTCTGATCCACATGCCACTCCGATGGCTAAAAGAAACAAACATCGTATCACTCGGTTTTCGGGTTTTCGGAAACTGCAATAAATGTGGCGGACGTAGAACTCAAAATTTCGGTATTCAATTTTATGGTGCAAATATTTCGACAGAAATTACATACATCCATTACGAACATCCATATCGCTATTATATAATATAGTGGGCCTAAAATTAATACTTTGGCTAAGCTTAACTTTGGCAGGTATGACATTTTAATACATGTTAAACAGCGACCTTCACAAAATTTAATTCGTCCCGTCCCGCAAAATTTGATTTTATATTAGTATTATTGGATCTTAACATTACATGGTAATTTTAAAAAAATCATTAAAGCCTAGGTCCACAAATAATTATTTTTCGAAATATGGCGCTAAAACAACATTCAAACCATGCGAAAATAATTATTTTCAAGAAGCATTCGCGTTTTATTAAACTTGTGTTCTTTTATTGGAACAACCTGTCTAAAAAATATAAAACATATAAGAGCTATTTCAACTGTTCAATATTTATTTTTTTTATGAATAGGCCATGTAAAATGCAGTTAACAGTTAATATTCCGGATTCCCTCTACGAAGATAAGATGTAGGCTCTACCCGAAGACTCATTCTAAATAGTGTCGCTATTAGTTCGTATAGGTGGTTCGGTGTAGCCTTGATTAGATCAGAGGAATATTACTGGGTGAATTTGGATGTGGGTAACAAAGCGCTAGGAAGTGGTATTATACCCTCAGAATGCTTCAAATACTATGGAGAAGATTACACCGAGCCATACATGAACCTCCCCGTGGAAATATGGATATGTCAGCGAGCATCACAATAGAAAGATTAAAACCATAGTTCGGGTTTAGGCAAAGGAGTTCTATCATCGAGCAGCTTTTAACTGCTAGTTAGCTGATGAAAAGCAGCTGAGAACTTGATTGGGTCGAGATGATTCAACTGTGGAAAGCTGCGAAGGAACTGGGCATCTCGAAAAAATTAGTAAAGATGAGCCAAGCCTGCATTAACGGAACGCAAAGTAAGGTGAGAATAGTCCGCAAATCCATATATGTTATCGAAATCAATAGTGACTTGAAACAAACTGCTCTATCCCAAACTCTTTTCAATATTGCATTGGCATATGTCGTGAGAAAAGCTGAGATGCATAACTACCGTAGTCTTTATACGAACAATGAACGGAAAGTATTATTGGTGTTTGCAGATGCTGTGGACATAGTTGCCAACACCTCACTAGATATAAATACTAGATACCTTCGCTGCAATCGAAAGTAAAGTACGCACCGTGGGACTAAAAGTTAACGATATGGTTTTTCAACAGCATATGAATTTAAACCTTCCAAAAGTTACCCTTTCTTTTAACTGGGCTCGAAATAAGAATCATTTTTGCACTTGATGCCCTTTTGGTTGTAGGCGTCTGTGAAAGCTTGGATTTGTAATGACATTGTTGTCGGGGATATTTTTTAAAATAATTTTTTTTACAAACAACTCTAATAGAGGGTGGCGGGGCTAATAAATATGTCGGTTTCTTCTTCTTCGAGCCTCCATTTCAATTTATCTAAAGTGAGATTGAAAATCATTAGGTTTTCTTCTTTCATTCAACTGTTAACAATATTCTTCATCGAGGATATTGACATTTTTGTAGATTAATGAATCCTCAACGTATTAAACATTCGTACACATTTTTTACAATTTCACATATAGCAGAGGACATTGGCGTGTCACACGCGTGGATCGCGACCTTACCAAAGCTTACATGAATTTACTGACACATAGTTAATTACGTAGATAGCTTCTAATTTGCCGAAAACTTTGATTTTCATTAAAGTCTGTTCATAGATTTAAGAAAGTGATTAACTGATACGAATTAAGGAAAGATCCGGGCAAGCTGTAAGAATGAAATATGGCCGAACAGGTCCGTACTTTGCTTAGAATTTAATTATTTGAGGTTTTGTTAGTAAAGATATTAAAGAATATTTATTTATTTATGTATGTATTTATGTTTAAATCTAAAATAAAATTACAAATTATTTTTATTACCTACTTAAATTACTTAAAATTATTCACATAATAAACTTTCAAATAAATCAGCGGTGGTGTCGTCATGGTAATCCAAAGAAGAATTTTTAATATTTTTCGCAGACAGAGAAAGTCCATTTGGAATCCAACCATCTTTAGAGCCAGCATGCAAAATAGTTATTCTTTTATCTCTTTTTGATGGCGCGATTATTCACAATTTTCCATACAGTTGATGTTGGAATTTTCGTCAATGTGGCCGTTTCTTCTAAAGATGCTTGCTTGCTGGCACCACGTTCAATGAGAGTCAAATAAACATTGTTTATAACTTGTGTTTTCTACATTTGGGCGGAAGCATCTCCTGAGATACACTAGACTCGCATATATTTTGCATAATCCGCACACGATTCAACACACACTGTATTACATACGAATGATTACTAATAAACTTATACTAAATAGTACATCAAACCAAAGAATATTAAAGACAGGCAGGTATAAAATTATTTTCTATTACGGACCACAATTTTACCTGAATTTAAATTCCGAAACTTTAGGTAATAATCTTGTTGCATTGTATGTTAATGACCACCCTTGGATAATCCCAATGAACAGACCATACCTGGTATCCTCGGCTCTAACTCGTCGCAATAAAACGTAATTAACGAATTGGGTACGTCGTGAAGAATTTCGTCTGATACCAGCTGTGTTCCGTTATATGATTTAAGCCTGCTTTGTGAGTAATACTCTAGATTGATGTCGGTGAGCACCAAGCGGTAGCTTCCGTCTCCCGTTACGTCAGCTAGGACCGCATTTCTCGGTAGGGTCCTTAAGCCCGCACTCCTGTCAACGTACGCTTCCAACCATCGGGACGTTGTGAGTTCTCTGAAATACAGTGTTTCAAAGATATACATATAATTCAAATTTCGCAATAGTTCAATGAAGGACTATGCCAAAACAGAATTAACAAAGTTGAACAAAAAATTAAATTATTCGGTCAAAACAAAATGTTGGATATTATTTTCGTAATTTCTAATGGAAAAATGATTGATAATATTCAAAAATGTCAGCTATGGGGTAATGCGGTGCCCTTCGAGAGAATTTAAAAAAAAAGTACACTCTATAACTTTTAAACGGCTTGAGATTGCGATTTGAGATCTACATTTTTTTGACAATATGTAGTCAATGTTGCACTTCCGGTTTGAGCGGAAACGATAGTAACTTTCGAATTTTAAATGGCACAACCTATTGTTTTTGCATTTTTGGATTCAGGAGATCATTCTACGTAGGATAGGACTGTTTTTCTCTTTTTTTTTGAATTTTTATTTAATTTTTGAAAATTGTGACCATCATAAATACTATTTTTCTACTCCCGTCTGTAAAATACCTAATTACCCACCGATCTAGCGTGCGGGAAGAGTCACATTACCACGTCAGCTTCATTTCCGCACTTGTTGCATAATATACTATTACCGTGTCACCTGATCATGGAAAAAATTGTAAATGAAACTATTCTCTACTTGTCTAATGGCAAATAGCATTTAATATAATGAACTATTAATTTTTTAGGATAACCTACTTTTTTTATATAGCAGTAGAAAAATAGTATATTATGCAACAAGCGCGGTAAACGGCATTTTACTCACGAGTTTATTTGACACGAGGGGAGCGAGTTTTTAATAAACGAGTGAGTTAAAAAGTTTACCGAGCGTGTTGCATACTATGCTTTTTCTACGACCATTCGCTGACATGACCTTCAGAATTAACAAACGTCAAAATTCAAAGCGTTAGAAATATCTCCGAAAACATCCGATTGCTCCCAAATCCATACGGTAAAATCCCGGAAATATCCGGAGTGGCTCGGATTCATGGGAAACGAAACTGACGTGGTAAAGTGACGCTAGATCGGTGGGTAATTTGATATTTTACAGACGGGAGTAGAAAATTAGTATATTATGCAACAAGTGCGGTAAACGGCATTTGAATCACGAGTTTATTTGACACGAGCGAGTTTTTAATAAACGAGTGAGTTTAAAAGTTTACCGAACGTGTTGCTTCAATATACTTTTTCTACGACCGTTAGTTTTTGCCTACATAAACTCGTGAGTCAAATGACGTATACCACACTTCTTGCATAATATACTACTTTCTACGACAGTTAGTTTTTGGGGACATTTTCCCAAAACAACACGAATACATTCACTGACATGACCGTCAGAATTGATAAACGTCACAATTCAAAGCGTGGGAAATATCTCCGAAAACATCCGATTGCTCGCAAATCTGTGCGGTAAAATCCCGGAAATGTCCGAAGTGGCTCGGATTTATGGGAAACGAAACTGACGTGGTAAAGTGACGCTTCCCGCACGCTAGATCGGTGGATAATTAGGTATTTTACATACGGGATTAGAAAATAGTATATTATGCAACAAGTGCGGTAAGCGGCATTTGACCCACGAGTTTATTTGACACGAGCGAAGCGAATGTTTAATAAACGAGTGAGTTAAAAAGTTTACCGATACATACTATACTTTTTCTGCATACTATATTTTTTCTACGACCGTTAATTTTTGGGGACATTTTCGTAAAACAACAAGAATACATTCACTGATATGACCGTCAGAATTGACAAACGTCAAAATTCAAAGCGTGGGGAATATCTCCGAAAACATCCGATTGCTCCCAAATACGTGCGGTAAAACCTCGAAAATATCCGTGCGGGAAGCGTCACTTTACCACGTCAGTTTCGTTTCCCATGAATCCGAGCCACTTCGGATATTTCCTCAGATTTCCTCGGATATTAACTCACTCGTTTATTAAAAACTCGCTCCGCTCGTGTCAAATAAACTCGTGAGTCAAATGCCGTTTACCGCACTATTTTTCTACTGCTATATGAAAAAACTAGGTTATCCTAAAAAATTAATAGGTCATTATATTAAATACTATTTGCCATTAGACAAGTAAAAAATAGTTTCATTTACAATTTTTCCCATGATCAGGTGACACGGTAAATAGTATTTATGATGGTCACAATTTTCAAAAATTAAATAAAAATTCAAAAAAACAAAAAAAAAGAGAAAAACCGTCCTATCCTACGTAGAATCTCCTGAATAAAAACATGCAAAAAATATAGGTTGTGCCATTTAAAATTCGAAAGTTATTGTCGTTTCCGCTGAAACCGGAATTGCAACTATTGACTACGTTAGTATTCGTTGGGTCACTGTGCATTGCTTTTGCATACATAATAATACAGTTTCAGGCAAGCTCCGATGAAGCCAACAACATGATTGGCGAATCGTCAGCAAGTTCGATTCAACAACAACCGACGAAGAAGGAATCCAAAAGTTCTGTAAATAGTCTTACAATAGTCTGTGGAAGTTTTTTTGAAAAATTACTCCACCCCTTTCCTGAAATAGACTTTAGGAAAGCAAAACCACTGAGTATTAACTTCAATGAAAATAAACCAGTTGCAGACAACCGCGCACTGTTGTCAATTTAATATATTATCTACGAGGTAATAATAATTGATCTCACCTACAGAGTGGCTCGATAGTGAGGCAAAGTACTAATATCATCATTTAAATATCCTTCATTCTAAAAACGTGTAGCTTTTTTTTTTCACTATCAAGATTGATCACTGAAATATATTATAATTAACTATTTTTTCGTTGCTATATAGTGTTTAAAAAAATATGAAAATTAAAAAATATTCGATAATTTTATTCATAATTGTATTATTATGACACTACTTTTTCCATTAGTATAGGTCAAAAAATGGCTGACTGCATATACTCACTTTAAGTGTTAGTATGCTGGTAGAACTTTTGTAAGGCGTATCATGAACATTTTGAAAAATAAAGCCATACGTACCTGCTATTCATAATGACCCTTCAACCAGCGTTGTTTACAATGAGGTGTACTAATAGGTTGCTAGGCGACCGAGGACTAAACAGTTCCAAGTTAATGTTATCAGGATTGCCAAATTTAAATGATAATGCGAATTTATTTTACGACAAAATTGTGTGATCTCGAAAAAGATCCTAAAAAAATATGTTACTACTATGTTACAGTTTTTAAGAAACACGGTTTCTGTATAAAACATGCAGAGGAATGTGAAGCCATTATCATTTATTACGAAGATATTCATGATCTCGTAAAATTTCTCTGATTGCCTTTTGTGCTCTGTTTCTTGACGCGAGCGCGTTATTACAATGTAAAATTATTGAACCTATGATTATTGTCAACGGTCTTGAGAGTAGCGGACAGATAGTGTGTTTAAAATTATAATTCCAGTAATACTCAGGTTCTTGAGAATAATTAGTATTAATGAAGTTGTTGTTGAAAAACAGATTAGAAAAACTGCACTTTATTGTTATAATTATTATTCTGAAATCTTACGTTAGGAGTTGCAAAAATTGTTGAAATATGTTCGAATATAACTGGTGTTGTACAGTCAACAATATATCAACTTGTGCATGAAGATAAACGGGGCCCAAAGAGAAGTATGACAAAAAAATTAAATGACTGCCATCAGAAATATACTCTTAAAAAAAGAAATACCTACCTTGGAACAAATAATGTCTGATTGGAAAAAGCATTATTTGATTCCACCCATGGGTAAGAAGAAATTGTCGAAATCTTTGAAAGAAATGAATTTTCGTTACGAAAAAAGCCAAAACCGAAAATCATTTTTTACAAATAAAGACGAAAACAGGAATACCTACTATCTGGACGAAAGTTGAGTAACTTAATGAATAAAAATTTAAAAAGCGCGGGTCAAGCCATCCTTATTATTTTTCTGTACTCCAACGACTATAGTTTATCTGAGTATTCTGATTAATCAGAACATGAAACTCCCTTAATTACCCTGAAAAAAATTATCATCGTTGTCATTTTTCAGACATTCCAGATGTTGCCAGTATTGGCAGAAGTTATATCAAAATGTACCAAATCCACATAACTATGCATAAACAAAGAGGCAGAATTCTTTTTATTTACATTACATTTAATCACTATTTTGTTGTGTTTTAGTCTTTCAGGTTTGGTTTAACTCTTTAAAATAAGTAGTGGTAGTAATAAATAATAAATTTTGAAAAACTTTTAGTTATCAATTGTTTTTATAACTGCAAAGAATAGTTTAATTTGTCAATTATATATTGTGCAAGTTCCTATTATCTGAATGTACCCATTATTAATTCAACAATTCAACAGGACTGTTGATTAAAAAAAAAATGTTTATTGAGAATTCATTAATGCACATAATTTTTTTTATAAGCGCAAATAATATTGTGTCACTATTAAACTTTTTATGTTTTGCAATTTGTCATGTAAGTTGCAATGTGTGTATCTATGAATAAAACACTTTTATTACGATTTATTTTAATAGGTCTGTGGTATAGGTAATAAATTATATGATTTCTGAAGATCGGGTTTAATTATAAAGAAATAGTTCTCGTAGTGTTGGAACTGGTCAATATTTTATAATAAATTATTATGCATGTGTGTTTTATCTATAACAAATATTCAAGGAACATCCCAATACCATACTTCGCGATTCGCGGAATCCCAATAATAATAGCGACACCATTTGATTCAAAGAACGATCTGACGGCGACGTAAGGCAAAATATAAATACATAAATATAAGTTTCATGGTATTTTTAAAATTATTTCGGTCAATTCCACAACCCTAAGTTCTCGCTATATTTAACATAACATAACCGTTCATAATTTTTCATATAATAAAAATGCATAGTTGCATTTTGCATTTTTTGGTCATTTCTACGCATATATTCTGAAAATTTTAAGCATTTAAATGCGCATATATTGAGGTTTTTCGATTGCATTTTTTCTGCTCTTTAGTGATCACTTTATTACTAAGACCAATGACAAGTTAACAATACATTGTCACTGTTTTTTATAATTTTCGTTTCAAACCACATTTAAAAATCAAATTATACAGACACTTCCATTAGATAGCTTAAAAAAGAATGTTTCTTTTTTTGTTTTAAATTTTATATAATATGAAAAGAAAAAATTAGTGCCCCAGTGATACCCACCTTCCACACACCTGAAGTCTAGATAAGTCGAATTTATTTTTCGACAAATCAACTACTTTGAGTTATCAATGTATACCCGAGATATACTTCATCTGTATATTTTTCGATTTTTGGCCTCTGCCATGACGTTTACGAAAACGATGCGATTAATGAATGGTTAACACCTCTTTCCTAGATAAGATTTTGTAAAAATTCCGTTTTCGTTTTCGCATTACAATGGTTTCTCATGCCCTTAGTAGGAAATCTGGTACAATAAAGCGCAGTTTGTCGTAAAAAGTTTATGATTTCAATGGTGACCCGAAACATTTTATATTATAAATAATTAAAATTTTACAATAAATATATCTATCTAAAATCTGCTTAAATTATACAACATTTTCATTTTTAAAGATATGAAAAGCTAATTAATTGCCGCATTTCGACCCTGCCGACGATTTTTTAAAACAACTTCAAGGAAAATTCAAATCACTTCAATGGATGATCCAATCCAAAAGTTCATTGCATTTATCACGTGTTGTTCGGGTTGTCACTGGGCTCCCTATCTAACAAAGTGTCGCCGCCGTTATTGTCCCAGGCGACACTGAACATTTCTTTGGCTTTTTTCTCCCACACGAATTTGTTTTTTTGAATATTTTTGGTATTTTCCGCGACATGTTCGTCGGGACGACCGTAATTAGGTGGATTGGCGTAAGGGTCGTAGCCCAAAACTGAAAGCATCGGGGCTATGTCGGCCATGTCGCGGACAACATCGTCGGGGATATGACCGACCCATTTGGCCAGCGCTTCCAAGTTCACAGGCTTTATGACTTGATCCGATGATCGTTCGACTCTGGAGAAACGAAAAAATTTGATTAAAAGTTAATACTACATCTGGAGGCAATTAACTATAGTGCATAGGCGTCCAATTACAAGAAACCCCATAAGCCATTCATAAACTAGCTGTTATTGTGATTCAAAACAATGCAATAAGGTTATTTTCATCGACAATAATTATAGGCATATCAAGGTAGATGGTATTGTTTTATATATATTTGTATTTAAATATCTTGAGGGGCTGAGGTGAAATTTTTAATATTATTTTTAAATCAATATTGTTGCGCGTTTGTTAAAAAAGATTTTGGACAATCAAAACACCCACTAACAAGACTACACTTTTTGTAATAACAAAAAATTTATTACGATCGACAGAGTCGGATGCGTTGATGAGATCGCATAAGATTCCAACAACGCACCCATATTGATTAAAGTTATCAGCCCTTCATAAAAAAGGTGTAGCGCTGACATTGTACTTTTACCAATTCTAATCCATGCTGAATTCCTGACAGTATTTTATGATTTTTTGATAGTGGTGGATTTAAAAATGCATACTGAAAACTATTCGAGATAACCGACGGCACAGTATGAGGACAAAGTTTAAAATAACCTTGCATGGTAATATTAAAATCTTTCAACTTATTACAACTGACAGTTTTCTGAAGTCTTCATGAAGGCATTTTCAGAAAACTTTTTACAAGTGGCGGCTCCGCTTGCTGATTTTTGTTAGTTTCTCGGTTGCTGAAATAATTGGGAACAAGCTTGTGTTGTGTTTTCTGATGAAAGAATACTCTTCAGATAGTCTGTATGGATATTTAGTTTTCAATATAGACATACAGTTGTCCAAAAAATTCTCCGTACACACAGTATTTTTTCAGTTTGCTTTTAGTTTCTTCTTTATAAAAATGAGTTATAAAAATGAAATAAAAATCATTTGAAACACTTTATTTAAACGATAAAAAAATGAGGCAGTTTTAAAAGCAAAAAGCTTTATCAAATAAGTCTATAAGTACACTATTATTTCTTATGATAAATTAAAAAATTTCTTAAAGTCTAATATTTTGTACAATTGCCATTTGCTTTAATAATGGCATTAAGTCTTTTTGGTAGACTTAAAACAAGTTTTCTTGTAACGTCTGGCGATATGCTTTCCTCTTCTCTTATCCTATTTTTGAGGTCTTCTTTACTCCTAACTTGACGTTTTTTCGCTCGTCGCTTTATAATTTTTCCCACAGGTGCTCTACGGGGTTAGCATCCGGAAACATCCGGAGATTGTGGTTATGTATGAGATTGTTGGCGGAAATTATAGATCATCCAGCGACGTACAATAACGCCCATCAAGGTTAAATTTTTCAACACTTTGGTTTAAATTATTCTATAGGATGTTCAAGTAACCATGTTGGTCCATGATTCCGTCAATAAAAGATAAATTGCCTGTCCCGTTAGCTGACATGCACCCCCACAATAAAACATTACCTCTACCATGCTTCACCATAGGACAGACATTTTCGATTTTCAGAGCTGTATTTTTTTTATCTCCAAACTTTATCCCGACCATCTTACCCAAAAAGATTAATTTTTGTTTCGTCACTAAAGATAACGTTTTCCCAAAACTCCCTGGTTTTGTTAATGGGTTCTCGGGCAAATTCCAAACGTTTTTTTCGATTTTTTTCCGAAATTAATGGTTTCCTTCTGGCAACGCGGCTGTTATAACCTGCTCGATGCAAGCAGTTTCTAATCGTTTGAGGGTTAACATTTTTTGCGAACTCTTCCCCGATCTCCCGTGCAAGTTTTGGAGCGCTTTTTTTAGTATTAATTCTAATTTTTTTCACAACCGAAGACTCTTCTCGTGCAGTTAACTTCCTGGGACGACCAGAGCGTGACCGCACTTTATAAGATCCGTTGGATTTGTATTGATTTATTACATACTGTGCATTTGAACGTTATTTTTAAATTATTTTACCAATATCTCTAAAGGATTTTTTCTCTTTCCATAAATCTACTATGATTTATCGAAACACAATTGGAATTTCGCAATTTTTAGCGCTAATTTTGTTTTTGGTTCAAAACCACTGACTTAAAAGTGGCGTCAAAAATAAACAAGTGTAACTCATTTCTTTGAGCGAAGGTTGATACAAGCTGACTTGATAAAATATTGATAATAAACGGTTCTACCTGCAGTTCTGAATAGTGATTTATTGAACTGTATGGAGGCTTATTTGACATAGTTTCTTGCTTCTAAAACTCCCTTATTTTTTATCGTTCAAATTAAGTGTCTCAAATGATTTGTTTTTTATTTTTATTACTCTTAATTAAATGTAAGTGGAAGAAGAAACTAAAAGAAAACTGGAAAATACTATGTGTACTGAGACTTCTTTGAGGAGGTGCGGGATGGAAACTATTATAAAGTAAAAAATATTAAATGATTAATGATATTTACATTAAAAATAGTTAAATTTCACAAATTTGACACATTTTTAGGGATAATGCAAACCACAGCGGATGCCTGTAAAGATTCTTTGAAATTTTACAATAGATAATACTAAGAACAAATACACAAAACAAAAAAATAAGTACACTTGCATATTAAACACTTTTCAGAATTCAGGACTTTGAAGTTCATTGCAAACTTCGCAGTATTGCAATACTTTTACCAGCAGTTTTTGTAATAGCAAAATCCAAAAACATGTTTTCACTTTCAAAGTCACTTTTCTTACAAAAGATAAACAAAAGCAGAGGTAGTACAAGACGCACGTGAAATCTCCCCTACAACAGAGTAAGCTACTTTATAAAAAAACATTTCTTACCAACCACCTCGCTATTGTTAAAAAGAATTATGTTATTTTGTGGGCAATGTTCCATGAGCACGATATGTTTTAAAAATTATATTGACTTAAATTTCTACTTTACCTATAGCTCTTGAATACTAAAAATATTATCCTGTGTATCGATAAAGAGACCATTTCTTAGTGTTGCTGTTTTTTCAAACTGTGAATTAATGACAAATGAAAAGAAAAATTAGAATCAAAGGTGCATAAAATGACCAACAATCAATACCAGAAATTAATGGGGAGCTTTTTGTGGTGTTAGTTGAAGTAATAAGACCTCTGAATACCTCTGAATCATTTTACTAAAGGCTAAATAGGTCTACTTAGCATAAATGTAAATAGTTTTAAATTTGCAGTTTTCCTTGTAAATTTAAACACAGAGAAAAGGTTTAATACGTAAAATTTGTAGAAGACCGAAAAGCTCTTACTTGCTAAGACTGATTCCATTGTTGATAAAATCCTCATGATGAAGGACCGACTCATTCCACGGAATGTCTAAAAACTTTAAAACCTTCTGCATCCACTCTTTGGGATGCAAAACTAGTTGCTCATAGGGCACTCTTAGGCATTTGTTCAGACCCAGCTCTTTACATTGATTGTTCATTGCTTCCACTGCGCTATTCCATTTCTTTAAACACTGTTTATAGCTTGTCAAATCGAAACCTGTTATGGTTACCTTTCGAGAGATGATCGAATGTGCAGTGGCTCTACCATCTCTTACCATAAAAATAAATTTGGCATTGGGAAAGAGATCAACAACATAGGTGCCCATTTTAATCAATAATGGATCTTTGTTGCACAGTCTTGGTGCTGGTTCACCATGTTTTGCTATAATTTCTAATGTAAAAGCTGCAATGGCTGCATTTAACACATCTTTTGTTATTCCAGCTTGTTCCAGTCTTACTGATTCTTTTTCTGACTTTAGCCAGTGGAAACGAAGTTGAAGTAGCCTAGGGATTACCCGGGTTTCCTGACCACATCTATAAAAATAATGAACTAGTTGTAACTTGTTGGTTTTAATACAACATATATATTGTAATACTGTTATATATCATACCTGACGTCAGGATGGGCATCCAACATTGCTCGCATTAGTGTGGTACCTGATCTGGGCACTCCACCAATAAATATTAAAGGCATTTTCCTATTATATTCATACACCCTTTTATTGGAACCCTTTATGATTTTGTTTTCAGAAGATACCATTTGTGCAAAAGGTTTTATATCAGCACTGCCAATAATAAGATGCAGTACCAGATATAGAACCAGGATAAGTAAAAAACCACCTATGGCCTTCCGTATATTGCCTCTTAGTCGTCTCAGAAGCTGCATGATGGTTAGTATTTTGTCATTATAATCACAGCATCTCAGTAATTCCGAAATCTTGCCTGAAATATAGTAATAGTATGGTTCCTTAAGCAAAAACACGTTGATAAATTTCAAAAGTACTTCAGCAAAACCTGCAACCTAAATAAATTTGAAAATTTTACCTAGACCCCAAATTTCAGTTGTTCAAATCTTGTTAGTATTGAATAAATGCCACATTTACTGTTAGCTTAGATTATGTTTTATTTACACTCCTCGTATTTTGATTCCGCATTCTGTCGCTGTATTATTTACTATTCTCCTCGATCGCTGGACAAACATTTGACGATAGATATAATTTGACAACCTCAGTTATACCATGATAACGTAAACCATAGACCATAGAAAACAAATATAAATGAAAGCAAATTTTATAAATTTTTATATAGAGTATAAAATTTTATATTACTTTTTGACCCCAGGACAGGAAACCATTAACGATTTATTTTCGCCAGATTGGAACAAGCAGTGATGTCCTCAATCGTCGTGCCAAGGATTTTCATATATATATCTTAGAATTTTAATCTATTACTTTGCTTTTTAATTCAATGTTTTCCTGGAAAGATAAATTTCTAGAGAAGGATATAATAACTAATGCCTAATCTATGAACTAAGAGACATTTGCGGTCGACCGGCATCTGGCTAATGTGAGAAGTAACTATCCTCTTTTATTTACTGTTTCTGTTTTTGAACCACATCTTACTTCACAAAAACACATCGTTATAATCCTCTCAATTAAAAAACATGGGTCCAACGAAAATAAAACGAAAATTCAATGGAAAAAATTTAGCACAGCAATCTATTGTTGCTTATTTAAGTAGCAAATAATTTGAAAATAGCAGAAATATTAATAATTAATAATTAATAATATATGTAGTACATATTTATAAACTAGACAATGGGAATCTTATTATTGTTGCTTGCAGTCGAATTAACCAAAACAACAATACATTCTATTCCATCTAAGCTAAAAGGGTAATAAGCAAATTCGAACACTTCCTTGGATTTAATCTATGGGGGCTTCTCCCACCTTCTACACATTCAACAGATCACGCGTCCGTGCGTCTCTTATAATTAAAATGGAGTACATTCCTTACAAAAATTATTTGGGTTGTTAATGAATGGATTTCGAAATGAACGAAGCATTTTTTCAACAATATGTATGAAAAAACGACAAATTTCAAGCTTCAATATCATTCCTCCTTAAATTGGAAAAATAAAAACTCAATTTTGTAACATGGCAACATCGACTGCGCTTTAGTGCCGTCGGTCTCACAATTTGAAGTCGCCATGTTTGGAAAGGACGCCGTGTCCTTGATGTGAGCGCGTTTAATGCTGTTATTGTTGGGAGCATTTTCTAGTTTTTAATAACGTGAAGTATCCAATTGCTGTTGGAACCTTAATTTTTACGATAGTGTTGTTTTTATTATCCTACGAGCAAGTTTTGACCAGATATTTTGGGAATACATTATGGTAAGTTCGACGATTGAAATTCAACATGGCGGCTGGAAGGTTCTTTGTTATTTGCCCAATGTTGCATGAAAATCTTTAAAAATAATATAATTCGTTTTTTAAAGTATTTCGTGTGAGAAATAAGTGAAATTTAGCTGTTTTGGAACAACTAGCTTTTTATTTCTTTGCAAATTTTGTTTTTATAATATTTCAAAATTCACTATCCCTAGCCGTATTTTGAAATAGGGAGTTGTATACTAGGGATAAGGTTACTTTTTTTTTTTATTCTGGAACGTTTTTATTCGTTAATATTGAATCACCTATGTAATAATTTTAATGAATGTATTCCATGTTTTTGTTTAATTTTGAGTTATTTATTAATTACTGTGTTTAGTTATTACAAAAACATCTTCAGACTGTTAATACAGGTTAGAAACTATTTTACGATCCCGGCTTTTTCGATGTCATTCTAATAAATTTTATTTGGTAGATTTTTCGAATCTGGCTTTGTTCAACCAAAAGGGATTACATTATAAAATAAGCACGTTTGTAAGGAAGTCATGAATCCTGAAAACTTCGCGTTTTGTGTTTATACGTTAGTTGTTTTTATTTAGCCGAATCGATTGGTTATAGTTCTGAAAATAATTTTTTAATACTGCATGGCCATAGCCATAAGACCATTTCGAAAGATAAAGTTGAGATGGTTAATCTTCTTAATTCGAGTTTTATTGAGGAATATTTAATTTTTTTGTATATGCGCGTTGTTGAAGGACCATTTTATTAATAAAACATTCAAAATTACATTTTAAGGATATTTTGTTCAAACACCTTTAAAAAATGAAATCAAATAAGTAATATTGTTTATTAAATGAAATATGGCATTGACAAAACTAGATTGCTTCATATTCTCAAAGTAATGTTCTCAATTTTAATGAACCGTCGCAAAATATGGTTAATAGATTGATCAAAGATGAATGAAGATACTCCGGGGGTGGAGCAGGGAGCTCCGCCCCCAATGGAGGGACAAGCTCCTCAATCGTCAGTAGACCGACCCACATCTATGAGGATAACGCAGGTTGCTAGTGGGCAGTATGTTCTAACTCCACAACCTCATGGAAGTTCAGTGCTTACTCAGGTAAATTATAGTACGCATTATTAATATGTGAAGTGATTCATGTTCAAATTCACATTCAAATAACAATATGTTCGTTTTGATGCGAAAAACTTATAAAAATTTACCAGTGATATTTGGAAGATTTGATTTAAAACTTCTAATACATAATTGGACATTGTTTGTTAACTCAACTTGTTTCTGAATTTTGTTTGAATTTTAGTATAACGTGTGTATTCAAATCTAGTTTGCCACCTATTTGTTAACATGTTTTAAACTTGATCTTACGGTGATTTCAGTGGGAACGGGTATTTTTTAATGTATTTTAAAGTTAGCTTGGGATCATTTACAATGGAAATGGTTAAAAAGCAGTCGTTCGTCTGATAATCCCAAATGTACTTTGTAAGAGTTGCATTAAAGTAATTGTTTGTTTGCCGTGTTGCGATTTAATTTACACAGTAATTAAAGTTATTGTTATTTTTTTAATGAGCTGAGTTTCACTACTAAGATCCGAATCACCCTGTATATTAGGAATAAAGCAATCGGTTCCTGTGAGTTTTAATGAAAATCAACGGCAGTTTATTCTTGTTATATATCTTTATCGTGACAGAATCAACCATTGACACAAATAAATTGGATCAATTTTTTTGGGATATTTTTTCTTTATTTATGAAACATTCTGTATATTTAAAAATAATTTTAGGTTATGCGTCTGATGCACCTCTGTAATTTTATAAGATGTCAACCGCAGACGCACGATACAACATTTTACAAAATAAAACAAAAAAAAAAGAATTTGGCGTCAAAAGTTATCAGTTTTTCGGAAATAACAATCACTTAAAAGGAACACCCGGTATGCACTTTTGGCAGCAGAACATTTTTAAAATTATTATTGAAGGCGAGTTAATTCGAAGAACACCAAGCTTGTAATACAAAGGGATAGAACAACCAGTTAACCGGATAATATCATTTGCACAGCGGGTAACTAATCAAATAAAAAATTTTAGTGATAACGAAGAAAACAAAACAGAACAAGAAAAGGAGAAAAAATACTATAAATTCAAAGTTCACTTGTCACAACATGTCAAGACAAGATCTCTCTCAGCGGTCATGTTGGTTGGTTGTTTTCATAGTTGCTTCATAAATTTCTGTGTTATCAGCATAATAGCCGTCTGCATTGCACACGAAAATAGATCGAGGGAGCCGGATTCAGCACTCATTTGTTTTTGAGATTTTCAAACTTTTATCATTTTAGTTTTTTGTAAGGGGGTTTGAAAATCATTTATAAGTACCAATTTTTGCTTTATTTTTCGTTGACTTCGTATTTTTAGATTTTGCTAATTTTTGCTTTTTAGTTATTGAAAAATATAGTGTTTTTTGTTTACAATTTTGAAATTTGTTCATTGGATAAATATTCTCTCTTTACGGTCAAATGTTCCCAAATAAACCTTATTTGTTAAACCTCCCTTCGACGGGTCTGTGAGTCATTGTCAAAATGAAATTTCTCTATTTTCTATCTGGTTTTTTTAAGTATCACAGTAAATTTGAAGCGTGTGGAAAGCAATTTTGCTATAGAGACAAGTTAGGAAAAAACAAACCACAGAAAAATTGCAATTTATCCTGATTTTGGTAACAAATTGTAACAATCCTCATCGTGAATTTGACTTATTGTCTTTTCAAAGAGATTTTCTTGGAAAGCTAGTTCAATTAGGAAAAGAAAAGCATTGGACAAACATTTGCCCCGAAGTGTACGACTTTCCACTTCAAAACTATTAGGTATCACCGAACTGGATATACAAGGCTTTTCATTAGACAGAGATTCGAAGTCCAAGTACTACAAAAGACCTGCAAATCTTTTTTTTTTTTTGGAAAATTTATGAAATTTCGATAAAATTTTCAGTTGGACGTGTCCCATGTGTTCTCATCTGTTTTTGTATTTACGTCTCCTATCTCATTTATTAAGTGAAATACTGAATTTAATGTATAAGTTTGGAGTTTGGAGTTTTAGGTGACCAGATGACATAGTGCCAAGAGTAGTACAAAATTATTTAAATGATGCGAATATTGACATTTTGGACTGGCCTCCACGCAGATCAGGTTGAATATAGTATTTCAATTTACAACTTCTATTTTTTCGCTTGAAAACAAGGCAAGATGTGCAAAGAGTCAAAAAAATACTTTTGGTGGCTCATAGAACGTGTAACAAAAAAAAGCTAAAAAAATCAGTGCCGTACGTCTATTTGACAATATTATTCGTTAGGGTACCTCCCGGGACTGCACTAAACTTAACAAAAATTACCCTCTTCACTTCAAAATATTTTACCTAATATTTATGAAATATTTCAAACCGGGTTCGATATTCTTCATATTATTTATTAATCCATTTGACACTATGATTTATTTACAGTTTTAGAAGATGACGCTTCGTCTTTAAATTAAAAAAATTAATTACTATTAATTAAAAAAATTAATAGTAGTCAAACTCATATAAATAAATACATAATTACTAAAATTGAATTGCACAAATAAAAGATCCCTTTTAGCGACAATATAACATTTCTTGGTCTATATATTGATACAAATTTCAACTGTGAATACCTAATATCAAAAGTATATTCCCAAAGTTCTGAGATAATTAAAATCAGTGCTAAAAATCAACTACCTGATTCCATTTTATTTTGCTAATGTTGACGAAAGGCTACGGATATGATGCCTGTTTTTTCGTTTGGTTATCCATCACTATAAATGTTTTTGTTACTCAAAGAAAAAAACGTTCTCTTGCTAGAAAACCAAAAACTCAATGTTAGAGATTATGTTTAAAAAATTAATATTTTAGCTGTCTTTGGGTTTTGTATGAAAGCAGCTTGTTTTTACAAATAGTGATAATGTAAAAAAAAGTTATTTTAAGTACTAGAAGCATGTAGTTCTAACCTCACAAATATTTGCAAATAAGAAATTTTTAAAGCTTTTGAAAGTTATGTTAAAAATCTTTTTATTAAAAAAAATTTCTATTTAGTAGATTATTTACAAATTGTATCACTTTTGTTTTTTATTTCAGGTTAGTATTAAAAAATACTTTTTATGTAATAAACGTACTGCATTTGTATTTTATTTGCGAAATATCAACAAAAAATATTTTTATTTCTTTTTTTTTTGTAACAAATCTATAGCTGAAAGCCAGAGATATCCTGATTCAATCATTGTAATCAGGATTATATAGCCTATAAGTTTAGGTCTAATAAGTGTTTATATTTAGTAACTTTTGGTTTCGGTTTTGACTGCAAAATTTAACGGATCAACCTTTCTTAGTATCAAGCTCCAATATTTCAAAGCCTCTGTCCTCGGTCAACATGGAATACTGGTATTCGGACAGATACTGGACATTTTTCCTGCTTGTTGTTTTACGTTTTCTTTTACTTACTGGCGATTTTCTTTTGCGTATAACAAGCACGATTGTCAAGTTTATGCATATATTTCATGCATCCCTACGAAATGTGATTTTCTCGTCAACTATGGGACATGATAATTCCGTTTTTAAGGTTTTTATGAAAAAACGATAGTTTGGTTTATTGCTGCATGATCTAGAACCCAATCGGAAAATGTTATAATATATAAGATAATTAAGGACAACTAAAACAGCTTTCAACAAAATAATGAAAATCAAATAAAAAAGTAATTAAACATAAAACTAGATCAAAGTTTCAGTATTCCATAAGAGAATCAACAACGATTTGCTATATCTCAAAAACGCAGTAGATAAAATTCTGTTGGACAGCCTAATTCGGACTTAAAAAAATCTATAATTTTGCGGAATTGAAAGAAAATTACATATTGTTCCAGATAAATTCTTCCGGTCTGCCCGGATCGGACGGCGCGGTCACGCGCATTATAAACATCAGCCCATCGAGGGGCCAAACGTCCCCGTTGCGTCCGAGTTTGACTAATCAATCGATAGTTAACGTCCTCAAAGCGCGGGGAAGCTCTAACGTGCGATTACAGTTGTTCCCTAACGATAATGGCACCGCTAACCATTCGTCACCTACGCACGCGCGTTCCCTCAAAAGACCATCGGCCACCATCATCGCTGACAAAGATTCCTACTCTGCCAAATTGCAACGCGTCATGAACCACAGGATCGTGAGGTCCAAGTTGGTGAAGGAGAAATATGCGGAACACTTGCTGGAAGCTTTTTATCTGGACGCCGGCGGCAACATCTTGGATTTGTACCAGTACGCGAAAAGACCGAAAAGTCAATCTTACTTGGCGTACCTTCGGGAGCACTCCATCGATCCTAGCGATCACGAGGAGAAATGTTCCACTCCGACGGTTGTAGCTCCATCCGCTACCGCGGCCAGCTCTCTCCCCGGTATTTCTAATACGCACCAAGTGAAATCACCTCCGCCCCTTAGCACTCCTCCGATATCGGCTCCATCGACCCCCGAACCTCAAACAATTCAAACGAAAATCAAATCGTCGAATTCGAATCAGGAACATATCGTGGAGAAGGCCAAACAGGAAGCATACGTCGTTCAACGGATCATGGACCTTCAAAGGGACGGCCTGTGGTCGGAAAAGCGGTTGCCCAAATTGCAAGAGATGCCGAGAGCGAAAGCCCACTGGGATTTCCTTTTGGAAGAAATGGTGTGGTTGGCGGCCGATTTCGCACAAGAACGCAAATGGAAGAAAGCGGCTGCCAAGAAATGCGCCCGAATGGTCCAGAAGCATTTCCAGGACAAAGCTTTGGCCGCTCAGAAAGCGGAGAAAGCTCAGGAGCAACACCTGCGCAGGATAGCGGCTTTCTGCGCGAAAGAGATCAAGATATTCTGGAACAACGTCGAGAAGCTGGTCGAGTACAAGCAGCATACGATTCTCGAGGAGAAGCGAAAGAAAGCACTCGACCAGCAGCTCAGTTTCATCGTTGATCAGACGGAAAAGTATTCGCAACTGCTGGCGGAGGGCATGAACAAGAGCGCGGTCGAGGTGCCGTCGAGCACGGTGTCCTCCAGGTCCGTGTCTAGAGCACAATCGGACGAGGAATTCGATCCGGAAATGCAGAGCGACGAAGATGACGAGGAAACGATAGAGCAAGAGGAGGCGGCGCTCTGCGCCAAAGATCAGAATGAGGAGGTCGAAGCTCTGCGAAGGGAATCTCAATTGGAGCTGGATGACCTCTTGGAGGATGACTTCCTCAGGAATTACCTCCTGAATAGGGATAATATCCGACTGAGCGAGTCGGAATCGGAGAATGATAAGCGGGAGAAGAAAAGTCCTAGTTTTGTGGCGGAGGAAGAGGGGGATTCGCACAGCGACGACTCGAACGACAGTTTTCGTAGCGGCGATGAAAAGGACGGCTGCCAGACGGAAAACCCTTGCCTCAAACATCTCGTAAACGAGGACGATGGAGAAACAAAGACTGATGACGAGAAAAAAGATGACATTATCAACGACGCGGCTGCGATCGCCGAAAGCATCCAACCCAAAGGGAATACGTTGTCTTCCACGCAAGTTTCCACAAATATACCGTTCCTTTTGAAATTGCCTTTGAGAGAGTACCAGCACATCGGGTTAGATTGGTTAGTGACCATGTACGACAGGAAACTGAACGGCATCTTGGCCGACGAGATGGGCTTGGGCAAGACTATCCAGACTATCGCGCTCCTGGCTCACCTGGCCTGCGAAAAGGGCAACTGGGGTCCGCACTTGATCGTCGTGCCGACCTCGGTAATGTTAAACTGGGAGATGGAGTTGAAAAAGTGGTGTCCGGCCTTTAAGATTTTAACGTATTATGGAACGCAGAAAGAGAGACGGATGAAACGTGTCGGTTGGACGAAGCCCAACACGTTTCACGTATGCATCACGTCGTACAAGCTGGTCATCCAGGACCATCAAAGTTTCCGCAGAAAACGGTGGAAGTATCTCATACTCGACGAGGCCCAGAACATAAAAAATTTCAAGTCGCAACGGTGGCAGCTGCTTTTGAACTTTCAGACGGACCGGAGGCTGCTACTGACCGGTACCCCCCTGCAGAACAATTTGATGGAGCTGTGGTCGCTGATGCACTTTCTGATGCCAAACGTTTTTCAATCGCACAGAGAGTTCAAGGAGTGGTTCTCGAACCCGGTGACGGGCATGATCGAAGGGAATTCCGAATACAATGATAGTATTATAAAGCGGCTCCATAAGGTAAGCATTTTGTATATTTTGCAGTAGTTTTGCGAAATAGTTGAAATAAGGAATGAAGGTTATGGTAGTGGAATCCACCATCATTTTGAGATTTTAGATAATTGAGTGAGTGTTATAGGTAAAAGTTAAAGAAAAATTGACTTATTACCATTTTTTTCTAATCGTTTTTTCAAGTTTTGGGTATTCTGCTGCTAAAGATCTGAAATTTGTTTTTTTTTTGTATTAGCTGAAGCCCGCATTCTCACCTTACCAACTTGGTATATATCCTATAGGATCCCGTAGCTATGGGGTAGAATTTAAACTTCTGCACACCTAGTTTTATAATCCTGTCCTCATATATTGAGTTACTGTAAACCTTTCAGATAATAGTATATTACGCAACAAGTGCGGTAAACTGCATTTGACTTATGAGTTTATTTGACACGAGCGGAGCGAGTTTTTAATAAACGAGTGAGTTAAAAAGTTTTTCTACTCCCGTCTGTAAAATACCTAATTAGCCACCGATCTAGCGTGCGGGAAGCTTCACTTTACCACGTCAGTTTCGTCTCCCATGAATCCGAGCCACTTCGGACATTTCCTGGGATTTTACGGCACGGATATGGGAGCATTCGGGTGTTTTTGGAGATACATCCCACGCCTTGAATTTTGACGTTTCTCAATTCTGACAGTGATGTCAGTGAATGTATTCGTGTTTTGTGAAAATGTACCCAAAAACTAACTGTCGTAGAAAAAGTATAGTATAGTATCCCGGAAATGTCCGAAGTGGCTCGGATTCGTGGGAAAGGAAACTGACGTGGTAAAGTGACGCTTCCCGCACGCTAGATCGGTGGGTAATTAGGTATTTTACAGACGGGAGTAGAAAAAAGTCTTTTTCTTCGAGGTTACCACAAAAAAGTAGTTATTTTGACAAATTTGGCCAGTGTTCACAACCCAGGAAGTAAAGTTTTCAATTGATTACGGGCCACAATTTAAATACAATTCAAAAGAAAATCTCTAGTAGTTTTTGGTTGATAATTGTCGATTATTTTAATTGAGTTTAATAAAAAATCGACAAGAAAGTTTCATTGACTTGTTGTAGTAATTTGTGTGTAAGTTCAGTTGATAATTGCAGGCGTTGAGGTTCTTTCCACCACAAAAATTGTTGACCAAGGTTATATTGATATTTCAGGATTTGGTTGAAATTCAGAAGAAAATAAAGTTTCAATGTCTTTTTGTAGTGATTTAAATTAATTTCATAAAAAGCTCTTTGGTGCTAGTGTTCATTTTATGGCTGCAATTTTAAGGTACTTTTTACTTCAAAAATGGGTGAACAAGGTGATTTTGATCGGAGTTTGATTAAAATTTTGAAGAAAATGTGGTTTTTCACCTACTTTTGTTGTAATTTACGTTAATTTTATCAAAAGCTCTTCTTTGGTGTTGCTATTCAGTTGACGACTACATATTTACTCTCTATACTATACTATACTATACTCTACTATATTTACTCTTCACTACAGAAATTGGCGAACAAGGTGGTGTTGGTAGGAATTTGATTGAAATTCAGAAGAAGATGAAATTTGACTTACTTTTTTTTGTTTAATTTCATCAAAAACTGTTTGGTGCCAGTGTTCAGTACATGACTGCATGTTTTTGATATACTTACTTTTTACCATAAAAATTTGGTGAAGAATTTTATTTCCGAATTGATTAAAATTCAGTAAAAAAATTGACCTTTCGCTGATGTTTCACATTTTTTGGATGATAAATAATAATAATAATAATAGTAATAATCTTTTTCACTTTGAAAAATATTTTTCACCATAAAACCAAAACGCACAAATGAATTTAAAAGCTTTTGTTTGTACCTAGTGTTTAATTCTAAGTGGGTATTTGAATAGTTGTAAGTGGTCAATCACGCATTAGTTTCTAATCTTAGAGTATGTACTCTACGCGAACTTCACCATTTGACAGAAAATTTCTGAATTTGAGGATTTTGAAACTGAATTTTAGGTGTTGCGGCCATTTCTTTTACGGAGACTAAAGTCGGAAGTGGAGAAACAGATGCCAAAAAAATACGAACATGTTGTGATGTGTCGACTATCCAAGAGACAACGTTTTCTTTACGACGACTATATGTCACGAACAAAGTAAACCAACATTCTCGTACACCGATTATGCTGTTTTAATTTTTTGTTTTGTTATCAGGACCAAAGAGACCCTGGCCAGTGGCAACTTGCTGAGCGTAATAAACATTCTCATGCAGTTGAGAAAAGTGTGCAACCATCCGAATTTGTTTGAAGTCAGGCCGACCATTTCGTCGTTTCAATGCGAAAAAATCAATTTGCACATTCCTTCGATCGTGTACGAGGCCGTGCGATACGACCCCTTTAAGGTTTTTATTCCCTGCCTTTGGTGTTTATAAGGCACTTTTCCATTTTATACAAAAGAGTTGTTTTGTTATTTTTTATTGTTCTAAGAACTTACACACACACAAACCGTCTTTTAAACAATTTCTAACAACTATCACTTGCTTATGTGAAAGAAATTACTACATTTTAATAAAATCTATTTTTAGTAGTAGTTTTTTAACGGCCAAACGATTGATGAGATTTATTTGAATATATTTTGTGGGAAATTGAATTCTCTAGAAAGAAAAGCTCTTATTGCAAAATTTAAAAATTCCGAAATAAAGAAGTTTTACAAAAAAAAAATAAGGGTAAATTATTAATGTTTAGGGTTTCAGAGCTTTTTTTTTATAGAGAATTCAATTTCCTTCAAAATTATATTATATATTATGGGACTAGAACAAAAATTTTGAAAATATAAAAGCAATGTATGATTTTTTTCGCCATTGTGAATGATTATGTCGATATATTTTTCATTAAAAATTTTCTTTTCGATTTTTTGGTCTAAGCAATACACTTTAATTTTTGTGAAGGTTGCATTAACACAATATATAAATTTCTGTTTTTTAGGGTTCCCCTTTCATATATATGGTTGGTTGTTGTTAAAAATTACTTAAAATATGTTGTTTTGTTTTGTGTCCAAGATATTAGAACAATAAATAAAACATTAAATTTTGTTTTTCTTGTACAAAATAGCCGAGTGCTAGTGACTGTACATTTCTGATGAATTTATTTCCATTTCAGCACGTAAACCTATACGCAATGAATCTCTTACTGATCATGCTTGAAATACATTTAAACGCTTACCAGTGCTACAGGATGAGGCAGTCCGCGAAAAAGTGTTTCGTCGGGAATCACGTCAAGGAAATTCATCCGCCCTGTCCTCCCTGCAGGCTTAGCATGAAACTGAACCTGAAAAACGGGGAGGGAGTCAAGGCGAAAAAAAAAGAGCAACCGCAGAATACGAAAGTCAGTGTCGTGCCGTCGAATATGAAAATGAAAGTTTCCGGTGTCCAACTGGTATCCCAAGGCATAATAAAAAGTGAGTAGAGAAAAAGGTGCGATCCTTTGGTGTGTACAAAAGCTATTTTGATGTTGACGCCTGTTTTAAGTCGTAGTTTTTTTTTTAATTTCTAAGGTATGCCGGGTGACTTACAGTCGTATCGGAGGAAGTATCTGATTTATGTCAAATTATACCGGACAGTGTTGCAGTTTCCTTATAAAAGCAATATATAGGCAGATATTTTTGTGGCCTCATTTTTATAAAAAAATATATATTTTAGCAAGGAATCGACCTCTAAAATATCTCGGTCTATCGTCCATCGGACCAACAGTAGTACTGACATTCTTTAGGTCGCCAATTAAAAGGGACACTCGGTCTTATCTCGAAAAGACTTGGGGTGAAAAAACGCCTCTAGCGACTATACAATGGGGTAAGAAGAACCCTTTTCAACGACTTCAACATTTGACACAATGCTCTCACCCATTCTGAAGTTATTAACATTTATTTCCGAAAATGTTGGGACGCTTCCATCACTTTCCTTTAGCAGGTAAAGCAAAAAGTATTCTACGAAAAAAATTGAATTGATCCTAACTTTAAAAGCTGTCCATAATTTCCAGCATTTTCTCTTGGCGATTTAGTAATAAGTTTTTCCACCACAAGTCGTTACGATTATTACTTTTAGAGATAGGGTCGAGTGCGCTTCTTAATTGGGCACTCGATACGTATTACGGAGTATGCAGATTTTTTAACCCTATTCGCAAACGCATTTTAGTTGCGTATTATAAGTGAATTCATTTGAAATTTAAGTCAATTACTATTAGTTTGGAGTCACTTAAACATTATTTGAAATAATGAAAATTAATTTCTATTTTAGAAAGGTTAGAAATAATAATTTGGAAGCTTGAGCTTTCTGTCGAATTAAATGTTTTAGAGCATAGAGAGCATCTTTGCTTACTTGATAATTTGCCATAAATCCGTTAATTATCCAGCGTTATTTGCAATAACAGGGAGTATTGGACTTGAAGGTTAAATACTAAAGCTGAACAAATTGCAATGATAGTTTCCGATAAATTCCGTATTTTAGTTTTGGTAGGAATGAGCAAATAATTGTGATATTAATTATTTTAAGATCAATTAAAGAAAGCATTATGTATAGAAAGAAGAATAACACACATTCTTTTATCTATTTCAATCACATATTCCAGGGTTATTTAAATTTACAATCTCTTGTAGCTCCTTTTCTGAAATTGCTTCTTATTTAAAATAAGCTAGTAAATGAATGAAGCGTTTATGGAATACTGCTAAGACCACTAACTTTTACACTCTCGCATTAAGAAATAGAGCTTTGCTCATTTATTAATTTGTATGGCGACGTCGGCAAAAAGTCCTTTTTGTTGTCGTTTCGTATTGTATTGATCCTCGTGTGTAATTGTTTCATCCACGTGTCCTTGTATTGTAGCGATCCCTCTACTCAATATTTCCCAGACTAACTCGTCTGGGCCAATACAAGGCGCTGCGATAAATGTGCCGTCCGTGCTTACATCTGCCGATAAAATTTCGGCAAATTTCGCTCAGCTAGTGCAAACATCGACCGGCAAGCATTTGTTACTAACTTCAAACCCAAATATAACCGGCAACATTCCGATATCATCGTCCGCTATCGGTAAGGAACGCGTATTTATTTATCTGCGAACGACTGATTCGATTTTTTTTTTCCGGTTACTGGGGTAATTCACGTAAATCGTCTTTTAAGTGTTAACAGGTGGTTGATTAGACTTAAAAATTAATTTGTACAGAAGAATTTTTTTTTGGAAAACTCTATCGGCGAGGGGTGTCCTTATTGCCAACTTGTGGGGATTATGTATCGGATATAAAGTCAGAATTATACTCATTTGCAATGACTTCATTTTTATTTGTTTAATATATTCCAAACAGCGGTGACAACAAATTTCTTTATTTAAGGTTATGTAAAATTTCCGTCACATTCTATCATAAACTTGGGTTTCTCAATTTATCGAAAAATTTTATCAAATGTCAAGAAAAGAATACAATACAATCGCAGCTGATAATTTTAAATATATTGGTACCTTTAAAAATGAAATTGAAACTCTACGCACCGAGCGTTATCTTAATATGATCAAGGTAACATATTTTTCTGCATTATTGTATAAATAGTGAAATTCAATTAGGCGTCTGTAATTTGTAATAATGAGCCAACATACGTTTTCCATAACCAGCGTGACGTTACTACAATGGGTATAATTCCGACTATAGTTATAGTCTATTTAAAAGTGACCCAAATGACCCAAAGAATTCATAAGCCACTTTCATTGTGCGCCATCGAACTCATTGCAAAATTCTTTCTTCATATCGAGTGCAGGTAGTATCACCTGGGTTTGAGTCAATTTATGCAATTTGGCTATTGATATCCATTCACCAACCCTGTACCAAAGACGACCTAGTAAGATACTCGTAGTAAGGAAAGAATTTCATTTTAACCCTTATTTTTTTGTTAAACCATTCATTCAAAGTGATTAAAAGATTTAAAATTTGTTTAAAGAAGCCTTTGTTTTTTGAAATGGAAACACCATATTATTATTATTATTATTATTATTATTATTATTATTATATTATATTCCACAGGGTTTCCTATTTGAAAAAGCTATATATTTCGAAATATTAGCAATAAAACGTTTTTCCAAAAATGCTGTTTCGATGAAATATGGCAACCAGAAAGTTAAATAGGCATGCCTATTTTGACTTTCTGTGACTTAGAAAATTAATGCTTGACAGTTTTGGACCACCTAAATTAGTCACTATTTTATTATTGTGTTATTACAGCAAATGTTAAGATCTTTTTAATTAAATTTGTTTCGGTCTTAGAAATTTGAAAAATTTAAAAAATAGAGTAGATGCCATTTCGGTAGTACTCGGTTCTTTTGTTTTGTCATGTTTCATTGTGATACGTCAGTTTGCCTACTCTTCGAATTGAAAGAAAATCTTGGGTGTTCGAAATACTAAATATAATTAAATACTTGGAAAAAGAAACAAATAATCCAAATCCCACCAGAGGTGCATTTAATCTCAATATTCAGAGTACCAACGTCCTAATGGGCTGGCAAAACTAACGTTTTAGGCATTTCTAAACATTTCTTAACAATAATTTTTAGGTGGTTCCAAGTTTACTTTTTTATCGAAGCAGCCGCTTCTGACGCCGAGCGGCACGAACCAGCCCCTTACCAAAGCTTTTGTCAAATTTCAAATCACGTCCGTGACCACGGCATCGACAATAACGTCCACGGTAGGTAAAGTAAATGGGACTTGGAAAAGAAGCGGTAGGGTGCGAAAGCAATATAGCAACAATTTTAGAATTCGTCGACTTCGGTGTTGAGCAAGACGGGCGACAAATTGAGGTCCGTGCAGTCGGATTTCTTAGGAAGGTTATACTCAAAACAAAACAATCTCGATATCCGGTGGAGCGGCGAAGAGGTAACAGATGAGGTAAGAACATTTCTTACCTACCGTGGAAATATTTTCTCTCCATTATAGTTTATTTTATCGAAAAATGTAAATGCAAAGGTTATTTGTATGGATGTAGCTCTAGGAATTTTATTTTATTAAGTACAGGAAATTGACAAGTTAAAATAATGACAATGGTAAGTAACTATAATTCTGATATGTTCTCTTATCTACGAAGTTTCTTTAGGCGTTATCGTACCAGTTACGTTACGATTGGTATAAAAAATAAAACGAAAAATTTATACATAAATGTATATATGTATATCATCAGCATCACCTTACTGCCATTTTCAGCTTTTTGCCCGTAAACCGTAACTTCGATGAGAAAATATTATATTTTATATTCTATGCGTATCTTCAAACCAACTCTGAAAAATGACGTTGGAAAATAAAAATAGTTCTGAGCGGGAAGGGAAAAATTAACCCTGCGGCGATTATATTGAGAATTATTAGAAAGCAAAAAATGTACACAATCAGAAGAGCAGATCTTTCTTTACTAGGCTAATATAAAACAAGATATTTATAACGAAGTGTTTGTGTTCATATCATAATTTATTTATTCCTGTGATTCTGCACTTCTAGCTCATTTCCACACCACCCGTGAGATAGCCTGGAGCTCTCAATCTATTTTGTTGTTAAAGCGATTTCCTCTGTCCTATTTCTGCTAATGAAATATAAGTATATTAGTCATTTGCCTCAGCGAAGTCGTTCATCCCAACGGCATTTAAACAACTCTGTCTACAACAGTTAGAGAAAATTGTTGTGCAACCATACCTTCATCGTTTTCCACATTCCTTTTGACAGCCACAGAATATGAACTGAAGAATTCACCTTTATTTAAAGTTCTCCCTCATTTTGTTGAATAATCTTGCCAATAAATATATTAAAAACGCTCTGGCCCGGATCACGGATCAGTCACTATGTGTCTTTCTTCGCCAGATAGATATTTATGGAAATATTCAGGAAAGGGCGTATATTTCCCACGACTTACAAAATTCCGCAGCAAAGTTAATATTTTATAATAATTAATTAATATGGAAGTATAAAAGAATATCGCAGTAGCAAGCTACCCTATGTAATCTAGGATGGACTAACGAACATTTTTTTACACAAGTCGTTTAATTTCGAGTAATATTTTTAGGAACGCGAAAATGTAAATAGCGAAGAGAAAAGAAGATTAAAACTAATGACCAAAGTAAACGAACGCCGTTGTTCTTCGTTGCCTCTGTACGGGAGAGATTTTCAAGACGTCATCAAAATTCTGGTACCCCATAGGATGTGTTCGTGGACCGGCGGACATATCCATTGTTTGAACGCCCTTTTCGATAAGAATGAGGAAAACACGACTAATTTTCTCCGGAATGCGCTGCACAATCCGGAACGGAGGATAGAACAATTGAAAAGTATATGTGAAAGGTAATAATTTTGCTTGAAAATATATCTTCGCCCTTTTCTTGTATTTGTACTTATTAAAGAATGTTGTAAAAAGCCTAAAATTTGTAAAGGCTTATATATATGCCATACTTTGGAAAATTGCACCAATTTTCATGGTTCTTCACTTACTGTCAGTAATTTACTCCCAAAAATCGCAAAACTTTTATTTTTGTGTCTCATAACCTACATAATCCAACAAAATTTCTGCAATAAAAGCTGTAGGTCCAGACCTCTTATGTTTCCTGGTTTGAAAAGTTGCCTATATTGCAAGTAGTTTTCATAAAAAGAGTTTTTCTGAAATCAAATTTCGCGTTGATAGCTGAAAATTGGGAACACTTAGAATATCTTGCGCACCCTGTATTATATGCAGCAACCTTATATACAATAATTTTAACCCTTGACATGAGATAGTTAGTCGAACTAACAATTAAAACAGTGTTTTAGGGGAAATAAATTTTGTTTTTTTGCGAAAAACTGGCACACCTTGTGCTTTTAGAAATAATACTACTTTAGAATAATATGTACTTGTATCCCAGTAAGGCATCGAGGTGTATTAGGGAACCGAATGTTCCTAGAAATTTGAAAAAAATATTCATCTTGAATTTTAAAGTTCAGTTTTTTGAAAAATTTCTAATGTTAAATTTAAAACTTTTTTGCTTAATGCCCTGAAAGGAAACTGGACTGTGGATTTCGATCATTTTTATTAAATAATTGTCCATATTTCCAAAAAGGCTTAATGCACTTTAATTTTAATTAACTTGGAAGGGCTTTTGCGGTGCTATGAGCTATGTCTATGATTGCTCAACTTGCCAACAGGTTAAGTTTTCTGTTATGATAGCAAAAAAATAATTTTATAAGAAAGGAAGTAATGCATCTATTAGTTATTTTTGTGGTAATTAACCTAATAATAAATAAATCCAATAATCCAGTGAAATCCACATGCCAATATCTATCCTAACCTAAAATATTAATAAAAAATTTAACGGGTTATTATGAATATCTGGAATTTACCAAATAAAACGTTAAATTATTATTTATGCTTCCAAATCATACTTAAACTCAAAGCTAAATTTTTTTATTTATATTACTTGCCGGCATTTTTACGTTTTCAAGTGCTAGCTGTTTTCGTGTTTAGTATAAATAATTTTTATTATACAAAAGGGGCCATAAGATTGCTTAGAAATGACTGCGTATGCATTTATATTTAGGAGAGTCTGATAGTTATATTCAAAAATAGAGTATAATGCAGTGACACTTTTTGCCGGAATATTTTTTAAAAGATAATTTTCAAACCAATTTTCAAAAAATTCAGCCCATGTATGGTCATGATAGTCCAAACTAGAGTCCTTAATATTCTTCGCAGACCAACACCAACCGGTTTTTATCGTGTTTAAACTATAATATAAAAATTTTGTACAAGACGAAGCATTATTATAAGCAAAACATGTAATTCAGTTTACTGCAGGAACCGATAAACTTAAAGTACAAAATTTTACACCAAGAACTATTATTAGAATAATTGTTATTAAATATTCCTAGAGTGACATCCATCGACAGAGCAATTTGTATTGAAAACAGGTTAGCTTTTCCTTTAAAATTAAAATTTACGATGAAGCCATAAAGGCACTGTAAAAATTTTTTTTCCGGCGGAGGTTTTATTGAATTTTAAAATCGCAAATACTCGGTAAGTCGGCATCTACCTAATTCTCTTGTATCTTGTTCCTTGGATAGGAATAAATTATTGGTTGTTGTGTTTACTCAGTAACAATACACACAAAAACTGGAAAAACCATATAAACTCTATTTGTTTTAGGTTTATCTTTTACGTTCCCGCGGTGAAAAGTAGCGAAGCGGAGCTGCATGTGTGGCATCCTCCGCCTAGCGAGTATTGGGCTCGAAAGCACGAAAAACAGCTGATCCAGCAATTGTGTTCCAAGCCGGCGACGCCGCTGCATCATATCGCCTCCGCTATGGTCACCCAGTTCCCGGATCCTAGACTTATACAGTACGACTGCGGCAAGTTGCAGACGTTGGACAATTTGCTGCGTCATTTGAAAAGCGAAAATCACCGCGTCTTAATTTTCACACAAATGACGAAAATGCTCGACGTGTTGGAGGTGTTTTTGAATTTCCACGGACACATTTATCTCCGATTGGACGGATCTACGAAAATCGATCAGCGACAGGTGGGTCCCTACGGGGTGTCAGTTTTATAGGATATCTCACTTATTTCGGGTCAATATTTCCCCGTACCACGTCAATAGTAATTCGTTTCTAATTTTGAAAACCTCTGGACACATTACTTATTTATTAACTTTTTCAAAGAAATTTCCACGAGCTCTGTAATACTAATTACAAATCTGGATTCCTTTTGCGTCGGTTGTTGAAGAAGTGAACTTTCTGACGTTTAGGCAAGCATCCTGTTGGCGTCTTCAGAGCTTAACTGAAACTGAAACTGTTTCAACATCAACAACTGACGCAGGACGCATCCAGAATATTTGTAATTAGTATTACTTATTTATTTGGTTAATTATGGCTCCACAATAAGTAATTAATTGTTCCGAAATAATGTTACATTGCAGTTTTCTAGCAAAAGCAAGGTAAAAGGAAAAATAATTATTAGACTTAAGTCATGGCGGTTCCATGAAATAGTTTAAAAGATATACCTGGATAACAGTAACATTCTAGGTGCCTTTAGGTAAAACTGATCTTTTCTGATTCTTCTTCCTTTTACTCTGCTTACCTACCCTCATTAGGTAGTGGTCTGACCACATTCAATTCATCTAAGTACTATTATATCAATTATTTTCCATTTGCTAATTTGTCGTGATATAATTATGGATTTCAAACTTTGTGTCCTGATGCCGTGTTAACTTATGGATTTCTTTATGATAGAAATATCCATTAATAATCATCAGTTGGTGTGTTTACATAGTCATTATTTGTTTGGTATATTTTCCCCAAATGCACCAATATTATCTTTTCCTTTTGTTGCTGTTCTAGAGTTTAAGTCACCCATTATGACAATATCCTTTTGGTGTCTAATGTTAGTCAGAACTCCATCAAGAGTTTCTTGGAAACCAGCGGGTGGTGATGCAAAGCTAACTGAAATATCCCACAATCAAATCGATTTGATTACACAATTTCAAATTTAGGTCCTAATGGAGCGGTTCAACGGGGATCCCCGCATTTTCGCTTTTATATTGTCCACCCGTTCCGGAGGAGTGGGAGTGAATTTGACCGGCGCGGACACCGTAATATTTTACGATTCCGACTGGAATCCAACCATGGACGCGCAGGCGCAGGACAGGTGCCATCGGATCGGTCAAACCAGAGACGTACATATTTACAGGTGGGTGGGCCCGCTCGTTAAAGGGCACCACTTTTTTGAATAGAGGAGAAAAATACAAGATACAAAAATATAATTAGTATAAGTCACAGGACTTTTTTTAATTTTCTAGCTAAACACGTTTAAATATGTCTCTCTACGCCACGTATGCAATTTATTTGCACTATCCGAAAAGTGTCTCAGAGACGAAGATAAATCATATTTTGTTGTAAGGGTAGATCCCTCTCTGAGTTCTCTGTGGAACATTAAGTCCTATCAAAGGCAGCAATTCTGGACAATCTATTAACGATATTTTAGATAGGTATCAACAAATTTTCTCCTTTTGTTGAGATTAAGGGAGTGGAGTAATTCTTCATATATAATATCCTCATTTTGTAGATCTTTTTAAAACCCATCAAATTTTATGAACCTCTTTTGCACTATTTCATTCTTTTGAACATTTGACTGAATGCAATGATTAGGGAAACCAAATCTGACAAGTATATTCCAAAATCGACGTTACATAAGAGCAAAATGGGATTTTAATGCATTATAAGTTCTTTTAACAAAACGGTAATTTGAATGCTTTATTAACTGCATAATCAATATTAAAGTTGACACCTACATCTCTTGCACAATAAAGCAACAATAAAAAGGCATAAAAGGTCATGAATTACAATATTTCTGAAATAAAGCTTTCATTAGTGTGTCGATTTCGAAAAAGACTAAAAATACCAATACTAACCATTTTAATCCAAAAAAATTCTCCTTTTCAGACTAGTAAGCGAACGAACAATTGAAGAGAACATTTTGAAAAAAGCGAATCAGAAAAGACTGCTGGGAGACTTAGCCATCGAAGGCGGGAACTTTACCACTGCGTATTTCAAGAGCGTAAGTTTGATTTAAAATTTAACGTCAGGGTTTACTTCTTTATTTGTCATGGTTGCTGACATTTCGCCAAAAATAGAGCTGGCTTCTTGAAAGCGCTATCTGAAACTGAGGATCAATTGCTCTACATCCATCTTAATATCTGTCCGTGACATGGGAAGCGGGGTGGGGAAATTAATTGCTTCACGGATGACCGAATTACGGAATTACTTTGTTTAAATGATTCTGAGAAATTGTATCTTTTTAATTGAATGAATGTGAACGCAAGCTAGACCTCCCAAAGTGAATATAACAAAATCAGAGTTTCAGAGTAGAAAAAAGAAATGCATTTGTTGTCAAGACAAAATTCATATAGAATGTAACATTAAATGCGTTATCAAAGCATCATCTGTTTCAGAATACTTAGATATCGGAAATCCGAAAAACTATCTGCTGATTGAGATGTAACTGACAAATTTATGAACAAATAGCAAGAACGCCGCTGGGTTTCCCACTTTCATCTCTCATTAGCAATATTTCTAGGGGAGACTTGCCACCTTCTAGAACTTAATGTAGCTATTATTGAAAAAGGAAAACTTTTATTCCCCAGTGAGATTAAGATTTTCATATCTTAAAATTTTTGTTGGAAACCAAAACCCTGAAAATTCTTGAAACAGAGAGAAAGGATGCTATATTGTTAAATTTCTCAGCTCGACCAATGAATGTCGGTAATTCCCCTCCATTGTAGTGTCAATTGATCACTTCTTAATAAACTTGTCAATTGACCGCCAATCGACCATTTCTTAATTAACTAGTCATATTCGATCAAAATGTATGAAAGAACAATTGTAGAATGTTATCTATCATTCATAAATAATATGTATTTTATAATAAATTCTTATGCGTTTGTGATGTCCAATTTATCTAGAACCTTCTTCAATGAATACACGAATAAGATACTAACGACGCGATGCCCAATTCAAATAAATATAAATTCATTGTATTTTTAAAATTATTTCGGTCAATTCACACAAAAAAATTTGACAGGTCAATTCCACAACGAAAGTGTATGTATAAACTTTCAGCAACAGAAGTTCAGTTGAACTCTCGTTGCCTTTAAGTTATGGTTTTATTGCCACAATGTGATTTGTATATTGCCCATACATAACAGTAAAACACAAAAAGATTTTTTTTTTATTAAAAAGACCCCTTAGATACAGAATTTAAATAAATTCTGTTTGCTAAACGCAATAGTATGCCGTCCGGATCTAGACATTTTAGGTTTTAACTTCAAATGCATGCAGAACAGATTCAGACAGCCCTCAAAAATATACCTAACCTATATTTGTAAATTTAAAGTGTTTTTTTCTTCACCAGTCCACCATACAGGACTTATTTAATATCGATAACACCGTGGAAAGCGCGGCGCAGCGTATGAAAGAGTTGACTGAGACGCGTCAAGAGCAAGATAAGCCGCCGAACGATTCTGGTAACGTCAGTGACGACAAGACGATGGTGGGCGCGTTGGAGAACGCTTTGGCGGCGTGCGAAGATGACCAAGATGCCCAAGCCGCCTGCTCAGCGAAAGCTGAGGCGGTGGCCGATTTGGCTGAGTTCGATGAGAACATTCCGTTTGATCAGGACCAGGAGAAGGAGAAGGAGCCGGAGATCAGCAGGGCCGAGCAAGAAATCAGCAATATCATCGAAAAGGTGAGCTAATAAGCGGTTCGTTTAAAGTATCACTGTAATGACGACGAGGTATACAATATCCCACCGAGTTTTTCAAAAATAGAGTAAAGGGCAAAAATTGACATTTCCCAGTAACTCTTGAAGATAGGTGTAGACGAGAGGTAGAGAGTACCAGAGTGGCAAAAATTAATTTTATTCTATCGTTGTGACACCCGGTACTTGCAAAAAAAAAGTACATTGTGTACATAAAACTTCCTATACTATCTACTATACTACTGCTACCTACATCTCGAAATCTGCAGAGATATAGGAAAAAATTTAATACAAAAGTTTAACAGTTTGTTGAGATATTTTAAAATATAATAATTTCATGCCTGCAAGGTGTATTGAATAGTGGGGGCATCAACTTTATATTTTTAAATGAGGAGTCCTATATTTTTGTTCATTTTTCAATTGTTTCTTAAAAAATAACCTAACTTACCTATTTAACGTGAACCTAGTTGAGGAATTTTTTAACGAACTGTATAAATTCGTGGGAAATTTGAGGTAGTCGTTTGGGTGTTAATTTCTGATCACACCTCTACAGGGCCTGTATTCGTGACCGCGATAAAACGCGCAACATAGTGGTCAAAAACGGCTTGGTCTATTAGACGTATGTCAAGAAGGACTTTTTTTAATATTATTAGCTAATTCACCTTTTAAAAATAGGTTTAACTGTACAGGGTGTCATGTAGTCGTCGTCAATATAAGCTTTGTTATTTTAAACGGAAACAAGTTGCATTTTTGAATTCTCAATAAAATTCTGAAAAACTTTTATTTAAAGTTCCTCATGTCAGATGCAGACTTTGTTTAAAATGAAATTACTCAATATAGGTAAACAACTTAAAAGCACGATGTATACAGGAATAATTGACCACGAAGCTGCCTAGCATTTCCTAAGGCTGGAGTGTACCAAAAAATGGTTACTTTTTGACAAGTATTAATGATATTTTTATTTGAAATGGGACACTCTGTAATTTTATTTTATTATGTTCAAAGTTCAATTCAGAGAAAAAAATATTAACATAATCCTAGACGTATTTTTAGCCATTTCTTAGATATTAGGGCTTTTGTCTGGAAGAGCATAACCGTATTGACAGATTAGCTTGTGGCGAAACAACGCCAGGCTACAATACAATAGATGTATACTACAATAATTTAGTTTTGCGATAAAAATGACTGGACCATCATGACAGTTTCGCGAATTTCTTATCGATGACAGCAAACTTGCCTAGATCAGTTATGTTATGAACTTTTTTTTACTCCATCAAGGCTGGCTTATGGTATAGTAGTAGCACTGCTGCAAAATGGACTTTTATAATAAAGAAAAGAGTTCTTCGGATAATGGTTGGTGTGAGTGTGTTTCGATTTTAAGATTTTTTATTTTCTCCCTGGTGGAGGCTGAATCTTCAAAACTTGAAGAAAACCTTTAAATTGCTACTTCTGGACTGTAGTGAGTGCATTTATTTTTTGTTAAAGTAATTGTTATATAAAGTTTTGATATTTCAGATCATGTACAATTTGTAAATTTATATTATACAAAGGAAGTCAAGTAAAATTATATTCTATTCTACACTGGCCTTACGAAAAATAGCAAATTTATACATAAGATTTAATGTTGTGTGTTATTGTTTTCATACCTTACACACAAACAAAGCCACACTTCTTAAATAATTTTTAGCAACAACCAGCCATATATATTAAAGAGAAAAAAAAACTCTTTTGTTACCACACTATGAAAAAACAAAAATGTTTAATGGGGATCTCATCTCGATTTAACGCTGGTAACTCCAAAACAGGAATGTTCATATCGTGTAAATTCTGTTCAATAATTTTGGCGGTATATAGTCTGGCTTACGGTGGATCAGAATAAAATCCAACCAAATCCATATAAGAGACAATTAAATCTCTCAGACAACAGTTAAAGCGCCCCTTGGATCGATGTACAATCCTGTGTGTGCTTCGAAAAAAATTCCCCCCTCCCCCTAGCTTGCCTTAGAACTGCTGGTATATTCTGCAAAAAGTTCTTGTGATCTTCGATATGTCCTCCCATGACCATCTGGAGATTGCAGGTTAAATTTCTAGCGTGCGGGAAGCGTCACTTGACGACGTCAATTTTGTTTCCCACGGATCCGAGCCACTTCGGACATTTTACCGCATATTTCCCAGGCCTTGAATTTTGACGTTTGTCAAGTCTAACGGTAATGTCATTGAATGTATTCGTGTAGTTTTGCGAAAATGTACTGATAAACTAACGGTCGTAGAAAAAGTATAGTATGCAACACGTTCGGTAAACTTTTTAAGTCACTCGTTCATTAAACACTCGCTCCGCTCCTGTCAAATAAACTCGTGAGTCAAATAACGTTTACCACACTTGTTGCATAATATACTAATTTTCTATTCCCGTCTGGAAAACGGCCTAATTACACACTGATCTAGTCACCACGTTAATGCGTCAGTTTCATTTCCCACGGATCTGAGCCACTTCGGACATTTCCGAGATTTTACCGCACTGTTTTGGGAGCAATCGGATGTTGAATTTTGACGTTTGTCAATTCTGACGGTCGTGTCAGTGAATTTATTCGTGTTGTGCGAAAATGTATGAACAGTATGCAACACGTTCGGTAAACTTTTTAAGCCCCTCGTTTATTAAAACACTCGCTCAAATGCCGTTGGCCGCACTTGTTGCATAATATACTGTTACCCATTTGTTCATGATTCCTGGCAAACTGAAGTAGCCCAATCCGATGACGTTAAGAATCTTTGTTGTTGCTGGTCTGTGACTGGCGATATTGGCTTTCAGTGTGATGAAGTCGATTGCTGATTACTATATATGACGATCTCGCAGACTGGCACTAGTTCGAGTTCTTCTAGTGTAACCTCCAGTTTTTAAAAGACGTGTATACGTGTTGTGTATAGTGATACTCGAAATGGGCAATATATCGCTTGCTTCTTTCATCTTGAATCAATGCAGCCATTGCAGCCGCTGTTTTGGGTCTAACAGACAGGCGTTTTTTCCGAGAAAATTTAAACGATTTGTTAAGAACAAAGATTCGTCAACCTTTTTTTTATCGAAATCTAGTTTTTCTATTCAACTAAGCGGATGGTTGTTAGAAATTACTTAAAAATATGTTGTTTTCTTTGTACGTAAGTTTTTAAAACAATGAAACATCACTGTTCAGGTTTTAGGTAATGTTTGATTTTCTATACTTTTGATTTTTTAATCTTTTTAGTGTTCGTGAATTATTTCCACCAATATCTCTCATTAAGTAAATTATTTCTAATAATTTCTTATACCAACTGCGTGTTATTTCACGATCCAATTACGAACTCCCGGGGTTTGTTTTCGGCCGAATTATCGCGGTTATAGTTCCGCGTGTGCGCGATGGTCAATCCCCACTCCATTGTTACCATTGTCTTTTTGAGTGGACAACAAAATCTAAGCCGGCTGTTTTACTCCAGAATTCAAAGAAGGTAGGCGTAGAATTTTAAGTTCGATCGTTTGTTTCGCCGTGTCTTAATTTCGTGTCGTAATCATCGGTAGTTAAAAATATTTTTTCCTTAATAGCATTTTCTAAATTTGATTTTCGTTAAAAAATTGTTGGAAATAATCGTGATTTTGTATTATATATAAATACGTTAAAATAAATACAACCTTGCATAAATTGCGCTAAGTATCTGCAAAATAGGTAAAGAATGAAAAGGTTTAGAGTTTTTTGCGGTCTTCCAATTTATTTACAAATAGGATTTTTTTTTATTATTATTTTTGGTGGGGTTTACGTTTGCAGATTTTAAAATAATTACGTGGTGTTTTGGCGCCACATAACTTTATGATTTGTCACCTTAAAGCTACATTTTTTGAGCATGACAGACGCAAAAGTAAATAGAAGAAGTTGATTCATAAAAAAATTAAAACAAATCTACGACTGCTACACAGGATCCAAATAAAATTAACGACTTTAAAGTACGGCTTTAAAATCAACATATAATCACTCACAACTCATTACTTGAATGAAATAATGAACATTCCCAAAATTTTAAATCCATCCAATCGTGTACTGCGTAATGTGGTTGACAAATTTTGTGAAAATGTGGAAGCATTAAAATTATTGAAGTTTCGTACTGCGGAATGGGATTTTTTGCTCTTAATGAAACTCGATTCTGATACTTTACAGGGATTTGGAATGAAGCATGCAAGATTTGATCTACCCAATTTTACGCAGTTAAAAGTATTTCTGAATAATACGTGTAAGTGTTTAGATACGTTTTAGATATTAAGGCAGAAAATAGATCAAATGTTAGAGCCAATTGTAACAATAAGTCCCAAAGCATTTTTAACTAATACTCCACCTTACCCATAAAAATTAAATTTTTAACATGGGTAACGTTTTACTTTCGAAAATTTCTCGCTGCTTATGTATTATTTTTATTCGTCTCTTTTCAGTTGTCGCCGATCGAAAAATACGCGATGAAGTTCATTGAGCAGACCGAATCGGCATGGTCGGCGGACCAGTTGGCCGCCGCTGAACGCGAAATCGAGGAGCAAAAGCGCGAATGGGAACAGAACCGTATGGCGGCGATGCGGGAGGAGGAGAAGAGACGGGCGAGGGAAATCGAGAACGACAACGAGATCATATCGTACGCGAGAGAGGACGCGCAGAATCAGGTTAGCATAAAAAAAATCGTCAAATCTAAAAACACCGCGGCGTCGGTTAAGGGTAAATTCGGCAACCGTCCGCCCGATAATGGCAAAGGATCTTCGAGGAGGATGATGCGAAAACGGAGAAGGAGACGCAAACGCAAACTCGAGGTCAACGTGACCAACGGGGACGCGACGCGGAGCGAAGGCGACGAAAATGGTTGCTATAGCGACGCGGATACCACGCAGACGGCGCAGAAAGCGTCTGTGCATCCGAACAACCGCGTCGACCACAATTCGCCGCGTACGCGTTCGCACGGTAGGGTGGCGATCAATTTGTGGACGCTGGACGTCAGTCCGATACTGCCGGGTGTCAAGCCCGTCAAATACGTCGAAAGAAAATTCGTAAAGAGGGTGAGACGGGTGTCCGATAACGAGAACAATGATTCGGACGAGTCGAAACGGTTCGCGAGAAAACTTAAAAAAATGGCGTCGCGTGACGACGAACCGGAGGCGGAAAAAAACTCGTTGAACGAGGTGGAAAAAGTGTGCACCGTCATGTTAAACGATATCATGGCCGAGGGTCATTATAAAATGGCGGACGTCGACGGCGTCGAAATTTTAAACAAAGCAGAACCGGATGACGTCCTGGAAAACGCTACCCGCGATAAGAACGACGTCGATTGTAACGTTGTTCGTTCTCACGATATAAATTCCGACTCGGAGTGTAAAACATTAAACAGGAAAAGTAACAAGCAAGTTACCAGCAACACTTTGGACGGGTGGGTTACTAAAACGACGCCTGGTAAGGACGCCGCGGACGGTAATATGGCCGATGGCGGCGATCCCTCGTAACTGCCCAAAACTAGTTTTACGCTGACATTTTCTTTGTGAATTTCGCGAAGTTAATTTAACTGTTGAAAAGTGAAAATATAAGGTTATGTTATTATCACTCTGATGTCAAGTATTCGTCACGAAATTCTTCATAAGTTGATTCAGAAAATAGAATTTGTTCTAATTTTCGGCAAACTTTTTCGTCAATTTAACAATGCCAACTGTTGAAATTGATGAGAAAGGAAGGTTATGTTATTATTTTCACTTTGATATCAAAATTACTCGCCAAATATATAAATATCCCAATATATAAATATATAAAATATCCAAATATATAAAGATCCCCTCATAAAATACATGGGAAAATGGACTTCACCCGAATTTAATGATATTTTTAAGCACTTATTAATATTAAGCATAATGGTAATAAAAGTGGTTAGTTTTTTGTTAAAAAAGTATAGTTTTTCGAATATTTCTTTGGATACTATTAAAACGGTACAAACAAAAAAAAGCATACCAAAAAATATTAGTGTCTATTTTTCAAGGTACGAATTTTTTTAGTTTAGATTTTCAAGTTAGGTTTTTAAACATTGTTTTTGTTTTTTGAAAAAATTATGAAGATTAGTAATTAAAGCATAATTAAAAAATCTTATTGTTACGCTTTAACATTAAAAATTGACAGTAGATAATTTCGTTTTCATTGAGGAATGGGTAAAAAAGATTTAAAAACTTTTTTTTTTTCATTTTCTTTAAAACAAATAAGTTAATTTTTATCATCCTGAGCCATGCAATGTTATTTTGGCATATATCAAAAGTTAGTTTATTCTAACGGTGACCGCTATTTTGACTATAATATTTTTTAAAAACATCTGCCAAACCAGGAAGTTGTCAATTTTATTATCGTTATTATTATTATTATTATTATTATTATTATTATTATTATTATCTCAACATAATTTAAAATACGTGCTTAAAAAATTTTTGAAGATTATTCAAATAATAGACGCTACTAAAATGAACTAATTTTTTTTTTGAGAAATTATAAAAAAATGTTTTTTTTTATCTTTTATCTGGTAACAATTTTCCAGGTTAAAAATGTTTAGACAAAGGACAATAACAATGTTCACAGACAATATACGTTTCAATGTCTTGTGAGTTTGAAAATTTACCACACTTTTTTAACACACAATTGTCTTCATGCTATAAAACGTTTTTTTTTTTATCAAACTATCGACATCCAATATCTCAAAAAATATATGTAAATCGGATTTTTTTAATAAAATTACTAATTTTATAGCATACTGAATTCCATTTTCGTTTATTTCGTGTGGGGTAATTTATTCATGAAACAGAACTTGTTCTAATTTTCGTCAATAAGTAAAGCCAACTGTTGAAATCAAACGGCAAGCTTATATTATGATATACCATAAAATATAAATGCGACCAGCGTTATGAAACAATAATAAAAAACAATTTTTTATTAACTTACGCGCAAAAATTAGTGCGCAAAGGTAGCGAATGTTCCTCTACTAAATATAATCTTTTGGCACGAAAAAGGAAATAATGAATTTTTGAGACTCCGAGCACAAGACTTGCTGCCTTGGCTTTTCTAATATCAGTCTGGATTTCCATCAAATGAGGTTTATAAAATGCGAAGGAGTTAACTCGCCTCTACGTACTTCTTAAAAATTAATTTTTTCCAATCCCAATTTGAGATACGTTTTACCTACTTAAGTTTTCAGTTAGAAACAAGAAAACTAGTTCAAAAATTACTACCACCTTAGTTACTATTATGAATAAAGCCTATACCAAAACATCAAAAACATTTAAACATAACCACTAAATACTTTGAGTCGGTTGAATTGTTAGATGAGGTTTTGAGACGGCAAATAAATTGACGAAGCTAGTTCCCAGTGTAAAACCAGTATGCTTCGTAAAGAACTTCACACGAAGTTGTTAGTGCAAAACTAGTGCAAGGCCTAACCAAACTTGAAACTTCGTCTCTGTATCTATGTGCAAATTTGTGATCTACGATGTATGTAATACATATATATATATATCTTTTTTACAGAGCCGGCGATTTTGTTGTGAGTAACTGTAAATTATATCAGTATGAGTGTGTATATCGTCGCCACATGAACTTTTTTTGTTTAAATCGCTTTTAATAAAGCTTTTTTTTTAAATCATCTCTTCGAATCTTAAAAAGGCCGACCTCTCGCGTGTTTTCGATTTTCTCTTTTTTTTGTATTATAGCGCTATTAAGTTTAATTCCAAAGAGTCCCAAGGGGCGGGGGAGGTCGACTTTTATCATTATCGAAAACAAACCCTGTACATTCTGTGTAAATATGTGCACGTCGTGTTGAACTTATTCGATGTTAAATATTTTCGGGCTGTGCGAGCGAAAATCGCGTAGAGTGGCAAGATGGACTCGGTTACTGGCCATGTACATACCATTAGGTTTAATGTGATTTAAATTAATTTTTCTCATTGGAAAATAAAGAAGTTCTCTTGTAAATGTCGCGTCTCGTTTGATTTGGCGGGGCAGGACGTGGGTTTTGGTGCCTCTTTGCTCAAATGTCCGCAGCAGCGTAGGGCACCAAAACTTTGCCCCGCTGGACATGAGCAAGGGGGCTTCTTTGAATTATCAAAGCCTGCGACCTTCCCTCTGTACGTTTCCTCGTTCCCCTCACTGATTCGGAAAAAACCCGAAAAGTTTGGTAGTTCTACAGACCAATATGGAAAACTCGAGGGTTTTTGGTCTAGTTTAACTTTTGCAAAAAAATAATAACTCAATAAGTGCCAATTTTCAGAAACTTTAAAAAATAACTAGAGCAAAGGACACTTAATGAAAATGATCTAAAAAATATTTTTAAGAAAAAAGTTAAAAATTGCATATGATATTTTTTCACAAAAATAACTATGTCGCCTTACCAGAAAATACTAATACTTAAAAATCATTGTTGAGGCTTCTTTAATTGCTATTCGGTACTTATTTATTACTTTTTAAGAATAGTATTGCAGTTTTATCCTATACATTTTAGCCATAACAGGACATATGTTAAGTCGGCATTTCATTTGAAGAGTTCTCTAAAGGATCTCATACATGTTTAAAAAAGCACGGAGTTCTGAGGTCTTAGTCGAATTTCAAAAATTCGCTTGAAAAAAAGTCTACAGAGGTATCAAATTTACATATTTTTAAAGTTTTTTAAAGCCAGTTTACAATTTAACAATGTGTATCAAAATATACAAAACTTCTGAACCTTAAATTAGATTCTATTATATTCAATACTTTTTAGAGGGAAACTAAAGCAAACTTCGGCAAATTTTTTTGTATGCTCTTCTCGATGTTTCAAAACATGCGAAGAACTTATGAAGGTGATTTTTTATTTAAAATAAAGAGTAGTTTGCTATATATTACGGAAAAATATTTTTTTATTTTTTGTATTAAAAACTGAGAATAAATAGAAGAATTTATGGAAGTAATGCTGTTATAGAAAATACTTTCTGCAATATTTTCATAATGGCTCCGTTTTCCAAATAAGAAAATGAAATTTAAAGCAATGCATGGGTTGAAAAATTTATTATATATATGCTCTAAAATCGTTACATTTTTATTTTATACCTTTATATTTTTACTTTCTCTTGAGTATATAAAATATCGGAGTAGTAGGAATTTTGTGCCGGCAACCGGTTTAATTACTTATGTTTATTATCGGTGGTAGTTTGAAGAAATAAAAAATGAAAAATACATTTTTTTTTAATTGTGTCGGTAACTTAATTTTAAACATGAGACAAAAGTCGGTGAATTCCTTCAGAAAGGTCCCTTTATTCAAAGTCCAGCAAAGTTGGTTCCTTCTCCCTATGTAGGTCGCAGGTTATTTTGTGCGTGACTTGACGAGAATCTAACGTTAGCTAACGTTGTAGGTTTGGATGTCTGAGGGGTCTCTGGAACAAATGCCAGTAAGTATATCATTGAGTGGGTTTTTAATTGTCTTCCAGAATATTTATCTAATATTCAGCTCTACGAATTCAAATATGGTTGTAATAAATTAGAGTTATGTTTTGGACAAAAAATAGTGTAAGGAGGATTATACAAAAATAATAAATTGATGTCGGAGGTAAAATTTAACAATAGGGGTCAAACCAGCGCTGTCTTCATATTATGTGAAAAATACAACTTAATTGTTCCTTATGTCGATTTCAAAAACAGCGATATATAGAGGAATAACAACTTCGAGAATTAAGCTTTAATGTTCTGTATATCTCTAAGGATGCATATTTGGCTCAATATCAAATTTAATCAATCAGTTCTTGCCACACGGCCTTACAAATTTGAAAAAAAAATCAGTTGTCAAGTCTTGAGAGCTACATTTTATAGTCTTTAATTGTCTTATAGTCTTAAAGTAGCATGAGTTGATCAGTTAAAGTGAAACTCAAGAGAAAAGAAACAACCTTGTCTTCCATCGTAATTTAATGAATTTAATGCAAAACACTTTTTTTAAAAGGGCATTTACGCATAATACATGTTGCAAGCACTGAAATTCTTATCTTCAGCTAGGGCCTATGTGTGGAGTGTTCACGGACTAACTAATGTAGCGGTAAATCGGAATACTAAATGTTACACTTACAACACTTTTATGTCCGAAAATTTTTGGACATCTCTTACCAATTTCGCTTACAGATAGAGCAAAAACTATTTACCAATAAAAAAATCAAATTTAATCAAGCTTTAAAGCAGTTTTTCTATCAGGTCTCTTTATTAAAAGATTATTTTTCTAAAAATGGGATTTCAAAATCAAGAATGCAATTACGCCCTTTTTGGTTATTCTAGAAACTTAAAAATAACTTCCAGCATTTTCTCTTGACCGCTTATAATTTTTTTCACTTCAAGTCAAGATTTTGACATGATACTAGGTACGCAAATACAAATACTACGTTTGTCCCAGAAGTAGCAGGTTGGAGTAAATCTTGATGCGCTAAAATAAGTGAAAGTAAAAGGAACTCGTGTTAATTTAACCGATCTCGACCGTAAATGTTGAAACTTTCAGATCTTCACCAAATAAACTGAACAATTAATACTACCCTAAAATAAAATCTTTTGATTAAATAGGCAGTCGGAAAAATGTAACTCGTGCTCCTCGAATCAGAGAGGGAATCACTCAGATGTTCGTAATAGAGCGCGTACCATCTCAAAGTATATAGTGTTATGTTTTGACTGCAAAATAAAGCACCTATCCAGTAGTATTTACATAATATAGCAGGGTCGGACTTAGGTGTATTAAAAATATAAAGATTAAGTATTAATTGGACTTAATGTAAAATTTTCTGCTCTTACAATTGATTTTACTTGGTGCACGTACTCTATGGGAGAGCGAATATACAATGATATAGAGGAAGGCGTAAAACATTATCCCCCATCTGATCAGCTAAATTGTCACATTTTTATCCGGAATAGGTTTTAAAAGGTAATTTTGAAACCAATTATCAAAAATAAATTGGTTAAGGCTTTCGCGGCCCGTTGATAAGCTATTATCTTCATTCGGGTTTAAAGGCCGTCGTCGATTGGAATTACTTCCTAACGTTTCGCTAGCACGAGTGGCGAGCTTCTTCAGAGGTCCTTCCATCTCCGATGTTGGACGTAGACTGACGATTTCTCCTGCGCAGGTTGTATTTAAGAAGAAGAAGCTCGCCACTCGTGCTAGCGAAACGTTAGGAAGTAATTCCAATCGACGACGGCCTTTAAACCCGAATGAAGATAATAGCTTAATTATCAAAAAGTTTTGCACTTGTATCTTCGTGATAGTCTAACCAAGTTTACGGTATTTAAATACCATTTTACAAACAACCCTGTGGAGAGTGGCAGAGCTAATCATTATATTGGTTTCATCTGTCAGCTTGGGGTTGAAAATCACAACGTTTTTCCTTTTATCCAATTTACTCTTAACAATATTCTCTGTCGAGGATATTGGTGTTTTTGTCAGTAGGCAAGTTTCTTTTAATGATATTAAACATTCACACGCATATTTTACACAATTTGTTTTGCATATAAGTAATTTTGATTCGACATAACGGAAAAATTAGTGATATATTCATAAGAAACTTTTTCGAAACTCGAACGATGTACTTTAAGACATACTAAACTGACGTATGGTTGCCTCTGCAAAAAAGTGTTTTGTATTAAATTATTGTGGAAGAGGTTGTTTCTTTTTTCTAGATTGTATATTACTTCATTAAAAACATTTACATTTAGTGCGCTAACTATTAGAAACCGATTGGCAATACCAATGGCTTGTGTGCTCTGTTGTGATAATGCAAGAGAATTAGTATTTAGGGCATCTGTAATTGCCATCTAGGGGATGTCAGACTCGAAAGTAAGTTTGAGGAGAGTTGTAGAAATGAATTGGCAATGTTTCATGTTGAAACTTGGGTTAACTATCGATTTGTTAACAATTATAGTGTATTATTTTTTTATTTTTTTTACAGAAGGGATTAGAAAAAATAGGTTTTTTTTAATCGCGGCCGAATCTACAAAAACAGTTTTATACAAATAGCACAACATAATGAGCTATTGGACCTTTACCAAGCCCTGAAAACTTCAAGTAAATATCGTCAATATTTTTTAACCATTCATTTCTTAACTTTCTTTTCAGAAAAGAAAATGATCAAAAGTCTATTTAAAATTGTTTAAATCATTTTCCAAAGTTAAATTTCATTTTTTTGTTATAAAAAAATAGAATAATTCACTGGAAAATAATGCAATTGAAACGCCGATAAGTGGATTTGACGAATTTAAAAAAAAAACTAGATACGATTAATAAGAACGGAAATAGATTTTTTTTAAAAAACAACTATAGCTTTATTTATGAAGCTACCCTTCTCTGTTATGCGGGACTTGTTTTTGTTTAAAACGAGGACAATATTATATGGGTATAATAGGTAGTCAAAACCATCTTATTTGGTGTTAAATTTTTCTTTGTTTTTCGATTAAACGAGCCAAGACTAACCAAAAATTATCCCCACCGATTTTTGAACTATGGAGGTGAGAACCATCTCTTGAAGGGTCCGAGCCTAGTTTTTGAGCTCCAGCATTTAACACATACTGACTGACAGCTACAACATGAAACTATTTCCAAGGTCATGAAATTTTGACCCTTCCACTGCCCATTTTTAACGATCATAACAAAACTACAGTGATTTAAAAAAAAATAAAAATAACAACACTATCTTAGCTCTCATTGGTGGTATCGAGTTTTTTAATTCGTCAAATCGCATTCTTTTCCGATAAGTTATTTTTTTCATCAGTTTATAACAAAATAATCAACTCTAACTTTGATAAATGACTAAATCAATTTAAAATCGACGTTTTAGAATTTTCTTTTTTGATATTACTAGACGAAGCCTTTTCATTGGCGACACGCCCATCGTCAGAGGACTTCTGGTTGTTATACTGGGATATGAAGCTTGTCCAATATTTTGTGCTATTGTTCATTAATAATTAAATAAACCTCAATTTTGGAGGCTTTTTTTGATCATTGGGCGTATCGCCTGTCTATACACTCTTCTCCTGCGATTATCGCATAGAACGCAAGATTGTGATGACTCGTAAGAAAACAGTACATGGTTCCATTCGCGGCTTCTCCAATTTTGGTTTGCGCGGGCGAACGGAAGACGTTACGTTTGCTCTTTTCTATGGTTAGTAAAGGACCAGTTACAGCCCTATAAGGAATAATATTATTTTCCGTGTAATAAATCAGTTTCATAGTGCATGAGCAAAAACCGATCTTGATTATTTTTTCTCGCTCGTGTTTTGTCCATGTCTGGGCTCTGGTTTCTGCCAGTGCTCTGAATATTGTGTCACATCGGAATGCCACTTGAATTTGTGGTATGTCTGTTTCCACAAATGCTATCGCAGCGGCACATTCTTAAGGTAAAAGATGTTTCATATCACGCCATCGTTGAGCCATTTATTGATAAGGTTTAGACCCAACAATACAAGCAAGCATACAACACGAAGTGACAGAGATAATAAAGAATTAAACTTTGCAGGAAATGCATCGAAATTTGTTTCCATAGCCTTCTTCGCCTAATTTTTTTTCCAACTTCAAAAATGAAACATTGGCTATCATTAATTTCTACCACTAACTTGATACTTACTATCGAGTTTGATACCAGAAAACTACCTCAATTAAACACTAATCCCAACTGGAAAGAATCCAAGTTAATGGGAACTTGTTCGTAGATGTGGTGTCCTCCAACTCCGCCCCAGCTAGAAACCGACGTCTACATCGACCACACGGTTTCCTTCTTGTACGACGTCAACATAATGTCCGAGTCTCAATTGCCACCCATCTATGTAAAAAGGGAAACCAAGAGGACCCGCGTCGATGCCGACATCGGTCTAGACGGCCGTAGGGCCGCGAAAATTCCGAGAAAAGACGATTCGGTTATCGCGCCGAAGTCCCTTTTTTATTCGCCGGCCATTTTGAAGATGAAACGGGACCTGAAACTGCAAAAATATCGAGGTCTGATGCGACCGTTGGTCTCGATGCCGGGCAAACAAAGCGCTCAGAAATCGGTAGCTGATCAACCTTTGTATCACGAGTGGACCGTCCACGAGGACATGGCTCTTTTAAAGGTGATACAGTCGTTCCAAGGGTTGCCGTTGAATTTAGTTGTGATGTGTCCGGGCCACACCCCAAACTGGGACTTTGTCGCGGAGTACGTCAACACCGTCTCCATAGCTTATAGATCGCCGAAGCAGTGTAGACAACGGTAAGCATTTAGACTCGCTCGGGCCAAAAAAAAATCGAAAATCGATTTTGTTGTAACGGTGAAATTTATGAAGAAATATCAGGAACAACCATTATTCTCCATTATCGGTCGGCATCGCAAATATATTTATCACACTGTTCATGTAAAATCCAAACTATGGAGACGCTACGTTGATGACACTTTAGTTATTTGGCCTCATTGTCAATAATCCCTTCCAGATACAACATATGTTTCACCATTGAAGTAGAAACGAATAATGTTCATATAAAATCAGACCTAACAGAAAAACTATGCATACCGACCGATATCCCGCCTTCAAATCATATATTGATTATTTGATGCGTTGAGTGAAAAAAATGAGGAGGAGAACGAAAAAAATAACGATTTAAGGGTTGATTTATAAAGCTATTGACAATTTTTTCCGAAATTATTAGGACACGCTCCACCGCTTTCTCTTACGAAAGGAAACCGAAGTTATCTCAGTGTCCATTTTAACTATCTGTGTTTCTCAAAAAACCATAGATAGAAACTTTCCCATTTTCTCGTGGGTGCTTTGGTTATTAGTTTTGTCATCCAAAGTCAATTACTTTTGGTGATAGGGCCGAGTGCCCTCAATTGGCTACCGGGTAGGTAGTAATGTATTAAATGCGTACCGTGAGCAGATAATTTTCGTCGTTTTTTACCTCCCCACGTTTTCGAACGTTGTTTCAGATACGAGAACTATTTGATGCACAGAGAAGAGGGCAGGTACCCGCTGATCGATAGCATTTTGAAAAAGAAGAAGAAAACGGGGCAGCTGCCGAAGTTTCCGGTGCAGAAATCGGGCAGACCGGCGCGTACGGCGCAGCTCTACGCTCAAGACAACAATTCGACGTTTACGCAGATTATGAACGAGAGGTGAGCTAAGGGGTTTTAACGGGAAACTTTGGGTGGGAAACTTGTTTCTTAGTGCAAGAGATTAATGCAATGTAAATTTGCAATGGCAAGTATCATTAAACAGAGTGGAGCACGTAAATGTTATATCGCAAAGTTCAGATAAATTGCAGTGATAGTTTTCCATATTTCATTTTTTAACGTGTTATTTCTATTTCTTTTTTCTTCCATTTTAATCACATGATCCACGAACTTAATCCATTTTTCACAATCCACTGTCTTTATTCCTTCTTGCATTTTAAAATTGGTGGTATGACTTGCTACAATCCATTTTATTTCCCACGATGCTTTTACTATAGTTGGCCATCCTTCCATGGAAGCTTGCTTCGCGCTTTTAATTTTTTTTATTCTGCCACGTTTTAGTCAAGTTTCGAACAATTTCAGAATAACAAATTTCTCATTTTGAAAACGCGCAGTTTTACTAATGTGTTTCTCAGCAAGATCAACTACCTTTCCCTCTAAATCTCGGTACTGTTGACAATCATACTATGCCTATGGCATTCGACTAAGACCACTACTTTTTACAAGTCAGTAATGATTCATAACTGTCTTGCATTAAGAAATACAGCATAAGCCAGAAAATTCTGTTTTTTTGACATTGTTAGGACCCTGGGTTAATACAAATATTGTTGAGTTAATGGAGGCTCTTTTGGTTTGAGCGTCAACGACTTTTGAATCTTAAATGACACTACATTTTTCTGCATTTTTGAATTCAGGAGGTTATAACTATTTTTATCAATCTTTTTTTTTTAACTAATATTATTTTTAGGACAACCTAATTCAAATAGCATCCTTGTGAAAAGATAGGCTTTGTAAAATCAGCAGGTGTTTGGAAGATTTTGAAAGCAAAATTTGTGAAAAATCGTTGAAAAGTAAGCTCACAGGGAGAAAATGCCACAAGCTTGTACATTGTTATCTGATTATTTTGATCTGTGACTTTTTTCTAGATAACTAAGGCCGGATTTTTTACTGAGAATCCCATAACAAGTATCTGCAGAAACTTTACATTTTCTATTTCTCAATTTTTAACATGGAAACGAAAATAAAATTCTAAAACTAACCCAGACTACTCTATACAGGATGATTCATAAAGAATTTGCAAACTTTAAACTGCATATAATTGACTCCAAATTATTATGATTGAGCTCGACATGGGATATAGGGGGGTTGAGGACAAAGTTTAAATTTTATTCCGAATTTTGTCATTAATTTTTTATAGTGTAATAATAAACATTGACCGTTTTCAATTTTAAAAGTTATGGTCGAGACATGAAGAAATTCTTAAAAGATTCTAAGTCTCAAGTCTAACTCTTACTGGTTTATGATTTATTTTCCTTTAAAAAGTTAAAGGTATATTTGGGTATATGAATGTATGAGTAGTTTTCTTATTGGTGGATCTGCCATGGAAGTGACTTGGTTTAGCCACCAAGGAGTTCAAACTTAAACTTCTCAATATAGTCATACTTGAAAGATTGTTGTTGTTAAATATTGTTATCCGTACCTTTCCAATGACTTCAATAACTCGAGATATTTAAAAAATGAATCGATTTATCTGAATGATGTGACAACTAGCGCCCTCTAGGAACGATGTCCAAGTTTCGTATTGTATTCGTACTGGACACCAGAGACATTTGTGTGAGGCATGTTGAATTCAATCATAATATTTTTGGTATCTAGTATCTCCAGTTTAGAGAATTTCCATTTTATGAAGCACCCTATCTAACTTCACCAAAACACCTAAACACCAAAATAAATTTGTAAAAATTTAAATAATAAACTTAAATTTAACAAATCAAACACTCATTTGAACAGTACCACACGGAAAATTCATCGAGATAAGAGGCAAAAGTCGCTTTGGCTGAGCCAAATTTACTCCGAGGCTTCATTTGTTCATTCATTGTTTTGCGTGCATATTGCTATATCGTACTTCGATTGGTTTGTTTTTTTCAATATCACTTTCAAAAATGTAGTAGCAAAGAGAAAGGTCCGATCTACAGTAGGAATGAGTACAACTGAAACCTATCCTTGTCTTATTTGCTACTATGTTTTGGGGATATTTTCCTCCCAACACCTTCTCCTCCTTCTATATATTATAACAAGAATGTGCTAAAAAAATTGTTTTCCCTTCGAAACCGTCCGACTGCTCTCAAATATCATCGTCATCGTCTGTTTTGAGTTATTTACTAACGAAAATTCATGTTTTCCATAATTTGCTCCAACCCCTTCCTCTTATTATTATAGCATTATTCTTCTGATGCAGTCTTTTCATCCGCACTTATTAGTGTGTTTTCTTCCTGTACTTCTCTTTGATGACCTGACGAGGCCGCGTTTATCCTCTTCTACAAGTCTGTATGCTGTTAACTGTCCAGCTACAGTCATATTCGAAGACTATTTTTGCAACTCCGAATGTTTAGTTTTGATGGCGAAGAGCTTTGAACACATTGAGAATAATAACTTTCTCATTATTAGAGAGCGCAGTTTTGCTAATCCGTTTCACGGCAAGAAATTCAGAAACACTATCCATTTTAAAGAACTAACTTACCGCAGAAAAACTAAAATTCCTATTTAAAACGCGAAGGTGGGTCAACTACCTGTCCGTTTACCTGCCACTCTCGGGAACCTTGACAGTAAAAATTGTAATTCTGTCGCACTAACAAATAGTGCTTACAATGGATGATTTACTATTTATTGAAAATATTGAAAACAAAGATTGACAAATACCGAAATTATTATGGACCTTGGAGTTATTAACCAAGAATTCAGACAAGAAAATTATAAATAATAAAAAATATAAGTTCAGTGGCGCAGATTAAGCAGCAAATAAAATAATGTATTTAGAAATAGATGTGAATAATCAATATTATTATAATTGTTAAAGATTTTGTAGTTTACATTGTTGAGTAGTAAACTATTTTCTTAATCTTTAATTCAAATTATTTTTGAGGTAAAACGTTAATAACAAATTTAAAACTAATAAATTTGCTGAAGGACACTACTATTATTATGAAATTATTTTCTTCTGACGTGGAATAATTTCTCAACAAGGAACTGACCTATTTATTTAAACTATGCAATCTATGTTTGTGCAACTGGCTGGATCTATTGAGCCACAGGTCACATTTGAAATACTTCTCTGGTCCATAACCCCTAACCTACCTACTTTTTCAAAACATACAAAATCCCAACAAATACTGCTTATCCAGCAAATTGAAGTATTTATATGTAATAAATACTACCAATAAAGTATCTAACGAATTTAAATTAAATAAAATCTAAAGGACTTTTTGGCTAAAATAGAAGATACCTCTTTATATAACTCGTTAAAAAACTTGATAATTCTTCGTGATTTTTAATAAATTCAATTAAAATAATTTTTTGTTCGAACAATAATAACCGAATTATTTAAGTATAATAACGACATATATTTTTTCTACTCCCGTCTGTAAAATACCTAATTACCCACCGATCTAGCGTGTGACCACGTCAGTTTCGTTTGCCATGAATCCGAGCCACTTCAGACACTTCCGGGATTTTACCGCTCGAGTTTGGGAACAATCAATCGGATGTTTTCGGAGATATTTCCTACGCCTTGAATTTTGAGGTTTGTCAATTCTGACGGTCATGTCAGTGAACGTATTCGTGTTATTTTGCCTAAAGGGGTCCAAAAACTAACGGTCGTAGAAAAAGTATAGTATAACTAAAGTATAGGTAAACTTTTTAAGTCACTCCGCTCCGCTTGTGCCTCATAAACTCGTGAGTCAAATGCCGTTTACCGCACTTGTTGCATAATATACTATTGTCATAACCTAAACAACACAAATAGTAATATATAATTTTTTACGTGGCTAGCGAACTTTAGCCCACGAACCTAAAAGGATTCGAATGATTATAATGAAAAGTCAAGAATAACATTGGAGTGACGTTCGCAAATTACCATTGGCAGAAATATGTATACTCGCATTTGCGCACCTTTTCAAGAACAGCGCCACAGAAACTTTAGAAAATCAATTCTCACAGAAATAATTATTGAATATTTGGCTACAAAAGTCGAAATATGCTACAACATACATGGGCGCTCTATGTGACAACTTTGTTACTTGTGACTCCATCCACTGTGTATTTGCCTTTAACCAAACAAACTAATTGACTTGATCGTACGGCTTATTCGGGGATGTCCTATTTTTACTGAAAAAAAGACTTGTTTTTGTTTTCATTCATAACCTCAGTTTCTTTTGCTTGTGTGTCTGCTTAGTTAATTTTTATATTGTTCTCATTTTGCTTCAATATTGAAGTGGCTGAACCAAAAGAAATTTAGAGAAAAGCGGGTAATCCTGCAATTTAAGTATTAAGTGGAGGGGAAATTTTCACTGCGGGTGCCACATGACATCTAGCTGAACAGTGTTGTCAAGCAGTTGTATATAATCGATTTAACCAAGAAATTATACGAAATAGCAAAATTGATTATAAACTGCTCGTTTCATGTTTTACTAAAAAGTCTTAACATCTTCAATCCAAAAAAAACTTAGCCATGATTTTAAAATATGCAGTAATAAAATTCATCTTCTCTTACGTTTTTCTTTTCCACTTTTGAACTTAACTCATAAACCGAACATTTTCAATGATGTTAGATAGTTTCGACCTAGCAAAATTTACAGCATAAAATAACGGCGAGCTTTTAGTGGTAGTGTTTTATTTAATTATTGTAATAACCTAACAGCAATAACAGTGTTATATACCAAAACAATGTGTTTACTTAAGGTGTGCAAAATGACAATGGAATAAAAAGTATATAGCAGACTAGCAGAAATTCTAGTCGCAGATAAAAGAGAATTAATTCTATTGGGTTTTATTGGTGTTTAAATGTCTCGGAAAAGGGAGATCCAATCCACAACTCTAACCTCACCTCGTGTGTTATAAAGTTTTTGGGATATTCCAACAGTATATAATAGCGAGGATCATCCTGCCCCTTCATGCACAGTCGGCATTTCTAGGTCCACTTTTCCTTTATAAAGGACATCTCATTGTTGCATATGCATAGTCTATTATTCTTAACTAGACACCTGCTTGCCAGCCAATTGTTAAACGGGAGTCATCACCAAAAAATACGTGTGTGCTAAGCTTAATTAAAAATGAAACACCTCATGAAATCTGAAAAATTCAAAATTGTATTTTAGATATTATTTAAAACTAACCTAGGTCCTGAAGAATCCAATTATCCACAATTATGGCCAGACCATTTAATATCGTGTTGAGACCGACAATGTTAATTATATGTATCGGTACAAGAAAGAAGGGATACGTTCTAAGAAATATATTTGAATATTTTGCAACGAGCGACTAAAGATACTATAAAGAACTATGGTTAGGTCAACTAACAATTTTGATATCTATGGTTGGATCTGGGAATGTACAACCCACGAATAAACAATTGCTTACTTCAGTAAGTAATTCTAGTTACTTCAGGTTGACCGATAGCGATTTTTAAGTGTTCAGCTGTTGTGATCTGATGGCAAAAAAATTGGAATACACAATGCTGTAGGTGTCCAAACACTTCATTTTTCTTGAGTAACCTGTAAACCAAGAGGAAGTTTGTATCTTCATTGTCAACCTGGCGCAAACGTCTGCATTTCAACAATCACAAATGTCTGCTTTTTCTATTGGTTGCTTATGGAACGTATATAAATTAACTAAAAACTAGTTACTCGGTTTCCACATTTTCTCACCTAACAAAAAAATGCATGTAACAATTTGCAGCAACGGGATTTATGTCTTTAAAGCGTTATCGACTGCACGCTCCAAAAAAAAAATCAATATTTTCCGCGAGCATATCGAATATTATTTATGATTTCTCCTTCTTACTATTACTATCTATATACATTATAGTCTGGCTTACTAAGGCGCAAAGTGTATTGATTTTAATAAAAAAGCAGTGAGACTTCCTATCACAAATCGTAGTATTTGGAGCTACCACTCTATGGCTTCTCGTAAAATGTTCGAATATGTTCGACAGGTTCGAGACCCTCAAAGCCATATCGAACCGGCGACTGTCTTCGACGAGAACGGTCATCAACAATCCATTGATGAACAAGACGAAAAACCTGTCTACGCTAAACGAATGCGGCATCGATATCGATCGTCCGGTGTTGCCGGTGGAGGTGGCCGCCAGACGGGCCGAACGCATCGCGAAAGAGAAGAAAACGATGACTCCGGAGCAGTTGGCCAAAGTGCAGATGATGAAGGGCATCCTGACCGCACAACAAGCTGGAACGACTACGTCGGCCGGTGCGCAGCAAATAGCCTCGATACCGATAGTGACAATACCGGCGTCTCAGGCGATTTGCCAAGTAACGACCGCCGTTACGACGATTACAGCGGCAACCGCGACCACGGTGGCTACGTCGAGTAAGTTTTTCCTTTTGTAGCTAAATTTATCGAGCGAAATACATGAAAAAATTAACTATACTTGAATTTAATGAATTTTTGGTATGTTATCCTAACTAAAATTTCATGCCATTTAGTTTGGCCTACGATGCACTAAATGTTTCTGCTATTGTTGGGAACGCTGCACCAACCCCCACAAATCAACCAATAACAAACTGGGAAAACATACATTTTCTTAGGAAAATATTTTAGAGTCGTCTTAAACCTTGAATTTCGAAATCAGTTTAAACTTGTGTTTTTAATATATTCATGTTATTAAACAGTCGCTCCGCTGGATCCAAATAAACTCGCAACTGATGGCAGTTTTAGGAAGGCACTTACGGTGTTGCCAATTCAACTTGAAACAGATGACAATATTGCAAAAAATCAAATCTATTTCTTTTTTAAAAAAAGGGCGGTAAAGCTCATTTTTTAAAAACGTTAAATGCAAAAAATTTTTGACTCTAAATAGTGTATATACAATTAGAAATACAGTTGGTTATTGTTCTGGCACAACGAAACACCTACACCATACGGAAGTACTGTATATATTTATGGTCAAAACACGTGTGTTTAACTTTTTTTCTTCAGTGTCGTACATAAATTGTTCCTTGTTTTAAAATTATCCGTATAAAGATTTCCGTCATAATTTTTTTACCTCAGGCTCTGGCTCGCTTATGTTTTAAGTCTTCTTGCAAACCATTTGCCATTAGGATATAGGCAAAGAAACCTATCCACTCTTTTTTTTTAAATAACCTTGTCAAGGTGTAAGTGCTGTGGTGTCTGGGATGACTTTCATTTGTTACTAGCATATGATATTAATTGTTAATTTTACCTTGTCAAAATAAATTTAATTTAATTCAGATTGATAAATTAACCTGCAAAAAGGGCTTACCATCAACAAAGGGTTGAAGGAACAAGTCGAAGTTGTGTTTAAGGGAAGTTTAAAATCATTGTTTCATAACCGATAGTCTACATTGTGTATGCATTTAATGTGCATTTATCACCGTGTTGTTATGTATTTATAGGTAACCTGAGATCTCCAAGAAGCATGTCGTCACCATTGCAGGGTTCGACGCTTGTCACGGTGTCTGGATTGACTTCCGCACAGCTACAGGCAGCCGCCCAACGCCTAGTGATATCGCCCGGTGCCGCCAATCAAACCAAAGCAGTTTTGGGTGGTACTTCTGGCACACAAACCAAACAGTTCAGTCAAGCCCAGCTGCAAATGATCAGGCAGGCGGCGTCCATCAAGCAGCAATTAAGATTGCACACAGGCAATTTGACCCAAGTAAGTCTTTTTTTGTCTTTCTACTCCCTCTTCTTCGTGTGACGTAAAAAGGACTTTTTTTCTGTTCAATTTCGAATCTAAGTAAATTGATTGGTTCAGTTTTTTATGTGTGATAGTGATGGGTAAATATAAGTCATTCATAAAATTGGTGTTGTGATAGTAAGGTGTGAAGTGTTGCCTAAATATGAGTGGTTGCTAAAGTAACCCTGTAAGGTAGGAGACAATAACAGGGAACTTGAACAAAATATTAATTTTAAAAATATTGCTTATAAAAGTAACTTTATGCTATTAAAAGAACCATAGTTCACAAAAAAAAACATAGTTGTAAAATTTAAATCATCTTTGAAACGTGCTGTCATTGGTTGTGACGTCAATTCGCTCGTAATATTACCCTCCAACCAAACGGTAGCATAGAGAAGCCATATCGCTTGGTTTTGCTGCCTTATATTCCGTAAAAATGGAGGCAGGATGTTTTTTAAACCTTTATTACCATTTTAACTAGACATTTTACAAACGGCATATTAATAACGCCATTTTCCTAACAGTTTCGCGCGCTAATGCTAATGTAACAATGGATGCCTATAGTAAGACTACAATAAACACAACAATATTATCTTGTGTTTAGTATCGAAAAGAATGTTTTGAAAACGAACAAAGGCGATTTTTATATGTCAATCTCATGATTCACCTTTAGTGGATAGGTTGGTAATATCGTTCATACAAAATACGGAAAGTTTTTTTTGCTGAGGTTCGCGGTTTTAAAGCTAAAAGGTATGTTTATAGAAAATTCAGCCCCAGTTTTAAACCAAGACAATATTGTAATCAGCTTAAAGTTTTCTTGTTTTTAAAATTCAAATGGTATTTCAAATAAAATGTAAATTATTCAACAAAACAAAATGATTTTTTTTAAAGTCGTGGAAACCTAAATACTGATTTTAAAGTATATTTGTATTGATAACTTAAAGTGTTCATTATTTTATATAGACCAAGAAGCCATTCCTATGGAGACTGCAATGGGATGGATGCAAATTCGAAAAGTTAAAAATGTGTGCACGGTTAAGGCCAAATTCACACCTGAACATAAAGAAAACGACGAAAAACTGAATGAATGAAAAAACGAAATGAAAAACAACTGCTTTTATTTTCTAGTGGACGAATAAAAAGTTTACCTGCCGTTTTACGGGTTGTACTCAAAAACGATTTCATGGTTTGTAATATTGTTTTTGCGTTGCTTCCATTATCATGTAAAGAACACTTAACACAAATACAAACTGGCTTAGATTAAATACAAATACACCTTTCCACGGACCAAAAATAATTATAACATCCCGCCGTATTGGTGGAAAAGGAGCGCTATGACGTCACTATCATTCCCGCGCGTTTAGTGTCGTTTAACTTAAATATTGGGTTTTGAGTTTTAGTATTTGGTATGCACTATTTCTATACATAAACAAATGTAATAAAGAAATAAAAAAAATGTTCAAGTTCTTTATTCCCGAGAGAGGTAATACATCATTTTCGTGTGAGATTACAATGTAACAATATTAAAATTTTAATAATCACATTATAAATAGTTAAGTTAATAGTATATTATGCAACAAGTGTGATAAACGGCGCTCAAGTCACGAGTAGTTAAAAAAAAATCAAAGTGTTGCATACTATGCTTTTTTTCGACCGTTAGTTTTTTGGTACATTTTTGTTAAACAACATGAATACATTCACCGACTTCAAGCCGTGGCAACATCTCCGCTTGCTCCCAAACCCCTGCAGTAATATTCCGCAAATGTCCGAAGGGCCTCCGCTACATTTGAAACGAAAATGGTGTGGTAAAATGATACTTTCCGCGATTTAACTAACCGTGGTTGCCGATTTTTAAAAAATGATTTTATTTTCGAATTACGAGTTTACAAGGTTACTACATATATATTTTCAACTGACTGCCCGCTGCGCATCTCGCTCATCGTAATATGTTGCCAGTCTTGCACATTCAGCAAGTTCTCAGGGTGTATGGTAACATTACTCCTCCCCGCTTAGAGTTAACTACACCTGGTGAATGGCAGTTCAATTATCGGAATTTCTTCTTCCTTCTTCCGTCGTCTCTGGTGACCAAGTACTTGTAGGCTACATAAACAGGCTACAACAAAAACAACATATACAAAAATGGTCCATATTTTCCATTATCTATTATTCCATTATCTTATTTTCGATCTGATGCAACTCGTCTAACTTAATTTCTCGTAGATGGAAACTTAAGTTAAGGACAGGAAGATTCGGAGTCATATAATCTAAATCGGGAGAGGTAATGTTTGTTGGAATTATCCAGTCGGTTTATTGTTGGTGACGTAGATCTGTTCGCAGGAAGTAGGTTTTGATAATTGCAGTAACTGAACTTCGCAAGGACTCTTCGTTCCAAGTTTTTTTACATTTCTTTGCGGACGTAAGTACATTGACGTTGTCATTTCTTTGCAGGGATAACTTCTTTGATATATTTAGGGTAATTAATTTTTGAAATATTTGTTACGCGGTATAACAACCTTGAATTGACTCTGGTGTTTAATAGAGACAGACAGAATATTTAAATTCATTTGGATTTATTAGTGGAATGTTATAGTCCAAAATAGAATAAATCTTTTTATGTTCAAGAGTATAAGTATCTAAATGAATGATCTCGAAAGGTTTCAGTGCTGTAGGGGTAACACTAATTTCAGTTTCGGCATTATAAACTTCTGTCGTAATTTTTGGTGGGTTGTAATTTTGTTTTGAAGTACTAGGTAAATGTATATATGTTGTTGACTCTATTTACGACATAGGTGTGAGTGATGGATCGTGTTTTTGTTGATTGGGTGTAAACACATTTGTTTGATTATTAAGTTTACAGAATACTTGAGAAATAGTAAAATATTTTTGTGGAGTTCTATTAAAATTGGGCCTAATATTGACAGGTTGTGAAGGTAATTTAGGTTTAAATGTATCATACGGTGTGCGCATGTTAAAACTTGGTGCTCTAGGAAAACCATATGGGTTTTGTGCATTGACATTTTGTAGTCTGAACATACCGTGATTTGCCTGGAATGAATGCATTGGCAAATTTGTTTGAATCGGTTTAAAACTGGGATATTTCTTTCAATCGGAGTACTTCATTTGTATTGGTTTTGAAGATAATGAATGTTAAATTCTTTGGTTACAAAATGCAAAGCCTGCGTTATTTGGCCGCATACATCTGATTGTAATGAGAAGAGGTTCTCTTAACCCTGATAAAAACGTTTTTAAAGCAAGACTACTGTAGAGATTTCGTTTTAAAGTTTTAGATGCATCAGTGGTTTCATGACAATCTATATAAGAACGTAATAAATTTAAAATGTCCAATATTCGGTCATAAAGCTGAGATGGTTTTTCGTTGGGAATTTGCTTCACCATAACTACAAAACTGAGAAGGTTTTTCGTTGGGAATTTGGTTAACCATAACTAAATTTCGGTTCCAACAAGATTGACTTCGAAAAATCGTGGCTGTGCAGTCTACAAAGTCTCTATGCTTTGTATTTTAAAAAAGGCTTTTTGTCCTAGAGGCACGCATTGTTTTTGTATCGTGTTCCTGCGGACCACTATAGAACTTTTGCAAAATCGATGTAATTTTATTGAGCATTTAATTATTGTCTTAGTTTCTCAAAATGTTTACGTGCGTCACGTTAAATGAAGACAATGAGAGCGAACATTTTCAGTACACTGTACAATGCTTATCAATTAACTTTATAAATTTTTATAGTTTTTTTTTCTGTCCAATTTCGCAATTGTAAACAGTGTCCCATCTTTAGTCGGTAAACTGCGTCCGAGAGTTTTCAATAATTAGACATGCGATTTTTTCCAGGCGGTCAAAGCCTCGACCGTGAACATAGGCCAGCAAACGGTCGTGCAGTTTACGCAAGCACAGCCGAGGGCTCAGTTTGTTCGCCAGGGGGCGGTGACGGTCGGAACTAAATCGGGCGTGACGAGGACGGTGACGGAAAGCGAAGTGGCGCAGCTGCTAAAGAAGCAACACCAGTTGCAGCAGCAAAAGTTGGCGGCCGCCGCCGCGGGCGGCAATTCGTCGCCCGGCAACGGTGGCGTTTCCGGAAGTGGTGGTACGATTCACGGGTTGACGCCACAAGCGCTCGCTCAAGCTATCCAACAGGTGGGCGGAAGTTCCGGTTCTTCGGTGACCACTTTGGTAAAGGCTGTGTCGTCTTCAGCCGGAGGTAAGCGATTTTCCGATTCATTCTGATTTCCCTTTTATACCTTGTTTCATAATGCGAGAGAGTAATAAAATGTAGATTCGCAAAGATACGGATCGTTATATTTAATTTAAGCGCTTCGTAACTCCCTAACTCCAAATTAGGGTCACACTAATTTGCATACAATAGACAGACCGTAATAAACACTGTCTCGGATGACTGATTCTCATATTGATGACAGGTAGAGGCCTAAGTCGCCTAAGATTGTTAGGTTGTTTATAGATTTCTATAGACTCTCGGATTTTTCGTTGGTAGAAGAATTGATTAAATGCAAGAATTTTAGTTTTATCGAATAAAATTTTATGTCAGGTTTGGTGATTGTGTTTGGCAACAACTGATGAGTTGCCTTAGTGGTAAGGCTCTTTCGTGTTCTTTGAGCCTAGTTGATATTTTTCGTTCGGTTTCTCCAATGTATTCTTTGCTGCATATGCATGGAATGCTGTAAACTTCTGGCATCTCAAATAGAATTTTATCTTTGACGGACCAAAGATGTTGAGAGATTTTTGGACAGGTGGTAAATCTGGTTTGGACGTTATAATTGATATGTGGTCACTGATATTTTGAATGTAAGGAAGGACCACAGTTCCAAGTGTAGGATTGCTTGCGGCCTCATTGCTATTAGAAGGTTTTAGTGAATTGCATTTTTTGATCAAACACTTAATATCTTTAATGTGGAAATTATTAGACACAAAAGGTAAGGTATTTTAATTCTGGATTCAGTGACTCGGGTTGACATAGTTTTACAGCTCTGTAAACAAGAAAGTTGATAACCGATGATTTTTGGGCTGGATGTGATGTGTATCGGTCGGTGTGCGTAAGTTTTCAGGTTTTCTGTAAACACAATGATTCCATGTTAGGTCTGATTTTCTATTGATAAGAATTTCTAAGAATGGAAGGTTATTATTAATTTACAACTCAATGGTAAAACGTATGTAAGGGTGTATAGAGTTTAAATGTCTAAGAAAATCTACTAGGGTTTCTTGACATTTAAACTGACTACACCACAAAACCTTCCAGGAGTTATTTTTTCAAAGTATTCCAAAGAGCTAAATATTGGCAGTTTTCGTATATCAGAATATAAATCTGGCTTGCTATGACTAATCCACGAGGTGTTTTAAAGTCCCTACAAATTTTGAAGTGAAAATCTTTGACTAATTTTTGATGCACAATGTGTGAAGGATCCATGACTATAACAGCTAGGAGGAGGGTTAATATCCAGCATTTGCTGAAAGTAGATTTGTATATTTATATCTTAGCCTCTAGCCCGTTTGGATTGGAAGCAGTGGTTCTCTTTTGAGTGTCTTTGTAACGAAAATTAATTTCCTTTAATGTTTTCCACAATTTCTTCTTAACCATCAATGAAATTGATGAAAAATTCATGAAATGAAATCATCTTTTTTTAATTTCAAATATTATTTTAGAGTATTCTAGTATTCTTAAATAAAAAAATCGTTTTCTTTATAACCGTTTCTTTTCTTCCTGTACTTTTCTTCATTCACTTGTTGAGGTCGTATTTCTCTTCGTGTCCAAGTCGTTATAATGTTGGCTGTCAACTCTATTCATACTCGAACACATTTTAACTATTTTGGCAACTTCGAATATGGATTTTTGGCGGCGAAGACCTTTGAATACATAGATAGTAATAATTTTCTTATTGTAAGAAAGCGTAGTTTAATCCGTTTCTCAGCAACACTGGCCATTGTCAACTTTGCCAACAACTGCCTGAAAATAACTTTTATTCTACTTTTAAACACTAAGGGCCTGGTAGTTGACCACCGGTACTCTCGGGACAGTACTACGCCTATGGTGATGTTCAATTGATTTATAACTCCTCTTCATTATGAAGCAGTGCATATATATCCCTCCAAAAGGTTGGCTAGAAATGCAATGGAAATATTAATGAATTAATTAATTAATGGCATTTTACTTTTCTTTTAACTTTTTATTGAAAGTAAAGCGTTCAAATAATTATTTATGCAAAAAAAAATTATTCAACTATTTCTTTGAAACATCCTGATTCTGCTTTTTTTTATTTACTTCGGTTTTCGGTTTTCTTCAACTAATTAAGCGCAAAGACAAGTGAAAACAGTCTATCCATTTCTAAGACTAACCGCAACGTCTATTGCGAACGCTGACCTAGCAACACTGACCTTTTTTTTTTCTTCCCATCAGAGAATAGTTTTGTAGTTACGCAGAGTTTTCACGGCCTACGCTAAGAATAAAGCCGTCACATTCATCACCATCCTAGTTATTTTTCACTTTTCACTGTTCATATTTTTCAGTGACCCAAACGGTAACTATTCCGGTTACGGGTGTAACTCTTAACACTTCGGGCGCCAAGACTATCGTTCCCACATTCAAAACCGGCTCGCCTCAACAACTAAGGCACATACAGATTCAGCAACAGCTTCTGGCTCAAAAGAAGATCGCCGGCCAAAAGCTAAGCATCGCCCAAGTGGGCGGCAAGACTAGCCTACCGACGCAGCTTATCGTCGGTTCCAAACCGCTGTCTACGGCCATGACGGTGCAGCAATTTCAGCAAGTTATTAGAGCGCCCCTCAACGTCTCCCAAGGACCGGTCGTACTGGCCAAAGGACCGTCGAGGGTTATTCCCGTAAACACCATTCAAGGCACGAAGCAAACCATTCAGGTAAAGTAGAACTGACAGAAGAATTTTTGACTTTACAAACACTAGAAAATTACTGAGTTCTATTCCAGAAACGTACAAGTTTGTAAGCAATAAGTAGATTCTAGGTTTGGCAAAATTTGTGTTTGCTTGCGTTTCATAAAACGACAAGTGGTCGATAACATGTGATGGTACCCTTGTTATCTATTAAAGTTCTTGTACCTAACTAACAATGTTCGTCTGAAAAATGAAGAAATTATTCAAATACGTAGGAGAATATTTCCACTCGTTATTCGAGCAAGTGTCAGCAGAGGTGTGTGTGTTTGCCATTAACCCAATCAAATTTCACCAATGTGTTCGTTGACCTGAAAATATTTTAACCTTTTCTGTTGGTCTTTTTGGCAACAGCGGGATTCTCACAAATTATTGGTTGTGTTGGTGTGACATTAGCGAAAATAGATTAGTAAATATGAATGAGTGTTGCCTATAAGAGAGATAAAAAAAAAACAAGACATTTAGTTGAGAACAAGCATTGGAATTTTGAAGGAAAACTTTCCTCTACTTAACTATATCCCTTTATCGCCTGTATATAGAGCTAACTTATATGTTTTTCATTATCTCACAACAACATACAGTTAACCTGTACGTTAAATAGAAATGACATCAACGTAGCTGGTGGCCACATTTCTGGGAATAATCGTAAACAAAGATGTGAATTTCTAAATAAAAATCACGTTTTATTAGAAAAAAACTCCACTTTTGCGCGCGTTTCATCAATTTCATCAATTTTACGTATAGTTCCACCGTTCTTCTTCATTTTCATTGTCGTCGAAGTTATCATTGTTTTGACCTTCACAAGAACTTTCAAACTCTCTGTCCCTACGCGCAGTCCTTCAGATGAGGTGCAGACTTTTGTTGAATTGTTTTTCGACTTTCTATTTTATCCTTTTTTTTTTGTTATATTGCTGGAAAAACTGACGAACTATTTCTCAAGTGGCTTCTTCTTATAATTGTTGTCTACAACACTTTGTGCTTTGTGAATTTCTTAAAAATTTAGGCAAAATATTGTTTTTCTAGCATGGGCATAACAGGCTACTCGAATAATAATAAAAGGCAATCCAGAGAACTATAGAGCAGTTGCGCTTGTTACTGGGAGTGCTTTACCTCATTATTACAACATATTTTGTCGTGTCTTGAGAACCACGAGTAGCAATCTAGATTTCGACGTATTACTCTTTGCTTGGAAAGGTGAAAAGTGCATGTCACTTTCAATTATTTTAAACAAACATTTGATTAATGATAATAATAAAATCAGGAGACTCGTATAGTAAACCTTAGAATATTGTTGACGGCGTCCCATAATAATTTTAAACATATTGGCAGGTTGTTTCTGCAGCTTCGCAACCTTTGAGCACGTTGCATCCGCAGTCGGCGTCTACCTTGGCGGGTGCTTTGGCGGGTATTAAGGTTCCAAGTGCTTCAAACTCCCCCCAGGCTTCGTCGGGATTGAGCCAGAACATTTCTGTCCGCCAGGTAATTCTTATCCATTTGGCTTTTATTTATTCTCAACGTTTCCAAAACATGTACTGGGTGTTTTTGATACTACTTTCAAATAAATAAATAAACAAAATAAATCATGTGGAAAGAAGTTGTGAGTTTCCCAATAACAGATAAACTAATTACAATTGCAATTAGCCGCAAGTCAAGGAAAAATGAACAATCAGTAAATGAATGTTAATGATATACTCATTACAATTACGTTTTTATAATTATAATGTTGGTAATGTTACATTATATTAGTATGCTGCAACGTCACAAATTATTATGTTTATGATGAAAGCGTTTACAGTGCGAAAGTACTTGATTCTTTATTGTACTCTAATCCTTTTTATAATTTAAATTTTATCAATTAGTTTAAATTAATAAAAGAAATAAAATCTACCCAACAGGCATAAACTAACAGGTAGGTTCCAGTACAAGTTTTAATTTTGGTTAATGGGGCAATAACGTTTTTTAATATTAGATTGCGAAAAAAATTCTAAATAAGATCACAGAAAAGAAAAACACATTATTCTTGTCATTCATGTCATAAATGATACAGGTCTTATAGACTTTAACTATGTTGTCTTTACGTAGGTATTAATATATACTATATGCCTTAAGCAGCCCGATATGGCGGTTGCTTTATTGATCTGACATCTCAATTGTGAGACTTGCTCGATAGTTTTGTTTGTACTACAAGTTTACACCTTACGGATTCTTTGGCATAAGTTATGCTCTTAGTTTTTTTCTATTGTGTAGCTGTCTCTGGAGATCCTGTTCCGCTTTCGCGCATCATCGCCATGCTGATTGTTTTATTCTGTCCCGTTCAGTATCCCATATTTAATGATGGTACTTCCTTTATAATTCTGTTTGTTATTTGTGTTTCAAATCTTTCACCAATGTGCTACTGAAGAGATAAAATTGCTGAAAAGTTTAAAATATTTGTTCTTGGTGTGGGCAAGAAAAGTATGTTACTATGTCTAGAGATCAGCTCTTCTCTGTTTGTTATTTGTGTTTCAGATCTTTCACTAATGTACTACTGAAGAGATAAAATTGCTGAAAAATTTAAAATATTTGTTCTCGGTGTGGGCAGGAAAAATATGTCTAGAGATTATACAGGGAACAAAAAATTGAGTCTATTTAATAGGTCAGCCCAATCAAACCAGTTATTTAAAAAAGTCGTTAAATAATGGCGGTCACAAAAAGTGTTGGAACGGGAGAGAATTTTATCAAAAAGGTGATAGCAAATATTTAACACCTATACCTATGATGGTAAAACACATTGATATATTAAGCTGCAAGTTATTATTTAATGACCAATGAAAAAATTTTACGTTATCTACATAGAGCAGAGAAGCCAATGTAATTCAAGAAAATGTTTAATAATATTGGCCCCAGTATTGAGCGTTGAGGGACATCCGAGGAGGCAACATATTTAAAGTATTTTAAAAAAGGGAATTAACAATTTGGGGTTAATTTCGTTCGTATAATTGGAGAAAAAAATATGTTGTCGATAAATGCTTCGATTTTTTTTTGTTGGCTCTGTTTTCGAGATTCTTCACTCTGACAAACCTTGCATTAATTTTCACTAACTAAAACTCAGATACTCCTCTTGGTTATTTTATTATCAAGAAAAACTAAATAGTTGCTAATGAAATAAATTAAAAAATCACTCCACTAACAAGCATAAACAATTTTCAGAATAATCCTGTTAGGATTCAGACCGCCGCAGGTACGCCTATCGTTGCAGTAACGGTTCAGTCAGCTCAGAGCGGGCAATTCCAGACACAAAGTCCCGATCCAGTAAGTAGGTTTTTCAACAAGTAGAATGCAAAGGCCGCTTGTAATTTTTAAACATCAATAATTTAAAATTTTCGAACTTATTATTTATATTAACGCCCTTGTTTCTGAGATTGAGTTTTCCCGATCCTAATTTTAATTTTATTTCCGTCTTTGTTTTTCAGTTTTATAAAAGTTGTATAAACTGTGATAAAAACGTGTCTGATTTTTTGCGTAACCGTTTTATTGTTTACCCATTAACATCGAGTTCCCTCTTAAGGTATATTGTATATATGATGTAATTTTAGTTTATTAATGCAATAAATAAATTATATTTCCCACATTTTTGTTTTTTGTTTTTTTTTTTTAAATTTTGGATTATGATGTAGGGATATTTGGTAATCGTGTTTGTCTTTTTCAGAACGACTAAATAATTTTCGAACGTCGGAATTGAATGAGTGTTTAAAGTTGTGAATAAATATTTTTTTTTTAACATTGGCGTTTGTTGTTCATTTAAACTGTCCACGAATTTTAAAACTTTGAAATATGTAAAATAGTTACCTTATTTATTCCTGACAATATTTACATAATAAGTTTTATAATTTGCATTTGCATTTGCAGTTATCTTTTTACGTAATATATAGGTCATAAAGTTATTTGAAATGTTACAAATAAAATGTTAATATTAAACTAAGCCGGCTTCATGCAAATTATAAAAGTTATTGTATAAGTATGTCAGGAATAAATAAGGTAACTATTTTAGATATTTAATAAATCCTTTTTCCAAAGCCTACCGCAAATACCTTCGTAAAAATCATTTTTGTGAAGTCATTTATACAAAAACCCCATACTGTTATACATTTTGAGAAGCTAATACCAAGCGGAATCAAATTAAAAAAAAAACTGACTACGCCACTGAACTCTCATTCATACAAATAATCGAAAAGTACAAAAAAATACCAAACATACTCTTCAGTCGCGACCAAATGGTTTTCTTGCGCATTTCTCTTATTAATAAAGCTAGTGTGTAGGGGCTCTGGTGACCCAAGCTAGTTTTTTATTGATAAGGAAGGTGTACCCTAAAAACCATAAAAAATAGGACACAGTGTACAATATGGCGAATTAAGAAGAATACTCGGTCTTATCCCACAAAGGAACTGTCATAAAGACTTGGAAGTGAAAAACCGTATGACTAAAGCGATTAAAACGAAATGCTGGAAACTATTTTTTAATTTTTAGAATGGCCACCAGGAGACGTAATTGCATTCTTGAATGTTAAATCCCCGTATTTGAAATATAATCTCATATTACCGAGAGCTAAAATAGACACCCCGTATAGCCGGGATAAATTCGATTCCTTTTCTCTAAATGTTTTTTGCTTCTCTCTTTCTCTCTTAAGAAAAAGTCGTTTGGGTCTCCGAACATTTTCCAAAATAAATATCAACTTAAAAACGATTGAGCGGATATTGTCAAACCTGGATTAGTTGAAAATGTCGACATCCTAGGGAATATTTTGAGGATACCTATTATTATTAAGTACTAATTTTCGTTCTTTAAACAAAATATACATATTTACTGTTAAAAGTAAAAATTATAATGTTCTAAAAATTCTAATTCTATGTCAATAATAATTAGTAATCATCCTCATATAAAAACGAAAACAAAAGTACAGATAAAACACTAAAATCTCTGCGTTTTCATGTAGGAACAATTTCAATTAAGCTCTAGAGAAATCACACAATCGACGTAAGAGAAATGCGAATACACCCCTGACGGTTATTATAGAACCTTAAAAAATATTTCCAGAATTTTCTCTTGGAAAGTTTTTAATCCCAAGTCTTTACAATTACTTTCTGACGTAGGATCAAGTGTCTTACTTTGTGACTTACCTTGTTTTGAGCGAAAAACGCTTTCAACTACAGAGTAAGCACAATCAAATGTCGGCATCGGCATCTTCACGTTCGGATACTCCCCCGTAAAAAAGTACAAGCTTAAATATGAATGCATTGATATTTGTTTTGCCAAACACAATATTGAATCTGTGAGAGAATCAAATCGGTACAACAAATCGTCAATCAGTCGGTTACCATATTTATTAGTTCTTATTCATTCACAATCAAATTCGAAAGTACACGTATTCATTTGGGAAGCAATGTGATGATCGTCTTTCAATAAAGTAGCTCTGGTCGTGGTATCGGCGAGTTTCTCCAATTTTAGTCTAATGTCAGGAACATTGTACCAATATTTGCCGCAAGCAACTGTCTCCCTTAAACTCGACGAATCTTTCACGTCATCGAACCACTGCGTCATCAAATTTGTCACGATGACCGCCACATGATACTCGTTGACTAAGAAACGCAGGATATTTGCCGTGTGATTTAATATGTTATTATTTTCGACAAAATCCTTTGAACCAAGAAACAAAACCGATAAGGAATCGACGAATATCAATCGTACTTTCTTGCCGTTTTCAATTTGACGTTTAATGTCGAATAAACTGCTGACCAACTGGAATTTAGTAGTGATTTCGTGTACAAAAATATGCTCCAAAGCACTAGTTAGGTCCTAAAAAATAAATTTAAAAAATTTTTCGTAAATTTCTCACGTCAAAGAGATAATTTAAAATAATATTAATTGTTGACAGGTATTACTGAACAGAGTGCACAACTTAATACCTAATAATAATACTAACAATAGAAATATGAATAAAAGCAATATGACAGCGGCGTTACAGGTAGTCTATTATAAGTCACTAAAAACTTAAACAGAAGTGTCTGTATTCTTTTTCTATTAAAAATGATTTTCTGTTTTGAGTTTTTTCGTAACGAAAATTAATTTTCAAAGTTGTCCACAATTTCTTCTCGCCCATGGACGGAATGAAAACATTCTTTTTAATATCAGACATTATTTGGTCCAAGATGGGTATTTCTTTTTTTAAGTAAATCGAGTGTATTATTCTTCGGATGGCACTCCTTTTCAGAAATCATTTATTACAGCAACAGTGATTGCCGACCTGAAGGGGGCGCGTTTATTCACGTGCCCAAGTTGGTATATCGTTGACTGTCCAACACCACGTGGCATTTGAACTATTTTTGCCGATCCTAATGTTGAATTTTGACGTTTTAATTTGGAAACCGCTATTTTATTAATTCGTTGCGCCAGCAATCAATTCAGAAACCCTAGCCACTTTCAAGAACGAATTTGCCAACAAATGTCACAAAGTAACCATAATTCTACTATTACTACACTACCGAACACAGGTCGGTCAACTATCTACGTCTACCTGCCACTCTATAAAACTGTATGGAATATGGATAAGAATAGAGCATAGATGGATATCCTTTATCAGTTATAATTATCCCATTTATATGGTTAGAACTTATCATTTGCAAAAAATTATCAAGTCAAGCCGAATACAAAGAGTTACACTCTCTTATACAATGCAGTTGACATTATTCAAATTTACACTGAAGCAACGTTAGGAACCAGAAAATTAATAACAAAAATTGAAATTTTTCTCTTGGACAGTAGAAAAGGCTTTTTCCCCAAGAAAATTAGGAAGCTTAATTGTTTTAATGGTAGGCTTTTCCAACTAGTGGTAACCTTGCACCATATTTTTTCTTTATAAAATGTTATTAATAGATAAAATTTTACCTCATTGCTCGAAGGATCTAGCGCATTTTTAATCTGCAAAGCGCCAAACTCTTGTTTCGTATCCAGCACAAAAATGCCTATACCCAATAGGAGATTTTTGTTTATAATTTTTGAGCATAAACGCGTCTTCCCGCAAGCCGGTAACCCACAAAATTCATAAATATTTCCTGTCAAAATTCCGCCGTGAAGAAGATCGTCAATGCTGAAAATACGTTAAATTCTTGGTAAGTATCCATACTTTTAGTAATCCAGTCAAATTGGATAAGAAAGTAATTATCAAATAATCAAAATTCCAACAGAGCTGGCTTTTGGTGAAGACCTTGGGTAAAACAGTAAAAGTAAAGTGCCTAAAGTCCGTTTCGATCCAATGTGAGTTTACTAGTTTTACAATGACAACAAACACACGAAGTTTTTAGTTAAAGATACTGGCTTTACACTGGAAATCAGTTTGTCCTTTTCGAATTTTATAAAGTGTTGAAGTTAAAAATTATAAAGTTTTTCTAAAGTTTTTCTAAATGAGGAAAAATATATAACAGGATAGTGACAAATTCTTTCAATTGTTAACGACGCAGATAAAGTGTGTCTCACAGTATATTCTTTTGGCTTTTGACGGCTCCTTCTCCAAGAAGTAATTACGACCTTCGTATCTATTGTTACTGGGTAAACTCGACATCGAACTGTCGATCACGTATCAGCTGATATCAATAGCAGTATTGAATAATTATATCACTAATTTTTCTGTTATGTCGCGTCCAAATCACTTGTCATTAAATACAAAACATTGTGAGTCTTTAAAAGAAATAAATCGAAGTAAAACGATTTACAACCTCGCCGTCTGGACAATAGTGATCCTAGTGAATAAAATATGATAATAAAGAAAATTCCTCTATGAAAACTAGATTGCTCTGGCTGTCTGAAAAGGAAACTAGAAGTCGAAACGACCACAATTATTAGCCGTGTCACCATCGGTACAATGATATGTAAAATGGGATTTAACCATTTAACTACTACAGTATAGACAGTATAGAGGTATAATTATTTTCAGTATCCAAAAAAAAAAAATCCAACTGCTTGCTCTTGTTTATGAACAAAGCACCATATTCATTAAGTACAAAAACTGAAATTCAAGGATTTTAGTTACAAAATGATATATTTTGAATCCAGTTAGAAAGGGCAACTTTTGGAAGCATTAAATATGTTATAAAAAAACAAAGATGTATTTGTATATATTTAGTATCATCGTATATTCTAGTGCCAATATGATGTGATTTTATTATACCTAAACAAAAATTCAGTTAAATTAGAACAAAAAATGTTCAGATTTTCACAATTATTTAATGATTTATGCCTTTATCAAATACAAATTCAGAAATGCTAAATGCGTTTCTGATAAATGCACGGTTTAGCCGAAATACCTGTCATAAATCATTGAATAACTGTGAATATCTCAACATTTTTTGTTCAAAGTTCACTATTTTAAATCTTTCATCAAGTAAAAGCCACCTCAGTACAATTAAACAAAATTTATATACTACTTAATTTTTTTAATTTTTTTGGTTTTATTGCCTTGGGCAGGTAATGTCGATAATTGCCGTCCAAAGCCAAAACGACTGACTAAAGCTCGAGTGCAAAAAGTTGCTACCGTTTCTAGTTGCTGCAACTTGTTGCATTTGTTGACCAACCTCTTTTGTATTGTGAAAATCAGCATTGAGGGAGTACATTCTCAGAATGATATATGATACATATAGGAGGCACGAATAGAGATTTTTTACTGATATTAATAATAATATATGTTGACACTTTTAGAATCGCGATATATTAGAAAAGATGATTCCTAGTAAAAAAGTAATAATGTAGATAATTTTATGATTAGCAATTTATGCCTTTCCAAATCAAGGAAATCGTAAAAATGACTTTTGACCCTTGAATTTTCCACCAAACTTCAGCTCTTTCGGAATTTTAATTATTTGAAATGTCTGTTTTGACCGGACCATAATACCTTTTAATGCCCGTAAGAATTAAAACGCTTTTCGTTAACACCGTTTTGTAGCTCTCGAAAGCGTTGGTCGCTTCAGGAGCAAATGTTTTCGTCAAGAAACGTTTGCTTTCGTTTATTTCCTAAAATTATTCCTTTTTTACATTTTTTAAAGCTATAATATAAAATCATCAAATAATTCATTCTAACCTGATACGTCAACGGCAAAATCTGACTTAGCACGTTGTTATCGCAACGCAGAAATTCCAATACGGTGAAAATACGCTTCTTATTTAGCACTTCAATCATGTCTTGAGTCAAAGGTTCATAGCGAATCGTAGACAGTAGTAACATTGCAAGCAATGGCTTGTATTTTTTTTAACAATTTGCGGAGTTTCCTTATATTAGCCCTCCTAAATTAAACAATTAATAAAATTTAAGATATTGTTTTTGGATTTAAACTATAATTAAAATTTGTTTCTTGTTTGTTTCAACCACTTTAATAGGAGGAAAAAACAACTTCGCAATAGTGCCGAGTTGAATTGGTTCGCCCGTTGTCTAAAAATTATAATCCAAAAATCACAAAAACGGGGTCACCATTACTGATCGTATATGGTACATACATTGCGAATTTATATAAATTTGGATCCACTACTATAAATAAATTATTATATTTAGCACTTGATGATATCTTTCTCACTTTCGAAGATGATCTGTATTCTGGTTGTCAATTTTTAAACACATTAATTTTTTTAAGATATTGCTGATCGTCTGTTAAATTAACAAATTTCATTTCAATATTTTATGTGTCATATTTATAATATAGAATCAGATTCAGCGTGCCAAAATTACTGAAACGCTAAAATTTCAGAACTTTGTTTCAACCTATTTCTGATATAAATTTTTAGGTGGTTTAGTTTGTCGCACTAATTTCGGAACACCCTGTATAATGTAACGTAGTGTAATATTAAGTTCCGTGATATTTTTGTAATTAAAGTTGTTTGGTAATGATTTACACCATAAATTTGGTTAGAATCAAAGGATAGAATTAGTATGGTACAGCAAAGCAGTCAACATACTGCAAGCTTTGCGGTTTTTCTTTACCCTTCTAACAAGGTTTGGCAAGAGGGTATCTTTCTAACTTTCTAGGTTAAGTTATATTAAGTTGGACAGTGCATTAGCTTGACTAGATTTTTTTTTAACTTAATAAACAATTGTTACCAAAATAGTTTAAAGTCTGTTAAGCTAGTACTTACCTACATACATGCGTAGCAACGTGAATATATTTTTTAACAAATTGGGTTCGAACAAACATTTATCGCAAAATACTCGTACGTACGTGCATTATCACTTTAACATTTCGGTTATTTATTTTTATATCTCCTATTGCGTGTATGAATTAGTTTATTTGATAAGAAATTATTGACGATTTCTTGTAGTGTTTGATACGTTACAGATCGACCAGTTTAGACACCCAGACCGCAGTGGGTGGTCCATTAGACGGTGGTCTATGTCGATATTTCACGGAATTTTAAAGTTACCCAGGTGCCTCATACTATGGACGATAAGGTGGGTACCAAATTAACTCGCTTGCTTGTATAGTACGCGCTTCTCCTCTGCTCTGCAGTCAAAATAAGCTCTTAAAGTGCACGTAAAAATCCATGGACCTCACAGCCCGTAAGTTTTTCCAAAAATTATCAAGGTTTAAGAAAAAATATGAAATTTTCATATATCAGAGTGTTTCAAAACAAATGCGAAGGAGGTGATTCCTTGTTTAAAATAGAGAGTAGTTTGTTACATTTAACGTTGCGTAAAAAGGTATAAATAAAATAAACTATAAAATATTACTACATATATTAAAAAACACACTTTCTGACAATTTTTCTTTTAATATGAGTGGAGGGGATCGAATAAAACTACTATTATTTTTTTTAACTAAATTGAAAATATGGAAAACATTTCGAAAGACGGGTTTATGTTTTTGTATCCTACAATTTTTTTATAAAATGTACAGTTTCCAAATATACAAATAAAACTCAAATGATATCGAAAAAAAGTATTATAGAAAAATTATTTAGTTCCGTGCAGTCAACCAGATGCATTTTCTAGCACAGGACGTAATTCTTGTAGAAAAAGAAAATAGGAGTTACCAGTTAATAGTAAAGGTAGTAAATTCAAGGATCAGCGAAAATCCCTAAACAAATGATAACAGCAGATTTTCTTCAGCCCATACATGACCGTTACGAAAGTTTTGAAAGTTTTGAATTCAATCCCTTGAGAAACTAACTCCGTCGAGAATTTTCCAATAAAAATAAAGATCATCGGTACTTATTCGGCGAAACTATTGGGAAAAAATAATCCTAGATTTGAAATCTCATGAGCTTGAACTTTTTTCTTTTCTTCTTCTTTTATTTGCCTCCACACAGTTGAGCACAAGAACTTCTAAACCGCAGCCTTTGATGAAACACGAATATGAATATCTGTCATTTCTGTATTCGTGTAATTCACCATAATGGAATTAAAACTCTTATTATCGAATAAATGTTTGTTTAAATTAGTCTTACATTGGATTCAAACAAACTGAGCAATATCAAATAAGGAAAAAAGAAAAAACTTAAGAAGTGATAGCAGTCATATAATATATTTTTATATCTCGTTATGTATTGCATTAGATTTTTTTTTATTTTGAAACGCTAAGTATCACGAAAAAATTGCAGGAGACAAAAGATTCTCAGTAAAATGTAAATTGCATCAGTTTTTCTTTAAATTTATTTAAGAAACGATATCTAAGGATAGTCTAATTTAAATACATGAACCTATTTAAAAAAAATTACCGAAAAAGTGTTTTTACAGTAGTAATATTTCCGTAATATTTTGCTGTTCTATCTATTTTCCTTTTTAAGGCAAAAAACTGAAACCTTATTTGATTGGGTTTGAATAATGAATACCATTTATTTCAAACAAGGAATCACCTCCAAAAGTTTTTCGCATTTTGTTTGTATATACAGGTTGTCTTTATCGGGATCTCTGTATGCAAGGAAATACGAAGTCGGATTTCGTTTTAATTAGTTGAGTTGAGAAAAATATTTAAAATATTTTATTTAACGTTTGATCAATTAACTAGCAATTATAATCTTTGATTAAATTAACATATTAAAAAAATAACTATTTTTTTTAATAGGTTTTTTCGAAAATGCCTCTAAAGAAGGAAAACGAAATTTCCTATCCACCACTATGAACCGCTTTCGAGAGTTTAGACACAGCAAAACACTAATAAAAGGAAAACTTCAGTAAACATCTACACCTCCATCGGCAAATGGCAAGCTAAATCCGGTGTTTCACAGATGTCTCTGCTAGTGCCAACGGAAGAGCCTGCTGGAAATATTTTTCATCTTACAAAAATACTACTAATTTCTTACATTTTAAATTATTAAAACTCCAAATTGCTCGCTTAAAAAACCGTACACTTCTGTAAAATAGTTAATTGAATGGACTTACAGTCTGAGTTCATGAAAACAGGCGACCCTGTTGTATGAATAAAAATTTTTTTTTTTGAATATATAATTGTTTAAAGAAAATATTTCCATATCAAGAAATGCAGTTAGTACCAAAATACGTTAATTGTTAAAAAGTTTAAACAGAAGTGCGATGAGATTGCAAAAAAAAAACTGTGTTTGTCATCCAAATAGAGGGTATTTTTTGAAAATATAGAGCGTCTCACACCATAATCACCAGAAGTCAAAAGATGTTCAAATGTTAAAGCTGACAGTACCCACTTCCACTTCCTCTTTTTTTTGTTGTGGTTAAGTTCAGCTACACATTTTTGGTGTTTGGTTTTCAAGTTACTAGGCTTTGCCATTTGCATTTGAGCACCACGCGTTTGTTTTCTAATGAACAACATCGTAAGTACTTGATAATAATAGATGTAAATAAAACCACACGAATTATAAATTATAGGTTATGTGGGTGTAGAGGGAAAAGTTATTTTCGCGAAAAGAGAGAACTGAAACCGATACGATTAGGATCTATCAGCAAAATTTTAATCGTTTCATCGATAAATCTAGGTTAACTCATTAATCACGGAGTAACAGCATAAAAACAGGAAGCTTTAAAAAAAACCTATTTGATAAGTAGTTATTTACATCTGAAACATTGCCATTCTATTCGTACTCCTCGATTAAAAAATACTTGGTAAATAAAATATATCTGGAAAGAAAGGATAATTTGAAATAACTATAAATAGTGCGGCCATCACTTGTGAGTTAAAGACGTCTTTCGAAGAATATTCGTGGCTTACCTTTTTAAGTTATAATCAGCTTCCAATTCTGAAAGATCCTGATTTACTTTTGCGCACTCTTAAATTCATAACATTAATTGTAATATAACTGCTTCTTCGAACTTCATTGCCTTTTATTCGGAGAGTTTAGAGGAACTGCTGATTAACCTCACTTTTGAATTTCGAATGTGGTACCTCTTCTCTTTTTTTATTATCTAACGTATCATAAATATTTATAAAAACACAAGTTGTAGCATAATTCCGGGGAAACTAAAAACAATTAATTAGTCCTTGACAGTGGTGCGAATAATTTCTATATTTCTGACAGACGCGCAGGCGTATTTGTTTATTTCGTTAATCCGTGTTGAAAAGTTAAAAGTTGTCCAGGAAATAAATAGATTGACAAACTTACTTACTTGCATAGGAAGTGGCACCTGAATTAACTTTTAAAGACAGGTGCATATTAACAAGAATAAGTTAATAAGTATACGATGGAATTAAAATTTAAAAAATGGCTTGCCTTGTAACGTGTATATGTATGTACGGGGCGGCCCGTTAATATGGGATGATGTTAACAATATCAAACAAAATTATGGATCAAGTCATTTGGATTAGTTTATACTTTATAATATGTTTATTCTTATATATAATATATTATTAATATTACTATTATTTTATTTTCATTTTTTGAAAATTCTAGACATTTGCCATATATGATGGACAAATAAACCAAAAATTGAAAGATACCGGAAAAGTAATTTTTAATAAAAGTTTTTGCGTGCTTTAAGAATAAGTTCACAATGTCCAATTTTTGGTTTAAATTTAAAACTGAAATTATTGAAAATTACCAAAAACGTTTAAAGTAGAAGAATATTAGAAGCAGTACAATCCATTTCGTTGTAAGAAATAACGAGTTTTAGCAGATTTCAACGTCAATTAGAAAAATGCTCTATGAGTATGGAGGAGAAGTTTTTGAAATAGAAAAATGTGTCGACTTATTTTTTTTATTTCAATATGGTATATGCAAAATCCTATTTACAAATCTTCTGGATTCCTCCCAAGTCGGTTTTTGATTAATCGAACTTGCTGACTTTTCGCTTCTCATCGCTGTTGGTTTCTTCAGAGCAGTGTCAGTTAAGTCGGGTGGCACAAAACTGTTAAACTTATTGACTTACAAACTCACAGAAATTTTAAATAGTAACGGTTTCTTATTGCAAATATTTTGATATAGGAAACTTTATAGGTAACTATTTTTTTTAAGGTACCAAATATGATAAAATTATAAAAATAATGTGTTTCTATTAAAAAAACGAAGATTTTTTAGTTCTATTCAATGTTACTTTTCGTTTAGCCTGTAGTTATTTTAGTTTTTTATATTAGCACCTAGCAGTTCTATAAGGAAATCAATCCCAAAAATATATCTTTCAGTCCGAAAAATCGATAGATATATTCAGACTAGCACTTTTGACATAAGATTCAAAATATGTCAGAAACCGACAATTGACTTTGGTAGAGGTTATTATATATCAAATATGTCTGGAAAGTTCCGAAAAAGGCCTTAATATACAGGGTGTTGAATTTAAAATAAGAAAGTTACTTATCCACGAAAATACACACACCATGTATGCATAAGAATATGATATTATGCCTACTTAATAAATAATGGTATTGAAATCTTAATTCATTTTTTCATTTCATTAATTTTTAGGACAGCGCTGCACAGTATCCAAGATGGACCAAATTTCTGGTTTTAGCGGGTATTGTCACAGTTATAGGCTGTTCCACACCCGTAGGTTACAATATAGGTGTCGTGAACACGCCCGGATATGTAAGTTATGCTTAACTAGTAAATGTTTGAATTATAAACGGTGATTCGTCTGGAGTGTCCCATTAGAAGTTCTGGAGTTCTTCAGATTTGGTATATATAGGGATTTCAATAGTGCTGTATGATCTGTCATTTCGAAATATTTACCCACCTGCGGCGTTACTATTTCCGCTCAAAACAGAGGCAATATGATAAATTCACCATTACTACGTTTTCTGGTTTCTCGCAAATTCTGTTGGCATTTCCCTTCGCCTATTTATTTCTTTGTCTTTTTGCTATTCCAACATTTTATATATTATATTGATATGTAACTTTGATGGTCTGTCATATATGTCACAAAAATTTACATTTATAAAAAAATGTAGTAACCGCAAAAAGTCTTTCTTTTAAAGCAAGCCAGCATATTGGACGTTATCGGTAAAAATTTAATAATTTGTCTATAAAATCTGCACATAAAAAAGAGTACTCTCATAAATTATTTAAGTAAGTAAGGAAAAACAACTCAAAAAATGGAAAATGCAGTCATTGATAGTGAGTGTCACAAGGGTATCAGTAAAAACTGTTCAGGAAATTATTAACAATATTCCTTCTACTTTGTCTCAAAATATAAGGAATTTTTATTAATTGGTTTTTTCAACAGCTGTGAAAAAAATGTAACATTTTTTAATGGTGGTCAGTGTGACAAATACGTCATTTCCATATACGCGGAGTATTTCAAGTACCGTATCAGAAATATTTCTCTTTCGCAACATGACGGTTTAATGGATAGTAATGTGTTCGGTATGTTTAACAAACCGAAAGATACTAAAGATATTTTTCAATACAGCTGTAGAAAAAGTATTGTATACCGCGAACAAATTTCGTGCCTTCGACACTGCTTCGCCTCGTCCAAATATTTCGCGTCCTATTTTAATTAAGTATGTTACACTATCACGTAAAGTAGGAGCAATATTTTTTGCTCCCCAATTTTATTTTCCTTTTTACTGACTCTTATTATTAACGAATAAGATTAGTAAAATTAACCAGCATATTAACAAAAATTGGTAAGTAAAATGCTCAAAATGTCCGCCATTTTCAATGCGGCATTCGTGCTAAATCCTTAATTTTTTTACCGTAGTCACGAGAATTTTTTATTCGATATTTCGTGAATACCCGTTCTTTTACAGTTTTTTCAGACATAGAAATCTAGGTGAGTGAGATCTAGAGAACGAGGAGGCCGGTCTCAAGACCCTAAGCCGCCATTTCCTTCTGTAATCCCACTTATTACTTATTTTATTAACCGTTGCCTGTAAATATCATATTTTTGCAAGAGTTGGAAACTTGCCACTTGCGTTTCCTAAAATTATCCACTTGCCTCCCAATATTACCGGTACTTTCAAAATTCTCGAGAAAGAAACACAGTGACAAACTCTAAAGCAGCATATTCACCATATTCACCATAAGCTGTCCTGACTGATTTAGAAAAGCTGCCAGTTCTTGCTGATATTGTCCATGACGTTGTTAAAACATGGGATGAGGGTAATGAGAATAAGTTCTAGTTATGCTTTATTATACTTCTGTGGGTTATCTCCGTCATTTTTATAGATAGAAATTTGCATAGCCTTTTCAGTTTTTAAGGTACTGATCTAAATTGAAAATGTCAGGCACCCCTCAACTGTCAGACAACTTATTGAAAATGTGGAAATTGCCTCTTTCGTAACATTTCCCGTGGGACTCAATTATGTTTTCAGAATTAGTATACAGGGGCAAGTCAAAAAGTTTGTTAAATGAACACCTTGTATATGTATAGACTATAGAACTTGTCTTTTTTATATATAACAGCATGCGATTTTTCTCAGAAAGACGCAAATGAATGACAGTTTTATGATATTAATGGGTGCATGGAAGGGGAGGAGACCCCGTATCATCTGCTCACCGAGTGCCCTGCCTTGACATGGGCAAGATTGGGAGTCTTCGGAACGGCCCTGATCGATCCGGACTCAGTGCACGGTATTGGGCTAAAGGAGTTGCTGACCTTCTACAGGAGGGGCGGCATTCTGGACGCCCTCTAGAGCGGCCTGGGGGCACAACGGGCCCATCTGGTGGCCTAAGTGCTTGGACGCCCGCGAGGGCGCCCCCCTTTAATACCAATACCAATACCAATACCAATGATATTAATGGTATGGATAGGTACCGATCTCTCAATTTTAGATTTTTTTTGGTACTACGTACAAAACTGAAGTATAGAAAACACGATATAACAGCATAGCAGTACTTCAAAAGGCAATTCATTTATCCTTGCGAAATCTGCGAATGAGGAAAATAAAATGTGTTAATTTTGCATTAGAGAAAATGATCATGAAATTGAACATTACCTTTCAAAATTTGTTTCTTTCTTTTTTTCAATAATGTGTTTTTTTTTTGTAATTCGTTACATTGTTACTTTATACTACAACTGTTAAACGTAGAAAACACTGTTCTATTGAGACTAACGTGGTGCCAGCCAGCAAGCATCTTTAGAAGAAACGGCCACATTGACGAAAATTCCATCAACTGTATGGAAAATTGTGAATAATCCCATCTCAGCGAGGAAAAAAAGAAGCGATGCTGACATATTCTCGAATGTAGATGAAAGTGATCAAGATATAATACGGCGTAAAATTTACCTGTTATACGAGGAGCAAAGCGTGCCTACATTATATATCTTAATTAGGAGGCTTGAAAAAGACGAAACCGGTGTTAAATGTGGCAGAACTACCTTATGGAAGTGTATTCAACACATGGGTTTTAGATTTAAAAAAATTGACAAAAGGCAAGTTTTAATGGAATCTTTAAGAATTCGGAAATGGCTGCTGGAATATCTAGAAAAAATTAGGATTTGCAGAGAACAACAAATGCCAATTATTTACTTGGATGAAACCTGGTTCGACACTTATGATACCCCGGGGTTGACTCAACTGATAAGTGTAAAACAACCGCGCCATCAAAAAGAGGTAAAAGAATAACTATTTTGCATGCTGGCTCTAAAGATGGTTGGTTTCCAACTGGACTTTCTCTGTCTGCTAAAAATATCAAAGATTCTTCTCCGGATTACCATGAAGACACCACCGCACCACACAAACTAGTTCCAAACATTCCTCCTAATAGCGTCATTTGTAATGGATAATGCAAGTTATCACAATAGACAGTTGATTAAAACCCCTTCCTCATGTGACACAAAAGCAACAATCCAAAACTACATGTATAATAACGACATTTATTTTCACGAAGATTATACCAAAAAGCAAGTAATTGAGGTTCTACAAAGGTTGAACCTACAAAAGGAATACGTCTGTGATAATTATGCAAAAAATCTAGGGCATACAGTTTTACCACTGAATATTTAATCCCTTTGAACATGTTTGGCACCAACTGAAATCTGCCTTTCGTCGTAACAATGTTTTTCCACGTGTTAACTCCAATGTCCTCAAACTTATAGAAACCGAAGTTTTTAACATCCCTCCACAAAGTTGGGCAAATTCTGTTAAACATATAGGAAAAGCAGAACAAATAATAGTTAGAACAGGCGATGATAGCTATAGTGATACTGATATATTATGTGAATAATTGCAAGTAATTTAAGTAGGTAATAAAAATAATTTGTAATTTTATTTTAGATTTAAACATAAATACATACATAAATAAATAAATATTGTTTAGATCTTTCCTAACAAAACCCCAAATAATTAAATTCTAAGCAAAGTACGGACCTGTTCGGCCATATTTCATTCTTACAGCTTGCCCGGGTCTTTCCTTAATTCGTATCAGTTAGGCACTTTCTTATATCTATGAACAGACTTTATCAGAAAGTGGTTTAACTTCATTAAGGGCATGTTTGCATTATATTGATATTAAAAGGAAACAGGAAGTTCAAATTTGTTGCGTACGGCTAACATATGGCTTTAATATAGATTTGAAGAATTCGGTTGGCTTTCACCGGTCTACTCTGCATTCAGTATGTTTCCATTGTAATTTAATTAAAAACTTGAGCAAGAGTCCCTTCTATAGTCGCTATGCTGTACACCAAATTTGTAAAAAGTTTTAGTTCTCCAGAATTTCTAAGCGGACACTAAATGTGAATCACTATTTATAGATATATCAAAATCGCTTTCTTTCAGGTGATAAAACGATTTTGTAACGAAAGTGTCCTTGCAAGGTTCAACGTTGAGCTGACCGAAGGCCGACTGGACTTTTTGTGGTCATTTATAGTGGCCATATTCTTAGTGGGCGGAGCAGTCGGTTCTCTGAGCGGATCCGTAACGGCGGATAAAATCGGAAGAAGAAGCGGTTTAATCGTATCTTCGATTTTAGGTATAGCAGGGGCGCTACTGTTTGTGACCTCCAAACCCGCGAACTCGGTTGAAATGCTTGTGATTGGTCGCATTTTTGTGGGCCTTTCCTCGGGTAAGTGCGGATGTTATATACGTGAACTAACAACCATATGTTGGAACAAGCAGTGAATTATACAAACCAATTGCCGGTTTACCGAAATTCGTTTCTTAAAAAAAAATTGTATGGATGTATGGATTTTTACGGAGCAATTATATATTATGTGAATCATCCCGTATTGATGGAATAACATCAAAAACTCAGCAATCCTTCAACCCGCATATTAAATTTGTTTTAAACGGGGAACATTCCCTATTGTTCTAAAAGTCGAATCAGTGACACCTTTGTACAAGAGTGGCTCAGAAACTATAAAAAAACTACAAACCAATTGCTCTTATTTCAAATATAGGCAAGATCATTGAAAAATATTCTTAACAATAGTTTTTTTTCCACTTCAACGAGTAAATTAGGTAATTTTTGCCAATCGTTAAAGTCGGACAAACACAATAACACTCAAGGCTCCCGGTGGGAATCCCACCCCTTTGACAATAGTCTGGTTAGGTTTTTTATTCTCTGCGCTCTCTGACAAACAATATGGCTTTCGACGGAGGATGCACTTTTGCACTTCATATCTTTACGAATTTTTAGATAAAAACGAACCATCTCTTTTTGCATATTTGTTGACCTCTAGTAAGCGTTCGATATAGTTAACTATCAAGTGTTACTAAAAAAACTAAAACTTAATGGTATTAATCTAGTGAATATCAAAACGTAGGCTATGGTGTCCCGCAAGGAACGGTTCTCGCACCCCTTTTATTTCTTTTATGTGGAAATTAAGTTAAAATTAAATTTTTAGAAAAATAGTCCGTTACTTAGATGGCACGACAATATTTTTTACTGCTGCTTCTTGGTTACTCTTAAAGACAGATTGAAAGTGACTTTATAAAAATAGTTAATTTCTTTGAACAGAATAAACTCACTGTAAAAGACCTAATTATCTAGCGTGCGGAAAGTGTCGCTTTACCACGTCAGTTTCGTTTCCCATTAATCCGAGCCACTTTTCCGGGATATTACTGCACGGGTTTGGAGGCAATCGGATGTTTTCGGAGATATTACCGCACGGCTTGAATTTTGACGTTTGTCAATTCTGACGGTCATGTCAATGGATGTATGCGTGTTATTTTGAAAAAATGTAACGGTCGTAGAAAAAGTCGAGTATGCAACACCTGTGGTAAACTGTTCACTCCTTTATTAAACGCTAGCTCCGCTCGTGCCAAATAAACTCATGCGGTTTACCGCACATGTTGCATAATATACTATTGTTTCACTTCATAGGCTTCAAGGCTATCAAATGTAGGTCCAATATCATTAAAAATATTATAATACCCGAAGCTGAATTCATTACTTATCGAATAGCAACTCGGGATCGCAATTTGAGATGGGATCTTCACATTAATGAATTAACTAAAAAAATTCTTAGCTTAATCTCGGACTTTAAACATTCAAAAGATTTTGTACGCATCAAATACTTTATATTTCAATGATTGAATCACATATTAGTTATGGAAGTGGTTGGGGAACATGGGATTGTCATATAAGTTCTTTAAAAGTAGTTCAAAAATGTTTACTAAATAGTATATTATGCAACAAGTGTTGTATACGGCCGAGTTTATTTGAGACAAGCGGAGCGCAGTGGAGCGGGTGTCTGACTTAACATCCACATCTAATTTATCGCATACAAGCAAAATATCTTCTGCTTCTGCGATTATTTTTTGTTTATTTACAATAAATTCAAAATTATAAAATAAAAAATAAAAGTAGTAAATAAGTTGTTAAGTTGTTTGATAGTCGAAAAATGGTTACAACTTATATTGGCACATGTTTTACTTTTCCTCACTTTTCTTGAATTTTATCAGCCTCACGCTTTAATAGGAAGAAACATACGAGTAGGTAGTGTGTTGTCCACAGGAAATGTCACGCGTCATTTGACTATTAAAAATTAACAATCGCCAGTTTTATTATGAGTAAAATACAATAATGGTATACCTGGTAAACCTACTGATCAAAAAGTGAGAGAAATTTTTATCCACCAGTACCATAAAGGGAAAACAATACGTGAAATTTCCAATGAATAGACTATAGCATCAACTACAGTAGCCTTATGAAGCACTACAAAGACTTCACAATTTAAATTGTATAAAACCATTGTCAGACCCATAATAACGTAATTATTTAAAAAAATATATTTTATGAACGGATGAACGTGCGTTCGCTACAGGAAAGAACTATAATAAAGAGAATACCGCAATATTATTATATAAATAATACCAAGAACATCCAAGGATCTCAGTCGATTAATTATTAGGCATGGTATTATAGTCACTGTGGCCACTGTCATGTGTGGGAGCGTAATTAAACACAGAACCCAACGTTAAAATATACGGAGTGCAAACCACGATAAACGCAAAATTAAACATCGTTTTTTTACTATATTTTTGTGGCCCACTCTAGCGGGGTTATACTAATCTTCTTCAACGAGGCGTTCTGGTCAACGCCTAATTCGTCTATGGGCGGGTGGCTGTTCATTTTTTACAACCACATAGCTATTAGATAATATATCTTTATCAAATGTGATAAAGACGAAACAATTGTCATGTAAAAATATATAATTTCGTGAAAATCTGAACTTTTAGTTCTTATTTATTTTGATAAATGGATTATCATCAAGTAAAAACCACCTCAGTTCAATAATATAGTGATCCTACTACATGCTTCTACATTTCACCTACTAACCTCTACTTTGCGCTATTTTCTTTCTAAACAGCGATTTACGTACCCTTAACTCGTTTTTGCCAGAACATTTAACATATTTTGCATATTTTGAGAAAATACTACCCTAAAAATTCTGTATCTAAAGGCATCGATGTCCACGGTCATGTTGGTTGTTGAATAACGCAAGGTCATTGGTTAAGAACTAGATTTTAAATCCTTCCTTCTGAACATTTTTTTATAGTTGCTTTATAGGTTCCTGTATTATGAGCATAGATAAGGCCTCTATATCTCTAGTAGCTATATAGTTACAACACATGTTTTGTGTTTGACATTTGTAGATCAAAAGTTAACTGGAGATAAATATTTGCATCTCTTCTAACACGATATAGTACAATTTTTATGAAAATCTCCTTAAAGGGGAGGTTTCCTTTAAAACATCCAATTTGGCCCATCCTCTACATTATAATTTTTAGGCTTAATAACGACTATTATGCCAATGTATCTGATGGAACTCTCACCTCCTGATTTGAAGGGCGCTTCGGGGGCTTTGTGCCCTTTGGGGGTTACCACGGGAGTATTGTTGGGACAGATTTTATCAACAAAAGCGATATTAGGTAAAATTATAAAAGTATTTACAATGTATGTTATGTACAAATGTCGTATTTTTTTTTAGGCAACGAAAGTTATTGGCACTATTGTCTGGCCTTTTTTGGGCTCCTTCAGATGGTGTGCGCTTTTGTAATTCCATTTCTACCCGAGAGTCCTAAGTATTTGTTTGTTATAAGAGATCAGCCCCAGTTGTCTTTAAAAGGTGAGCAAGTAATTAATAAGATTAACTAAATTATTTACTGTTTTTTTTCGCGGGGAAAGTAATTGCTTTCTAAATTGCTTTGCTTTCTTTCTGCTATAATAGTTATTTTCTCCAGTGCATTATTTCACTAATGAAAAGTGAATATTGTTGTGTTATTCCTAGAGTTGCAAAGAGTCAGAAATATTGATGAGGACATGCTAATCCAAGAGATAGAGGAACTAAAAAAAGAAAAACAGCATAACCTAGAAAAGGGAGAGGATTGGAATATCGCGAAGGTTATTCGTAGCGAATCACTTTTGCTTCCGCTATTGTTGATTTGTTCGCTACAAGCCGGGCAGCAGCTCAGTGGTGTGAACGCTGTGAGTATAAGGTTCACGCTTACAGCACCGATTACATCGTTGCCAGGTTTTAATAGATAGCATCTGTCCATTAAACTACTGAAGACTCACAAGGGAGCACAATTGCACAACTTAAGCCGCATCAAAACAGCTTGTCTTAGGACTTAGTCTCTTTCCGCTGGCTAGCGCCCGCAATCACTCTGTGTAGTCGGCTCGCCCTTGGGGCTCCAACTGCCACCCTTTAGATCCTCGAATTGCCCATATAAAGTCGCCTCGTCCTACGGACTTCCGGTTCCCCCTTTGCCCTCATTTTAAATTGCCACTCATACCCCTGAAGATACAAGTGCAGACTTATTTGAAATCTGGTTTCAAATTTATCTTTTAAAAGATATCCTGGATAACAGTTTTATTTTAGTGGAGCAGCCTGCTATGAAAAACACCAAACTCATCAAGTACAAAAAATGAAAATTAAAAATATGCAGTAAAAATTGAATACAAAATAACATAGTACATTATAGTTTATCTTAATGACCACAGTGAAACAGAATTCGCTGTTGAATATTGAATACTTATTTAGGTAATTATTAATTTTGCACAGAAACTTCTGGATTCCTTCTGTGTCGGTTGTTATTCAATCGAACTTGCTGACGTTTCGCCAATCATCCTGTTGACTACTTCAGTCTCAGTTAAGCAAGTTCGATTCAACAACAACCCACGCCGGAGGAATTCAGAAGTTTTGTAAATAAGTAATTATTATTTATTAATGTTTTCTATTAGTGCTTACGTGATGATAATATTTAATCTTTATATTTTTAAAACACCTTAAAAGTTCGTCCCTTTTTACCCTAAGATTACCCTGGACCCGGTCCCATCTTCAGTCCCAGAACTCAAGAAGACGGCTCGAATGTTCTACCCCGTACCTGACACCATTCGTTACGTTTTCAAAACGATAACATTTGTTTGGGTTTCAAATTGAACAAGTCAGTCCGCGTAAAACTTAACGGAACTTAAAATTTATTTCACCCACAAAAACAAGGACACTGATCATTTACTAATCATTTATATCCGTCTATTATTTATACTTCCGCGTTCCGACTTATCTTTTCGACCGACTGACCAGTGAGAGCGATGCTCTGCTTTTATACAACGCGGTGTCTGCTCGAGATTGGGGATAGAACACAGAAGGGTCTGGGTAATTCCGTTCGCTCATCACAATATGCTTACCAATTCTAATCTAAACTATACTCATAAATAGGACGGTATCTCTATTTTAGGTGTTTTATTACTCGACGGATATATTCAAAGGTGCAGGGCTCTCTGCTAGTAGCAGCGAATTAGCTACAATTGGTGCCGGTTGTTGTAACATATTTATGGCAATACTGTCGGTTCAAACCATGTCGTGGTTTAAGAGACGTGCGGTCCTTCAGATAAGTTTACTCAGTTCCACGTTTTTTTTAGTGCTGCTGGGGCTGTCGATATCTTACATGGTAAGTTTTGGTATTTTGGTTGGGAACAGCTTATCGATTTATTATTTTCTAAAAGGAGAAACACACCTATAAAATAATATATTTGTTTAATTTGTATTGTAAGTAGAATCTTAAAAATAACGTTAGTGATTGGGTAAGTCATAAAAAGAGGTTTGAGAGCATGGTAAATGGTGGAGGGCATCATATTTTTAAGGACGTCACTGTACCAAATATTAAAATATTTTTTTTTTATTTTGTTGTTTGTTTTTTAATATTTTATTTACCCTGGCCCAACGTTTTTTTGAAACGCACTTTAATTATTTTGTGAGGCGAATTAAAACGAAATCAGTATCAGTTTTGCGGAATTTCCAATTTGCCATAATAATATTTTTTTAGGACTATTATAGCTGGATGCCTTATTTGTGTGTAGCGGGAGTACTCGGTTACGTACTGAGTTACGGTCTGGGTCTCGGCCCTATCCCTTATTTCGTTGGTTCCGAACTATTCGAGGTTGGTCCCCGATCCTCCGCTATGGCATTGGGCAGTATGGCGAACTGGGGTGGTAACTTTTTAGTCGGCCTCACATTCCCTACTCTAAAGACTGCTATCGGAGCTACCTCGTTTTTTATATTCGCCGCGTTCGTAATTGCCTTGTTCGTATTTGTCAGGTAAGAATTTTTTCCATTTTACATAGATTTTGGTTTCCAAGATACAGGGCTTTACACCGGGAAATTCGTCGTTCTGTTATGCGAAAACTATAAATAGCAAAAATTTGAAAATTTGGAAGTAAACTAACGCGGCGGTTGTAGCAATCCGGCTAAAATATTCTCAAGATGGCAGCACATCGGAACAAATTTAATATATACCTACACCTAAATTTCACCGTTTATGAGATTTTTAATATTTTGTGTAAAAAATGACGATTGCCGACCGATCAATATTTGTAAATTTTTCCCATACGGAAACCCTAAAAAAATTTGCTCTTTACTTGCCCTCTAGAAAAAAGTTTGTCGAACAAGCTTAGTTAGTAACTTTAATTCTTAATAATACAGGATGTTGAAAAAAATAACTTAATTGGCCACCCGGTACAAGGGTTAAAGTGGTAGATAATTCCTCCGTGGCCACCCGCTATATGATTATGTTTTACTCTTATTAATATGCCTTTTCTTATTCTTAGGATATATCTTCCCGAAACAAAAGGCGTCGAGGCAGCCGCCATTTCTAAACTTGTAGAAAACGGTTTTAAATCGAAGTCTTTGAGGCCGCAGCTCGTCGATCGGGTCGAAATGAGCGGCGCAATAGAAAAATTTTCATGAAAATACGAGTTTTTAGGATCGATTCTTCTCGTTAAAGTTTTGTTTTTATTCCATGACACTGTGTTCGAAAACAAGCTAATAAACGAAACTATAATGAATTTGAGTTTAGTGCCCTCTATCGATCCGGGTTTCGCTTTTGGAAATCGCAGCGCCTTCTAGCGGTGGGTGTCTAATGTTCCAGTTGACTCCCTACTTTTTTTTTGTTAAAATTTCACTTGTACCTCTCTATATCGTTTGTTAACTTCAAAACCTCTGAAAAATATATTTTTGGAGAAATATGTCTTCATGTTTTGAGGAATATTTCTTAAAATGCAACATTCCTCTTTTTTTTATGAATATATTTGTGTCAATTCGAAGAAACAAAACAATTGCCGCAACATAAAAGGACCCCATGTTTACCAGGTTTGTTATTTTTAGAAACATGTTTTTTATATAGCCTCTCAGGTACAGCTTGGAAACTTGTATAAAACATACCCAGTATACAACGATAATTATAAATTAAAAATAATACATCACATTTAACGTACATCAACAAAAATAAACAAATAAAAATTCGCCCTAAAACCCTTAAGCTGTGCGGGATAAATGATACTCACAGTGTTATAATTTTCCAAAAGATACTTATGAAAACCTTTGTAAGCAGTAAAATCTAAAAGCAACCGCAAACCCTCTAGAACACTATGCCCAAATGCCAAATATGAATTATGCACTTTTGGCTTGTCTATTGCTAAACATGCATCTCAAACCAAATTTTATAGGACAAGACCCTGGATTTGACAGTCGTTCCAAGCGCATGGCAATACAACGGAGTGCTGTTTTGGTCCTCTGGAAACAGTTATTGTTGTTGGTGTTAATCTGCCAATTTTTCTCAGATTGTGACACCTTTAGGAAAACAATTATTAAAGAACATAACCTCATAATATAGCTGAAACCTTCCTGAAAAAATCTATTACTTACTGTGTATTACGTTTCATAATAGTTGTCGAATATTTATTAGGTGCTTTAAGATTTATGAGGCGTTTTACCCGAAGAATAAAAGTTTTATAATAAGATTTTTACAAATATTATAAATAAAGAAATTAATAAACCTGATGACAAAAGTTTTATATACAAAATATTGAAATAATTGAAACATTTTGGATGAAATATTACAAAACTTTTTGGTTAGTTTTACAAAACTTGCAACAATGTTATCTATTAAAGTATAAAGATACTTTTTATAAACCGCTTATAACTATTCGTTACCTTCGAATAAAATGTTAATTTACCAAAAATGTTAGTTGGGCCACACTTAAAACATACCTTAAAATTGCTTTAAGAATCTAATTTAAAAATTTAGAAACAAGCTATTGATAAACGAATTCTTGTGCCTGATGTTCCTAGGCAGCATCCTATATATCCTGATTGCCCAAAAGTTGACATGTTCCTCTGCCATAATACACTGAGGAAACTGTCAATATTTTAAGTTGGTTAAAAAATGAATTATATGAAGCTCTCGGATGGCGCCCCAATATTAGTTTTTGTAATTTGAAAATATCATATTTTCTCATCCATTACAATTATTTTTTTACGCCAACGGTTCCTACAACATATTACACATTCAGTTGCCTAATTATTATCAAACCTTTTAAATTTGATTTTTTCTTGTGAAAACGACTTTTTCATTTTCTTGCAGTTGTTTATTTAAATAAAAAATCCATTTATCAAAATAAATAAGAACTAAAAGTTCCGATTTTCACGAAATATTATATTTTGACATGACAGTTGTTTCCACAACACCATGTCAAATGTGACAACTAATAACGTTAATAATACTTATAATACTAATAATACTAATAAATACTAATAAATAAAATACAACAGTACTTAATATTATTATAATTGAAGCTACGACCACAAATTTAAAAACAGTTTAATTAATATTCGTTGAGAGATTAGGGGTACAAGTAAGAGAAAATATCTAGCAAATCAGTTTGTATATTTTTGTTTTAGAGGTTTGACATCGACTTTTATTTCTTCATATCAATTTCTGGTATGTCGGCGTAGTAAACACCCCTGCCGACGCTTGGTGTGGAATCCCCAATAGGTATCGATTCTCCCAAACACCGCCTCCTGGCCAATTCCGAAAAATTTCTACACTTGTATGCCATGTGTTGATCAGTATTTAAAAGGCTACTCGCAAATATCTTCCAACTCTTGCCATGACTGCAGGCCTCCACGAGCTGTAATGATAAGCGTCTTAATAATATTAATAATTATAAAAGGTCATATTGAAATATAGGGTGGATTAGCCGTATTGAGATGATGCAAACGTAATCTGAGAGATCTTTTTACCTACAATCGAATAGCGTACTGAGTTTTTTTGAATATTTGTTAAAATGTTAAAATATTAAAAGAAAATATTTAGAGAGTTTTTGAAAAGTATGTAAAAAGCTCAATTTAATTTCGAAGAAAATAAGCAGGGTATTCCATTAAAAAAACGCTACTTTAGTTTATATCTTTTACAATAGAACCGAGTACGTTATTGGATTCTACAGGGTGTTTGAAATACAATTTTATGTTGTACCCTGTGTCTCAAAAACAAAGGCAGCTAATACTTTTTTTGTAAACATCAACTTTTGTTTCAAGAAAATCGAACACAGTATTGGAAAAACTACATCGCTCTATTTCTCCCTCTCTCGAGATTTTTTAATTTTTACTTTTTCATATATATAGGGTATTCCATTAATCTGAAATAAATAGGACCTTTTAAATTGAACACTCTGTATAATATTTCATTTCTGTATTCCCCGGAATAATCTAGTTATATTTCATTAATAATGTCTTATACCTTTTGGACAAATTTTGAATTTTATCTCAAAAATAGCTTTTGTAGGCCCTACAATAATTAACAACGTTTTCTATAAGGGAGCCTTAATTATTTAATTTTTTATGGATTCTTTGTGAAAGGGATTAATGTAAGGGTGAGCAAACATGAAATACAAAAATTAAATTATAAAAAACTTAAAAATAAAAAAGAATTGAATCCTCCATTTTTGAATTTATAGTTTCCGAAATTATTGTCAATTTAACATTTTACAGCTAGCTTTATTTAAAATAAGAGAGCTGGTATTTATCCCAGATGAACCCTGTATTTACAAAAAAGTAAAAAATAGAAAATCTAAATGAAATTTTGAAACTTTTTTCTATCGTTCCTTGTTTCTAAGTTAAGGGCGTTGGAAAGCTAATTTCGGACACCTTGTACACACACACTCCTTTTAAACTCATCACTGGGGTGGAAGTCTAGGTTCGTTTAATCTACGTTTAAACTTTCCACCGTCCGATTCTTACTTCCAAGATGGTGCATCCCGGTTGTGGTGGTGTCCCTCCGTTAGGGTAAAAATCAACATGCCCTAGTGGTTCCTTGTAACCGAGAAATCCAGCACAAGTGTGGATAATGTCTACGAACTGGGCGTCCTCAGCTGATATCGTTCCACCTTCTACAAGTCCAACCGAAAATCCTGGCAATGCAGGATCTAAACCTGGAATAAAGATCATAAAACGCCAAGATTGAAGACTTTCCTCATTGCATAAAAATATAGTAATGTTATACCAAGGCTACTCAATGATAGATGAAAACATTGACACGGATTGATAGAATGTAGAATGAAGATATCAAAACGCACAGTTTCGAATGAACTAGACGGAATTGAAGATAAAAAAATTAAGCTCTCTTCAAAATAAACGGACCATATTCACCTATTTGCCGATTAACGTTAAAAGAAATCGGAAATCGTCAACTGAATACAAATATTTATGTATAATTTGTCGCAAAAAGTATTTGATTTTGTATTTAAATACTCATGAAAACGTATTTTTAACAACTCCGCTCTTTACCTGTTACCCTTCCTATGCGACCTTTGGCAGCACGAGCTGCGAATCCGGACACATGGGCACCCAAACTATGGCCGACCATGTGAATATCACCAGGATCGACACCTAGATTGTCTGTGAGGTAATTTAGATATTTCGCGATGTGGTTTCCAACTTCCCAGGTCGCCATCATGGGGATTGGGTAAAAAATGTTTTTAGATATACGCGCTGGAAAAAAAATCCATGGTATTGCAATGATAATTAACACGGGCTTACTTGAAGCGAAGATAACATATAAGACAATTCACGAATTCATACAGTTTTAATTACACTCAATAATTATTTAATTTCTCCAAAACCGCTAACGGATGTCAACGCTGCGCAGTGAGGCCAAACATCAAAACTTTAAATAATGAAATACACTTCCAAGTTCCAAATGTTACTTGTGCTTCTTCAGTCTAATAAATGAGATTTACATAAATTTAGCAATGAAGGTATATGTAAAGACGTCAACTCAGACTAAAATTGAAATTGGAAGGATCCGATTCATTTAATCCGTTTAATTTAACCCAGATCTAAAACGCTAAGTAAAACATGTTGTAACTTTGATATATAAAAATCATAACAAAGCCAAGCAGGGAAACCTACACTGCAAATTGAAAACGTCATTTTTGCAATCAAGGGTAGAGGACTCTTTTCGGCTTTGATAATTTCTCCAAAAGATCAAGTTGTTTGGGCACTGTTTGGACACTCATGTAAAATATGGACATTTTTATTTGGACCAAAATTATGGCCCGTGGATCAAAAATAATTAGCGAAACCACATTTGGTTTCTGTCACACAGTTTTTCACCAAACTAAGATATTCGTGAACCCTGATGGAGATCTTCTCCTGTCTATATCATACTCTTCACAGTTCAAGGAGTATACTTCTGAGGTAGAAAATTAATCCACCGGTTCCTTAACTTTTATTGGAAATTGAATAAATTCCTACTTTTGAACAACTTAGCAACGATAATGTAATGATATATTATAGAAGAACATCAAGCACTATAGTCCACATTGCGTAGGTTTTGAATTTGTAATATGATATGACAACCGCGTTCACGTTATAAACATAATGACTTACACCAGTCGACAACAAAAATATTTGCATCATATTTATTTAAGAAACCATTTGTCAAATTTATGGCCATATCCTTTGTTGCGTCGGACATCCAACCGTGGGTGATAAATCTGACGGGCTTATTTCTCATCAAGAACCAGTTCAGAGTCTCAAATCCTGTTAACGCTATTCCTTTTGAAAAGGCTCTGAAAATAAAATACACTCATGCAAGAGAACACGCATTTTTAAAATAATGGATGATTAAGTTTCGGTTATGTGTAGACTACAATATAGAGATAGGGTCTGACAATAAAGTAATGAGGTAAAATTTGTGACATTTGCCTGTCTTTTCGACCATTACTAATAAGTATAATACTAAGCCTTACAACCGGAATTTCTAGATTTGAATTCCATTAGATCTAGTTTCAAATATTTTTGAATTCAAACTGTGCTGCACTCTGTAGAGGATTGGAGAAACTATATCTCAATTCATTGTTTAGCCAGTTAGAATACTGTATTTCTGAAATGTTGATATCGCGGGACGGAGGGTGCAGAACAGGCGTATAGCTTCTACTTAAGATAATAAAATTTCTTGAGCACGAGTTATTATAGTCTTAATTAATTTATGACTGTTTTCAGATAAGACAATAATCCTCACAGGAAAAAAAACTGTAAATACAAAATAATAATGAATGAACAAATATATTCATATGTTCTATTTTTGAGTTATTTTCTTGATATGTTGCTGCTAGATAAATAGCATAGTTATGATATTTTCTTTTTGGAAATATTTTGGTCTTTCAATTTCTGTGTTTTTTATTTTTCTCCTTCTGTTATTGTTGCGAGCCGCCATAGTTTTGCACACGTTACGCATGATATTAGAATTAAGTTTGTTTGTAGTTTAAGTCTTAAACTGACAGCTTCTCGTTTCCTTATTGCAGAAGTTGCCGCTGAATATGTATGCATTGTTAGTAACAGGAATCGCATAAATCAAACTTGGGTAAATTTTGTTTGTTATCAAATGAACGCATTCTGTCAATTATGAGTTTTGTGCTTGATATGATTCTGATTTAAGACTCTAAGAAACAAATTAGTCTCTGACAAACTGGTAAATATCAAAATACCATTAGTGTTTTAAATTTTAAAGAAGATTGCCAGAAGCTTCTTACCTCGAATAGTAAGTCAACGTGACATATCGCGTTAGATCGTAATCTTCAAACCCTAGCATTCCCAACCTTGCTCCGGTTAAATTCGTAAAATTTAAATACACTTTCATCGGAATATCGTCATCATCCGGAAAGTAAATAAATGTAGTTCCGTATCCAGGATATTTTTTTGCTAACTCTTCTCTGCTGTAGTGTGATCCCCATACCAAATAACCTAGAACTTAAGGACAGATGTATAGATAATATTTAGTGCTAAATTAGACAGGGTGCATCAAAACAAACGCGTAAAACTTAAAGGTATGGTTCTTTGTTTAAAAGGAAGAGTAGTTTTTTATATAAATGTTTAGTCAAAATTTTAAGAAAAACTTACGCATTGACATGAAAAAAAAATTAATTTTGATTGACCGGGTTACTAGAAAATTTTTCGCTTCTAAAAATTTTTCAAGACACTTTTCCTAGTAAAAGAATGAAATGTAAAGCGTTGCTTGTCATAACAAAAATTATTTTAAAAAAATAATTTAGTTGAGTACTATCAAACAGTTTATCAATCATCTTTTAAACAATAACATTTTAAAAATAATTTATTAATAAATACTTCTGAAACTAATTTTTTTATTTAAACAATGAAATTCAAATAAAAACAAAAGAAATAAGCAAGACCCCTAAGGAAAAAAAAATATAGTTAAATGTTGAAAATGCCTGCCTTGCCTTGCAACACATGCATTTACATACATACGTACATGCTTACGCTTCACTGAGTCCTTAATACGCTGCAATAAATCTGGATAATTTCTTATAACATCACATGACACAATTATACGATTACTTAGGTCTTCGATATCCTGTATTGGTGAAGTTTAGGCTAATTCTTTTAGATATACAATAATCCAAGAAATTTAAATCTTTCGATCAATGCGATCAATGATAGAGCGCATCTCTTCCAGTAAAGCAGTTTTCATATGTACGACGTAAAAACATACACTAGGGCATCTTAATGCATGTAATATATGTAACAGACGTACATTTTTTAGCAGGAGACGTAATTGTTATTGTAGATAATATGGTTCGATACCGAATATTGATTTGATATTGACATTCTGATATTGAATGAGGATTGTCTTCAGGCTGTAGTGAAAGCTTTGAATTGCATTCCTGGACAAAGGATATTCGGCGTTCATTCGGTGAAAACATTGGGAAAAAATATAACTTGTTGTTCTTTTAATATCCTCCATATAATGAAGGTATTTTTTTCGCAACTTCCATATTCATTTAACCTTTGATAAACTCTGGTTAAGCAAGCGGTTTATAAAGATGGCAAAGCTCCAATCATAACTCATATCATGCCGTTTCTTCATTAATGCAATTCAATGATCTTAAATTATTGATTAAAGTGACAGCCGCCCACTATTTTTTTTATCATAAAAAACTCATTATGCATTATGCATGCTTTAGATTTTTTATCATATAACTATTTTATACTAAAGTGGCCCTACTAGAATAAAAATTGATGCGGTGCGGCGGTATTCATATTTTCCTTTTGACATAAAAGGCTATCAACAATTGTTTAATTTAAATGTTTAATAGACCCGCAAATGTCACTTTTGATGTAAAATTTAAAATATGTCTGAAACAGTAAGAATTACGAATAGCATATTTGAAATATGTCTAGAAAGATTCAAGGAATTCAAAAATGCTTTAATATGCAGGGTGTTCTACTAAAAATAAGAAGGTTGTTACTTGTCCACGAACACGTACATATGTATGTATATGTACCAATATAATATTGTGAATATATATGAGTGAATCCAAACAACTTTTGTCTTTAAGATTTTTTGATATTTTCTATAGGTTTTGAGATAAAGTGTCATCGTATAAAATGCGGGACACCCTGTACATAAAGAAAAAAATGCAAATTATTTTTTTTTTAATAAAACTAGTCACGAAAGAATTAAAAAGACAAAATTGCTTGATCTAAAAACAAAATAAATCTTCAAAACATCAGTGGCGTATCCTTTTATATATATTATATAATATAAATATAAATAATATATAATATTAGTTTCCATATAACGACAAATAACTCTGGCTCGTTTTGATCAACATCAGCAAAAAGTGTTTGAGTAATTTATAGAAAATCGATAGTTTCTATAAAATTTGACACCCTGTGACGAATGTTAGGAAACAAGTTTATATGAAAAAACAAAGTAATTTTTTAATTTTTTTTAGCAAATTTGGAAATTAAATAAGGATAAAAAGTCATTAATACTAAACGATTGACTTACTTGGAAGAAAAAGGAATAACAAAATTTTATCCATAGTTCTTGCGATAGATATACCAAATTTTGTACGATGTTTTAGGATATACCTGCACAAGGCACTGCTTATATATGCAATGGTTATAGGACTGATAACTTTTGAGGAAAATGTTAATACGTTTCCGATTAAAATAATTATAATTACAAAGAAATAAATATTCACAAATTCAAATATAATTCGGTATTTAATCTAAATGTGTAACAAATTCCGAATGTTTAAAAATTCATTCGGAGTCGACATAACAGCACTCTCATTGACACCAATAATGAATACATCTTTCCATTTGGATACCTTTATAACCAAATAAGCAAGCGAAACTTAAAATGATACATTTTGAGAGCCCCCTCATCTCAGTTCAGAAATATATAGTTGTGTATTAGTATTTCTAAAAATAATGCTGCATTTTTTTTTAATATTACAAAAAGAACTGCTGCATTTGAAAGGATTGCTTACTTGTGACGTTATATAGGTTTTTCCGAGACTGAAAAATTAAATATGAACAGTTAGCCATCACATATTATCTAAAAATTATCGTTAAAATAAAAATAGTAATAAAAAAATACGGTTTTGGTCGTAAATGAAACGTTTATCCAGTTTATGTCTGTTAGCCAGCTACTTGTCCCTGGAACGTCAAATAAGGTGTGACTTTGTAACAATGTGAGTTTATACAAGACAGTTAGGTGCAAGACGTTACAAGGATTAAGAGAGAGAAGTGCTGGAACAGGCCTCGGGTGAAATTAGAAAAGAAAAGTTATCCAATAACCAGACTGCAAATTGGTCGGTATAAAGCTACCTTCTCCTCTAATTCATTTTAAGTATGTTCCTGTATTACATTATCGAAAAAAGATTCATCGAACTCCCCTTGCAAATGAAATCATCATTTCTTTGTTATCTATTGTTTTTCTTAGTTTTCTGTATACCCGATCTTTCTTCTATTTCAAAATACTCCACAGTTATGCTTTTCCCGGGTTCTACGTTTACTTTATTTTACCGGACAATCCTGTTTTTCCAGAAAATTAGGGACACTGCCATTAAAATCGTTGTCCGCACCCATAGGTTCTGAGGAAGTAATAAACATTTCCCTTACTGTTTACAAAACTTCTGGATTCCTACTGCGTGGATTGTTGTTGGGCTGAACTTGCTAATGTTACGCCAATCAGCCTGTTGACTTCTTCAGAGCTTAACTGAAACTGGCTCGCATTTTATTCTTTACCTGCTTATATATTGTTTGAGGGGGCGGGGCTTGAATAAAATTGAAACATAAAATTTTATTCGATAAAACTAAAATTCTTGCATGTAATTAATTCTTCTACCAACGAAAAATTCGAGAATGTATAGATATCTATAAGCAATCGAACAATCTCAACCGCGACTCAGGTCTTTACCTGTCACCAATACGGGAATCCGTTATCCGAAACGAGGTTTACACCCCTCATTTAGCTCCGCCACCCTCAAACAATATATAAGCAGGTACGGAGTAAAATGCGAGCTAGTTTGAGTTGACCTTTGAAGAAGTCAACATGATGATCGGCGAACCGTTAGCAAGTTCAACTCAACAACAACAAACGCAGGATTATAGTATTACAATAGGTGGAAGTTTCTTTGAAAAATTAACATCTCCCTTCTTAATAGCCATATTCCAATAGCCCGGAATCCGCTCACAAGGTTTTTTGTAAACCAACTTTTCTGGAGGATATGCTAAAATCTGCTAAGATAGCCCTCGACTTTTTTCTTTAATTGAGCGAAATACGCTGCATTTAATGGATGAGCTATATGTGTGGTATGTGTGTGTAGCAAATCTAATGTAATTGGTCACAGCGAGCTTTATCAACTTCTCAGAGAAATTTCTTATCGAATTATCCCCAATTCGCAATTTAGAGTTCCACGTAAGGTAGAAAAATACTTTGGAACCAGTCGACGTAAGTCAAACTCACAGTCAAACCAATCATGAGAAGTGCGGTTGCGTCAGCATTTATCTGGACCGCCTCCTGTCCAAGAGCTCCTTCATATTTTCTGCTTTGTGTGCGACATAGAAAGAAATAATTTTTCTTTTGCGTTTCCGCGCAACGTTAGTTAGTTGATATTTGATTTTGAATGAGGGATAACCCTTTCTAGGTACTTCACGCCTCTTTTAAAGAAACACTTTGTTGAACCAAGCTCGTCGTTTAAGTTAGTTTCGCAGAAATAAAAATTCTGTTTCAAATGCATAAAGTAGCCCGATTGGGATTGATATTTTGGGCTTTTCTAAAACATTGTGTCTTTCGAAGAAACTTCTTACTTTTGTTGTTTTTAAATCTTGTAGATTTCCCATTCTGTTAAAATGTCAATGCAATTGACAGTCAGTCGTTATTAAAAGTAACACTTTCTTCATCTAAAGTTACAACAGAGGGCCGTCCAACTCTACTAGTGTGTTTGGTTCGGTTCTTTTTACTTAAGATCCCTTTGGCAATTTTATATTTCTTTGCAGTGTGATTATTGAATAACTTTTTCTAATTTCACCCGAAGCCTGTTCCTGCACTTCTTTGGAGTAATCTTTGTAACATTTTGCACCTCACTGTATATCAACTTAACTATTAACTAACATATTACGGCAGAAATCACACCTTATTTGACGTTAAAAATATTATTCAAAGTGTGTTGTGTGTGTTGTCCAAAATTGTAATTTATTAATTATTATTTATATTTATTTTAAAGAGTTTTTAGAAAATATATGATAGCTTATTGTTTCTATACCATTACGGAATGCACTGAGATATCGCGTGAAGTTTTAATGCTGGTGTTAATAAAAGTTTTTTGATAATTTTTTACAGCTAATAATTACATCACCAAATTCTTTTTTTTTAACTGAATGTGGATTTCAATACATGGGCTAATCGGTTAGTACATGTTAACGGTTAGCACATGTTCACGTTTCACGGTACGGCACGAACTGTTTTTTTTTCATAGTAATTTATGGAAAAATATCAATGTAAATTACAATTGTTTTAGGATTGATGGCAAATGCTATTTGAGGATTTTCTTCAATTATGTTTAGCCCTCCCTCACAATCATAATTTCCCAAAGGCCTTCCTTGCCTGAAAAAATTTTAAGAAATCTATTCAACATACCTATGCCAAAGCGGGCACTCAACATGGCCGCTGACAGATCGTCAGTAAGTGTGTCCAGATCCCAATAAACCTGCACGCAAAAAGGAGTTAAGTTTGTGGATATCGCTGTTTAGAAAGAAAATGGCCCCAACTGCAAGTTAGTTTGTGAAATATAGAGACATGCGCAGAAATCCATTCCCTTTTCTACGAAAATGTTTAATGACGATATGAACTAAATCATCTCCGATGTGGGTGTCCTCTTTGTGGAAACACGACCTGAATACTGAATATCTGCTAATTTTCTGTTCGGAAAACGCTATATACTTAAAAAAAACAAATTAATAAAATTAGAGCTAATGTGAACAATGTGAGAACAGACAACTATCTTATCAGTTCTGTTTCAAGTCCTACTTTTCAATTTTTGATGGATATTCTTGACGTCCATTTTCATTCATATCCTGGCGATATCAATCAAGGGTACTTTTTTCTTATAACAGAACACAACTTTTCTGATTTTATAAGAAGAAAATCTAAAAGTCAATCCACAAAAAAGTTATGTCATTTTGTGGTACGTGTGTCCCACTGACCAAAATTTGACATTTATAATTTTATATATACACGCTGTATATTCAGTCAAAACTAGAATTAGCTATAAATATTTGTTGAAGTTTTTACTAGTCTAATCTAGAGTTAACTATAAAGAATGGTTAAAATTAATTTTTGACTTTAAAAATCGGGTTTTTACTGTTACATAGCCATACCGAATGAGGAACCGTATTACAAGTACGTTAAGAAAAAGCGCGCTTGGAAACTATAGTGCAACGCGCAAAGGAAATCTGGCAACCCCATGATGCGAAAACAAAGAATAGTGGAGGTCGCGAAATATTGATTTGGCTTCAATCGACCACCCAGTAGACGCGACCCAAACAAAAACACACAACAGCTGAAGGCGGCCGTTAGTACAAGCGATTCGTTTTACTCCTGACATTGGTATTCCGTGAACGTTTTCATTTCCAGGTGTTTAAGTGGTATTCTGTGCACGCGCCAATCAAATTTGAATCTTTTAATACCGCGGAGGGTTTAAAGATTTGGTTAAACCGTTGCTAAAAAGTGCGATGCCAGATCTTTGTTTGTATTGAGTTATTCCGTGTGAGTGCAAACTGCCGTACTGTGTCGTAATCAGGGAATGATCCGCCGATAAAAAGGCACATATATGTTTTGCTGCCCTGTCTTGTAAGTATAAAAATATTGTTTGTTATTAAACTTGTAGCTCAGATTTGCAGTTCTTGACAGATGTAAGTTTGGTTATCGTTTTATTCGAGTCTAGTATTTTTGAATGTTTGTAGAGCAGAGCATTTCTAAACTAAGTAACCATATGTATACAGGATAGCTCACTACTTCTAAATACACACAAAATTTTAAATTCAAAAACTGCTGTTATGCAGGGTTTCTCATAAGTATATAGCACCCAACTTTGTAATTTTAAATGATTGAACACCTGTAAATTATTTAATTTTTGGATTTGTGTACATATTTCATGGTAGGTTTGCTTACACTTAATCACAGTAGAAACTATGCTCTGTTTCTTAATTAATTATTGGAAATCATTAGTGGCCAATGATGATTGTCAAGGATGCCGAGAGTGGCAGATACACAAACAGGTAGTTGACATACCTGTACCTTAGTGGTTAAAATTAGAACTAGAGTTAATTAAATTAGATTAGTAAAACTGTGCTTTTTAAAAATGAGGAAATTATTATTCTCAGTGTGTTTCAAGCTCTTCGACACTGGAATAAAAGCACTTTCGGGAAAAGGCAGAAGGATAATCATTACTTACATTTTTAGCAAAACTGGATTTGTCGGAGATGGTTTAGTAGAATTTCAATCAAAACGAACTACACTACACATTACACTATTATGAAGGCATGAATGCTGATTTTTTTGAACATTACTTCCTACAAATGGCAGATATTATTCCTCCTCAACGTGCTATGATACTAATCCGAATAAAAAACTACGTCTTCTTGAGGAAAAATGACATCATTGAATGGCTTACTTTAAATAAAATTTCAAAAATTTATAAACATCTTTGTCAAAATTCAACGGGTACTGCGCCTTCCGTCGTGTCACTATGAATTAAACCCCATAGATTTGGTATGGGTGAAAGCAAATTATTATTATTATTATTGTATTACTTATTCTAATAATAAAACTCGTCTTTGTGTTGTAAATTTGTGTGACGCTAATTTGGGGATTTGAGGCGTGTAGATCCTAAAATCTGAAATACATTCCTTTATATCTCCTCAATAGATAATTTTATAGAAAATACTTAATTACAAAACTTGTTTGTATCGATGTTCTGCATGCAATAAAGTATAGCACCCAACTTCCTTATTGCAACACTCGGAATATAATTTCGTTTATGGATCTTTCCTTTTTTCTTCCTAGGAGTTATTTTAATAAATATTTAGCAAATTGGTAAAATTCTATGTGAAAATATTAAAATTATGTTAAAATGTGCCCAAGCGCGAACAACAGATGGTTGCCTGAATGGACTTTTGTGGTCTCAAGACACACTGACACACTCATCTCTCTTCTTTTGGAACCCAGAAATGGAAATTAACGGAGAATAACAAGAGAAGCAGTGGAAATGGACATGTTCAGAAAATCCTTAGGTATCCTTTGGAATATCTCTTCTAAACAGGATCGCAAATGAAGAAGTAAAACGGGAGTAAAAGGATCACTGACAACAGAAATCGAATGAAAGTGGCTAATATGACATGGACACGTCCAGAAAAATGTAACATACAGGACTTCCAAAAAGAACAAAGAAATGGATACCACCATGTCGAAACAGAAAGGAAGGCCCGAGATGACTTGCAAGGAAAGGAAATTAGGCATCGGATGACGTTGAAAGACGTTTTAAAATCGATTTATCTATATATAAAATGTGTTAATTATTTATTCCCGACATAAATAAAATTTAATAAAAACAAAATTGGCAGTATCACACACAAGGAAATAACGGAGCTGTCACCATCGCCCGGAGCTGCGTTGCTAACTGCAAAAAGAGAGTAAAATGGTCAAACAATTTGAAGCAAGCAAATTTCTACTTACTAGTCCACCAAGTGTCCATGATTCACAATATAAAAAGAAATTTCTGCAAACTTACCGATCTACGGGGTATTATGCACAATCACTACTATTTTAGGGAAACTGCAAATTAACTACGTTGTTTCAACAGATCTGCAAAAGTTTGATGCTTTAGTCTTATTTATTTTGTGGGCTTTTCTTAAAGATGCTGATTTTTTCATAAATTTATTTTTAAGCTTTTAAAATTTCAAAACTACTAGAATTAAGTAAAAACTTGACACCTGAAGCAATCTACCATAAAATTTTCATCGAAATCCAAAAATGAAATAATATGCCGGTAGTTCCATTTAAAATATGATAAGTTAAATGCTACCAGCATAGTTAAAGTTAAAGTTCTTGGATAAAATAAACTATTATGGATATGTAAACGAATCCCGGAATAGTGAGCCACGGAAATTTAGGAAAAATGTTAAGTAGGAAAGAGTTTTTTTTGAAGTTTCAAGCTTTTTTATAAGTCATCAAATATAAAGGCGATACTGGTGGGAATACCTTAAAACGGCAAGACTTTGGAAAAGACCTAGCCCCATAAAATGAGGATTTTTAGCCGGAAAATATATAAAATAACTATTATCTCCAAAACTGCAAGATATAGGGAAGTATATTACAAAAATGGACGATGTACAGCTCGTCTCATTTATAAAATCAAAGTCGTCGCTACAAGCGGCAACGCCGGACCACTAAAATACTTTAGGTCGATAGACAAATCGTTCCCTTTTCAAAAAACGTCCTAACGTTCCGTCGACCGCGAGACACCCTGTATACGTCGTCGTATTTCCCACAGCATTCCGTAAACCGAGTCATGTCTGCACAGGCACGCAAAGTTCTTTGTCGACCGTGTACATCATTCATTGTTCTCGAGTTCATCATTCTTCTTCACAAAGGAACATTTTCTCGTATATAGGTACTGCTCGACTCGTGCATTGACATCCGCGTTATAATGCCCCAACCCGACGACCAAATTGCGGAGCCGTTGTCTTTTTCTCGCAAACACTGCGGCCACGTTGTCAGAATTATCCGTAAGATCGTCCGTCTCGCGTTACCCAATACAGTTCGTACAAATACAGGGTGTATCAAAATTCAAACATTTTAAGGGTATATTTGTCGGAAAAAGTATGTATTAATGTAAAATGCGTTTTATTTAAACGTGTGTCCTAACTTGCCTCATTTTTGAGAAACAGGATGTCAAAGTTTGTTGTTGTTTGTCCAGTTAAACTAAACTAAATGTTTTTTTAATGTACATTTACGGACTGTAAATTTTTTTCCTTCAGAAACATGCAAATAAATTGACATTTTGTAAAATTAAATGCATAAACTCAACATTAACTGACGTTATTAACTAGTCACCAAATGACGATAATGACGTTATATATGACGTCAATTTGACCTACTAATGTCTCAGACGAATGATGTCATTTAAGTGACGTCTTTTTTACGTCAATTAGTGTCGTCAATTTTTGTCATTTAAGTGGCGTCTTTTGTACGTCAACTTGACTAGTCAATTTTGGTCATTTAAGTGACATTTTGTTTAAGTCAACTTAAAAGTCAGAAAAAATATAACGATTTTTAAATTGGTTTTTGGCATGGTGAAAAGTAAATCATACAGAAGATAGCGTTTTAATGATATTAATTAATTACAAAAAAAATATAACAGAAGCTAGAGTCTTCCATTTTATGTTTTCACGAAAATTAATATTTTCTATTTTGACTCACCCTGCATAAACTAACTTCAAGACAGGTATAGGATAAATGACTGACCACCTTATAAAATTGTTGGCATCATAAAATTGCAGCTGTCGGAAATGGCGTCAAAAATATAGGATATTAAGCACAGGGCATTTTTGACGACAAAATGGCCATAAATCCGAAAACACTCAGTATATACCATAACAACCATACATTGGGTAATTGCCATGGTATACAGGGTGTTCATTTAAAATATATAACTTTGATTCCCCTCATATTTATGAATCATCCTGTATATTTGATAATAATTTTAAATTGTTTTTTTATGTCTCATCTATACCTTTTGTATTTAATATTTAATTAATAAAGTCATTGCATAACGACATTCAGAGGTCATTTTTGTGATTTTTAGAACATGTTAAGTAGCATAAATTAACAATATAACAAACAAAAATACCATTATTTAAAAATGAAAAAAATTCTAAAGCACATAATGCAAATTTTGCACATTTTTATAGTTCTTTGAATACCATTTCCCCGATCTTGAAAGGAATAAACCGTTAGCATCGATTTGGTGCAAATACCATTGTCAAAATAATGTTGCCAAATATTATACTATATTAAAACGGTCGTTGTTACTTTATGTTACAAAACTGTTGTTACAAATTTGTTGCTATAAAAAAACTCAATAAGTATATATGCATGGTGTCAAATTATTGCTTATTAATATGTTTAACTTTCAATTGTTTATTATTGTTATTCGTGGCCCACTATTAAATTATGCATTTAATGACAGAAAATTGTTATTTATTTGTGTGCTCCTGAGAAAAAGTTAAAAAAAAAGACAAATTTCAAAGTTTGTAAATGTACAGAGCATCCCTTTAAAAAATATATAACAAAAACAAAAATTATCTACACCACTGCAAGACAAAATTCCATAAGATTGTTATTTTACTTTTTCGATAAGTTTGACGGAGATACGAGGGCTGTTCCGAAACAAAAATGCTCTGTAATTTAAAAACTAAAATGGCTACGAAATTGTTATTAACTACATTTTTAATTTAACGGAAAAGTAACGCACTGTTGCGGAAATCGCAACTTCCTCTCGATAAAAATAACGAACATATTCCGCAAAAGTACCCAAAATGAGACTACCAGATTTATTTAATTAAAACACGGGTTACATGCAAGCCAAGCATGCCAAACTTTTGTCAAGATCGTCCAAAAGTTTTTGAAGTAATTAATAAAAAATCACTTTCTCCAAAAACTTTGACACCCTGACAAAATAATTCTACTCAAAATTAAAAACCTCTTGTATTTTTTCTTCCCTTGCAGCCTTTTGTGAGACCTTACAAATTGTTCTTCCTTAATGTATTTTAGTTATTGATTCTAAAAACCATTTAACATAATAATAAATATAAATACTTTTCTCGAATCTTACCGGCTCGTTGAAAAACCGGCAACACAGCTGGAAAGATGAATGGTGGCGTGGCGAAAGTGAACCTGATTGGTCCACAAATTCTCCACTATTAAAATTTAACTTGAAATTCAAATATCCAACAGCCAAATAGCTTATAATAGCAGGTATGTGTAAATGTAAATGGTTATGAAATTATTGCTAAATATATATAAAAAAATGATCGCCACTGAGTATTTTATTTTATGAATGTCATGTCTACAGTTACACGTTCAATCTATAGAACGCAAATGACGAAGAATCGCGTGCTGCGACATTTTTAGCAAAGAGAAAGCACTTTTTATTGCATGGAAAAATATATCGTCCAACTCTGTATACTTCGACGTAAGCAAGGAGTGGGAAAATTGGACTTTGCTTACGTTTTAATGGTATTCAAATCTAACGACAATCGGCGAGAATCGACGACGCCTGTAAAGAATTTATAGTCAACGTTGCCATTTCAACTTGGCAATTGTCCCTTTTAAAAATAATTAATTGGAAACTTATGCCGATGAAAAATTACTTTTTCCTGAGATGTACAGAATGAAATGTTTTTTTTAATATATTATAAACGATTATAAACGAATGCAATAGGTTTTTCTCTGAAATATTCAAGGATCAAGTGTGCAAACTTTAAGTTTAGGCGACAATTCCTATATCACACGGCCATGAAACGCTAAGGTATGAGTCATCACATTAAGGCAGAGATATATCTGGTTGCATGGTCTTCATAATATCAAATACAGGTGTCTAGAAATTTATATGAGGTGGTGCATAGATATTTTTTAAAAAATATTTTATTTTTTTACCGAATCATGTGAAGAACATATTTTTGTATATATTTTTGATATCAAAATATTTTTTTTAGAATTAAGTAATGCAAAATCCAATTTTAAGAAGCACTCGAAGAGGCATTACTAGAGACATATTTTTTAATATTATTCTTTAGCAGCTTAAAGCTTAATTAAATAATCCACTTTGTACCGTGAACTGCACTGTAGTACTGCACCTGCAGTAAAGATTATATTATTAGCACTAACTTATGTGTTGCTACTTCCCCTGTCGATTTAACAGTGCAGGTGCCCGAATGCTACAAAATGGATATAAGATTACTACATTTTTAACTTGCTAGCAAATCTTGCACTACTTGGACTCTAAACGTCTCTACAATTAACGAAAACTATTTCACCTTTACATTTATTCTTGGAACAAACGAATTTTCTATTTTTATTGCTTGAATCTATTTTTTCCCAAAGCTTGCAGGAATGAAAAAATTGCCACTTTTGGTCCATTCAAATAAATTTTGCATGTCGGAACACAGTATGTGTTTACTATAATTATATCAAAAGAGAACGAAACGCAAGGCCTCATAATTATGAAATACACAAGTCAAAGACTGGTAACGACAGTAATGACGACAACCCAAAACTATTCACGTTTTTTCGCGAATACTGTGTTGTTGTTTTTTCAGTCTCAAATACCTCAATCACAACGTATAATCGAAGATTCGAACATATAATCCTATAACATTGGCCGAATGATCTTGGCAGTCTTGGCTAAAAAAAAAGGAGTGGAATGGAGTAAAAAAAATGATGTTAGATGTTATTAATGGTAGTACAAAAATATAGACCGCAATATGTTGATAAACTTTTTCATTTTGTTATCTTGTACATATGGTGTTTCGATGAAACTTTAAATATTGAACAACAGTGTCCTTGAAGGACTGTAAACCGATAAAACTTAGAAATTATTAGGTATGAATGGAATGGGAAAGAGGTTATGCAAAATTTGGAAAAATCCAGTTTTTTTTTCATTTCTGTGTCAACTTTTAAGCCTGTGACTTTGGTGAAATTTTGTTTCGAAAAAACCTTTAAAAAATCCTTTAAGGGAGCCTAAATTATTTAATTTTGGATGGATTCCTTATAAAAGGGGGATTATTATCATATATCGAGTAGATATTTTGGATGTAAATTAATACAGGATGAACAAAAATGAAGTACTAAAATTTATTTATAAAAAACATAAAAAGTCAATTTTTTCATTTTCCGCTCTATTCCGCAAATTTATTAATTTCGAAATAAATCACATTGACAAACGAAAATTGTCCATAGTTATAATAAAAAAAAAGTGAGAAATCAATTAATTATTCTTTAGATTATATTTACATTTAGAAACAACAGTTAGTCAAAGTCAATATCATAGACTCACCAATGCGATTAAAGTCTCAACCCATTTGTTAAGTTAGTGATCTGACCATATTGGTTCTGCTATTAAAACTATATTACCTAATAGCTATGTGAGTACAACTAATGACGCAGTAAGCACAACTTTTTGACTTTCAAGTCGTTACTATAGTTTAATACATCTAGCTATTAGATAATATAGTAGCCCTACTACGGTAACAATTGATGCGCCGCAGAAGGGAATAATTTTTACACACTAATCTCTACTCTGCAACATTTTCATTCTAAACCTCGATCTCCACACACTTAACTCTATTTACCAAAACATTTAACGAGATCTCGGCATATTTTGAGAAAATGCTTCCGTAAAAATGCCTAAACTAACCAAACTTATTGACGATCTGTCAGCGGCCATGTTGGTGTTAAATGCCAAGGTCATTGATTAAAAACGAGATTTTAAATTTCGTTCATAGTTACTGCATAAGTTCCTCTGTTATTGGAATAGACAATATTGGCAACGTGTGACAACGTCGCAATCGCGATACCCAACAAACGCCGTCGTCAACTTTAGAACAGCTGATGGCTGTCTGGCCGTGTTGGTAGGCAATAATACAGCATCGGGTTTAACTTCAAGTTAAGTATTTTTACGGAAAAACTCGCTATTCTGACTTAAATCGTTCTTAAAACAAAATTCGGTTGCGTACCGGACAGCACTCCATTGCCGCGAACTCAATAATTCGTGTCTACGTCAGCCGTGTGGGTTTTTTTTCAAATATTTACAAACAAATGTGGCGTAATCACGACGACGCAGTTGGCCATGGAAGGTCTTAGGTTCGCGATACAGTAAGTCGTAGTTGTAGTTGCTTTTTCAAAAGTTATTGCTCGTACCTCAACGATGATAGATGATAACTGAACGACCGAGCAATGTAGTTGGTGTTTTTACAATTTTTGTTTCGAGACTGCTTATTCGCATGTGTTTGCGTTGGGAATTTTTTGTTTGGAACTTGTATTTCGAATAAAATACGATGTAGACGTGCGTAACTTATTCTCTATTATAATACCTCCATGCTATTCCGTTTCTAATCTTTTAATTCTCTAGTTTTCACGGATTTCATGGAGATCACGATTTCACGGATTTTCCGCAAAAATTGTTGTATTGACTGAAGTAGCCCAAAAAAAAACTTTAAAAGCGCTTTTCGAGACGTGAAAAAGAGTAAATGTCACTGCCAGTTTTAAATTGCTTAACACAAATGTTCAAAACGAGACCAACATTTTTAAATTGTTTTTTAAAATTTTATTTCACTTTTTTTTTTATTTGTTAATTTTAAGTAATTTTGTTCATAAGAAAGAAAGGTGCTTTCATAATTTCAAATAAAATGAAATGAAATGACGGAAACAGCAGAAAAAATATACTTTTTTCAAATAAAGTCACCTATTTTTTACCCTATCTTATGTCTTATATCTTATTACCTAGAAATGCCGAGTGAGTTTGTTCAATTCCAATCATAATCAGATTTTGGAGATGTAGAACTTGTTAATGTTAAGTTCTTTAAAAAATTGTCAGTGCCAAGGCGCTATGCTCTGTTTCTTAATTTGGGAGAGTTATAAATGTTATTGAATTGTAAAACTACCTTAGTATTTAAAGTTAGAATTGTAGTTATTATCCGGTAGTTGTTGGTCGAGTTCGTCCTTGAAAATGGTTAGCGTTTCTGAATTTTTTGCTGAGAAACGGATTAATACAACTCCGCTTTCTCAAAATGAAAAAATTGTTATTTTCAATGTGTTTCAAACTCTTCACCACCAAAACTCAACATTCGGAGTTTCAAAAATGGGTGAAATGAATGGAATGCCATTTACTTAAAAAGGAAATAATGTCTGAAATGAAAAGAGATGATTTCATTCCACTTATCGGTACGAAGAAATTTTGAAGGAAATGAATTTTCGTTGCAAAAAGACTCAACAACAAAAAATCAGTTTTAATATAGAAACAAAAAATTATCTGCTGCCGACGACGATATTTGAGGGCAGTTGGCGAGTTTCGAAGCTAAACAGGAATATCTATTATTTGGACGACTCACACTCAAAACAGTCTGAAGACTATCATGAATACTGATATTTTTGATTATTCCTCTGTTTATTTTTATTTTGCCACGTTTTTGGTACTATATAACTTTCATTAATCCACGTCAAATCAAGCCAAAAAATTTAACCATAAAAATTGAAGTTTACCTTTACGTCTATTTAGATATAAAGTATATTTGCAACAAATCTCGGTCATCATGAATTTCATAAAAATCAAAATGAGAAATGTTCATAGGGACCTTTTATATTCTGTTCGGCTTTACTTTCGCTTTATTACGTTTTGTACCGGTTTTTCCAAATACTGTGTATAATAATTACGAAGTGCTTATCGTAAGGAACGCGACAGTTGTATCGAGCAAAAAATTGAAGCGAGACAGCCATTTCGAAACTTGATGGAGAGTAATTATCGCCAATATAAATCAAGTAAATTCAACTCTGTACTATTACGATTATTATCGGTAGTTGAATTTCGAAACCAGTCGGGAGGCGGAAGGACTGCGAAATGTAGGTCACTTATATTATGTATTACTCTTTTTGTTACTATTATCACCATTTATCAGAACGAGGAAAAAGATTTTGGTCCAGGGCTGTTCCTGCTGTTTTTCTTGAATATGAAAAAATATAATTTTTTATCATCCTTTCGTTCACTCTGTTGATGCTTTTGGTTTCTATATCATCAAATGACGGACTACTATCTGTGGTTTCTTATCAGACGAGTTGTGGTAAAGATTCTTCCATTAACCGACAGATGGCGAGAGTGCGTGCTGAACTCATGTAAATAGGACTTATCCAAATCTTAAAATCTAAATTATTCTCTAAAGTATGTTTCACAAATGTGTGGAGTAGTAAAACTTCATTATTTATGGGTTTTTCCTATGTTGTCCATTAACCAACATTCAAAAAAGTGTGCTTCACAGAGAAAACTGATAGTTTCATAGTTAGTGCCTTTTATATAATTGAATAATTAGATTAGTGTCAAATGATATTCTGGTAAGTTTTGACTAGAGTCTTCTAAGACTCTCAACACTATTTCAGATATATTGAAATTCGAAAATCTGAAATCAAATCTTCTCTTCTTATTTGAAGGTTGCTTGTTCGGAACATCCATAGAAATCGTTAAACAACCAAACAATCTTAACTCGGCTTCTAACCTGGCACAAGCAGTTATAAGCAGGTACAGAGTCGAATGCTAGGTATTTCAATTGTTTACCATTGTTTACCTGTTACGCTTATTCTACCACCATAAGCGACAAAAAAGCATTCTTTGTTGTTCCGTTAAGAGTTTTTTTAAATTCAACACAAAGTACCCTGGTGAAAAGGTCGTACATCTCCCATTTTATCCTATTTTTAGCAAACTACTCAGTTGTTCGGCATTTCTTTCTAACTTCTAAAAACGCAGAAAACTGAAAAATGTCAAACACTACGATATACCTTTAATTTACAATTCACAGTTTATAAATTTTCTGGATCCTAGTCGCGTTGGTTGTTTGTATATCGAACTTGTTGACACCACTCATCCTGTTGGCTTCATCAGAGCTTTACTGAAATTGAAAGTAGCCCGTGGAAGTTTCTTTGAAGAATATACCTTTGATTAGTTGTAGTGAACGTCACGTAGTTTGGACAATAAATGGAACACCGCGGTCATCAAAACAAATGAGATAGGTAGGTAGGTAAGTTTTCCTGCCTTATCTTTTAAGGAATGTATAATCTAAGGAACATTGGTATAAAAATCCAAAAGGTTATTCATTTTTTTTACAATATTTAATAATAAGCAATTTTAAGATTTTAACATCATTATTTTGTCAACACTCTGTACATACATATACATATATAATTGGTATATTAGCCTTTTTGATTGGAAGAAATTCAATTTTAACATCTGACCTTTCTGAACGCATTCAATTACAATAGCGCCCACAATTTTTTATATTTTTATTGTTATACTGATATCATTATTAACATTTTGAACTTTAGTTTGCGCAACTATTCTATTTCAAAACTACTTGATTAATTAACGAAATGCTATTTCAATAAACGAGTGACTGCAATTATACTATGCGTTTCCTAAGTGACATGTGACGTGACTATCAGAATCCAGAAACTTCAAATTATATCATTAGTGTTTTAAATCAACCTGAAACATCCGGTCGCTCCTTAACCTCTGACTAATGTACCAGAAACGTCCGAAGTGACTCTCGAGAGTAACTAATGTGAGCCTGACGTCTTAAAGTAAGACTTTCCGCACTCCTGATCAGTGCATATTTTTTGATATTTTTGAATGGGAGTAGAAAAAAAGATTTTTTCGCATTGAAAAATTTAAAACTAGGTTATACTTTGATAAAATTAAAAAAGTCGAATAGCTGACGAACAATTTGAAGACAGTGTTTTTAGCCCTTATGAAATTGTAAAAATCAATGCTCATCAATGCGGAATGAGCCGTCTCTGACTATTTTGCAAAAAAAAAACAGATAAAAAATATATTTTAGGCGATTTATTTTTATTTATTTTAATATTTAATAATTTTAGCACCCTGAAATAAAAACTCAAGACTTTTTAGAGTGTCCTAACGTGCAACCCGACTCTATATGTGTTTTATTGAAATACTAAAAAAGTGTGCTTTAGGCATTCTAGTATATTTTTGCACATTTATTTTATTAATATTTGCAATATAGCCTGATAAATTTGACGGTGAATATTCATTTGAGATAAATAAAAAGAATTCACAAGTGTACTAGAAAGGTATCTTTATATATTTTTTTTGAATTTTTTATCACATTTTATTAACTTTATTTACATTGCTTTTAGTATGAACAATTGGATTAAATGGTACTTAAACAAGAATTAGTGTAAGTGTATTGAAATAAAGTTTTTTTTAACAGTTATTGTGTGTGACTGTTTTGTTGGTTATTGTACATATATCATAAAGCCAATTTGTGCAATATCTCACTAAAACACTGGTGATAAAATAATTATTTTTAATGATGATAGATTATTAAAATGTAAAAATATTTTGAAAATCCGGCTAGTAAATAAGTTAAAATTTGCTAATGACCTACCTGTCGAAAATCCAGAGAGGACTTTTTTTTATTTTACTTTGTAAACTAGTTCCATTAAAATTTCCACAAAAATTTAAATTAATGATATCTTACAAACTACATATGAAAAATTTATAAATTTGTTTTTGCAGATAATTTAATTAAGTAAAATATTCTGAATTAAAATGAACTAAAATTAATGTGGACAAAATTACCATGATCTTAAAAAAAAATAGCCAATTTTTTATCTCTAAATTCCTTTCATGTCTGAGTTATTTGTATCTTAGAAATAAAATTTCAGAGCATTTGAGTTGCCCCTTAAGACTCTAAAAAGTCTTGAATTAAATTTTAAAATACCTAAAACATATTTTTTTTTCGCAATAGTCGTATTCGGCACACCGATACAGCATTTATGAGCATTGAAATTGAATGAATTTCACAATTCTAGCGCTGACTCTTGGACTCATTTGTCAGTTTTTAAGATTTTCCTTTAAATTCCATTTAAATAAATATAACTTGGATCTTTTGGGACCATTTGAACCATTTGAAATTTTAATAATTAATTGTGTAGTATCAGGGATATCCAAGTAATTTGGAAATATTTACCAATAAATATTAAACCGGTTCGTATGAAAACAAAAATAAATATTTTATTAGCAACTGCCCTATAACAAGTGGAAGTGGAAATTTTTTGTTCATTTCGGTTTACTTGCACATCTTTGTTCTTATTAAAGTTCTGATATTCATGAATATGTTATTTAAAATGAATGAAGAAGTACAAATAAAACGAAACGTCATCGTCATGTTTGGCCATCCTGTATAATTCTATACCTTGTTCTTTTGTTTTGTGCTCTTGTCCGAGCTCAAATGCGTCAATCTTTCTGCGGTCGACAGTTTAGTAATAGAACTGGAAATATTAAATGCATTTTTCTGTGTTCAGTGTTATTGCACTGTTTCGTCATGTTGTTTGAAAATCATGAACAACCACCCTCATTCGAAGTCAATGCTCCCAGATATAAGTAAAAAATATTGCAAAGTTAAGAATTTTAGAAATCTACTTGCAGATGAAAAATTAATCTGCTTAACGGTACATAGAGAATTTCCAATTTACAAAAAATAAATGAACTTCAATAACGATGAGGTACTACGCATCGAGGTTTTAAAAGTGCTTACATTCACTGAGGTAAGGTTTTTATTAAGTTTTGGATGGTTGCTTGAAGAATGTTGTCCCATTCCACGCTCTAACTCTTGCAGACTGATTGGGAAACGTCACTTTACCACGTCAGTTTAGTTTCCTACGGATCCGAGCCACTTCGGACATTTCCGGGATTTTACCTCACGGATTTGGGAGTAATCGGATGTTTTTGGATATATATTTCTCACGCCTTGAATTTTGACGTTTGTCAGTGAATGTATTCGTGTTGTTTTGCGAAAATATATCCAAAAACTAACGGTCGTAGAAAAAGTATAGTACGCAACATTTTTTGTTATGAGTCGCTAAGCGTAACTATGCAGTTGTTTATACTTAAATAGTTGGACTTTGACTTTAATGTTTTTTGATCGCCTTAAAAGCTAAGATCGCGTGCCGGAAAACGGGATTTCATTAAATTAAGCAGGAGCTCTGAAGAACAATTTGTTGCAAAGCGTGGTCATAAAATATTTTCTACCTTTGATTTTAAATTCCCCTCCTTTTGTTTAGTGGGCTTATGGACATTTATATCTGAATGGCGTTTGATATCATCTGAAGAATTTGAACGGTAAAGTAAACAATGTTGGTATTTTAATATATTTGCTGTATAATTGATTATAGAGGGTCCCAAAATTGAGGCTTGGCGAACACTTGGTGCTCTTCTGCAAATCACTGAAGTTTATAATTTGCTTGGCTTTATTCTAAATAAGATTTTAATGGTCAAAGTCCAATGGTATCGAAGGTCAAGGGAAAAAAAGACTCTCCCTAATTCCCTATCATGACTGTCACCAGTGTGCTGTTGAGTGTGCTTGACGAAACCCACATGCACTCTCGAAGTCTATCCTGGAAAGGGCCCAGAAGAAGAAGGTTATCGGGCCTCAAGAACCTAACCGCAGGCTAACTAGAATACTATAGTTCATTCACAGATAAATGAAAAGTGGTGCAACCTTCAGTCGAAAAAGCAGTTGTCTCTCGAAGCTAAACAAATGAATTATGTGATTTGGTTAAGATACTCTTGACTTCCTTGAACAGACTAGTGCCAAACCCCATTGAAACAAGTAGGAAGGGTTCAAATTTTAGTTCCAGCAAATATTTGACTAAGGCGACAAGATTTCAGTCAGGCGGAAAGTTTACATGTATAAAGAGAACACTGCAAAGTCTACAGTAATGACGAAATTTAAATATCACAGAAAACGGTTGGATCCCAATTTTCGTGTGGCTTATCTGTAAATCTGTTAAACACTCATGGGTCAACTACCATAAAGATACGAGGGCAGAACTTTTGGAACAATAATTCAGGGATTCTTTTTTACCTAATATTTGACAAAAAAATAGGGTTATAATGGCCGACTGTGCGAATTATGCCAGTTATATTTTTTAAAGAAATTTAAAAAAATTAAAAGCATTCAGGATAAAAAGAATTATATGTTTGTAACTGGCAGAGAAAACAGGACATAAAATACTACGGGTTCAGCAATATTTTTGCGCCTTCAATCCTATAGAGCCCATATGTGGCACCAACTGATGATTGTTAGGGTCCCCGAGAGTGGCAGGTAGATGACCAGGTAGTTAAACTACCTTAATGTTTAAAATTAACATTGTAGTTGCTTTAGTTGTAGACTGTATATAGAATAATATTAATCTGTATTCGTATTATAATATATCTGTATTATAAGTATTATTATTTTCTTTTCGTAGTCTAACTGCGTTACATCTTCGTATATTGCTCGTTTGTCTCTGAAAGCACTATAGCTAAAATTCAAAAAAATACGCACATGAGCAAGAAAAAAAAAAACTTGCATCAATTTTTAAGCATTGCGGAAGTCTTTATAAACATCTACTATGGTCCACATACATACTCATTCCTGTGTTCCTGTAAAAAAAATTTTGGATTTTTTTTATTCAAAAGGTAATAACTATAATGTTTTTTGCAGAACTAGATTGGGGGAGAGAATCGTCAGCATGAACTCAACGCTGGTCGAGACCGTCAGTATCAATTATGAAGACTTCAACGAGAGTTTTCTTACATGTGGCACCTGTCTATGTAAGTATTTACATATGTTATATACATAAGTTATATGAATAGCGCAGAATTAGGATTTAGATAGAAATTTTCGAATATTTCCAATGAAATTGGATTCCAAAGACAAAGTCATCGGACTTATTTACCCCCTTAAATGCATACTGTTCCCTTTACTTTTAGCTGAGGTGAGACAAGGTCTATTCTTTATTAGAGGAATGTTTATATTTTTGTGATTTTTAACACAAAAAGCCTACCCCAATGATAAACATGAACAACAAAAGTTCTAAAACGTCTTTATTTCTGTTGTTGCAGATGGCATTTGGACCGGTGCGTTTTTGTTTTTTTTTATTTTACTTCCTTCTACATCACGCTGTAGAGCATGCATCACTCTCATTAGTTCATTTTCTCCCTAACGCACATTTGCAGTACGGCTAGTCTGTCTCGCTGCCTTTCTAATGAACCATCGATGATTTCCAAAATTTACAATTACACTTCTCGTTGGCTATCGGAATGTTGCGAATACAATTTTGCTAGTAGAATGTTAAGATTTATTCGCTCTTTTCTCATTTTTTCACTTAACGAAAGTTGCTATCCATGCTGAAAAAAAAATTATGGAATTTTTCTTAATAACTTTTTCCTATTTGCAAACCTTCCGTATTCCTCCTGCGTTGGTTATTGATTAATAAAACTTGCTGACGTGACGGGATATGAACATTGTCTCGGATGACTGATTCCCATATTAGTGAAAGCACTTAGGAAAGATTATTTGGTTGTTTGGAGATTTCAATAGGTTCTCGGATTTTGCTTTGGTAGAAGAATTGATGATGAGTTTATTTGTCGTTATCTTAAGGCCCTCTCATGTTTTTACAAACTAGTTGATATTTTTGGTTTTAGATAGATAGATAGTTAAATATTAACAATAAATGAAATGATGTCTAAGACCCGCAGTAGGTCAGCCACTTATTGCTAGAACAATCGTAATACTACCATTATATTGTTAATGTTATATAAGGATTATTTAATTGGCTTAAACGCATTCCTATTATTAATTCATCTAACATTCAGAAGTAATTTATTAAACAGCCTTACACACATATACTCAGGACACTTTTTAGTGATTTGATATTGATAGGTGTAATATTCCGATCACATATTATAATTTTCTGTATTTAGTCATTGGAATAAATGTTTGCTTCGCAGAAGTATATGTATATAGCGTATACTGTTAAAAGTCCCGTTTGTTTAAACATATTTTGGCACGTTTGATTATATTTATCTAATTACTTTGATTATCCTTTTCTGACTTATAATAAAATGTTCTTGAATATACTATTTTTCCCCAAAAGATTATTCCGTATTTCATTCTTAACTTGAAGTTAGCAAAATGCACATGTTTTAATGTTTTACGGCTCTGCTGCAATCAAGAAAGTTAATAACCGATAATTTTTGGCTCAGATAGTGCGTATGTGTGATAATGCATTAAGATAGATTTTCTGTAAACTGAATGACCTGATGTTAGGTCCGACTTTTTAGTAATAAGAATATCTAAGTATGAAAGATTATTTTTAGTTTTTAATTCAATGCTAAAATGCCTAAGAAAATCTCGGAGGGATGGTCAAATAAAGTATCAACGTAGTGTTTTCATGATATTGATTTTAAATCGAATGCGTTGGGGCTTTCTTCTCAAAAGATTCACATTTATTCATAAATTCGACCGATACAAGAAAAATATGTTCCAGGCAAAGATTTTTCTGTCCTCGTTTTTCAATATATCGAAAATAATGTTGACTTTTAGGAATAAGGATTTTAGTAAAGAGGTCGAAATTAACTAGAATATTGTTTTAATCTAATATAAACTATCAGTTTTCGCTGTAATGGGTTTTAATATAGAAGCCTCCTGCATAATGGTTGGAGAAACAATGTTGCTAACAAGAGGTCGAAGGGTTTGTGAATTTTAGGGAGTGCTGATGGATGACAGATTTTTTTACTGATTCTAATGGTCCTGAAAGCTGTGGTCCGTACATTATACATTGAAAGCATTACTGAGCACATATCAAAATATAATGTTAGTCAGATTTACCACTTGTCGAAAAATTTCTGCAAATCTTTGGTCCGTCAAAGACGAAATGCGGCAAAGAATACATTGGAGAGACAGGACAAAAACTATCAACTGGGCTGAAAGAACACGAAAGAGCCTTAAGGTTAAGACAAATAAACTCATCCGCAGTTGCAGTTAGTTTTCGATAAAACTAAACTTCGTGTTTGTAATCAAGTTTTCGACCAAAGGAAAATCCAAAAATCCATTGAAATCTTTAAAAAACTAAACAATTTTAACCAACTTAGGAATCAGTCATCCGAGAGTGCATGTCCCCTTTAGGTCTGACATCATCAAACAGTATGTAAACCAGTTTCAGATAAGTTCTAAAGAAGCCAACATGATGATTGGCGAAACGTCTGATAAGTTCTGTTGATCAACAACTGACGCAGGAGGATTCCAGGAGATTTCTAAATAGTATTACAGCAGCCTGTGGAAATTTCTTTGAAAATTTTTTTTTTAGTTTGTCCATTAATTTTAAATTTAATACATTTAAAACAACAAGTTTGAGGATATTTTCAAAAAATGTAAAATTAAATTAGTAACAGTAGCTAAATTCATTTAAAAAATGTTTTCTGACGCCCCGCTATTTTTGAGGTTTTGATTACTATATGAACTTATAATATATAATTTCTCTAACCGGATCAGCCGTTAAATTTTTTTCTCATTATTTCTCGATAGCTACTCGTTCACTACTGCCATTTTTTTTATCTCTATCAAAATTTTATTGTATGAAAGTGCTGCGACGAAAACAGTAACCATCATACAGGGTAACTTAAGTAAGTTTCTCACAGCACCTACTATACTATATTGGAAAATCCAAGAGTTACAATTCGAGCATTTTTAGTTCATGAGGAGTTTATAAGATTGCTTTTTTAGCTGCTAAAGTGCAGTCAAACCAATTGTAGAGTTAAGTCATAGTAACGGGTGATTCAATAAGAGTTTCCACATTACAGTCTGAAATATTTTTGAAACGCGACTGTATTTGTTTATTATCATATGAGATTTCTAACCTCAAAACATAAACAAAATTTGTCATGGAGCAATATACGACCGAACAATGTGTAAAAATTATGAAAATGGTCGATCAAGAAAAAATGCATTTCGGGCTCTAAGTGAATTTTTCGGCGCGCAAAATCGACCTTCTGAGAGGACAATTTGGAATGTGGTTCAAAACTTTGAGCAAACTGGATCTGTAACTAACCTCAAAGTCCCTCAACGTGCTCGTGTAGGTCGGTTAGATCAAAATTGTTCGCGAAAGTGTAGCCGAAGATCGATTCGTCATCGATCGGAGCAAGTGGGCCTTACGTATTCAACCACACAAAAAGACTTGCATCTACACCCATGTAAAGTCCAAATAACTCAGGAGTTGAAACCTCGAGATCACCAACAGCGCCGCGTGTTTGCAGAATGGATACGAGAACAAGGGGTTCATTTTTCAACGAAAATCATCTTTAGCGATGAGGCACATTTTCACGTTGGTGGCTTTGTAAACAAACACAATGCTTGTATTTGGGGATTAGAAAATCCAAGAGAGATTGTTCAAAAGGCAATTCATCCTCAAAAAGTGACTCTTTGGTGCGGAGGAATAATTGGCCCTTTTTTTTTCGAGGATAATGCGGAGAATGCTGTTACGATTAACGGTGTTCGCTATCGAAACATGATATCTGATTTTTTCTGGGAGCAGTTGGAAGGTATGGACATTGAAGATTTGTGGTCCCAACAGGATGGAGCCACTTGTCACACATTCAGAGAAACGATGCAATTGCTGCCGGGCAAGTTTCCTGGTCGGATTATCACACGTAACGGCGATATCAATTGGCCGCCGCGATCATGTGATCTTACTCCTCTAGATTTTTTTTTGGGTATCTGAAAAGCAGAGTGTATATAAATAAACCAAACACTATTCCAGAGCTGAAACAGGAGATTAGACGCGAAATAGCCGGCATAGAACCTGAATTGTTTCAAAAAGTGATAGGAAATTACAATAAACGAATTACGTCATGCCACATGAGTCGCGGGGGTCATTTGAATGACATCATCTTTCATACCTAATTGTAATACCCTAATCTAAAATGGCAAATAAAAATGTTTGTATATTTTTAAATTCTTCCGAGTTTTTTTAATTATTTTAATGTGAATCACCCCTTATGACATCTTCCTTCATTGCTGGATGTCGTAAATTGACACAGGAATTTTGTTTGTTTTTTTTTTTGTCAGTTTGCTAAACATGGAGCAATATAGCTAAAACATACGGATCATTTTTGATTACGTCACTATACGTGACGTAACTGTACAATTGCTCTGACTGGAGTATAGCTGCGTATCCCATTCGCATTTAAAACTAACCAATAACAAAACAAGGGTTGTATCATTCATAACCATAGCACTTAAATAAGTATGTCTTACAATATGCAGGATTTCTTATATTTTAATATTCCATAAAAACTGTTTTTATATCTGGTTATAATTTATTATAATTATTATATTATACTATGATTATAATATAATATTCACTTTCTACGCTAGTAGTTTACTGTACACATTCCTTAAATTAACCATTAGGTCTTAACTATAGAATATCTGTAAGTGACTAAAAGTCTACTCTAATTATTCATCATTAAATGAACCAAAAAACTTCTGTATTCTACTTGTTCTTCTTCTTCTTTAAGCGAGTGTAGGAGTTTCATCCTCGATTAATTCTTCAAACGGTGCTTCTTGTTTGTTAATAATTAAGTTGTGAATAGTCGATTTCGCATGTTCTTTTATCTATTCACTGGTCCTCTTTGGGATACAATTGAAAATGCAAAGTTTCATTCTCAAAAATTAGTGTTAATTAAAGTAAGAATAGTAAATTTTTATTTTTTATCCACCAATTCATTTCAAGTAGAATTTGGATTGGTTTCGATTTTCATACTCAATTGATTTTTTTTTTTAAATGTTATATGTATGTGCCTTCGAAAAGTATTTATTTTGCATTTTTAATCAAATGTCAAATCAAAAATCAGTGTCTTGGTAAAACTACAAGCGATAGAAACCGAAATATGTCAAATCCGTACGTACGGCGTGGACCACATAAAATGATCTATCCGATCTGAGAAATGGTAAGATTCGCAAAAAAAAACTTAAAGGAAAAATTTCTTGTATTGAACCTCTTATGTAGATGGTTTTTATGTTGTTGTATTTCCTTTTTTCTGGCCAGGTACAAACTTTTTTATTTTAAACAAAACACGCTGTATGTTGGTACTTATTCGGAGAGGCTTTTCCCTTTATTTTTCATATTCAGGTTCATTTTCAAATTCTATATATGCCAAATAATATATTATTAAAACAAATTTTCACCTTTTGTAAATTTACTATTTTTCCAATAAAGCTAAATTCCTAAATAAAACAAATTTATTACGTTTATAAGCAGTTGATAAAACCTGATGCTGATGACTTTCAATAATCCCGAAACGCTAATCTTTAAATTGTCTTTTAATGCTCATTTTAATTATAAAGTGATATATCGGGGGTGTCATTTAAAGAATACGGTTAATTTACAAAACGCCACCCCTCTCACAGACCTCCACTGCTAAACGTCGTTGAAGTAGCCATTGAACGCATCCTCTGTATGTTTATATTTATATAATATACAGGGTGTTCCATTTAAAATAAGTAAGTTTGTACCTGGCCTGGAAAAAGTAAACACCTTGTATTCATAAAAACCATATACCTAATAAACAAAACTTTTCAGATAAAATCATTTAAATATTTGAAAAACTATTTCAAGAATCATTTTCCGCTTTACGAGGCGTATGTAAAAATGACAATTTATTGTAGACTAAAATATGAATTTATGTGTGGCATATTTCGTTGCGTGAAAACTTAGGATGCCGATAATAATAACCTAAGATAAGCTTTAAAGGACTTAAGAAGGACAGTCTTTTGGTTCTGTCGGATGTACCAAATTCCACCTTCACCATTTTGGGTTCTCGGAAATGCCAAATGATTCAAGGTGGCTCAAAGCGATATCTATGTGTCCGATAATATTTCGCTAAAATAACCAAATTTCTACTTCTCGACTTTTCGATGTTATTTTTTTACGAGTTGATATTTCAAATTTGGGAAGAATCAACATTCTTATAAGGCTCTTTCTTTGGGCATGCTGTACGGCGTCTCGTTTTTCTTAAATCATCATCAACTTTAATTTTTCATATGGTTGCCATATTGCATTTTTGCAGTTTTTTTGCATTGCCATTGTGTTCTTTCTTTTTCTTGTAATAGTAACTCACTAACCAAAAGCAACCAAAAATATGAGAGACAATATCTTTGGTATGATCTTATTAATGAAAAAAAAAAAAAAGGTTTCAGTGTTTGCTCGAAGTCTCAATGGTATGGGTCGAATTTGAATTAGCCGCTTTATGTACTATTATGTACTGCCGGCAGTATGGTTTTCGCGTTGCTTTTGATTTAAACACGTATCATGGAATCATCGGCAAACTTATATATGGGGTGTCTCGAAAAACATGTAGCAACATTCGAATATCTAAAAAAACAAAGAAATAAATGCTTATTTTTCAATATAGAAAACGTTTCATATTTCAAAAACGGTTTGCGGCAAAATTTTCAACATTTTCTTTGTGTACAACTAAGTTAATACCATAAAGTTCTATTTTCCTGTAATTTCACCTACGCCAATCAAGAACTTAAAGTATTTTCAAAGGTTTTGTTTCTAATTAAGTTTTCAAAAAAAATTGTCCGACACTGTAAGTCGAGAATGAAACAAAAGTTAACTTTTACACAGAGTTTTTTTCGAAATCGTTGCTAAGTTGATTGAAATTGATGTTGATGGAAATTTTAATGGTAGTTGCCCATGTATGGCCTGAGCATGATCATAATTAAATGATTTGCGCTGCCACTATGTCGATAAGAAGTATTTTATTGTATGTATTATATATATGAATCACAACTATTAAACAAATCAAACAAATAATCAATAACACTAGTAACATTAACCTCGGTAACACTACTTATAACGATTTTAATAAACTGTTCAAATATGAAAATGATATCATATAAAATGTCAATAATAATAATAAATACTCATTCGATATAATAGAATATTGCCCATCTGTCCATACCAAATTCGAAATTGTTAAAATCCAATTGTGCTTTGGATCAAAATAGCAAATATTATATTGGTGGTGCAGCTATTTATAGTGTATTTTGGTGGGATTATTTGTAAAAAAATGCCTTTTCGACCATTAGAACTGCTTGATATGTTTCGTGTTTATTTATCAGACGGAATATAATAGGAGGTATACTGAAAATATTCCTAAAGGTGCGGCATTATTTCGAGTTTGTATTTATTGACATGCGGTTTTCACTAACGTTTTAGACTCTTTTTTCGCTATATTTCGTTGCAATAAAAGTGATATCGTTGCATTTAATTTTTTTGACGAAATAAATTGCATTTGTATTAACGTCGATCAGGGCAGCATTGATAGCCCAAGAGACTTTTTTAACAACATCGTGTTTGAGAAAATGCGAAATTCAGAAGTTATTTTTGTTATTTCTGAAAATGTTTGGACACGCCCTACCACTTTTCCCTATGAGATAAAGTAAAAACGATTTAACTAAAAAAAAATAGTATTTATCTGTGCGTTAAACCAAAGCTATCTGCAAAAAACGAGATTTAAAATTCAAGAATGCAACTACGCCCCTTGGCGGCCATTGTAGAAATTTATAAATAATTTCCAGCATTTTCTGTTGACCGTTGTAATCACAAATTTTTTCACCAACCAACCAAGCCGTTACGCCAAATGCTTTTTGAGATAGGGCCTAGTGTCGTTATTAATTGCTCACCCGGTACATTAAAAATTTCATCAATAATCGATTAATATATTAAAATTTTTCAAAAGTGGTTATTTAGTAAAATTGGCTCTGGACAAAAAAAAACTACGCAATGAAAAACAATTTATACATCTTCGGAAAGGAGACTTAACAGATTTTCCGCTAAAAGTAAAATGTACAAGGTGTTCCAATTAAAAATTTTCGCCAAATCGACCTTCCAAAACTTGGAAACGTCAAGATACGGTGAAAGTTAAACAGATCGACGCACTGTATTTAACGTATTTTAAAAGAGCCGTTTTATTTAAATATCCAACCTGCCCTTTATTGGAAACTAAGCATTTGCCGGGCCCATCCTCTTTTTCTCGTCTTTTGATGACAAATTTCCAAGCGAGCGTCGGCGCATGTTTTCTGAAACACCTTGTATATCAGCGAGATTTATATAATCCGTTGCTTTTAGGTATGTATGATGGTAACGAACATACCCCGAAGTTGCTGCAGTGTTCCCATACAGTCTGTCTGCACTGCCTTACGAGGATCGCAGCATCACAGACCAGAGACACCGGATCCTTCCGTTGTCCTATTTGCAGAGAATTAATTAATATACCAAGGGGGGGCGTCTCAGCACTGCCGCCGTCGTTCTTGGTGAATCAGTTGCTTGACTTGATGTCGAGGCAAAGACGAGAGGTAGGGTTTTAATACTTGAAAAACGCCCCAAATTTATCACAGATTTTTTTTTGTAAAAACTATAGTTAGAGTCGTGTAGTAGTCCATATTTGTATTTGTATTTTTAACCACTCATCACCACCTAGTCAACACTGAAGACTAATGAAATACTCTCGCTTATGTGTAAATGAAAATCAATAAGGAATAAAAACGCGACACGGCATCAAAGGACTAATAAAGAAATCCGTAAAGAGGTCCGTAAAGCAAAACAGGAAAAACAGCTTACAGAATAGGTGCAAGAAATTGATAGAATTCGAAGAAATGCATGACCACGTCAACATACAAACATTAGTGAAATAAGTAACAGTAACAAACTTCCTCATCACTGGAAGGATTTTACCCAACAACTCTACCCGGAGTATAGGGGCGGAATTCACCGGTCAATTTTTTTTGTCAATTGACCAGTCAATATTTCTGTCAATTGACCGAAATTTTTTGAAAAATAAAATGAAATTTTTATATATTTATTTATATTGTGAGTTACGTAGCCATCGCATCGTTCTAGGAACCAAATGGAGTCTACATTATTATTAGAATTTCCCGAATGGTTAAGTATTGATTTCGGATATTCCTTGAAGAGGGTTATAGGCAAAATTGACATCACACACGCATAACGCTTATTATAAAATACATGTTATTCAAAACATTTTTTAACTAGTCAATTAAAAAGTGGTCAATTGACCATCAGCCAATTAAAAAGTGGTCAATACAACCAGGTATTAACAATCCAGAGCAGGATTTATGAACATGAGGACTCTCCTCAACAACAAACCCGACGGTATCGTTTTTTCAAGTGGTACATGGAGTATTGACATGGGTGGCAATAAAGGCGAATGTCATAGATAGGCTGCAGGCTGTGGCTGTAAAGAATGCTTAAAGTTTCATGGACTGACCATGTGACAAGTCAAAAGAATTACGACAGCCTACCTGCGTCACATTTTCAGTAAGTCCAAGCACTAATTCCTGAGGCTGATTATGGAGGCAAAGATACAAAAAGAGGCATTTTCTTCTGCCTTTAGAACATTCGAGACTGGACACATTTCGATGCCTATGCACTATTTAGAGCTGCACAGGATTGAAGAATTAGATGACTACGACACCTGATATTAAGAATCACAGACCTGTTTATTTACGGTCAGCTTTATTCCCTAAATATTTAAGAAAATGGGTTTTATCAGGAATGGGCTTTTGTTATTGGATATTATTGTCGAGATACAGCATGCGTTTGTAAAGGGACGGTGCACTGTGACTAATCTATACGTCTACGGTAATTACGTTGGAGAACCTATGGATAAGGGTTATGAGTTATGCAGTGTATACCGATTTCAGCAAGGCATTTGATTTGCTTGATCACAGTGCTTTATTGAAGAAACTTAGGCAGTTTGGTGTTAATTCTTCTCTGCACTTTTGGTTCTGCTACTTACAAGGTCAAACTCTGCAGATTATAGGGTTTCCTCCCCAGTTAGTTTAGTGTCGTTTTTGGTGTCCTACAAGGATCACACCTGGACTGAAATTTTTACTGCTTGTTAATGACATGAGGAATAATTTAAACGCAAAATTTCTTGCTCCTTGCAGATGATCTAAACATTTTTAGATGTATAGAACTGGGGGACTGTCACATTATTACAAAATAAACGTTCATATAATTTTGGTTTTTAGTCGTAAAAGAAGTGTTTTTGATTGTAGTTATAATATTAGAGAAGCTGTTATAGGTAAGGTTGAGACTTTGAGGCATCTGGGTTTATCATCTGTATAGTAGGCTTTAGTTCACAGATTACTATAATCAGTGAGTGAGTAGACCTAACCAGAGTTAATATTCATAATGAAAATGTTGAAAAAGTTTGTGTTTCATTGTATGTTTTAAGTGTGTACTTCAGACATGGTTGTTGGTTGCTTATATATTATTTAAGTTTATATAATTGTTTTTATACCTGTTCATCAATTCGAGGGCAAGTTGGTTGAACTGGAACAACAAATCATTTTACAAAATTATGTATTTACAATTTGTATACATATTATATCATTCTTGTTTATATAGATCTGTATATCGGCAGTAGATAATTCATGCATTCCATTGTTCCATCCCACAAAAATGATGTTCAGTTCTAATCTGTAAATTAGATCGAAAACGTCCACTTCAAAACAAAATCACTAAAATTACTTTTGAATACCACTAAAACACAAGGATTCTAAATGAGAAACTACTTGTTATATAGCCCTTTCTTGTAGTAGTCTTTTGTGCGAGCATAATTAGTTTTCATTTGTTTGGTGTACCATCAGCTTTTATTAAGTTAGCGATGTCGCTGAGTCTGAGATTTGCATGATATCACTGAACCCATGAATCAATTTTTATTTTCGATATCTACTATGTTTAATTGGGTCAGGCTAAATGCTTTGATTGCCATTATATTTGTAGTTGTTTTTCCATTGTTCACTCTAAAAAACTATTTTCGTTGTTTTCTCTTTCTAGGTGATTCCGAAATGTTCCGTTCATATAAACCAAGAACTTTTATTTTGCGAAACCTGCGATACAGTTTTCTGCACATTGTGTACAGGAGGATCACATAGCGACGGTACCAACAGCTGCGAGCACACCATCATACCGTTTTCCATAGCCATCAAGCGGATGTCGGAAATTTTATTGTACAAGGCCAACGAGTGTATATCAAAAGTAAGTAAGAATATCGATTAATAATTAATCGAGGTTAATAACATTGTCTACCACAGCCAAAATAAATTTTATTAAATTAAATTCCTTTATGTCTCTGTCTTATTATTTAACAAATGCGCAAATGTTATATTTATTATTAGTTAGTTTACGTTTGGGCTTCTTTCTTTATATAATAGAAAAAAATTCTGTTAATCGCAGTGCAAAATGAGTTTTATGATGAAGAAGGCACTTGGTGTAAATCACAATCACAACCTTATAAGAAATATTATTTTGCATGAAGTGAGGTTCCAGGCCCCCCCTTTTAATTTAGTAATAATGTTAGGTACCTAACATGATCCTGATTTAGGGCTCCCGCAGCACCACTAGGTCATCATTATCGCCAAACTTCTCTGCACACCCTCAATGGACTTAGCGTGACTTATGTACCTCGGATGCCGAAAACCGTCTTTTAAAAAAACACCAAAATTACAACAATTGTATTTTAATGACTTAATTAGTCGACTGGTTACATCGATTTCATAGACAAGACTGACTGTTTTACAATAGAAAATATTACGTTGAAGAATGGGATGTAATTGTAGACGCGACACTGATAAGCGCATCCTGCCGTTGGGTTTGTGCTAACTCAGGGCTAATTAAATACATTAGCGTCACGTTGGGATGTATAACTCCTCCATCCCTAAAGGGGGCTTCTATCTCTAGGGGGTGAAAAAGGCGTCAGGATTGGGGTCTCGCTTCTCTTCGGAAGGTCTTCTTCTTCTGGTGGATCGTTCCTTTCTGATTTTTTTGAAAACCAGATAAACTGCTACTAGGGACAGCACGATGTAAATCGGTATTGTCCAATAATGATTTGTTGATCGATCTTCGATCGGTGACAGGTCCACTGGTCGGAGGCTTGATTGCTGTTTCTGAAGCTGGTGGATTTCGTTCAATGACACATCTTTGATTATAACCTTTGTTAAATTTGTGTCCGACGTCCTTGAAGGAATATTGATTTCAGGCAACAGCAGGAGTTGACCATCGATGTTTTGTTTCTCGTTAATATAGAAACGATCATCGGTTTCAAGAGTATCAATATATAATTCGCATCATCGATTTGCTGAATAATGCGTTCCGTAATTTCGATAGACGTTTGTTTACAATTGATGTAAGTCGATTTTAATCTTAGGATTTGATGAATGCAGTCTTCTGGGTTGTTTCCATTTATCAATTCTACTTTGGAACAGTAGAAGTTGGGGTGCAGCTTTCTGCATGGCGTGGACATATATTGGTAGATGTTTTCATTCATTATCAGATAGGTATTACTTGGAATAATCGTTGTGAAATTTTTGGTAGGGATGGAATATAGGTGATAGTAGTCGAAATCTTGGGGGTGAATAATTGGGAAGTGTAAAACGAAAACGATTTTGTTATCTGAAAAATACGCTTCCACTTCTAAAATTTCATAGTATTTATAAAGGTTTTTCGTATAGTCTGTAAAAAGTAAGTTATCTGGTGGATAATACTTTAATATAGTTTTAATTATTGATTCGAGCTCTTCGATCTTTAAGATACTACTGTGAACAGTTTTTAATCGAGCAAATGTTATAGCATTTTCGATATCAGAAAGCAGTTGCAAAACGGTGTTTAATGTAAAGTAAATTTGATCTAAAACATTTTGAGCTTTTAGGAAATCGCTAAAATTAACAATAGTCGCATTGAGTGTTTGAATCACTAAATTCATTTCCTTATATATTACTTCTTGATTATGTTTTATCAATGAAACAGTTCGATTATAATTTTGAATTACTTTTGTGGTGATAGATATTTCCTTGTTTAACTTACTAATAACTTCAATTTGTCCATTTTGCAGGTCAGATATTGCTTTATTGTAGAAAATTGCGTCGTTTGCGTCTAGGTTTCCCGTAATACTTTTTATTATCATACCTAAGCCGTTAATTATACCACGTTTTTCTTTATATTGTGGGCGGAGAGAGTTTAGTTTTTGTTCTGCCGAAATTAATTGAAAGTTTACTGTTTGATCGAAGTTTGAAAGTTCGAAAAGGTATTCATGTTTTTGCATGCTGATAGAAATATTGTCATAAATATTTCTTATTTTTTCAATTTCTAATTTAACTGGGTCAAGATCGTAATAGTGAATAAAGGAATGTTGTTTTACTTTTATTCTTGCGGTTCCTATCTTATAGGGAAGAATTCCCGGGTTTTTGTCTAGGTTCGTTATCGTCAGTTCTTTGGCTGTCATTGTTCCTATCAGGTTGCACCTGTAACAATTTTTTCTGATTAGCCTTTGGTCTCTTTAGGGATTGCTTGTGAAATACTTTCTTACTAGTTTTAATTTTTATTTTTCGGTCCTGGAGGACTTTGTCTTTAACGAATTTTGGTGTTAACTTGTTACGAATATTGGAGGTTAGTTTTTTGTAAACGTCCGCGTCCGGTTTGTACGGAAGGGGGTCTTGTCTATTTTCGTTCTGTTTTTCGATCACGCGTTCTTTATGATTAGTTAATTGTTCATTTAGTTTTTTGTAAATTTCTTTAGTCAACTCGCGATGATCCTGTACATAATTATTAACTAGTTTTTCGTTTAGATTTATATTGAAGGGGTCTTTGGAATTTAAATGACCGTTTATCTGGTTTAAAATGTCGGCTTTGCCTTTATTTTTGGTTATAATTATTCTTAAGTGTTCGATGATAGTAGAATGAAATCTTTCGATTGGTCCATTTGATTGAGGGTTACTAGGTGTTACATAATGGACATTAATATCATGTGTTTTAAAAAATTCTTGAACAACGGAATTTTTCAATTCAGTACCGTTATCCATAACAACTAGGGATGGTAGACCGTGATGAGTCATGAAAGTTAGAAATGCACGGACTACTTCTATGCCGGATAACCCAACTAAAGGATAAGCCTAAACGTATTTGGAGAAGGTATCGATAATAGTTAGAAATTTTTGACCGTGGGCTTGAAATGTGTCTGCATGTACGATTTCGAAGGGTTTCGATGGGGTCGGAGTCACCATAAGCTTTTGTTTGGGGGGATTGCTATCATATTTATTAATTTGGCATATTTCGCAAGAGTTTACGTATTCATTAACATCGTTTTTAATTCCTGGCCAATAATATGTCCGTCTAATTCGAGTTTTGGTTTCAACAACTCCACGATGGTTTGTTTTGCCTTCATGGAATTTTTGAATAGTTTCTGTTTGGGCATCTTTCTCAACAACGTCTTCTAAAACGGTGTTACATTTCACAAGTTTGAAAGCAGAATTTGAAAGGTATTTTTTAGAATATTACAAATTTCAGGGATATGGGTTTCGTTTTTGAAATGTAGCGCATACAAAAATTTTGGTTGAATAAAGTTTTTGAAAAATTGTATAATATCGTTTTCTAGGTTCGTTTTCGATATTTGCACGAAGTGTCGAATTTTTGTCGCGAAAATCTGCTTCTTTTTCGGATTGGCCGGTGAATGGTGGACAAAATCAATAACTATTTGATGATCGAACATATTGAGTGGTTTTTCTGAAATTGGTATGCCTAGAATTGGCTCTTCGTGGCTGGTATGTCTGGTGTTGTCATCCTGTGAGTTGTCTTCTTCGGTATTGGGCGTGAATTCTATGTTAAGTGGATTTTGATTGGTCGGGTCATTATTTTCGCTTTCTCTTACGTCTTCTATACAGGGTGCTTCGCCAATATTGCCTACGATTGATTCGTTATCTCGATCGGGTTTTTTGGACATCTTATCGTTAAAATCTTCCATGTACTTAAATGATTCTTTGGTGTGTATTTCAATACGGGATAGTGCATCCGCATTGGTATTGTTTTTGCCTTTTTTATACACCACTTCGTAATCGTATTCTTCCAGTTTTAATTTCCAGCGGACTAACCGTGAATTCGGTTCCTTTAGTGACATAAGCCACTGGAGTGGTTTGTGGTCTATAACGATTTTGAATTTTCGCCCATATAAATATGGCCGAAAATATTTTGTCGCCCAAACTATCGCGAGGAGCTCTTTCTCGGTTGTTGAGTAATTTTGTTCCGATTCGTTCAGTGTTCTTGATGCAAAGGAGACAGGTTTGTCGTTACCTATCGGTCCTTGAGATAATATGGCTCCGACGGCTACGTTACTGGCATCTGTCGTAAGGACAAAATCCTTGGTAAAGTCTGGGTATTGCAGTATCGGTTCATTTGTTAGTAGGTTTTTGCAGCGTTCAATACAAGCGATGAATTCCGGGGTGTGTTCTATTTTGGCGTCCTTTTTTAATCACATCGTCAAAGGCTTAGTAATTTTTGCAAAGTCTCGTATAAATTTTCGGTAATATCCCAAGAGTCCTAGAAATCCTTTTATTTCCTTTGTTGATTTCGGTAATGGATACTTCCTTATTGCCAAAATTTTGTCGGGATTGGGTTTTACTCCGTCAGGTGTCACGATGTGGCCTAGATATGCCACTTCTTTTTTCAGGAATTCCGATTTGTCAAGCTGTATTTTAAAGTTGGTGTCTCTTAGACGCTGAAATACCTTTTTTAAGTTGACAAGGTGCTCCTGGAGTGAAGTTGAAAATATAATGATGTCATCTAGGTACACCAAACATATCTCATTTTGTAGCCCTCTGAGTATGTTGTCCATAACTCGCTGGAATGTCTCAGGGGCGTTTCGGAGTCCGAACGGCATCCGTAGATACTCGTAGTGGCCATTCTCCACGTTGAAAGCTGTTTTGGCGACGTCTTCCGGGTTTATCTCTATTTGATGGAAACCACTGGCCAAATCGAGGGTTGTAAAATAGGTGCACCTTCCTAATTTGTCTAGGACATCAGATATATTAGGTAACGGGTACCTATCTTCTATCGTCTTTTCGTTAAGTTTCCGGTAGTCCACGACGATTCGCCATTTCTTTTTACCGGAGGCGTCCGTTTTTTTAGGTACAATCCATATCGGTGATGACCAGGGTGAATTGCTGGGTCTTATGATTCCTTGGTTTAACATTGAACTTCGTCCTTCTGGACGAACGGGTACCTATATGATTTACTATAAACCGGGATTTCATCTTTTGTCCGAATGGAATGTTTTATTTGATTCGTAAGGGCCAACGGCTGATTTTCAGTGTGAAAAATATCCGAAAATTTTTTACATAATTTAATAACATGATATTTTTCTTCCGCGTTCATGTGGTCAGTGCGTATAATTTTTTCAATATCTAATCTCTGTTTTTCATTAAAAGATGTGACATCAACGTGGTAAAGTTCGTAGTTATTTTCGTCAAAAGGAATCACTTTTAAGGGACTTGTCAATATAATTGTCACTTCCTTGTCCCTTTTATTTAATATTTCGACTAAAGCTAATCTATTCTTTACAACAGATAATGTTTCAGGTATTTCGCAGTTTTGAATATTTTGATGGGGGATGATGACATCACCACCTGTTTTATTTACCGGTACTTTCGTAACGACTCGTGTATGGGGTTTTATTTTTAGTTTAAATGAAATATTTTGATTTGAATTTTGATACTTTATTGGTATCTTTGAACAACGTGTAGTTAGGATTGAGTTAACGAAATCGAGTTGCGCATTTAACAGTTTTAGGTTATCTAATCCAATTAATCCGTCATACACATTGTGGAAGTTAAAAAGATAAAATTTCAATGTTTCTTTTTGGTTGAACTCAGGAAATATTGGAATTTCGCAACAATAATCGTGTGATGAGGTTTGAAAGATGGTCGAAACTGTAAAAGGTTCATGGAAAATGCGATTATAATAATATTTAGAGGCGATTTCCGGGTTAATGAAAGATTTTGTCGAACTTGTGTCAATTAAAAGTTTTAAGGGTGGTTTTGGGATTTGAATATACGGTAATTCTTTTTTATCCGAGGACATGTGATATTCTATCACGTTTCCTGTTCAATGTTCGGGCTTTCGCGAAAATTTTCGTTTTGTTCTTCATTTTGGTTGTCAAAGTCGGGTTCGTAGTTTTGTTGATCATCTGGTGGGTAATCGTCATAGTCAGTTTGTTCGTCGAAGTGTTCCGTGTTGAATAATTCTTCAGAAATAAAATTGGGTTTTTGTCCGAAATTTTGGAAATGATTATTGCTTTGGAAAGGTTTCCTTAAATGAGTCGAAGTATTCCTGGTGGATACACTCATAGGGGTAGGTTTATCCCTTGAGGTACTCGGTCCTGCAGAAGTTTTTCCAAAAACTTGTGAGTTAGTGGGGAATCTCTGCATTGGTGGATTGGGGTGTCTTTGAACATTAATTGGGCCACGAGGGAATTGTGGCTGATGAAATTGGGGTGGATTTTGTGGCCATGTTATGGGTCTAAAATGAGGTTGCTGGAAGTTTTGATATCTGTTAGGGGTTGGTTGTTGTAGCCTTTGGGTTGGTGGTTTATGTTGTTGGGATTGATATAAAATGTTGGTGTGGTTAGATCTCTGATAATACTTAATGTTGTCTTCCTCAGTTATGTATTGCAAGGCCTGACTTAAAGAAGTTGGTCTCATTGCCCGAATAGTTGGACCTAGAGGATCCTTAAGTCCTGCTAAGAATGTTTTTAAGGCTTGTTTAACAAAGAAATCTCTCTTACTTTCTTTTAGTTCATCTGGACAATTTATATCAATATGGTTGCAAATAGTATTTAATAAGTGAATAACTTTTTCGTGAAATTGATAGGGAGTTTCATTTTGTTTTTGTCTCAAGTTAACAAGGTCTTGATTTAAACAATTTTCGTCTCTCTGATCGCCAAAATACTGTATAAGAGCGGTTTTAATACCGTCCCAACTTGTCGGATTATTAATTGCAACGATTTCCTCCGCTCGTCCCTCTAATTTATTTAAAATTCCATTTAATAAGAGCATATTTTGAAAACACGTTGGTTCTACAGGATTGTAATATTGTTTTAAAATTACTTCAGTTGCCGTAATAAATCGATGAAGTTCATTTGGGTTGCCATCGAATTGCCGGATAATGCTTAAATTTTTAATATCAAGAACTGGTCGTGCCATAATTTCCTTAGTACTACTACTTGAAATTCTCAAATTTTCGAAAAAGTTTGTTAAGTTTAAATCTAATTCTGAATCTAAATCTAAATTTGTCTCTTCGTCGTTTTCGTCAAAGGAATCAACGGAGAGAGAGGAGTCTGACATGAACCAAAAATTGTATCAATCGACTTACAGTATCAGCATCACGGAAGAAATGAAAACCATACTTGTTGCCGGATTTCGTCGATGTATCCCCAATAGATTTCTTCGAAGCAGCACTGTTTGGTTTACTCTGCTCACTTAAAATTGTTCACTTGTTGATATTTCGTTTAAGAGTTAAAACTCACAGATTTTCCGCGGCGGAAATTCCACGAAATTATCCTACTGACTGCGCCACTTATGTACCTCGGATGCCTAAAACCGTTTTTTAAAAAACACCAAAATTACAACAATTGTATTTTAATGACTTAATTAGTCGACTGGTTACATCGATTTCATAGACAAGACTGACTGTTTTACAATAGAAAATATTACGTTGAAGAATGGGATGTAATTGTAGACGCGACACTGATAAGCGCATCTTGCCGTTGGGTTTGTTAAGGGCTAATTAAATACATTAGCGTCACGTTGGGATGTATAACTCGTGCCAGTTATGTATTGATGACCTTACCACTGAGCCACAAGTCAAGCTTAAACCTAATGTAACAGTTAAAAAACAGTTTCTTATTATGATTCCTAAAATTTGCATTGCACAGAAAACCATTTGAGTAATGTGAGGTACAAAAGAGAACGTCGGGTTAAATAAAAATTCCAGATCCTTTGCAGTGACAAGTCTACTCAGGATAGTACCATCCATACTGTAATCAAAGACTATAGGAGTTTTCTTGTGGTGGTAAGAAACCACATTACACTTGCTGATGTTAAGATGCCATTTATTTTTAGTACACCACTGGCTGACAATATTGATGTTGGCCAGAGATATCCGATCGTCTATAAATATATTGAATAGGGACACCAGAAGTTGAAACAAAAGAACTGATATAAACCCCTCAATCTTAACGAACTGTTTTAGTGGGCGTGCAAAGTATTAAAAAAAAAGTAGGTCACATTGTATTGAATCATTTATAATCGACATTGACGAGAATGACCAGCGATCTTTGGGTGAAAAATAATCTTCACAAATAGAAAAAATCATAAATAAATTATTATTTGAGATTGAAACTGTTGTTTTGTTGGCTGTCCGCTGCAAGTAATGCGCCGTGGCCGTTTCTGTTTTGTCTTCTATAGGTTTACTTTAATAACGAACCTTGGCAAAAACTGCCTGAAAATAAATATAACTTGACACACTAAGTTCTACAATTCAACAATGATTTATAAGTATCTCGCATTAAAAAACAGAGCATAACTGAAAGTCTTTAGGCTTTAGAGGATTACTCAAATAAGCTTGTGTTGTTTTATTTCGTAAAAATGCTAGTATATATATCTTTCTACAGACTACTACTACTACTACTTACTATTTTTCTTGATGAGGGGTTTCTCTTTCTGGGAGTAATTCTATGCTCTTATGTTGAAATACTATGTTATGATGTCACCGAAGAAAGTGTTTTCGCGTTGGTATGAAGATACTGTTGTTTTTTATGCCACGATTTTTTTAATTAAGGGCCAAGTTTAAAATTAGTAGATTAAAACGCTTTTTCTTTCTAGTTAACGCAAGCCCAAGAGGGTGTCACTTCGGAATTGAATCGGTTGAATGCTGCGAAAGAGAGGTGCTTGGAACAAATAGATAGCACGTTTCGTGACATTCAAACGCTTATAGATAAACGTAAACAGGAAATGATAGATACGGTAAATCAAATGTGCGGGGAGAAGAGGAGAGTGCTAGAGGAACAGCATTCGCTGATTGAAAACGAAAAGAACAAGGTTTGTTTCTATATTGATATAGTGGGTAACTTTTTAATGTATTTTTGAACAGGCCGAGATTACCCTTTCTCTAAGGTCTATTTTTGATAATTGTGGTTATTAACACTGTGGATAACAAGTAAATCTCGGCCTAAGTAATTCTGCAATTTACTTATTTGGTACAAAGAGAAATTTGAACTGTGGTCGCATAAATTACATCCAGCCTCACAGTGTTGCCAATTTCCTATATTTATTCGATTTAACCAGGAAATTATACAAAATATCAAAATCATGGTTATATAAAATTGCCCGTTTTATGTGTCATGAAACACTCCAACATCTTCAAGAAAATTTCGCAATTATTACAAAATATGTAGTAATAAAATTCACATCCTCTTAGTTTGTCTATTTCACGTTTGAGTTTAACTCATAAACGGAAGGTAATGTGTCAAAAATGATATTAAATGGTTAACAATTTTGTTAAGCATATATTATTATTATTATTATTCTAGTAGTTGTTTACTTAATTATTGTAACCAAGTAGCAGCAAAGGCAATATTACATGCCAAAACAATGTGCTTACTTTAAATACAGCGGTACCTAGTTGTTGGGCCTCTATAAAACACGTCTCATTGTTGCAGGCACACTCTCTACCAAAATCTATATGTGTATCGTAACAGAATAATTAAAAATGAAAAACTTTATAAAATCTAAAGTATTGAACATTCAACTAGTCAAAAACTAACTTAAATCTTGAAGGGCCCAATTCTTCACCATCATGGCCTTATCATTTCAATTCAAATTGGGATCGACCATATTAATCATAGGTTAACGGTCCACGAGCCATTATAATTTTTTTTGAAAAGCAAAAACCAAAAATATTCACAAGGGACTAGTAGAATTAATGAATGAAGAAATGATAATTCAGTATTTGAAACTATGGTTGCTCTAACTAACGATTTTGGTATGTATATATGTAGGATTACCCCAGTCTATATTGATGCGAACTTGTTTTTTGGTTTTTTATATATCCAAAGAACACTGGAATTAATTTTATTTCAATTAAGCATTTCCTAAAGTAGATTGGCCTTTAATTATTTTCAAATCATTTCAGGTTGAGCAAGAATGCCAAGGATTGCAATATCAAGTCGAGGTTCGAAACATTACCCAAAAAATTGAAATTTTAACGGAAAAGTTAGATACTGCTTTCAGTCTAGGGGAGCCCAGAGAAAATGCATTTCTTACTTGCGATTTTACCTTAAACGATAGTCTAGATCAAATTCAGCAACATCTTGGAATTTTAGGTAACATTCATACGTACATACTCAATATATTGTAGCTATTCATTACCAAATTTTAATTTATTTTTTCATTGAAATTTAATAAGCAATCTGTATTTAAAACTGACAACAATTTGTATTAAGTAAATTTTTTTATCGGATATTGTCATTAAATTTTGTTTAGGCAAAGCAAGAACAAGCACAACATTTCCCAGTCTATGTACTGCTAAACTAGAAGAAAATGTGATTGCCGGAATTGAAAGTTGCATTGCATTAAGGACTGTAGACTATCATGGTAATGTGAGGAAAAATGGTGGAGATCCCGTTGAAGCAGAGCTACTTCCAGTAAGTATAACCTCATTCCCAATATGTGGGGTGTTTTGAAAAACGCGCATCTAATTTGTATGGTAAATAGCAGCATATTAGTTTGTTAATGAACAGATGTAAAAAAACTCCACTTCCAAAAGGATATTAAGGATATTTTTTTCTTATTCTAAAATGAAGTTTAGTTTAGGTAGTTAGAAGTTAGAAGACTGGTTCTCCAAAGTTGCTGCTGATAAGTTCAAAATTTACAATATTTTTACTTCATAGTCGGTCAGCATTAATTGGCTAAAACCTCATATAACTCCAAAAGCAGATTTTTTAACTTTGAACGAAAGTACCTCTTCTTATGGAAAACTATTTAAAAAATATTGTATTTATCCAAAAAATTAAAAATATCCGGACAAAATAAGTGGCCCCCGACGCTCGTATACAAAATATTAAAGTCACCGAGATACAAGGTATTAAATTTCTAAGAAACAAAAATATTTTCCTTTACGTTACTAAAGAAAATTGGTAGACGATTTTCCAGCCTTAAAAGAAATTTTCTCAGGAATATTTTCGATGTCATTGAGCTTAATATTTTAAAAAAAATTGTACTAGACTTTTTGTTGCTAAAATTCAAAATCGTTTTCGAAATTTCCCAATTAATTTGAAGCCACTTTGCCCTCACTACTTTTTTTCCCTGCAACCAACCATTTTAGTTTGGAAAAGGAAAACTACTTTCTTAAATTTTGGTTTATGTTGATTTCAACGATAAGATTAAAACCAAGAAAGTTTGTAAAATTATTTACGAATTTAGTTAATTGAAAGTTTTGTAGAATGATGAAATTTTGGCAATTTTCTCTTCTATAATATTGCGTTCAAATACCATACGTACTTCACTGGGTAAAAATTTAAACTATTTTATATCAAAAAATGTTCATTGGTGCTCAAAAGACGTGTTGCAATTATATATATATATATATATATATATATATATATATATATATATATATATATATATATATATATATATATATATATATATATAATTGAAACGTCTGCAGGATTCCAGTCGGAGTTCAACGAGCGAACGGATGATATCCCGGAATATAGTGTCATCATATATATATATATATATATATATATATATATATATATATATATATATATATATATATATATATATATATATATATATATATATATATATATATATATATATATATATATATATATATATATATATATATATATATATATATATATATATATATATATATATATATATATATATATATATATATATATATATATTCTCACGTATTGATTCACGGATGGAAAAATGTGATGACACTATATTCGAAGTGTTCGAAGTGTTTTCTGAGCGCGAGCATTGAAGATGCCAAGTGAGATTTTGGCGAAACGTCTGCAGGATTCCAGTCAGAGTTCAACGAGCGAACGGATGATATCCCGGAATATAGTGTCATCATATATATATATATATATATATATATATATATATATATATATATATATATATATATATATATATATATATATATATATATATATATATATATATATATATATATATATATATATATATATATATATATAACAAATTTTAGTTAATTGGGGTATCGGTCCTGATGAGGGCTCAAATAAAAGGCTTTTGTGCTACACCAAGCTTTCGAAAATGTTTATTTTCTTCTTCAGGGGCTACAATATGAAAGCGGCTCTTAGTTATTTAATACTAAAGTCTTCTAGTTAAAGTACTTACTGCTACAGTGCCATTATAGGCCAACACCAAACCCATCCGGATAACAGAAAGAATCAAATACGACCGTTAATTATTATAACCGAGGGCAGCCATCTAGACGAAATTGTTATTACATTTTATTTAAACGAATTTTACTTCAAACGCAAAACGCAAATGATGGAAAGGTTTTATTCGTATGACTACCGCCAGCCGTCCAGTTTTTTTCCTTTCTTTTTTTTTCCCCTTTTGTTACCTCCTTTTTGCTTACAAGGCACCTAATGTATAGAGGCTTGGGACTATTTTTCTAAATTATAATTACATTGTGACGACACTATTATCAGCAAACGCAATTCGATTGACGGTCGGTTGTAAAGTTAAGACATTAGAGTAGATCACACTGAGGCCATCAATGTCAGATCTTTTATTGACCGATTTCGGTTCCAAGAAGATCTCCACCATTTCCAAAGTTGCTCTTTTGTTGTAGTTGCTTTCTTTATGGAGAATTTTTGTTTCAACAAAGTTAACATCGTGATTCATTTGGTTAGAGTGTGTTGCTAATGAACAGGTGTTCTTATTGAGTCTGCAATCACTCTTGTGTGACGTAATTCTATCTTTAAGTACTCGCGATGTCTGTCCTATGTATACCTGATCACACTGATTACAGGGGATGCTATAAATTACTTCTGAATTCTTTTGTACCTCATCCTTATCTTTTAGTTTGCTAAAGACACTCCCCAATGTTTTTGTTTGTTTATATGCTATCTTAATATTTGTTTGTGCTCTCAGAATTTTTGTGAGTGTGGTCGTTAATTCTTTAATGTATGGCAATGAAAAATAAAAACATCTCTGATCGTCCATTTCTGGGCTATCTGAGTGGACGACAGTGTTCCGCGGGTTTGGAGCTCTTAGTGGGGTCGTGCTATATAACAATTTTTTAGTCAACCTACTTGGGTATGAGTTGTTAATCAGCATGTCGTAAAGCTTATTAAGATTTTTTTGTCTTAGTGATGGGTGAGAAATCCTCTCGATTCGTGTCTTTAATGCTATGACCAAATTTATTTTTGTTTTCGTTGTATGGTAAGAGTGGAAATTCATATATCTCCCCGAACTGGTCGGTTTTATGTACCAATCTAATATAATTTTGTTATCGTTGTTCCGGATCACTTTAGTGTCCAGAAATGGTACGCTTTTATCAATTTCCTCCTCTACTGTAAATTGTATGTGTGCATCATAGCTGTTAAACACTGTGAGAGTTCCCCTCACGCAACTTTCAGGTATGGAAGTAATTATATCATCCACATATTTTTTCAGAAATGGTAACTGAAACGACAGCTTATCTACGCACACCTCAAGTAGGTCATCCATAACGTATTGAGCTAATATTGGAGAAATTATGGCACCCATCGGTGTACCTAATTTTTGTTTGTAAAATTCATTGTTAAATCTAAAATACGTTGTATCAAAGACAAACTGAAGTATCTTTAGGAAACTAATTTGTGACAAATCAGTGTGGTTTCTAATTCTGTTCCAATGTTTTTTTATACTTTTTTCTACCAAATTATATGGAATATTACTAAATAAAGAGACGACATCCAAGCTCACAAGAACATACTTATTAGGTAATTGTTTGTCATTGATAAATGAAGAAAACTCAAATGAATCACCTGTGTAATAATCATTATTCTTATTATATGCTTTGGTTAAAACCTGAGTCAACAATGAAGCCAGTTTACTGTTCGGAGCATTAATTGATGAAATTATCGGTCTTAAGGACAATTGGGGTTTATGTATTTTGGGTAAGCCGTAAAATTTAGGACAAGTTTGATTATATATATTTAAAGTTTTGGCTACCTCATTTGTTAATTGTTTTTGATCTTTTAATGATTTGACAAGTTTGTTAGCTTTTTGTTGGTAAGTAGATGTAGGATCGCATCTGAGACGCTCGTAATAGGTCCGATCCATCAGAATTTCGTTTGATTTTTGAATGTATGTATCTTTAGACATAATAACTGTCACATTCCCTTTATCGGCACTAGAAACGACCAACTCAGCGTGATCCTTAAAAAAATTTTTTGTCTTTTTTGACAAAATGTCTATATAGCTACGCTTTGCCGGTTGTTTTAAAAAATTAGTCAATACATTAGTAAACTTAGCTCTTACAGTATTTTTTGCGTTCTCTGGTACAACTTTAATTATAGTTTCTACATCAGCAATTAAACGTTTGACTGAGATTTCATTGCATCTTGGTGGCACGGAAAATTTCGAACCTAAAGAGAGAAACCTCAAGACATCATCCGGGACCTCAACCTCTGAAATATTCTTAACCCAATTCTCTTGTATTTTGATTGTTAAGTGATGCTGTTGCGACTTCAAGTTTTGAAATTTGTTTATGTTCTTTTTTTTGATGGTTTTGAATTTTTTATCACATGGCCCTTGTTGTCTTTTACCAAATTCGTCAACAACATATTTTAGATTTAACAATGAATTTTACAAACAAAAATTAGGTACACCGATGGGTGCCATCATTTCTCCAATATTAGCTCAATACTTTATGGATGACCTACTTGAGGTGTGCGTAGATAAGCTGTCGTTTCAGTTACCATTTCTGAAAAAATATGTGGATGATATAATTACTTCCATACCTGAAAGTTGCGTGAGGGAAACTCTCACAGTGTTTAACAGCTATGATGCACACATACAATTTACAGTAGAGGAGGAAATTGATAAAAGCGTACCATTTCTGGACACTAAAGTGATCCGGAACAACGATAACAAAATTACATTAGATTGGTACATAAAACCGACCAGTTCGGGGAGATATATGAATTTCCACTCTTACCATACAACGAAAACAAAAATAAATTTGGTCATAGCATTAAAGACACGAATCGAGAGGATTTCTCACCCATCACTAAGACAAAAAAATCTTAATAAGCTTTACGACATGCTGATTAACAACTCATACCCAAGTAGGTTGACTAAAAAATTGTTATATAGCACGACCCCACTAAGAGCTCCAAACCCGCGGAACACTGTCGTCCACTCAGATAGCCCAGAAATGGACGATCAGAGGTGTTTTTATTTTTCATTGCCATACATTAAAGAATTAACGACCACACTCACAAAAATTCTGAGAGCACAAACAAATATTAAGATAGCATATAAACAAACAAAAACATTGGGAAGTGTCTTTAGCAAACTAAAAGATAAGGATGAGGTACAAAAGAATTCATTTATAGCATCCCCTGTAATCAGTGTGATCAGGTATACATAGGACAGACATCGCGAGTACTTAAAGATAGAATTACGTCACACAAGAGTGATTGCAGACTCAATAAGAACACCTGTTCATTAGCAACACACTCTAACCAAATGAATCACGATGTTAACTTTGTTGAAACAAAAATTCTCCATAAAGAAAGCAACTACAACAAAAGAGCAACTTTGGAAATGGTGGAGATCTTCTTGGAACCGAAATCGGTCAATAAAAGATCTGACATTGATGGCCTCAGTGTGATCTACTCTAATGTCTTAACTTTACAACCGACCGTCAATCGAATTGCGTTTGCTGATAATAGTGTCGTCACAATGTAATTATAATTTAGAAAAATAGTCCCAAGCCTCTATACATTAGGTGCCTTGTAAGCAAAAAGGAGGTAACAAAAGGGGAAAAAAAAAGAAAGGAAAAAAACTGGACGGCTGGCGGTAGTCATACGAATAAAACCTTTCCATCATTTGCGTTTTGCGTTTGAAGTAAAATTCGTTTAAATAAAATGTAATAACAATTTCGTCTAGATGGCTGCCCTCGGTTATAATAATTAACGGTCGTATTTGATTCTTTCTGTTATCCGGATGGGTTTGGTGTTGGCCTATAATGGCACTGTAGCAGTAAGTACTTTAACTAGAAGACTTTAGTATTAAATAACTAAGAGCCGCTTTCATATTGTAGCCCCTGAAGAAGAAAATAAACATTTTCGAAAGCTTGGTGTAGCACAAAAGCCTTTTATTTGAGCCCTCATCAGGACCGATACCCCAATTAACTAAAATTTGTTGTTCAACTAGCCGGTCACGACTACCGTTTTGTATATATATATATATATATATATATATATATATATATATATATATATATATATATATATATATATATATATATATATATATATATATATATATATATATATATATATATATATATATATATATATATATATATATGCAATTTGCCCTGTATAATATTTTAGGAGCATAGGTTTTTTTTTTGTATAGTATATCCTGATTTGCTTCATATAGGGTACAGGCCGTCAAAGTTTATTAGACAAAACCGTTTTTTTTTTAACTTCTTAGCTGATTTTTAATTCTAGCAAAATTACTTATTAAGAACTAGAAGGTCTGTACAAAAATTCCTTATTTTTTTAAAACTAAAGCTCTTTACTGGCTAATTGCTAAATAGGGATATTAGATGGCGTCTGAAGCTTATCAATATTTCGATTTCGAAATTGCCAATAATAGATAAGTAAGATAGTAAGATAGTAGATAAGTAAAGCCGGTTGCAGAACTGAAATCTGGACATAACCTCAAACCTTAAAGCAGACGTTTGCTTGGCTACTCTGCCATGGCCCTAAAAGTTTTTCACAAAGCTTTTTGTCTATTTGATTGACCATAATAACTTGGTTTCTTTGTGTTGCATTAGTAATTAGTGCTTTTGATTTGATAATATCGAATGGTCTCTATTTTTAATGAAATTTGTAGTCTCTTCTAAGAGGTACGATTTCAGGTTACGGCCGACCAGAGTTCCGAGAGTAGCTTTCCGTTAAGGATCGTGGACTGTGATGACGGTACTTACAAGATATACTTTCGTTCGAAAAAGGCAGGCAGATATGGCGTAAAAATATCTGTGATCGATCGACCTATAAAAGATAATCCGTTATATTTCGACGTCAGCGAGCATAACAATCCCATCGCAACTTACGGTAGCAGAGGTAGTGGCAAGGTAATTTTTTTATTACCGACCCCCATGGCCAAAGTAATGTAATCAACGCTCACGTAAAATAAACGTTAAACAACTACCATATCTTTTGTAATTTTATGGATTATGCTTAATGAAATAGTAGCACCACATTTTGTTAATCTATATAGAATAAAATTTCTAATTTATCTATATTATTATATATAATCCATAGGTGTTGCCTTCGTTTCGTAACACAATTCATAGTGTTTAGGGTTATGTTTGACTGTTGTTTAGAACTTAAAAATTATACAAGAGTTTAAAAGTGATTCAAAGTGGTTTTTTATAGCATTTTAGTAGCAGTAGCTATATGGTTTGAAAGTTTCATTCTTTTCGGTAGGATGAATTTAATCAACCTGTCGCTGTGGCTATAGATGAGAGAGATCAGACTGTTTACGTTCTTGACACCGGAAATTCTAGGATAAAGGTTCTCAATGATAAATTGGAGTGCACCAAGCACGTGACCAATGAAGGTTTGCTGGGCCGCAGTTGCACAGGTAATGTCAAAATAAAAATAAGTAACAAATTTTAAATACAAATTATATTTGTTTGAATTTGCACTAATTAGAGGCCATGAAACAATATAATATCTCCTAAGCTTCTTTGTTTTACTGTTTACTAATTTCTCACGGAAAGTGGTACAATATTAGTGTCGTGTATGCTAGACACACTATTTCATTAAGGAAAAATATAATTTATCTGTCTATATCAAAAATATTGTAAAAATTCTTTATACTTCTCCTAATCAGCGCTAGTGATGCTGCAAATAAATTATGTGATTTGGCTAACATATATTTCAATTCTGGGAAAAGAATTGTGTTAAATCCCATGAAAACAACGTCCCCGTCTAACAAACAGAAAACGATTGGGCGCCAAATGCTTCTGCTTAGAGACCCATGCGTCGACTGCTGTGAAGATTTTAACAATGATTCACATACAACTACATAAGATTCAAGGCTCAATTAACACCAGACGAAAAAAGCATAAAAAGTATGTTTGGGACTCGTTGATATTATGAAAAAAGAAATACTGAGCATCTAAGGGGTGGCATCTTGTAGGCAAAGAATCTCCCAATTCTTGTCGAGTTTCTACAGGAATATTAAAGAGGTGCTGTTGATTTCTAATGATGTAGAATATTCGAATATTTATGTTTTTCTATGTATCTAAAATTCGATGCGTGTTTCCCATCCCAATGGCACATTCTCCTCTGCTAATGGCCCCATTGTATTGAATCGGTGCATTTTTAGCGGACTAGCCCTGTCCCAGATCGACTCAAACTTGTAGGGTCACAAAACCAAATAACAACCTAACTGACCTTGAAACGTATATGATTGCGTGCCCTTAAATTTATGGTTAGTATTTATCATATGATACGCAACGAATGCATGTGGATGCAGCGTTGGGTGTTCAGTGCAATACCTTGTCAAAAGTTGAACTATCTCTATGCTCCATACACTAAAATGCCTCTAATAACCTATTACAAATATTTTTTTATTAACTTAGAAATATGAATTATTCCAATGGAGTGAGTCACATTATGTACTCTGGGTCCCATTGATGGCCGATAGATGTGTGCATATCCCAAAGGAATTTTGAATCATTAAACAAGTTATTTTTTTCTCCCACGAATATGATGTTTTGCGCTTTTTCAGGCATCGCTATATCCAATAACGGACTAGTCGTGGTAAATTGGAGGAGCAAAGTGGTTACCGAATTAACTACGGACGGAGATACTATAAAGTCGTTTACTAACAACGCTTTTCAAGAACCCATTGACGTGACTGTCGATAGGAGCTACGGTCACATTTTGGTGGCCGATAACGGCTTGAGCTGCGTGTTTGTTTTTGACGAAGAAGGAAAAATATTGTTTCAAGTAAGTGCTTGCTCTTTAAATTTGACACGGTTTTTTAAATATATCACCATGTATATTGTTCAGACTATCTTTTGTACTTTCATTTTTTTTGTTCTTATCTGATTATTGTGACAAACCAGCCAAACAATTCAGGTCAAAATATTTATTTCAATATATTTTTGTGGGAAATTTAATTTTCTTTTTGATTTTGGGGTTTTGTAAATAAACAACAACTCAATATACATAATCGAAAATTATATCAATAGAATGATTTTGAAAATAACAATTATGTAGTACTATTGCAAATTATGTATGTAGACGTATTCCTACCTGTCTATTTGTTTCGCTTTTCTTCAACTTATTAATATGGTGGGTTAGTCAATTTTGGGATGAAGGGTGTTTATTTTTTACATTGACTAGATAACTGACGCTAAATAAATAGATATATATATATATATATATATATATATATATATATATATATATATATATATATATATATATATATATATATATATATATATATATATATATATATATATATATATATATATATATATATTTAAAGTTTAAAAAAATCGATACGTTAGTAGAGCTGCTAAAAAATTAAACCACTATACTAACATACGTAGAAATACACATAACAATAAATATAAATAAACATATAATATAAAATTACAAACGTAAATAAACACTTAACCTAAAATTGTATATACGCCCTTTTCCATCGGTAGTATTTGAGAAGGCGTTAAATGTTGCCTTGTTCTACTTTCACCTGTTCATTCTATCACTCTAACTCAACAGCTTAGTTAATTTGAAGATTACCCAAAATAATAGTGATTTTGCAAAATGCTCGGTAAATTTGTGTAAATTTTACATTGTCGGTTGCAGATATAACGATTTTTATACCTATTCAGTTTACCTATTTTAAAATTACTGAATGCATTTTCTTTTACATTTAGGTAGGGAAAAAAGGAACGTTTAGTTTGATATCGTCCGTTGCTATCGGGCCGCTTGGCGAAATCCTCGTCGCAGATTCAAGGATCCAGATGTTTTCTGCGAAAGGAGATTTCATGGAAATAATTTATGATGAAGGAAGAGGTAAATAAAAATCTATTTTTTTTGTATTGATTTCCCGTGGTGTGCCATCAACCGATACAATCAGGGAGAGATTCCATGGTGGGGGGTTTCATGTTCTATGGTAGACATGCTTGTAGAATGCAACGGAAAATAAAAGTGTTGAAAACGTATATTCGGCGTATGTTATTTAAAAGTTACCGACAATAACACGACACGTGGCAACCAATGTAATCCATTGCAATTATTTACTAATCATATTTTTTTTAAGAAACTTCCACTGGCCACTGTAATACTATTTACAAAACTTCTGGGTTCCTTCTGCAACCGAAGCAGGAGGGATCCAGAAGTTTTGTAAATAATAATCATCGTCAGTCTTGAACGATGGAAAAATATTAGGGACTATACGATGGTATAAGTTGGCTATAGGATCCGTTTGTAAGATTATCTGGAATTTTTTCTTCATGGGTGTTTCATGACAATCCTTTCTTCCTTTGTTTTCTTTGAAAATTACTAGGTTATGGTAGGATTTTAGAAATCTTAAGTAGTAATTTGTTGCTAAGATAGTCGAACATGTCGTTAACATTATCTAAAGAGAAAATAAGATTGCTATCTATTCGAGAGTTAATCTTAGTGAGACATTCAGTACAATTCCAAAAGTGCCGTTATTTGCGTTCCCAAATCAGAGAAAGGTTTCTTTCAGGAAAAGGAAGATACGGGGGCTTGGTCATAGACGGTCAAGGCCGAATTCTGGCAAGCAGGACCGAACAAAAGGGCAGAACGTATGTTCAGGTGCTGTCGACGATGGACAAAACGGTCAATCAGTGCATCGACTCGCACGAATCGAAACTTAAAAGGCCAAGCGGCGTAGCGGTTACCAACGACAACCACGTCGTAGTTGTAGACTTAGGCAATAATTGCGTCAAGAAATATCGGTACTGGTAATAAAACTTAACTACCGTTTTAATTAGGCCGGGATTGGCAAACTTCTTATTAGTTCACAATCGTATTCGTAATTTTATTGCAGATCATTTCAGTCGGACAGTTGTAAACCAATGATATCCATTATACAATTCTTTAATTCGTAAACCTATTGTTATTTCCTAAAATATTAAATCCAATACGGGTCCAAAGGTAACCAATTATTATATGAAGAAAGGAACAAGAGACAGTGCAACATAACATTATTTTAACAAAATTATATTACAGTCGGTTTTAAAGTTACAAAAAGAATTGTATGAAACATGTCAATTTATCCTAAAATCACGGGTATTTTTTCTTGTTAATTGTTGTGTTTACAAGGAAAATACTTGGCTATAAGGGCTTCAAATTTTACATATATTTTATATTCAACACTGTGAAACAAAGTTAACTTAAACGACATCCATCTCCACCGACAACTGAATTGATTTTTTCTTTCAGTTTTACAATGCTTTGGTTAGGTTACAACTACTATGCTTTTCACATTTAAGGAGTGTAAGGCAAGCATTACATATTTACTCGTTAAACAACATTTTTTACTCTAAATAATTATTTTTCGCCTTCTTAGGGATTATATTGTTTTTTTCATGCAGAGTTCTTAAACAGTGCTTTCGCTACTATTTCCTGAATATTTGTTGGAGATTTTCCACTTTCATTGTCATTTTCAAAATCGTTTATCAAATTTAAAACCATTGTCTATGCTTAGGGATGCAAAAAACAGAAAATTGCTTCTATTGTCCATATGGCAACCTAAAATTGTCAGAAGTGACAACTGTACAGCTTATCTTTTTGTTTCATGTACAGAGTATAGGTCTGTTTCATTCCAAACAAGACAAAAGAAAAACAAACGTGAAAGTGTGTTGTTGACTAATCCTAAAACCCGCACGATAAGATCAATTTTGACTATATACAACTTTTTTATAAAGTAAATGCAACAAACAATGGGTTAGTTGAACTCAAAATTATGTTTATATATCCAAGGGCGGTTTTCGCACCCTATCTAATCTAAGTTGAAAAATTAGAAGGCTAAACATTGTCACATGACGTATTGTATTGGTATGGAATTGGGTAAATCTGTTTTAAAATCGCGAATACGTTTATGATTAAGACTTACAAAATAAAATTACGAAGTTGGGTAATCCCGGTGTAGGGACTCGTTTTTGCAGCTTAATAGCACAGAAAAAACTGTTCATTAAATGAATCAAAATCGAAGTTGCTGGCCATTAAAATAGTCAAAATAGCAAAGTCGCTCGTACCGCGAATAAGAATGCTCGTTTTTTTGAAGTATCTCTATTGTTAGGCATTTTGGTTTGTAATAAAAAAAAAACATGTACTGGAAGATCATAGGCTGTGGAAAGGTCCTCAATTTTAAGACTAACAATTGTTATCAATTGATTGAAAAACTAAATTTGCTACTCAATGGGTCCTTAATTTTAAAACTAGCAGTCTTAATGGAATGAAAACATAAATTTGCTATTGGTAGGTTATAACGCTTTAAAAGCGTCCCTGATTTTAAGACTAGCAATTTTAATCAATTGATTGAAGAAATAAATTAGGTACTGGACGATCACGTGCCTTGAATGGCTTCTCAATTTTAAAACTAACAGTCTTAATTGATTGGAAAAATAAATTTGCTGCTGGAAGATCATAACGCTTTCAAAAGGTCCCTTTTTTAAAATTTATCAATATTAATCAATTTATTGAAAAATGTATATTTTGCCCCTAAAATTGAGGGTAAATTAATTTCACCATTAATCCTTCAGTAATATAAATTGATACGTCGAATGTCATTGCCATTGGCAAGAGGCTTAGCAACTTATATTTAAGATAAAAATTCTTTTGTAAGGAAAAAGTGAATGCTGGCGGCTGTCAAGCCCTAAAATCGGGAATTTTTTCAATAACGAAATCACCCAGTGCATCTTATCACAAATTAGCTATCTCCTCCTGGATATTTTGGACACGCCGATGAATTTTACATAAAACATTTATCAAAATAATTGTGAAGTTACCGAAAAGATAAACTATTAAGTTTCTATCAATGTGGGTGATCCTCAAGATTCCCTTGAACATTCAGTAAATTTGGGAAGCATTGTGGGTACATATAAAAAAGTTGTGAACAAAAATTCTTACGAGATCATTTGAACAAGGTATAAATAAAAAATGGAGTTTCAATTAAAATATAATGTATAATTTTTTCAGTTGTATTTTTCTGGCAGTTGCATGAAATACGCCTATTTGCTTTTTTGTTGGCTCTAACGTTCGGTTGTCTCATGATAGACTGTTGTTTAGTTAAGTTTATCTACAACTCACAAAAACAATAGTCGTTCCTAACCAAAGATCTCAAAATTTTTCAATGAACCAGAGCTACCCTACTAGATCTAAAAGAATAATCTTGTTTTAATACTCAAATAGCTGTCGGGCCAGAATTGTAATTATATAAGTGTTTGTTTTTTTACTTTTTGATACTAATGATTTTTTTGCTGTAAAAAATTAATTTTACGTTTAAGTTAGTTAGACACTGTCTCTTAATATGTGATTTTAAAATATGTAAAATTTACAGTTGTCACATTTTATTATATGTATATAGTACGAGATCTGATTTGTCTCAAATATTCAAATATACATTCAGTCAAATTTGACAGACCGTTTTTAATAAATTAAGAATGTATTTACCACGTATAGTAACTAAAATTGTACTGCCTTGAATCTTAAAACTTCTTACTAGGTATACAAACATTGTATAACTCTTGTAACCATTTGGACACTTGAAATTAGATCTGATGATACTTTTCAAAGAGTACTTAAAAAAAAGAAGTGATGAGAACAGTGTTATTTTGGATTTTTTATGTCATGTTCCTGTACAAATTGTTTTTCTCTAGTCACTAGCATGTATTTTTATATCATGTAGTAGTTATTTTGTATGTAAATAATAAATATTGAGGAAGATGCGTTTTTGTTCTTGAAAAAAAAATTTTTTTTTATAAAGCATATCTTTGGTACAACATCGACCCCTTGACTATTTAAAATCTCAACTGGCCTCAGACTTAGCTGTATAGCGCTTTTACAAATAAATTTTCTAAATTTACATTACCAGTGATATCAGACATGCTAAAATGGTTATTTTAAAAGATAGAGCTGCGCCCGTTTATTGGCTATTTTTTATTTGTAAAATGCCTCATTTCGCACCGAAACTGAACAGCATTCTGTGTTGGGGTGTTGGGTTTTAGAAATATCGTTGTTTAATACATGGGAAACCATTCCTATTGCTATACACAATTCTTTTACTAAATAGAGGACGCGCTGCTGTTGCAAATAAATTATGTGATTTGGCTAAGATACCCTTGATTTTTGTCAGAAGTATAGTGTCAAGAAAACCAGGAATAAGCCGAAAGGAAATGCATACACTAAGAAATCCAAAGGAAAGGTTTGTGAATGACGAAAACCAAAAAATCTGTGTAAACTTTTGTCGACATTGGAATCCAAAAGGTATGAAACAGATAAGAGACAACTTTTTATGGAATCCTAGCGTTTAAAAAAATGGTGACATGAGTATACAAAAGCGATAAGAAAATATCTTTCTGACAAACATTTATCTTGATGAGACATGGTTTGACATTCAGACACTCAATCCAAAGGATGGCCTGATTCTTCCTGAAGGTATAGAAAAATATACATTGTGGCTTAGTTCTAAAAATATTAGACTTATGCCTGGACTGCCATGAGATACAACGGCAGAACTTTTTGTGCTAATGGTTCAGGGATTGACTGACCTAAAATTCTCCGGAATAGCGTTATCATAATGGACATATCACAGTCGCCAACTACATAAGTTTCCAGTCAAATATTCAAATAATCAATTCAGCTTTTCGGTCGTTCTTAATCCGATCCACTGTGTTCTAGTTCCTCTTCTACTGTTTGGTATCCGTCGTGTCTAAAAGTATGACCAAGGTGAGTCTTTTTTCTCTCATTAGTTGTTAACAATTCTCGGCGTGTATGAACATTTTTTTGTTTTTTACCCTGTCCGGCCGAAGGTACTCTCAATTAGCATCAATAAGTCTATATTTCGAAGGCAATATACCTTTTTCATCATGTTTGTCCACGAGTCCACTCCATAGAGACGCACCGACCAGACAGCATATGCGATTCGAAGAGATATATTTAGATCCCGATTTCTAAGAATTTCTAAGAACGAACTTCTCAATTTAGAAAAGTAATAAAGCCTGCATATTGCTAAGTTCTTTTTTACACAAAGCACATGTACTTTTATTGCATTTCAATAATCCAAAACCATTGATCTATGAAAACACTATGCTGATTTCTGCTATTTCGGAGTCCAAATTAATTAGTTTGTCATCTGCCGTACATTATAATTTTTTTTTTATTTGACTCGCCTTCGATTTTTTGGTAACTTTAAAATACCCAGATATGGTTACGTTCTATTTCTTATTCTAACATTGATAGTTAAAATTTCTGTTTTGCTTAACTTTTTTGTTTGAATTTCTGATTTAGGTAGCAAATAAAAATATTAAACAGATTATTTAATCCTAAAAACTAACCAAAGCTAAACAAAACCGAAAGCACAACACACTGGATGGTCCTTCCAGCCGAATCAAGCGATAGGTAAATTGAGGAGAATAATAACGAGAAGCGGCCGTAGATAACTGTGTTTATCGGCGTTTAATTCCATTGATTTTCCAATACAAAAGTATCCGGTACAATCGGGGCTTCATAATAAATATCCATTAAAAAAAAAATATATTGACTGTGCCAATATTACTTATATTTTAAAAGTATCTACATTAAAAATGTCTAGTGTTAAGAATGTGTATTTTGTAGCGTACATGTTTCTTCTCAGTATTATTGATAACCTATTTAAAAAAAAACTAAGTTAAGCAATGATTAAAATGCTGAGCCCAAAAAAACAGTTACAAAATAACAGAATTTATTATATTCAATGTTGTCACTTAATTAAACGTGTAAGTGGAAATTCTGTTTAACTACAAATTTGCGAAATGTAGTGCAACAACAGTTTTAGAACAATTTCAAGTCAAAATTTAAAAAATGCACAATAGCAAAGTATTTATAAAAAAATCAACAAAATTCTATTGTATTGTTTGGAGAAGATGTAAGCTGTAGCAGCATATACTGTCAAGTACTGGATCCAGACAAATAACTTTAAATGCCATAAGATCTATTATATCCAATAGTTATGATTAGGATGGCAGTTTGAAGATGCTGCGTTATTATTAACTAAGTGCTTTCTTTGGATAGATCTCCGAAGTTTAATATTCAAATTTTCACTAATTTTATGTTAATTTTAATATTGATTTTTGTGGTGTTTAAAATCAAGCCAATAACACTAGCCAGAAATCTAAAACAAAATATCTACAGATAAATAAGCCTATTCAATGGGATGTACAAAATATTAAAGATATAAGCCTAACAACAATAACCACATGTCCAAGCAAAAATGCTGACAAATTTGCAAGTATCACATATACTGGCTGTCCCAGTAAGGACGACTGACTGGAAATTATTTTCAAGTTTCTGATATCGCTACCAGGGGGCGTAATTTGAATCGGTTTCTACAAAAATTTATAATATTAACCATAGTTAAAGGGGTTTTATTTTAAGAATGAGACAAGTTCTTTTTTCACTCTATCTCTGCAAGGTATATGGGGGGCGGGGGTTGTTCGAATATTTTCTTATAATACATAAATAATAAATATAATACATGTCTGGGTATCCCAAAAGGCTTAATGCATTTTAATAAACTTGGAGTTGTTAAAAATGGCTTTTTGAAAACTGCTAAGCAAGTCAAAATGTAGGAATCTCAGCTACAGTGTAATTTGGCGCCCTTCGAATGTACTGTGAAGAAATAATAAAGATCAATGATAACATTGTGTTTTGATTGTAAATATCATTTGGCATCCTATATAATAGATTTATTTCGTACATTTGGGATAATTAGACCTCTAAAGTAGAAAATTTTTCCTAAAATCTAACTTTTTTTTGAGCATTTTGCATATTATTTATTGCATTGTTGGCCATTTCACAGACTTGAATATCATTTTGCATATTATTTATTGCATTGTTGACCATTTCACAGACTTGAATATTATTTCCAGCATTTTGTTTTTACAGATTTACTTAATAATTTTTTTTTTTTAATTATTAGGATCCTCTGTTTCCCTAACATCGTACTTCATTGCCCCTACTGGGACACCCTATACATTGAACAACATCACCAAAATAGGAAACAGAACTGGTTTTATTTACTTACAAAATTATAATTAACAAAATCAGTACAATACCTACAGAGACATGTTTAATAGTTACATATGTAGTTAATATTAAACTATATTTGACCATTTTAATTTAAAGCCTTTTTCCTTATATTTAAGCCAAAATGTGTACTGCTACAAAATTGTGCTTTATATATAATATGAAAAATGAATAGAATCAGTTGAGAAATATATTTTTAACTTTAAAATACTAAAATTATGAAACAAATTCGTTTCATACGATCTTTACAATATGCAAGGAATTGTGTGACTACTGGTTGAAGGTTTATTAATGGTTATTACCATACTGTCATCACCATCACCATTACTGCTCGATTCCTGTTCAACTCGATTAGGAGGACTGATAATGGGAACAAGAACAGTTTGGTCTTCGGGGAGATTCCTAGGTATATATCTTATGATGCAAGACCTTTGCCATCTGGCATGAAGCCTGGTTACTGCATAAACCCACAAATAATAACCAATAAGTATGATACCAATTACAGTCAATAAAGAAACAGAGGAATTTCTTTCGTCTTCCGCTCGAGTAACAGCTTCTGAAAATTTCTGCTGGCTATAATACATGCAGACGATATATGTTACCACAATAATGGCCAAGGGTGTTATTACTGTACATGCTATTATGTGAACTCTTACGCCTTGTTCCGGAGATCTTGGTCCATTTTTGAGCCAATGGCAAATAGAACGAAAGTGATTAGTCTTCGCGAGTTTCTCCCTCCTAAACATTTGATGGCATAATTCACAGTTCGTTGTTCCTGATTCGCTCAACCACTGATCTAGGCATGATCGATGCACGTAAGCGACAGAACCCTAAAAAGTATTGCTGGTAGCTGAGACCTAAACGAGGGCCACTATTAGTAACCTTGCAATAGCAGGGGGCTACTAACTCTTCGACTTTTTCACTCTCGTAACATATACGACACGCGACAGAAGTCACGGACAGTTTTGGAGAAGTGGCATTATGCTCTTTACTAACTCGCGTTTGTTTCTTGTCACTGTTTTCCAACATTTTTTATTGAGTAGGTATGATCCTAGTGACCGGTGACTGGTGACCAATTATTTAGGTAACAAAATTTGTTGATACTTGGAAATTGTCACCCATTTGTCATTCTCTCTTCTTCTTCTTCTTTGTTCTTTACAAACAGTTGGGCAAGTCTACTATGGCCATTCGCCCATTACCGACATCCGTCGAGGAATTTCTTTTTTTGGTCACAGATCAACAATGAACAAAAAAGCTATTACCAACATTTATTCTCAGTTTCCAATATTGGGCTTAGACCGATAACAAAAAAAAAACAAAAACAAAAAAAACGAATTCCCCCGCTACCCCCGTGGACTATCCGGGTCCTTCGGCCTCCTTACCGGCGTGAACAGGAAAAAACCGAGGGGCCGGCGCCGATTACACCTTTAAAACACTCACTAGACACTAAAAACACTAAATCCACTCTGTGGAAACCGATTCCATAATTATTGGGGACGATTACAAAGGATTCTGTCGGGAGCGAACGGAGGTTAGACCGCCGCACACAATGCTCATCGACAGAATCCTACCCATTTGTCATCAAACACTAAATATCGTCACAGACATGGTGAGTTTGCATTAGCAATTCTTCTTTCTTCTTACACTTGAATTGACATAATTGCTAGAATCTTTAAGTTAATTTGTGTAAAGTAAACAGACACGGATTGAAAAATTTTTTACTTTTAAACAGAGCATCAAAAAGCAATTTGCTAGACAGGAACATTGCTCACTGTCATCAAACACTAAATATCGTCACAGACATGGCGAGTTTGCATTAGCAATTCTTCTTTTCTTCTTACACTTGAATTGACATAATTGCCAGAATCTTTAAGTTAATTTGTGTAAAATAAACAGACACAGATTGAAAGATTTTTTCCTTTTAAACAGAGCATCAAAAAGCAATTTGCAAGGCAGGAACATTGCTCACTAAAATCGAAATCTTTAACTACAGAGGATAGTTACATCGGCCAGTTTGGCGCGAGTAGTGACGTTGTTGTCCTATTTTCCTTTCATGTTTATAGGGTAATCATCGCTTAAACTTTAGACTATTGTATTCTTATAGACTCACGTTATATATTTAGTCTGAATATGTTTAATGGATATTTAGTGGATCTGGAAACACAAAAGTTCTTAAAATAAAAACCGTAGGAATATTTGAAGCAGAAGGGGAATAAGTTTCCAAATAGTAACTACAGTAAAACCTGTTAATAACGGCCTTAAAAAGGTAGCCGTTATTTTCAATTTTTGTATCTCACAAATAAAATCATTATTTTATTTTGACTTTTTCTTTAACAGTCAATACCTATACACATACATATGAACAGGAAGGTGAACTACAACACTAATTAATATTATTTATACATGTCACATAAATATTGCAAGATATTCATATAAAATAGAAGTTGTTAAGCTTCTTAAAAAAGTATGTTTCAACCTTTGTTTGCTTTAAATTGTTTAACTTGAATTTATAAACTTCGGCTTCAAATGTAAGTGAAATTTGAGAAATATCCATAAAAATTTCATTATTACGATTACTCAATAAATAATTTTGTATGTCTCTTAATTTTGTGCAAACTTGGGTCATAAACTAGTTTTTTCTGTTTTTATCTTCATTATTATTGCGCAGTTCGTGAACAATTTCCATATTTTATTTTTATTTATTTGCATTTTCCAAATTTATCTAAATCCACAATTCCGTTAGAAACTGTTGTAAAGAGTTGTTCAAGTGGTGTTTTGTCTTCTTCTTCAAACATTATATCTTCTTGGATAACACCGGAGAATTCGGCCTTGAAAAGCATTTCAGGATTGTAGTAGGAAATACCTTTTTCCAAGCAGTTGTAATTCATACTAGGGCTTTGGTTAAATTTACGTTTTTTTCAGAAATTTCAAAATCACATTCTCTTTTAATAAAAAAATTTCGATAAATAAATTTGAAATTCAGAATTATTCCTTGATCTAAGGGTTGACAATGCGAAGTAGAGTTATGCGACAGGAAGACTGGTTTAAGATTTTCTATGGGAACTTTAGAATGAATGGCATTATCCATGAGAAAAACAACTTTTCTATTTTGTTTTTTCATTTAAATGTCAAATTTATTCAGCCATCTTGTCATAATTTATAAAGATGGCCGTAATTAGATGGGATTTAGTGTAGGTCATTTCCTTATAATTGATAATAATAATAATTGATTCGATACTGTCCGTTAACTCAGGTGGCCGGTTTTACTGTATAAGATAATATTCGGTCGATGCAAACTCTCCTTTTTGCCAGGATTTCTTAGAAGATTGATTTGATGACAACCGTTATACATTTTGTCACTTGACCTCTAATTAGTTAAATTGGTTCATTCTGACTGCCAATGACAGTTTTTAAATCTAAATTAATTTCACTAGACTTCATACCATAAACAGAGTTTCTTAGAAAAGATCACACCACAGCCTATTAACGTGAATTCCCATAGTCGATTGAAATAATGAATCCACTATTAGTTCCGCTAGTATTTGTTTTATTAGCGGTTTTATTAGTTGCAGATTTGCCTAAAGGTTGTACAGAAGAGATTTTCGAAACTTTAAGGGATAAAAAACCTGAAGGTGAAAATATGGTAAGTTAATTTATTTTGAGTGATGATTCTGGAACAACTTTTAAGAGCTATGACCGATTTAATTGTGATACATTTCCATCTATTTTTATCAAATATGGTTGTATTTAGATCTTTTATTATAACGTATAGTCAAAACCGATCTTATCGCTCGGGTTTTATGACTTGTCAACTAGAAACTTTCACGTTTGTTTTTCTTTTATCTTGGTTAATTGTACTCTCCAAATAAAATTCATAAGATAGATAAGACAACCGAATAATATCTTTACATGAAAAAAAAAAAAACAAAGAAGACCAAAACATGTAAACGAAAACTACGAAGGACTGAAGAGTTGAAGGAAGATATGAAAATTGAAGATCGGAATGAATGATTTATATAGATCAGAAATCAGTTTTAAAACAAACTCTTTAAAAATATAACGGTTTGGTTAATGGACTTAAATTACTATCAAAATTAATAAGAATGTTAGGTTTTCGCTATAAAAAGGACTGTAACCGACGATTTTTTAAAGAAAAACTAATTTGGATGCTAAGCCAGTCTTAGATTTTACGAGTTATTCTCGTTTACTCTTTTTAGTATGGTTCCTGGAAACTGGCTGCATTTTCTTTTTATTCCTTGTAATAGTTATCCGGATTAAATAGAAATAGACAATGTAATTTTTTGGAACTTTTTAATACCAATTGTAATTTAGTTTGTGTAAAAAATCATGTTATGTGGCTATCACAACAGTACGTAAAATAATAAAACTATTTTTCCTTATATATATAACTGCACGTTTTGGCAGTTTCTGTGTTTTCCGTTTTGATTCATAGAATTGATTTGGACCGGCATGATAAAACTGGATTTGATTATAAGCATATAAAGTTAATGGAGTTTACTGGAGCAGGACGCAGCAAGAATGTCATTTTTCCAGATTCGTCAAAGAAAACTTCTCTCACATTTTGATAATGATAATACCAAAGGATTTGCGATAGTGTCACAAAATCGTGGGAAAGTGAATCCAAGAAAGTAAGTTGATACTTAACAATTACGGAAAAATTGTGTGTATATCAGCGTAAACTTTTTTATTTATTTTTATAATTGTTCTAATCACTTCTAATAACTATTTGTTTCAGTTAATTAATAAATTCCTTTTCGCCTAATTTCGTCTAACATTCGCAATCGAAACGTAAATCTTGTTGTTTTAAAGGAATGTTAAAATGAAAGACATGAATTTTGAAAATATTTTCAAGTATAGGTTGTTTCGTAAAAGCGTGCCCCTACAAAAATATTTAGTCTAGTTCTGTATATTTTTGCATATTAGGATTTCTCCAAGGAATGTTTATATGACGCAGCAATTGTCAGTAATTGTTTTTGAATTTTAATGCTACAACATAATAGGGAAGAAATAGAAATATGTTATATCATATTATCTCCTAATATTTATCAGCCTGCACCCTTTATAATAACAGAAATGGCCTTTAAGATAGTCAAATATGTTAGTAAGATTTCAGCGCCTAAGTAATTATTTTCTACAGTGTTTTCCAAAATCTTACTATCTAATTTTTTAAGTGAACACCCTGAATCTAACTACTATATCTATCTACCATTTTCGTTAAGCTTTCCCTATACCTATCGATTCAAATTTTTCTGTAATTTTCCTTTATATGAATCATTTACAAAATGAGTAACCAAATCTAATTTGCAAACTAACTAAAGGCGCTGTTATTTTGTAGGAGCCAGTTTTTTCCAAATAGTATTGATCAGTGGAAGGTCTAGAAACCAGGTGGTTAGGATGCAAACTATCAATTTGCTTGAGTTAAGATGAAGATTTTTTCTATGTATAATATATCAACCGACAGTTAAAAAACATTTTTTTACCAAAAACATTATTATATAACTAGAACTATTTATAAAAAATTTATTATAATGAAATTTCTTAAAATTTTACAATTAACCAGTCATTCAAATGTATTGGTATTGTTCGAATTAGCCTGTAAACTAGCTATTTTATGCAATTCGGACGGTTGTGGTGATCATATTAACTAAATATATAACTAACTAAATTAACTAAAGTAAATTGATAGTTTTTAAACCAGCCAGTATTTTTTATCCGTTGCTTTGTGAAAAATGGCTGATTCCTCCAAAATTACAGCCTATGTAGTTAGTTTTTCAAATTAACTGGTTACTTAGAAAACTAGCACAGTAACCAAATTAGCCGTAACAAACACAAAATAAAAATGGTACACTCACATTTTAAAATTAAATATGTAATAGTTTTACTTCGCCGCTTGTACAAAAATAAGTTTTGGCTATTGCTAAATAATAAGTTTTGCTTTCATCTGCCATCGGGCCATGAAAGATATCGAAATTTGAGTTCTGATTTCGAGAGAAGTCTTGAACTGGTATTCAAGAAGATATTAGTATATGCAAACTAACACTTAGAGTATTTATTTACTACTACAATTTATAGAGTTACGGCCATATATCTCGGGAATTATTAATTAGACTTGAATTTAGGAATTTTAGTATACAGCGGTTTTCGGTTAGGTTGGATCCAGTGTTTCTTCATGTAGTGTACCCTATATCCAAATTCCATCGGTTTTGCAGGAATGACAAAAAACGAAAATAATTAATTATACATAAACTACAATTTTATTTAACAACGACGTAATCTCTACTCGATAATCCCTATTCGTACGATCCGCCGATTTGAAAACATTTGATTCGAGTACTTTCTTACATTTTGTGTGTAATATGCCCCATTTTTTTGAAACCATATGCGGTTATCAGTAACTGTTTCGCTCTCTCTGATGAATTTTTGTCTTTATTGTTCAATTGTTTTTATTGTTATTTAAATTTACCAATTCGTTAAAATCAATAATTATGTGGTCGATGAATTAAATTCTAGTGATTAAATCATTAATATTTTCCGTTTATGTCATTCCTGCAAAAACGATTGAATTTGAGTATAGGATAACATACCCTTTCTATTAAAAATAAGAATGTTTGGAGCTTAGGAAAAAACCATAGATACGGCAACGTCTGATTAGAAACTCCTGTACATTAAATTTGGTAAATTGCTTTGCGAAACTTTTGACTAACTCTGTATATCTTTATATCTGTACTTGATTTTGAGTAATTAACAAATACAGTTCTTTAATAGTTTACTTTTACAAAAAAAAATCAAGAAGTAATCAGTTTTCCAATTTTGCTTTGGCAAGAGGATTTCGTGGTAACAAAATCGAATTTTTTAGTAAGCAGGTCATTAAATCGATTATCAAATTCGGTATCGACCTCAGGCGTTGGTAAGCTTTGTGCGAAAATGCGCCGTTTGCATAAAAAAAAGAAATAGCCACCCTCCAAGATATCAAGATATCACCAGGAGAGCGTAGGTTTGCTAAACTTACTCATACCATACAGTCGAAATGATAAAATATCTTCAGGTTGATTGAATAGAAGTTATGCTATCGTAGAGAAGACTCCAATTTCATCTTACAGAAAACAGGAAATTGTCTACTGGTTGGCTACCAAAAATATTGAATTTGATGATAATGTAATAAAGAAAGAAATATTAGAAGGATTATAGCAGAAAGACATAGCTGCCACCGGCATATTATTGCGAACTAAATCCTATAGATTTTATATGGGCGATAGTGACAGCATTTGTAGCAACATGTGACGACATTCAAAATGGAAAGATTGATTAATCTACTAAGGAAAAAAAACAGTTCAAAGTTCGCTAGTTTGGTAAGACTTTGGAAAACACCCTGTATAAAATAATTACTCAGGCTTAGCTTTCAATAATAATAAATTCGAATATTTTAGGGACCATTTTTAATATTATAAAGGGTGCGGATCGAGACTATTTTTCATATGTAACAAAACATATTTTTGTATCTTCGCACTTTTAGATAACCCCGTATAATTAAAAATATTTTTAAAGTGTGTGTTTTTCGAATTTTCGCGAAGTTCAGAGATACGAGAAATATATTTACTAATTTTCTAGGGGTCACAGGCCATTCGGAAAGCTGAAACCTCTTTGCACCAGAAAAGGAGTTGCTCAGTAGAGCTGCATAAATACACAAGAGCTGAGTCCCAGATTATTGCGTTGTTTACACTAGTTATTAGTATTAGTTCATTTAGTTTTAATCGTGGCCGACAAGGCTGTGATTTACTTTCTTTCTTACCACAAAGTTTTGTGTGTGTGTCACTCCATTGCTGATTAGGTTTGCAAAAATCTTAAAAACACTCCAAAAAAAAATATACCGATCATAACATCGGATGCTGAATGAACTTCGGAAAAAGCCCAAAAATGAATCTTTAAAGGAAATCCTTCAAAACTACGTCTTGATATAACTCTCTGCGCGATTGCTCTTTCCATGTACTCTACTAAAATTAGGTAATTTAAAAAATTCTTTTCAAAAAATTATAAAATATTTGCAAAGCCGTGTTTGTCCCATTTAATATAAATATTGAGTACAATTATTATGGCATTTTCTTTAATTACCCCTTAATAATTTTAATAATTGTATTGTAAAACCAAAAAAAGCAGTTGAGGTTAACCAGTTTTGATAATGAAATTTCACCAACATTCAATTTGTAAGAAATTGTGGACTTTTTATATTTTCCTTGGAACCCCATTCCTCCCCTAACATCGTTGGGTCCTTCTGTTCCACTGCTCGAGAGTACTAGCTTGAGATCGTCTTCGTGTTGTTATGGATGCAACTCCCTAGATCGGCTGTTTCTCCATCTTAAATCGGGACTTTGTTGTATGTAAAAGGGAAACCGTATCCAATATAAATGACGTATCTACTTGATTTTTGATCAGTTCTATATTGGTATGTATGTATCGTAGTAAGGTAATAAAACTGCAAAAAAACTTGAAAAAGTCAATATATTTATTGAATATACAAAATGGCTACGGTCAATGTGCCCATTATAAGCATAAAAATAGGGACAATGCAAATTCCTGTGTTAATTGTGTTATACAGTGTGCTGCTATAAGTTTGCAATGGGTTGAGAGCACTTATACAGATGTCTACATATACGGGGTGGAGCAAAAAAAGTCAAATATTACCAAGATTACCAAACGTGCTTAATCATTTATTCAGTATTTTTGGGTTAATTTAATTCTATTATTTCAAAAGCATTACTTGCTACTTTGAAAAAGCAAAAATATTTTCACGATAAAATAGAGTGTTTTGATTTACAAAATTTGCAAATTAAAAGCAAACAAAAGATCTCCAGCATCCGAAAAATACCCAAAAAATGTGTGGTCGATCCATGTAAAAATTCTTAAGCTTGCAAAGAAAACTTTATTTTTATCACAGATGACAATTTTTTATCGCTGATGTGTCCCGTATTTAACATGTAAAATACTTATGCTAATTAAAATACTAACTACAGTATCCCAATTGAACTAAAACATCCTTAATTTCTTCAAAAACTGTTGGATCTATCACCGTGCCAGGTATCTGAAAAAATATATACCATGTAGCCATTTATTGCAGTGGGCTGTACTGTGCAAACCACATAGTCATATCATAGTATGGCTATAATTCCAGGCGGGCAGGTGCTATCCCTCTCCCGTTTTCCAGACTTCATCTTAGAATAATAAGATCATTGTTAAATTTTTTAATGCCCTACTAAATAATATCCTCTTTTTAACACACGGATAATGAAGCAATTGTTAATAGAACTGATCAATACTTTTCCAACGTTGTCAAATGATCAGGACATATTTGCGGCAAATATTTCATGTTAATTTATAGTATAAATCTATCTAGCGAACATAATTGAATATGCCTTGGTTACCTATTTAAAAACATTAGAGCATTAATACGTGTAATTAGGTTTAAATCTACCGTTAAGATGGCAGTGAAGAAGTACAGTTTAATTTTAATATTTTTTGGAGTGACACTTGCCGCGCTATTTTCATTCAAGAGTAAAGTTAAAACACAGCCGAGTTCTAAAACTCCGCCATATAGAGTGTATTGCAGTTTGCAGTAAGCGTATACCACGCCCAGGTTGACACCGATTGATAATTAGAGCGATAAAGTAGCTCCTCTAATATCACCCTGTATAATTTGAATTAAATTGATTTTTGTAATAAAGAAACTGTCAATTTTAGTGCCAAAGAAGTCAATGCCAATGTCAAAAGGCTGACAAATAATGATTTAAGGCAGAAGGAGCAGGAACAGCTATCAAATGAATTCAACAGCATTTGTGGAGAGCTAACTTCATATGCAAAATTTTTCGTGGCACTTGCCCAAGAACGATACTTTATTAATGACTCTACTGGTAATTCATTTGTCTACACTAGAAAAATCTCAAACTACTTGTAAAATACGTCATGTTGCAGAAATCCCAACGCTTGAAGCTGATAATGCTTGATTTCCAACAAAAAATGTTACCCAGTTAATGTAATTCCAGAAAAACTTTATCGTCAGTTATACCTTCGTTAAACCGCCGAATTTGGACGTTAATCAAAATCAGAATCAGAATCAGAATATCAGGCAGCAGCTGTTATAATGCCACTTTTCCCTCGACCATGATATGCATTCATAAAATATATACTAATAATGTATTTTTGAAACCAACATCAAAAAAGGTGTAGCAATCTAAGGATTGCCAAGATGTAAGATTTTTGTACGAATGCAGTTACTTTCGCAAATAGTGATTTTGTTTGATTTTGCGGAGGTAACAGAGGAAATAAATATCGAATTTTTTAAACACACTGTCATTAAACTACAGCATACCTTCATTAGTTTGCCTCTGGCTAGATCCGAAATTGACTTGCGACATATCTTTCCCGACCTTGTCATAGGCAACTGTTTCACGCTTATGGCCAATTTGAACGCTGCCACGGCACCAAAGTTTTCTCTCACCATGGCGACCAGTTCTTGGGCCACCATACAGTCGTTCAAATCCGCGTCTGTAACAAATTTCACAAGTACTCTCTTTTGCAAACAGAAATGTCGACGAGGAACGCCGAAATCAAAAACGGTTTAATATTTCATGCAAAGAGCTGCGGGGATTTAGATATTATTTATAATTATATATCAACCCTTATGGCTAGTGTGTATCTTCGACAGTCATGAGGAAAATAACAAAAAATTCAAAAAATTACGAGTTTGTATGTGGCGCTGTGTGCATCAGCTACAGCTGACTGTTGGTAGCTGAACTAGTAGTTTCCATAGTTTGTTTATTGACAACAGATGCTTTGCTTAAGACCTCCTTACTCTCCGGTATGAGGGCTGTTTCCTGAACGTTCTCAGGTGACAAAGTTGTTCTTCCCTTCCGCCCTTTTTTTCCGTGTATTTGCTTCTTGATCCTGAACTTTCTCTGGTAATCTGGTCGCTTGGGAGTGAATTGCGTATTGTGTAAATTTTTGTATAGAACTCCTTTTTTTATTTTTTCTAATGTAAAATATTCGAAAATAAATGCGCGACGATCATTACAACGATCAATTGAGTGTTGAGGTTCTACGGTGATATTCATTTTGTAGTCTTAAGATGTGAGATGTATTTCAAAAACATGTTAGGTCCCTACAGGTAAAACTCGTACAATTAGATCCCTAAGGGATCGTTAAGAACTAATAAGTTAATGTTTTGTTAAGGGAAATTAAGATTTAAGGGGTACCTTTAAAGCCTTTTGACTTTTACGGGTATACTTGATAATTTATGACAAGCAAGTAATCGCCAGCGTCAGCTGTTTGAAGAACTTGAGGATCTGACGAATCAAAAAGAGTAAACATCAGCATCGTGCAGCTATTAACTTCAAACTTCTCTTTCTCTGTTGTTTTCGATCAAATTTCAGTCAAAATCAGAGTTTTCGCCAGTTATTGTAATAAAAATGTTAATAAATCCAACCTTAAAGCATAATCTTCTGGTCAAAGACCTAGATCTAGTTGATGTCGGTTGCGCCAGTTATTGTACCACAGAAATCAACTTCAAACCTCACTTTATATGATGAATAGCTCTTTCTTTTAACTAGAAAGTGATGTTTTAGGTTCATATCTGCTGGTGTGTTGACGTTTTTATTACAGCAGGTGATAGGGTAGAACAGTTTTCCCGAAATAGGATCGAGATCGACGTCACATTATTTGCTATTGTTATTTTCCAGACCCTTTGTTCGATCGCCCATTTTGTTCGAGTTTTACTCTTTGGTCTCCCGATTTCTTCGCCGTTACTATGTACTCTTTTTTCGGAAGCCTCGATTTTCTATATTTCATTGTTAGTTCAGTAGTAATCAGTTAGTAGTCAGTAAGATGTTTTGTCTATCTTTCTTTCTTTTTGCATTTTTCAACGATTCGTATTTTTTAGGCTGGTCCTCTCAATCCCCTGCTGTATGTATGATTTTTTCAAGTGACATACTGGCCCACGTATTTATTTGGTCAGTGTAGCGATTTGAGGAGACCTCCCATCGCTTGCCATCGTCTAATAAGGTGACTGAAGAATTTCTGCCTAAGCATCTTCCTTTGGATGGTTGGGTGTAGGCGTTCGTTTACTTGTATCCCAAGTTCTCTAAGAAGAAAGTTGTTTGTTTTTCTTGCGGTCCACGACCATCTCATCATTCTACGATAGCAAATCATCTATTCTTCATCGACACGCGGCGTTAATCAGATATTGGATCAAAAATATATTTGCTTGCTTTTCTTTCTTATCTCATTCTTGCAGGGTTCCTATTCGAAATATGTCCACCGAGATAGATTAGATCTCTAGAAAATGCCTCATATTTTTCCTTGCCATCAACCACCATTATAAAGCTTTTTTTTTGCTGGTTCAACTTTAACCCAGCTTTCTTGCTACATATCTCTATTTAAAAGTGCTGACAACTAAATAAGGCAAGAAGTGGTTCTTGATCAATTAAAATAAAAAGTAATAACACCTCTCAATAATATTAGCCATTGTACCAACTAGACCTTTACAGAATTCAGGGGTGAAACTATTCCACATTTTGTGTAATTTAGCACGTAGTTGTGGCGAAGTACGTTGAGGATCGTTCCTTAACTGTAACTGTAACATCAACATCGCTGATTATGTTTACGTTTATTTGTTATTCATGTAAATATTCTGGTGTGGTTGTCATTATGTAAATATATATAGAATTATACAAATATATAATTTTCATTCGACCGAAAATATCATCGCTCTGTGTTTTACTAATTTTCAGGCCATACTGTATTTGCTAGTTACCTTAAGATTTTTCAAAATTGTAGTTTTTCTAACGATGTCGTCATGGTAACATATGTCGAAATCGTCCGATAGGTCGCTACACTAAACGCTAAATAATTCTAACCTATCGGCTTACCTTCTTTGGTAACAAATAGACATAAAGGTAGTTCGCTCTTGATCTTGTCAGGTACAGATACGACGCAAGCATTACTGACGTCGGGATGCGACAGTATAATGTTTTCTAAAGCTAGAGTTGATAATCTGTGACCTGCGACGTTGATGACGTCATCCGCTCTGGCAGTGACGTGGACCTGTCCATCTCCGTCGATGCACCCCGCGTCCATTGTGTCGTAATATCCCTGCAAATAGTTTAAAACTTTCGATTATCGATATTTCTATATGCAGTGTGCCCCAAAGTCGTTTCATTCGCTCTGTCAAAATTTCAAAAATTTTCGAATAAAATATTTGATTTTTCGGGCTTAAAGCTGGTTGGTTAATTTTTCTGTAGCGTGACATTTATAAATATTTTCAATCTCGAAATCAAATGTACCAAATATACAAAATGTTCGGTTAGCTATGACTTTTTATTTATTTATTAATTCTGTTTTCTAAACTATTTTTTTTTACCTATTTTTATACATGTATATTTTACTTATTATAACTTAAAATAGGAGTATATGTTATTTACTAATTTACAACAATTGTCATTAAAAATGAATAAACGCGAGGAGCATATAGTTAGTTAGTAGGAGCATTGTGCATGTCATGCTTCACAAATATATGTGGAAAATTGAGAGATTTATAAATAAGAACGTTATTTTTTAAATTAATTTTAACGCCCTGTATTATAGAAACTGGATGTAAAACTGAAAAATGGCAAGGCGAAAGACATTTTAACAAAATCTGACAATAACTAGTTGCACATCTTTTCGACTCACCCCCTATAGAAGTCATATTATAGAATAATCTTCAATCAATTTTCAAAGCCCTCTTGCACGCTGACAATGGTAATAACCATTATCCAATTTAATTATCAGAATATAGAGACATCAGCGGTTGTAAATATTTGGACACTTTCTGGCCCCTAGTGTATATAGTTTTGTATTATTAATTTTCGAGATTTTCTACATAAAAATAATACATATTAATAGTCTAAAAATAGTGCATTATTTTTATTTGTTGTGTTTTGTCTTTTGAATAATATTTCCTTTTTGGGTTTTTGTTGTAAATTATAACTCGCATGTAATTATTTTGATTTTGTGCTGCTTCTCCTTTCGATATTGCCGCAATATGGTATCGAGTACCAGAAGAAGTCGTAATAGCTAATTGTTATATGTTACTCAACAAAACTTTTTTCATTTTAAGTCATTTTAACCTAGACGCTACCTTTTAAATCACATTTAATTAAAATTCATAACATTTTGTTAATGTCTTGAAATGTCAACTATTACAACGATAAAAAAAAAACAAATGTAAGTTTATTTTTTACTGTCTGTCATGGAAAAACTCAGCTGGATACGTATGGTGTATTACGACAAATAATAATGCACTCACAAAAAATACAAGAACAAATTGACATAACGGAGAAAACATGAAATTTAGTGGCCAATCAATTATGATGATCTCAAAATAAATATAAAGTTACAGTTAATAAGCTAAAATATTATTTGACTCTAAATAATTTTCATATTACCTGATATCTTGCAAAATACGTTTTGAAGAATCTTTCATCGGCCCTGTATAGCGTTGTCATAAATCCAGGCGGAGTAGGCAACTTGACCACTATCCTGCCAAGTTCATTTGAATCGCAAAGAGAGCCATCCTTGCGTACCACTTCAACTGAAAATTATGTAAGAATAACATGTGTACGATACAGAGAATAGAAAATTATCCAACAAGGACGAATATTAAGTTTGATTTTAGCTTCCCATCAAAAACCGTCTCCCAACGCTCTGGATGAAGTAAATACATGGAAATCTTGTAAATAGTGGTATCGGAGTTTTTAGATAATTTACTATTGAAGTTGGCTGTACGACTTTGGTATCAATTAGAAAGGGCCCGTCGATTGCATCGATTTTTTTCTCTTGTGTCAGATTAAGAATTTAGAACCGTTAAATAGGGTTCATACCGCTGTTAATTAATTAGTCTAATAATTGTAACAGTTCAATCAAAACTGTTAAAGAATCTTTTGGAGCACTCTTTAGGAAATGTCCATGGACCGTTCGTTTTAGATTTGACGTACTTTAAATAACACTTCTTCGGGATTTTATTTAGAATCCAAAAATGCAGGTGTTCTATTTAAAATAACATAGCTGATATTGTCGATCACTACATAACACACTCTGAATATTTTAAAATATTTTTAAAAGGTACACTAGCTTTTCTTATATACTTTGATGATATACCTGCCAACGTCACTTAGGTATAGAATATCCTATACAAAATGTGCCTACAAAGCAAAAAAATGCCTTAATGTACAGAGAATTTCATTTAAACTGAGAAAGTTAGTCAGTTAGTTAGTTAGACTAGTTCGTAGACTAGAAAGTGGAAACTCAGGGAGTGGGACCACACATAAATGAAGACAAGACAAAGTACAATCGCGCCACGAGATCACTCCAGGGAAGACGGGACAAGAGGAGTGAAAATAGAAGCATGTAGACAAGGATTTGTGCACCAAACATGTATATTCACCCATATATACCATACCAAGGACTAGTGAACTTAAACTTCGTTGTTGTGAAAGAAAAGTGCCGAGAAAGATTTATGACCCAATATTGGATGTACTCGCACAAAGTTATAGAATCTCGCCAAAAAAAAGCTCTACAAATTAAAGCATAAAGATCCAGAGATGGTCTAAGAAATCAAGTCTATGTGGAAGACTGCATTGGTCAGGGCATGTAATAAGACAACCAGAGGAGCGATATATTAACCTACTCGGCAAACCAATCCGTAAGGAAGACCCCGGATAAGATTGACGGAGAACATTGCCAATGAACTTAGAATCATGGGGTACGATATAGAAAGTAGAACCAAATAAATTTTGTTCCCAAGTTTTTTTATATTTGTAGCAGGATCTTACACCAAAGCGTTATCCAATAGTAAACTAGACACCCGGTACAATTGCACCTTGAAATCCGTTGAAAGTGGCTGCCGGTCATAATTTTGGATATAGCAGGTTTCCATGCCTGATTTATGCACAATAGCATTTTTTAACCCGATTAAATTTACATGCACAAATTAAAATGGTAATAATGAGCAACAAACATTGTGCGGTGACAATGAACGCATTCATTTAAATAAAACGCATCCACGTGTGTGAATGATGGACTGTTTAAAAGAATACAGTTCCGTTGCTAGAGTTACCTACAATTAAAAAATTATTGAGATAGTCAGAAACCAGCCATAAACTATTGCTTCTTAAGTAAACACGTCAACGCACTGGTATAATCAATTTTGATTTTCATAGCTATGAGATTAGGCCTTAGAAAGAAAAATACAGTTCCTTCTTAAAATGTTTTGCCTCTCTAGGGAGAAAGAGAGAGAAATCCTTTAACTGAGATAACTCTTGAAAATTGTAGTTATTCTATTTATTATTATTATTAACAAAATGCATTTTCGTAAATATGGACTAATGTTTCGCACCTATAAACAAAATAACTATTTCTGTAAGAATTTACTCCATATTTCAATCACGTTGGCAGTACAGTTTGTTTCTATGGCATATGATCATCTATTTATCTGTTTCATCTAAGCGTTTGTCAAGATGCAGATTCGTAGGCTTTCGATCCAATTTTTATTAAATTTCTAGAGATCAGTTCTGCAAAAAATTTGATATACGCCAACTTCTGAAAATATCAGCACTCGTCAATGACTATGGCATTCTCTATTTTGGAAAAACTAACTAATGCACAAAACAATTCCGTCTGTATAATAAAATACTATGTTACGAAATTTTTAAATAAACATCAAACAAAAATCCTTCTGGTAACAAAAATATCTCCCACGCAGTCATAAAAATATTGAATGACATATAAAAACTTTAACAGGCTTACCCAAATGGGGCAATCCAAACATTTTAACCAGTTAGTGTCATGTCTACAACACTAAACACAACGCCAACACATGTTTCATCAGCAAAACCGAAAGTGCTATTCAGTTTTTTTGTATGTCAGAAAGTTCCACATTCTACTGTAATACTATTTACAAAACTTCTGGATTCCTTCTTCTCCGATGCAGGAGGAATCCAGATGTTTTGTAAATGGTTTTATATGTTATACTTAATATTACATTTCTTTAACAATGTTATCGCTTGCCTAGTAAATTCAAATCGGTACTAGCGATTTCATTAAATTGTTTTCTTTTCCGAACGTATGCTATATCCCCAATGCTTCTAGTCTCTTCAAATTTTTACTAGTTAGTGTAAACTGTTTTCTCAGTTAGAGGACTGAATAACTGATATACTGATACCGATAACTGATATGAACAAATTGCACAGAATTAATTTTTCAATGAAACTTCCACACGCTACTGTAATATTTTTTACAAATTTTCTGGATTCCTCCTGCGTTGGTTTTTGCTGAGTCGAACTTGCTGACGTTTCGCCAATCATCCTTGGCTTCTTCGGAGTTTGACTAAAACTGTCAGCAAGTTCGACTCAGTAAAAACCGACGCAGGAGGAATCCAGAAATTTTGTAAAAAGTCGCATAGAATTGTTTATTGCTGTTGTTAAATGACTGCTAAAATAAGTCAAAAATTTTCGTTAATCCGTTTTAGGCGCCAAGCAAAGTTGTCATTAATTAGCACACATTTCAGTAAACAACAATGGCGTATCAATTTGAGCTGGCGAAAGGTCGGAGGTCGCGGCCAAAAGAAATGATTTTTCTTACCATTGTATCCGGGAAAGGGAAGGCCCGTCGTAAGTTTGTTGTCCGCAGAGGGATTACTTAAACCGAGACAAGATCCAGATATGGCCGACCCGGTTTCAGTTTGCCACCAGTGATTGGCAACCGTCACTTTAAATGTTCGCTCGGCCCATAATTTCGCCGACATATCCAGATGCTCTCCGGCAACCCATATTTGTCTTAAGCTTGCCGTGTCGTATTCGGTCCCGAATCTGGCGTCAGGATCGACTTCTTTCAGTATTCTCAACGCGGTTGGAACGGTAAAAATCGTATTCACCCGGTATTCGTTGATTACTCTACAATACATATAATATAACAAAATTTCATGAAATAATCGAAAATTGTGTTAGTAATGGAAACTTTGCCTTTTGACGACAATGAAGCATCTAACCTGTTGCTATTGTACAACAGAGACGATGAGACAGGGTTAACTGATTCGTTACTAAATCGTAGTATTTTAATTTAGAACTCCATCGCTTTAGAACATTTAAGCTGATGGTCCAGAGTATCGAATGCTTTTGAGAAATTTGTTAGAATGAGAAAACTAGCATACCCCTAATCAAACGCTTTTACGATACCATCCCTAACTGAGGCTCAGACAGTAACGGTAATGAAATTTTTTAAAATACCACAATATTTATGTTCTATGCAACAGTTGATTAAATGTAGGATATAAATCGCAATAAAGAGTCTGTAATATTTACCCATGTTGATAGTAATATTGCCAACTCCACAGGCGTTGATTTTGATGTTAGTATAAACTTTGATTTTTTCATCGCATTTATTTGAGAGAGCGGTTCATAAAAATTCTTGGCTTTTATAATAGTTTTTATAGTTTTTTTATTGTTACAAATTTTGTAAGTTATATAAAACCTTTGATGTTGGTTAGTTGAGAAATTTTATAACTCTCTTTAAGACCTTATTATAATACTCTTACTTTTGGGACTTTATAGCTTAGTCTGTAAAATTCTTACGTATATTAAAGCACCTAATAAATATTCTATAGCTAAGAAATTTGTACTCCAATGCACTTGGAACAACTGTCAAAGATTTGATGTTTTTCCAACTTCTTTCGTTTTTAATTTCAATTTTAAAAGGCATGTTTATTTAATACTAAACTTTATCCTTTTCTTCTTTCAAGACCAAATAAATAAACAACTAAAAAGTGAAGTTATTATTTCATAATTGACATTTATCATTTGCGCAATAGTGAGACACTGTTAGTTTTATACCGCTTACGAAAGATTTTATAAATACTTTTTAGTAATAATAATCCATTAACACCATATAATTCTCCAGATTTCTTTTTGGCCTCAAGATTTTTGATCTTTTTTTGCGACTCCCTACATTGTCGTCCTTAATATACAGGCCTGTCCGCTTTTGAAGGTTTTGCTGCGCGTTTTATGTAAAATAAGCTGAACGTGTTGTTTGTTGGACATTGGATATTTCGTATATTTTATCATCGCTTTTACCAACATACTAGTACAACACTCTCTTAACACGACTTTCGGCAGGTTCTTCTATGACAATCGCTTATAAAAACAAAAAGTCAACTAATCATGATGGAATCTAGCTCAAAAATCATACGCAATGCTGCGCTTTGAAGACCCAGAATGCGAGAAAATTTAGACATTTTTCACAAGTTATTTATTAATATGAATACCTAAATGATGTCCCACTAACGTATTACCTGTAATATGAACTCGGATCTGGTGTGTTAGTTGGTTTTCCTTCGTAAATTACGCTCGTTATTCCGTACACCAAAGGCCCGTAACACATGTACGAATGACCCACGACCCACCCGAAATCGCTGGTCGACCACCAAACATCATCAGGGCGCATCGCGTACAGCACTTTCATGGTGAAAGCCAGCATCACCAGATGGCCCCCCGTGGGTCTCTGGATCCCTTTCGGTTCACCTAGAAGAAAGATGTAGCGATTCGTAGAAGAGGAGTTTCAAAGAGAAAATCTCTGCGGGATGTAACTTATTATATATCAAAATAAGGAGATTTGTTCAATAAACGTGGTGCGAAATGTTAGGTCTGTTGCATCTGTTTAGACTTTTAAAAACAATTTATTAGTCATGTTGTCAAGTATTTGTGAATACCATTTTTGTATCCAAACAAAACCCATTACTTTCTCCTCATTCAATTGTACGTTTAGACCATAACGTAAGCTACAATACTCAGAATTAAGTATGTGACATAGTTTTAAAGTAATATCTAAATTCGCCATAACGTTCTCCCGGTCCAGATGGGATACCTTTTAAGGCAAGTAAAAATGATAGGTAGATTTGTATACAATCGGAAATTTAGAAGCTCTTTGTTTTTTTTGTTCCAAGTAAGTAAGTTGGTGTGCAAATTAATAAGGAAAATGGAAATATGTAACTTTTCTTTGCTTAGCTTAGAGGAAGAGTGAATGGATACAAAACCCATAAATTGACCTGAACCTGGTTGGTATTACCAGCACTGCATGAAAAGAAAGAATTTTGCAATGAATGAAATCTCTGTCGAACAAAGTAAGTATTTGATCTTTCACTCTTCACCCCCTTCACCTCCTTGGTTTCACAACCCTGTGGGTTTTTGCTGACTCTGCTACATGTCTCTATCTTGCTCTCAGTAGCATTATTACCTAGGCATGGTCTACCTAAACGACGTTTGCCTTGTAGGACAGCCTCTCATACTAGCTTTGTCTGGCATTGTTCGTACGTCTCCTGGCCTTCACTTTCCTTGCTTGTTGCTTCTTCCTTAATTGAGCATCAGCAGCTTCCTTTCAAATACAAATACAAATAGTTGTGTTCTCTGTATAGATTTAGTTTAGCTTTTCTTGTAAGTTGCTTTGATTTCATTAAACCCTTGACCTTAGATTATTTCTTTTTTCCGTGATGTTACTGTGTTACTTAATACTCGTGCCCAGGTATTTAAATGCTTATTCTCGCTGAAAGTTGTAATCATCAATAAATAAATTTTGTTCTATTGAGATATATATATATATATATATATATATATATATATATATATATATATATATATATATATATATATATATATATATATATATATATATATATATATATATATATATATATATATATATATATATATATATATATATATATATATATATATATATATATATATATATATATATATATATATATATATATATATATATATATATATATATATATATATATATATATATATATATGTTTTGTTTTAGGCTTCCGCGGGTCTTATATGTGTGTTGTAAATTCTTCCGGGTTTTACTCCGCGTCTGGTTTGGCTGGCTCCAAGTGGAGGTAGCCCTTTGCTGACAACGTTTCGGCAAGATCTCACTTGCCATTTTCAAGTCGGGTCGTTCTGCTTCTCGTCTGAAGTTCAAGCCGAGTTCAGACGAATTGGATTGATTTGGTATGTGTATGGTGGAGCTATTTGGTCTGAAGCCACATTGGAAGTCCCCCACTATCTCTACTAGAATACTGGACTGTATTTAGTACAGTTATTGCACGGTAGTTTGAAGATATGTTTTTGTATGCCTAATGAGGTTTTACTACTCTACACCGATTCATTTCATCTATCAATCGATCTTTCACACATTTCAATTTTTTTTTTCTGAAAGCTCGCTTTGAGTACCCAGTATATGTTCACCTACTTACATTAGGCACCACATTTATTTAACAAATATTATATTTGTGATTAATATATTATTAACTGTTGCTTTATGGCGGATATGTCGCGCGATACCCCATATACCTGTAGTGCCGGAAGTGTATAAAATATAAAGCGGGTCGTTTGATTCCACCGGAGTGCAGGGAGCACTTTGAACGTTTTTGACACTCTCCTCCCAATCTACGTCACGCTCTGGATCCAGCTCACTGATGTGGATATTTTTCCTTTGAAATATGACGCATTTTTTTGGTTTGTAAAGCGACATATCAATGGCCTCGTTCATTTCTGCTACGTAACTAAAAAATGAGAATACTAAACTAGATGTTCTATATATAGTGTCAGACAAAAGTAAAGCAACTATTCAAAAATTTGATTAAAAACAAAACCTTTTCATGATCGGTTTGTTCAAACTAACAGAAAAATAAAATCTAATGGCAAAATTAAAGCAATCACAGCAGCGTAGCGTAGTACGATTTATGCTATTATAGTAGTATTTTCAAGCATGCATATAATGAAGTTTTTCTATTCCCGTCTGTAAAATGCCTAATTACACACCGATCTAACGTGCGGGAACTGCCACTTTACTACTTCAGTTTCGTTTCCCACGGAAAACTTTTTGGATTTTGTGAAAGCTTAGAGAAGCCCAAACAACAGTGTATTGGTAAGGAAAAAGCATTAAATATTGTAGTCACCGCAAAATTAACAAAATATCAATATAATTTTTTTCGATATGTACCTGCAGAAATTGTGAGTCATCTTAATTGTTTATAAAATGTCGGAAGTGACAATTTTTTATTGTTGAAATACCTACTGGCTTTGTTGTGAAAGACTTATTTTTGTTGAATACCCTTTCTAGTTTTTTACTGTTTCATAAAAAAAATGTTTTAATAATAAAATTGAAAGCTCCTTCTTTTCAAAAAATTCAAGATGAAAAATTTAGATCGCATTTAAGCAAATAAATGCATATATAAATAATAGGTTTTTATAAAACGCACTATATTTTTGGTTTGCCCTGTATATCGTTTACATCATGTAAAGTAACTATTTTGTTTTTAATTTAAGACGTTGCTTTTTGTATAATGTAACTATGTATGAAACTCATTTCTGGCTCTTCCAGATCAAAAAATTTCAAATAAATATCCTCATGTCCCTATGTCCTTCCGTTCCCACTGGGGGGGAGTTTATTAAATTGGAAATACTTTTTTCACGAACAGAGGTCCAAACGTTTTTAATAATGCGGCTTGATTTTTAAAATTTTTCTTGGAATTCATTTCTCTACAAAGATACTCCATGGGATTTTTTTCTCTATTACAAACCATTGGTTCACAAGCTTGGCCGAATGTTTTGCGTCGTTGTCATGTTGAAAAGTGAACTTGAGAGGCATTGCCCACTAAGCTTAAAAGAGTATGACCTTCTCTGTTAGTTCTTGATAAATGTATGAATTGGTCTAACTCTAAAGGTGGAAAAGCAGCCGTTGAACCAATGTACTTAGTATAAAGTCTTTAAGTATCTTGTACCACCACCTCCAAATCTAAAAAATTTTGATTCGTCCAATCTCTCAAGAGGTTTTTTAGGAGTCTTCATTCTTTTAAAACCCTTCATCAACCAAAGTCCTTTGGATTGTCTTTGGTGACACTTCTAACCCCTCTACTTAACTTACAGGTACTGTGTTGCAGGAACTTTGGGGTCATTTTTAATGTTTCTTTCTATGAGCCTATTTCAGTTTTTCAGTGTCGACCCGTTTTTAAGTTCAATACACTTCCACGACGATGAATGTTTTTTATATTTTTAAACAAAATCTTTTGGTAATGTTCAAAACACCGGATTTATAGGCATATGCTTTTGCAAGAGTATGGAATATATATTAAATTCATAAATTTGCTTTAATTGTCCGACTATGTTAGTTCAAAATAAAATGTTAAATTCCATTTTTTTGTCTATATGTAGGGTTGCAAAGATAATCATAAAATAAATTATTTATCTGAAATTAACATTTTCATGACTAAATGAAAACATTGTAATAGATGACTTAATTTTGTTGGTAATCACGGATAATGGAAAAAATAATTAAAAATTAAAAATTGGATTGGAGATATAGGAGGCTATGATCTCTATTTTTAAAATATTAACTTCCCTGTGTTGCCGATCTACCCAATATTGCAAAAATGGAGAACAAAAAAAAGAAACAAAGTTTATCAATCGCCTTATCGTTAGTTAGACTTGAAACTCATAATGGCATAGACTATAGATATACTTTTTTCGCCAGTGGCGTCGGGGTAAGCATGACAGTGAATATTTTTTATTTTGAAACACCCTATATACTTCTAATAGGCAGATTTTAGAGAACCCTATATCCGGGATTGTATATGTCATCTTTGCCTATATATTCCACACTTTTGCCCTCGCATGTGAGTCATTAAAAGGGGAAAATATGAAATTTTAGTAATTAATTAAACCAATTTTTAATGAATAAATATGTTGTAATGCTAAATATTTGACTGTTCCGGTTGTGATATGCTTAATTCCCAACCTTTTTAGTATATGATAAATATTTTTTGCCCTACTGTTTAAATTTGGCAATGTCATTTAAAATGATAAATTGTAAATTTTAATTTACGAACCTCCAGCCGAGCGTTGACGCTTGTTTTATACAACATCTTCTATTAGTTCATAGTACAAATCGATCAAAAACATAAAAAAAAAGCATAAAAATAAATTCAGAATTCAAATTGAAAATAAATACTTATTCAATTTTTTGTTATTTGGTTTAGTGTTTTTTATTTATTTTTATTTTAGTTTTGGTCGGTGCTTTTTTTGAATTTCTGCTCTAGAATCAAGATTAAAAATGGCGGTCAATGGTTACAATGGTTGTCGCTCAAAAATGACCTCAATATAACAAGATCCAAGGTACTTGTTTATTACTTTCTAATATTAATTTAATTTTACGGATGTTTCAAAGCGGAGATGGCACGAGAAACATGAAAAGCCAAATTAGTTAAGAAAAGAAAAAGAAACGTCACTTAAACAACTGCGTTGGATTGAGACGTTAGTATATCAGATAATAAGGTCTTCTAGTAGGGCGTTTCAGATTTTTTACTTACTCAATTACCCGGCTTGGTTCTATACCACAGCTGGCAGCAATAATCACATTCGGTTCAGCATGTTCGATTCTGACCTTGAGCTCCGATGCGGCGAAACCTACAGCAATTGGACCGGTCTAATTGACAGCCAAGTGCAAGAAACGTTTTCTTTTTTACGTACCTCCAAAGACAACAGAATGAACGGCTCCCAATCTAACCACCGATAACATGGCGACTACAGTCTCGGGTATCAGTGGCATGTAAATTAACACCCTGTCGCCCTTCGACACACCCAGTCTCGCTAGTAAACCCGCCAATTTGGAAACCTATAACAATATATTACGTGCAATAGATTTGACACGCGCCAATTTAGCGACGAGAAGCGCAGCGGAGCGGCGAGTGTTTAGTAAGCTATTTTTATTGACGTTATTTAATTTAATATAATACAAAAATTTCCTTCCCATTTTTTACAAATCTTGTGGATTCCTACTGATTTGATATCTGGCTTAAGCCAAGTAGACATTTTTTGTACAACATCTCCCAATTTTGTCTTTAGTAGATCAAAGATGTTGAGAGACTTTTAGGCAAGTGGTAAATCTAATTTTAGCATTAATGTCTTGAATGCAGGGAAGGTCATAAAAGTTTTGAGCAAACGGATTGGAGGATTATTATCAGTTTCTAATTCAATGATAAATCATATGTTAGGGTGTACAGGATTAGAATGGCTAAGAAAATATCGGAGGAATTCTTGACTATGAGGCCAAATACTTAAGTATTATCAACGTAGCGTTTCCATAATTTTAGTTTTAGATACATGGTGTCGAGGGCTTTCTTTTCAAAACTTTTCATAAATATATTTGCGATGACTGGTGATAATGGAGAGAACCCCTAGCTGTTACTGATATTTCATGTTCATGAATTTGATAACTACAAGTTTCAAACAAGAATTAATTAAGAAAGAAACTATTAGTTTTCCCAGTAAAGAGTTTTAGTATAGAAGTTAGATACTTTGCTAGGGAATATGTTGGAGAACTAATAGTGCTAACAATAGGTTATACTCATTGTCAGTTGTCGAACACAATCATTATACCGGATAATAAATCTTATTCGAACAAACTACAATTTTTACATCAATCAATTCATCACCAAATCTTCTACCAAAGAAAAATTCGGAAATTCATAGAATGCGAATCAATCATCCAAGACAATGCCCCTTCTTTAGCTCCACGCCCCACAAACAGTATATAGAGTAGCATGCAAACCAGATTCAGTTAACCTCTGAAGAAGCCCACAGGATGACTGGCGAAACAAATTCGCCAACCGACGCAGGAGGAATCCATAAAATTTGTAAATAATATCACAGTGGTCTGTGAAAATTAGTTTGAAAACTCAACAATTGGAATTATTTTTCAGCTGATTTAGTGAAAACTAGAACTGGTCAATTACTCGGAATCGCTGCAACTTGTACCGGGCGACCCATTTATTATGGGAAGGCATCTTATTTAATTCTAGATAATATAAAAAAACATATAACGTTGAGTCAAAAGACAACCATTAGGGAGGTACTAGGGAGTTTCGATGAATAGGTTTATTGGAAACTTTTTTGTCTTCGGCAAAAAATATTTAAACAAAAATTGTTTTATATAAATTGTTTGGTTCCCTTAAGAGGTAGAACAAAAAATATTCTACTAAAAAGAATCGAATTTAGTCCAAATTTAAAACGGTGTTCATTGTAGTTATCTAAAATATAAAAGTGTTTTTCAAAAAAACGGGCTTTAAAATTCAAGAACACGATTGCAGAAATTTAAAAATCATTTTCAGCATTTTGTCTTGGCCGCTTAAGTAATTCATAAGTTTTTTCACCCCAAGTCTTTCCCACAATTACTTTTGGAGATAAGACCGAGTGCCCTTCTTAACTGGTCTGCTTAATCTGGACCTGCAAACGTAAAATTCATAATATGTCAAAAAGGGATAACATTTACGTTTAAAATATTATATAAGAAATATATTCAAAAAATTCTTAATTTGCAGGGATGTATTTAAAATAACAAAACTATTACTTGTTTTCTCTCTAATTTTTGTGTTAATTCTTTTAGAGGTTTTCCCACAATAAACGCACCACCCTATACATTTGTGGACACATTTTATCTTCATAATAATAGAACTTACCTTTTCCTGTAGCTCATAGTATGTAATTTTTCTAGATATTCCAAGCAACGGGCTGTCGTATATTAAAGCAACTTTGTCGCCATTTCCTGCTTCCACGTGCCTGTCTACTGCATTATAGCACGCGTTTATTTCGCCACCTACGTACCTATTAATATGAACGACGGTGTAGCATTTTTTATATTCAACCTTTTACCCTTTAACGCAAAATAGGCAATACGCATGTGACGACTGTGCGATCGCTCTACCGTTACTTTACTCATGGATGGTGTTTGCAATGTTGCAATGTTTGCTTAAACGTAACTCATTTAACAAAAAAGTTAGTTTTAAGACCATTTCATTGACAGAAACATGCAGAGCACTTCACAGAAAATGTCATTTTTCTATTATATGTAGCAGTCCTATAGGAACTGTTTTGATTCTTATTTTTCAGCTTTGATTAACAAATATAAAACAAATATAAATAAAACAAAAATGCAATTCCTATTTGAAAACTCCAACTTGCGTAGTCTCTAGTAGCCCCACTAGTAGATAGGAAACACTTAAAAGTTGGTTAATGAAACTGAACCTTACCGGAAGCATTCCTCAAAACCAATGTATTTAGTGTCAAAATACAATTCTAAATGAAATGAATATTTATTTTGTTAAATATATTATGAGCATGTTTAAAAAAATTCAATTTGTGCAGTTGACAATGGACCTTGTAATAATAGGAAACACTATTGAGTTCAATAAGGAAATTGAAGAGTTTTCATACTTTGCTTACCCATTTTATTAAATGTGTTATAATTATGTTTTATGTTATGTAATTTTTGAAATATTGTATTTAGTGTCAAAATTCAGTTTTAAATAAACAAGAAGCCTTTATTTATTTCATTAATTGTATTATGCGTATATTTGAAATTCTCAATTTGTGCAGTGACCAGTTGATTAATGATATCGAATCTCAGTTGAGGATTTTTTAACCCATTATATTTAGAGTCAAAATTAATTGTAAATAAAAGCTAAGCTTTTGTTTATTTATTTTTATTAAATCTATTATGGATATGTTTGAAAATCTCAACTTGCTCGGTCGCCAGTGGACCTAGTAATAGTAGGAAACGCTTTCAAGTCAGGAGGTTTTAAATCTCTGTATTTAATGTCAAAATTCAATTTCAAATAAAAAAAAGCTTTTTTATCTATTTTATTAAATTATTTTGTAGTAATATTATCCCAGCAATGTATTATAAGTACGCAATATGTATAACACCTAATCAAGTATTATTAAGAATACGTGAACGGCAATTCCCATACTTGCATTATTTACTATTTATAGCTTTTATAATTTCTGGTAAACAAAAAGTTTCTATAGGTTCCTTAAAGACAAGCAGCTTAGTATGTATTTACTGTTGTCTTAGAAAACTACTTACCATTTTATGAAAGGTTCATTGGAGCTGTCTAGGACTTTGTTCCATGGTTTCGACCATGTCACTAGGTGACCGATTTTGTCCCAAAAATCTTCCGGATTTTCGATTGATTGTTTATAAACCTCCTCATAGTTTGCAGCTAACAGAGCTCCATTTTTGTATACAACTGAAAGAACAAATAGAGGTTATAATTATTTTACTCCATTCCGATAGACTTTGGCGGACCAGGTAAATCAATCCTTAAACAATTCTTTTTAGACATATCTATAAAAATTGTAAACGCACCAAACTCATTTGCAAATTTGTATATTTAGCATTGTTGTGCTCGGTTATTTTGAGGTGCACTGTTTTCGCAGCATTAAATTATAAATTGTTGCCTATTAATTACGACAAGGAGTAACGTTGAAGTAGATACCATAATAATTTATAAAGATAATACGTGGTTTCATAATAATTTACAACTTATGAAGCAAAAACAGTTGGGGGTGTCAAGCAACAGTAGGACATGGCGTCAATAGCGACAATACGGGACTGCACCAACTTAAAATTGTTAGGATTTTTCAGACCAGAAAAAAAACTGCACAATTAATTCATACAACGCATCCACGGACGAATTTATCTGCTATATATATATATATATATATATATATATATATATATATATATATATATATATATATATATATATATATATATATATATATATATATATATATATATATATATATATATATATATATATATATATATATATATATATATATATATATATATATGATTACACTATATTCCGGGATATCATCCGTTCGCTCGTTGAACTCCGACTGGAATCCTGCATCCGACTGGAATCCTGCAGACGTTTCGCCAAAATCTCACTTGGCATCTTCAATGCTCGCGCTCCGAAAACTGCTGAGTGTTCGAAGTGTTTTCGGATTGCGAGCATTGAAGATGCCAAGTGAGATTTTGGTTAGTTCTCATCTTAATTGAACTGCTGAGTGTTCGAAGTGTTTTCGGAGCGCGAGCATTGAAGATGCCAAGTGAGATTTTGGCGAAACGTCTGCAGGATTCCAGTCGGAGTTCAACAAGCGAACGGATGATATCCCGGAATATAGTGTCATCACATTTTTCCATCCGTGAATCAATACGTGAATATATATATATATATATATATATATATATATATATATATATATATATATATATATATATATATATATATATATATATATATATATATATATATATATATATATATATATATATATATATATATATATATATATATATATATATATATATATATATATATATATATATATATATATATATATATATATATATATATATATATATATATATATATATATATATATATATATATAGATTTAATTCTAGATCCTCTGATTTTATTAGAAATAGAAACTTTAGGAAAGACGAACTCTACTTTGAAACTAACTAGAATATCGTTCGGATCTGATGAAATGATTTTTAATTGTTCAATGAAGTGGAAGGAATTAAGTGCGAAACTATCCGTGTTTTAATATGCAAACTAGATATTTTACTAGAGAATAGGTCGGGTGCTAATAAGTCCAGCGATAATCCTGATTTGTGAACCTTAAGGAGTCCATAGAAACAAGAAATTTTAGAATCGTGAGGGGTGACATGTTTTTTCCAAGCTTCTAATGCTTTCATAGCAGATTTAAGTTTTCTAAGTTGACGGTGGGATGTGTTTGTCAGAATATATTTATTTTTTTCTTGAATTTTCAGTTCTATTCATGACTACTGTTTATAGCATTTACTTTGTCTGCATTTAAAATTTAGGTAGTTTGAATTTTTTAAAGGTTTTTGGGATTTCAAAAATAATTCCATTGATTGGTTGAAATTGAAATTGAAATGATTTGGGATTCCATGTGGGCAAGGAAGAAGTTTAAACCTGATTTTTTTTACCACGGTTGGGATTTGATTAGAGTCTGATCCTTTCAGTTGGGTTGAGATTAGTTTTTCCTATTTGACATTACTTTCCTTACATTTGAAACATTACTCAAAAGATTTACCACAGGGCGAAAAATATCAACTAGGGTAACACAAACTACAAGAACAAAGACTACCTCAAACAAACTCATCAGAAGTTGCCGAACATATTCATGAAACCGAATATCAAATCTTATTTCATCATATAAAAATTCTTGCATGTCAATTCTTGTACCAAAGAAAAATTCAAGAATACATAGAAATCTCCAAACAACCAAACAATTGCAGGCTCGATTCGAAACTTTAACATTCATCAATATGAAGCTCCGCAGCCCCCAAAACAGTATATAAGCAGGTACAGTGTAAAATGCAAACTGGTTTAAGCTCTGAAGGAGGCAACAGGCTCATTTGTAAATAGTAATATAGTAATAGTAAATAGTAATGTTTTTTTTTTCAATTTTATTTACAAAGGAAACACAAAGTATTTACGTCTATTTTTTAGAGAACCAATTTCGTAAAATTCCAACTTTTGTTTATAAATAAGAAATTGCATGTAGCTATTGTAACTGTAATTTAAATCATTTACAAATCACCTTTGCACTTTTTCAGTACGATCTATATAGTTAGCGTATTTTAAGTTCCAAAGTGAGTCCTAACATAAATAAATGTGCTTCCAAGGATGAGTTGATAAGCTGATACCCAAGTCCCTGAAGGTGTTGGATTGAGATGTGGTCTTAGGTAATTCAGTTTAAAATGATTTTTTTTTGTTTTTTTTTTTACTTTTGCAACCTATGTTCACATTCATGGAAAGTGCAAATAACCGAGAGTTTCCAAGAGAGAAAAAAAAATTAAAAATTCCAATCAAGTTCCCTGCAGTTACATGATGGATAGTTTTGGTTAATTGGAAAGATCTCCTTTTTATTGTTTCATGTCTAAGTAACTTACCAACAGATACTAACAATTTAAGCTACGCAACACGTTTTAAAATTAATCATTTTCAAAAATTATCGCATTAACAGATTAGAGAAATTTCAAGGTAAATTTGCTTTAAGCAGCATTTTTGTCTTCATCTGGGAACGCTAATCATTCATTAAAATTACAATTTTCAAATAACAGAATTGAAAATTGATGTAATTTTTCATTATTTTTCGTCTGGACAGAGAAAACCGAATATCACATTTTTGATACAATATTATTTACTTATGACATCATCACATCACCGTTTGTAATTCAAATAAAGATCTGGTGGTGGAAATATCAGTATTACAGCAATTAATAATTATTGTTAGTTTTTTTAGTTACACTGACCGTCGTATCACTAAAAAACTATATGTGACCGATTCCTGTAGCAAACTCACGTCTAAGACACTTTTTAAAATAAAAAAATGGCGCCAACTTTGAGAACGAACCAACTTACTCTTTTTTTTTGTTTCCAGCCGTTTTTTCTTAGGTAAACTCATTTTTTTATAGCACAATTTTTGTTTTTTTTTAAACTTGCGGTGGTCCTACGCGGCAAAGAGACTAAAGTGATACGAATATAAGACCATAAAACATTTACATACAAATTTAAATACAATGGGGTCATCGTATTCAATAAGGGTTCTGATTTTTTATATGATCCATTTGGATGTTACAATTTGTTGCAGCTACGAGGTTAATATCATGGCGAATGAGGGAGCCAGATATTGTTGAAGGTATATACAGAGTGTTCCCAAATTATTGCACCAAATTTCAAAGGCATATTCCACACCTCTGATTTCTATAAACGGTGACCCCGACATTCGCGTTGATGGTTAAAAGGTTAAAGTTAATACCACATATAAGTTTTACTTCAATATTATACAAAACGGTGAAAATATTTCCCCAAAATTTGGGCACACATTTTATTAAATTACTTCAAAAAATTAAATCTAAGTATGGCCTGTTTTGGCGCATACTTAGATTTCCTCTTGATGTTAGAGTTCCCTATACCTATTTCCATTGCTTTTTATGCAAAACCCGTTTTTATATTTTTCTTATTACTAATTTCTTTATATTAAAATTGTGAAAAATTACACCAAATTGTCAAAGTGGTGTCCAATTTTTCTAGATATATAAGCGAATAATTTTTGAATAACATATATTGTGAATAAAAAAATAGTGAAAATGTCCTTTTAATTTCCTGGAAACATAGCGCTGTTTAAGTGATGATCCGAAAAATGTGGATTCAATTATTAACAGACCATCATAATGATGATGAACGGTTCTAATAATATTAGAACGTTAGTCACTGTATTCTGACCGTATTTTCTCAAAATATGTTCAGATAGCATCAAATCTTTATTCAAAAAGAAGTAAAGTGTGTGGATATCCCTGGGTAGGAAGGAAATGGCGGAAAGTGCAGGTTAGCAGATGAAATGTAAAGGCATACGAAAATAACAATGCCGCCCGTGGCACTTCAATTTTTGCCATAGCAGGGCCACTATGTGATCAAATAACTATTATAGTATTAACTAAAGCTTTTTTATGAAAAATTGATTCGTCGGAATAAAGGACATTAAAAAAAAAAGTTTCACCACCACACTTTTCTAAAAGCTATAAACAAAAATTCAATCATCAATCATAATCTACTCCAAAAAGTTGTTGATGGAGTTGAATGTGATAAGAGTAAAATTTATATTTCTTACTTATTCTATATTATTATTTATTATTATTAGTTATTCAAATATTTTATTTTTCGCTGGTGTGGGGGGTGGGGGGTCTTCAACTAGAAACTTAATCAATAAATATTCATTTTCCTCATTTCTGGTCACCGGTTGTTTGACTTATTATAAGCCAGATTGATTGCAAAAACTGTACCAATGACCTTTTAGGTGGATGAGGTCTGCTTGAATAGATTTGGGATTGAAGCTAATAACATGACTTTCACCGATTACCAATATCATTTCAATTCCTTCTACCTGAGTTTACGTTCTAGTGAATTAAAATGTAACAATCTTTCGCAAATAATTTTTTTTTCAAATAATAATTAGTAGGATACAGTGTGTTGTATTTTTAAAATAAAGAACAAGTGAAATATAATTACGCTTCTTCGGCAAAAAGCAGGGGGAGGTAGAGAGCTACGTACCGCGATCCTTAATACGGTTTTAAACCTAATTCTGCGTCAAAACAAACAAAAATAGATGTTCCATTTAACTTTAAGAAGTTATTAAATAAAATGTGTAACCAAAAGTAGAGGCAAAGTCGTGCGGTAATATCCCGGATATTTCCGAAGTGGCTCGGATCCATAGGAAACGTAATTGACATGGTAAAATGACACTTTCCGCATGTTAGATCGGTGTACAAATAGGTATTTTACATATTGAAGTATAAAAATTTAATTATAAACAGTTTGTTACATCTTACTGGATGTATACAATTTTTAAATTACGGCCTGTATTTTTTAATTTCTCAAAATATCTATACCAGTAAGATATGACATAGATAGGGTGTTCCATAAGAAGAAATTAAACGCAAATATATTATTCCTTTTTTGGGTCACCCCATTTCATCTTTCGTACAAAAACCGAGGCGAATGAGGTGGACCACCTCATAACACATGCTTTCATTTCGAGATACAAGGGGATTCTAAGAAAAAAAAAACAAAATAAACCACGACATTTTTCACGTAAAACAATTATCAGTGATGTCCATACTAGATTTGTATGGAATATTTTTTAAGAAAAAATGGTGCGGCATTACTTCTTTTGAAATGTTCATTGAATCTGGAAGAAATATGACATCGTTTTCAAATAAAATTGAATGCCAAATAAAAGTCAGTGTCTATTGTACTTGAACCTAGATTTCTTCGCCGTAAGCAAGTTCGGTATGTGTTTCCCAACTAATAAATGTGGGGTTAACTAAAAAAACTCGTACCTTAAGAAGTTAACATTGTACCAAGCTGGGGTTCGTCTTATTCAATTTAATGCGAAGGGTTAGGGTAAGGCTCAATTCATACCCACATTTACAGCCACAGCATTTTCGTGACTTTTGTTACTATTTCACTATTGGAAACTATTGGTTAGAATTTTCTAAAACCGAAAAATACCATATTTTCTGTAATTTCGAAAATACCTTGAACATACCGTTTCCTGCTACCAAATTTAGTTCTATTTTTTTAAGGAAACTGCCTAATTAAAATTTGTAATTTTGCGAGAATTTATGGATGATGATGAAAATTCTAAGCAAATTAAAAAAAATTGTTAATATGACAGGCAATTTTGAGTGTCATAGTGGGAGATGGAAATGGTACAATACAAAAATTGCATAATGCAAAAACGCAGATCTTTTTGAGTACTACGATTTAAAAGTAAAGTAGACATGTTTCAGATTTTGCAGCAAGCAGCTTCAATTAAAAAGTCAGAATGCGTCTCCCGCAACTTTTTTACTTTGCGACGACAATGTTAAAATGAATTTTCTAGAATACACAAATACCACTATTCACTTTCACTTAGCTAATTAATAATAAACTCCATTAATATTAAATAAACGTCAAAGTACAGGAAAACGAGTGAATAATCTGCCAACTATGATGTGATATGATTAAGATTGTTATAGACTACAGTCATACCGTTCTCGGTTGCTATTAAATCAATTCTTAAATTTTTTCTCCGATGGTGGTTCTGCTAACAGTAAACAAACATTACCGTTTATCAATACTTGCTACCTTGCTTACCTCTGCATGCACAAGCGACAATAAAGCATTATTCGTGGCTCTGTTGACAGTTTCTCTGGAGTGTGGTTTGTGCAAAATAGCACGAGAACAATATCTGACGATAAAATCGATTTTAACGTATTTAAATTTTAACTTAGAAAGCCGGTGTTTTGTAGAATGCGAAACATTATTAAATGCAAAACGAGTAATTTTAGTTGGGTCCAAGGCAGAGGCTGATAACCCATTTTGCATTGTTGCATTGGGCCCTCATACTAAAGCATGTTTTATAATACGGGAGAGGAATAAAATGTAAATTTGCAATGATGGGAATCGATAAACAGGGTGGACAATCTAAAGATTAGGATAATTGGCAATAATAATTTTTTTCAAATTTCGTATGTCAGTTTTTAACACCTCAAATCGTTTCTAAACTATTAATTTACATACAATATAAAGACGAATTTGGTGAATGAAAGTAATGTGACAGTCGCCTTACTACAGCAATAAATCTATTATTAATAATACATAATTATAGTTACAGACCAAGTAAATAACAACTTATATAGGTAGTAAGATAAATATGTAAATAGATCAATTGTAATAAATGTTGTTTTAAAAAAATAACTATTTAGTATACAATTTCTAAATTTTCGTCACAGTAGTCAGGTGAACTGTAGTAGTTGAGTTCATCAGCTTTGTGATGTTCCTTTATGAGGTTTTCAAATTTATTCTTAATTTTTTGCCTTTGATTTGGAAAATCTCTGCTGTAGTTTAGTCAGTGCGGTATTGCCTTTGTTTGAAAGCATTTTATTTCAATAATAACAATATCAAAACACTACTGAATCTTCAAAAATTCTTTCCATTACGTTTGTCTGAAAATGTCACTTATCATATTCATCCCGATTTTTTCCGATAATAAATAAAATATTTTACATTTAGTGGATGTTGCAATTTCTATGTCTATACCGCTCATGGTCATAGCTTTGACATTTAAAATTTGTAATCTAATTTCTAATATAATTTCCACCTCTTAATTGCAAATTGCAAATGACTGATGATATTAAAAATAAAATTAGACCCTAAAAGGTAGACAATGGGAATGATGGCTGGGTAGCTAATAAATATTTGTTGTTCTCTTATTTCCGTCATTTTCTTGTCAACTGTTTCGTGATTGGAGAATATTCACTATCACCGAGAAGTTATTTCATTTTTATCTGTATATTGAATATTTAAAGTAATATTAATATGAGTTATTTCAAAATTCCAACTTTTATGTTAAGACTTAATTTTGACAAGGAAAATGAAACTATCGTCTTCTACCTTCCCGATCACAGATTTGCATATGTCGATCGACCATGGAGGTTTGCAACACACTGTTTTTCCACGAAAGTCGTGACTTTCTATTTTATTTATCGTTTTACTGGTTCCCAGTTCCAGATTTTTAGATGCTATAGTTGATCTGGAATTCTTCTAAAATGTCCAATTGAATTTCGGTAATAATAATAATAATAATATTGGTTAATATGATAGGTACAATGGACATAAAAAACATTTTCTCATATAGCCTAATTAATGTTTTGGATAACAAACATGTTTTTAACGTTTTTTCAATATACCATTTACAAATAATATGAAGAGTACAGAACCTAAAACTGAACCTTGAGGGACACCCACCTTTATGTGTTATGCGAACAATCTTCTAATAAACTACTGACGCAGTCTAGAGGCTTACCCCTTACCTAGAGCATGCCCAAGTTCCGTCAAATCAACACAGTAAAACGTTAAAATTTATCTATAAAAATATGACATTTATCTACAATAGTATATT